TCTTTTAAAGTTTATGTTTTTTTTTATAAAGGCGATTCTTAAGTTCTTTTAAGTTTTTATTTTAATTAAGTTCTATATATACTTTTTATTTATATTTATAATCTAAGTTAGTTATATTATAAAGGTAGTATAGTCCGGTTGGTTTTTAAGATTTATATTTTTTATATAGTTTATAGATATCTTAGTCTGTAAGTTTTTTATTCCTATTTTAGAATTTTATTTATATTTAATTGGATTTTCTAAAGTGGGATTTATAAATGTATTTATTTAAATTATAGGAAATTTCTTTTTTTATATAACTTTTCTATAGTGTAATGTTTAAAAGACTTTTATTATTTTTTTATTTTTATTTTTTTTTATTAATAGCTGTTTATATTTTTACTGAGATTTTATTAAAGGTTAAATATATTTTTAAGAGTATAGCTAAGGTATTACTAATGTTACCTTTTTTTTTATATTTTTCTATTTATTTTTTTAGCTTTGTAAGGTTTATGAATTTACTGGAAAGTTTGGTTATATTTTTATCGGTGATTTTATTGTTTTTATATTTATTATTATTTAGTTATTTGAAGTATATAATAATGTTTAGGGATTTCTTTTTTTTAGGTGCTTAAGGAAATTATTTTAAGTTTTATTTTTTATTAAAGTAAGTTTAGCACTAGTTATTATAATATTCCATTTAGCTAAGGGATTTATATAAGATAGTATTAATAATGTTAACTGTTTTTTCCTTAGGTTTAGGTACTGGGGTTTATTTATTACCTTTTTTTTTTTTTAGTGTTTTACAGTATTTCTTTATATGGCCTTTCTTTTTATAGTTAAAGTATTTAATGTTTTTGCGTTATTTTTTAATAGTACTTAGGTTTATGGGTTTTAATTATTTATTATTAAAGGATATAAGGTTTTGTTTTTTACCTTAGTTTATATTATTATATTATATATAGAAGTTTTTTAGTTTTTTTTCTTTTTTTTTTTATTTACATTTTTAAATTTAGTTATTTATAATAATAGTTTATTATATATAGTTGAGGAAGTTTGTTTTTTTACGGTTAACTTTATATAATTTATTTTTAACTTTAGATCTTACTATATGGTAGTAGGCTTCTTTTTTACTTTTTTTAATTTAGTTAACTTTTATTAAAAGTTAAATAAAGGTAGTAATGCTTTTTAAAAAAGGTCTTTTTTAATATATATTTTAAAGGAGTTTTTTAGCTTTTTATTTTTTATTAATAGTTTTAAAAGATTTCTTTAATTATTTACAGAAGTCTTAGTATATTTTAAAAACTTCCTGGGTCTATGGTTTTTAGTTGTTTAATGTATTTACTTTAAAGTCTTTTATAATAAGTTGGGCCTATTTTTCTGCTGTTTTAGTTAAGTAGGAAATAGCAAAGATAGTTTTATTTTTATCTTTTTCTAACGTAGATAAAAAGTATTTAAAATAGATGTTAAGTTTTGTAAAGTATTTATTTATTTTTTAAGGCTTTTTATTATATAGGTTGGGTTTTTTTAGTTATAGGGTTTTACTTTATTTTTTTTTTTTTACTTTAAGAGCGTTAATTTTTTCTTAAAGTATTTTAATTACAGTTACTGCCTGCTTTAACGTTAGGGTTTTTTTATTAACTATTATTTTATTATTTTTTTTAAGATTGTTTTTAATTTTAATATTATTATTTAAGTAATTATTTTAGGCTTTACTTTTATAATTAGTTTTAACGTCTGGGACTTAGAATTTAATTATTTAGTGTTATTTTTTTATTACCCGTAGGTCTAAGATAACTGTCTAAATAAAAGTTATTAATATATAATAAACTAGGTCTTATATATTAGTATAGGTTAGCTGTTTTTAAAGGATAAACCTTTAAGCTTTAAGTTTATATTAGCGGAGCGGTTAAGTCAGTTATAGGCGTTGTTTTATTAATATTACGTAATTAATAGATATAATAACTAAATTTAATTTAATTATTATATTAATAACTAGTTATTTAAGCTATTTAAATAAATGTAAGAATGTAAATTTATATATTTAGTTATATATTTTAGAATTAATAGAGATTAATGTTAATTTGTATTAATTTTATTGCATATTGATAGAATTAACGCTGATTTTTATTAACCCTATGTTAATTAATGTATTAGTCTTATGATTATCTAGGAGCGCCTACCCTGTAGGCCCATTATCGCGACTATAAGAGCCAGGTCGTGACAATATATTAAATAAAATTATAGCTATATTATTAACTTAAAATTTAAAACTTTATAAATATATTATTATTATAAAGCTAGTAGTATATTAAAAAGTAATTAAAATTATATTTAAAAATATTTATATTTTTATTAATAAATATAATATAGATTTTTTAATTAAAATAGTAAAGTAAATAAATAAAAACTTAATTAATATATTAATATAGAATTTATTATTATTAAAAAAAATAAAAAATATTTTTTAATAAAGAAATTTAATATAAATTTATAATATTTTAAATAAAAATTAATAATAGTTTTAAAAAAAAATTAATACTTTATTTAAGAATATTAATTTTTTAATGTTTTAAATATAAAATAATAATAAATTATATTTTTAAAAAGGCTTTTAATTTAATTATTTTTATTATTTTTAATACTTTTAACTTTATTAAATTTAATATTATTTTCTTCTTTATTTTTATTTAAATAACCTTAATAGGCTGCTTAAGTTATTATAGTAATATATTTTTTTATTTAAAGTTTATTTAATAGCTAAAAAATTAATTTTATATATTAATATATTTAAAAAAAGATATTTTATTTTTCTTTTATTATTAAATTTTTATTTAATTAATACTTTTACTTAAGCTGCTTTTTATTAAGTTTAATAAAGTTAAAAAAGTTTATGTTACGGACCTGGGCTACGCCCGGGTAAATACTAATCCGAGCCTTTCACAGGCCCGTACCGGGTTCGTCCCGGACCCAGGCTACGCCCGGGCAAAGATTAATCCGAGCCTTCCACGGGCCCGGACCCGGGGAATAGCCAGAGATTACCCAGACGTATATTAGCTAGGGCACAGCCGCACACTGTTTATATTTCTATTCTCTTTCCTTAAGAATAATAATTCAGATCATTCAGACGCTTATTCGCAGTCGCCATAAGGCCAGTCTGTTACAGTTTATAATAATATAAATAATATAAATTTAATTAATAAACTAATATTTAGGTATATTATAATAAATTATCTTTTATTTTTATTTATATTAATTAAATATTTATTTAATTACTATTTATAATTAAAAATATTATAAATTATATAGTTTTTTTATATTTTAAAGCTATTAAGTAATATTTTGTTAATTATTTAAATAATAATAAATTATAAAATAAAAAATAATAATACCTTTCTTTATATTAAAGCTAATATTAATTAAATAATATTTTTTTATTAAAATTATTAATAATTAAATTAACGTTTATAGTAGAAGCTTTAAGTTATAAATTAATCCCTTAATATTAATAAATATATAAAAAAATAAATTATTAAAAATAATAATAATAAATATATTTTATAATATATTATATTTTTATAATTAAAATCTTTATTAATTTACTATAAGAATATATATAAGAATTTATATATTATTAATTATATTAATTATACTACTAAAGCCTTTAAATTTTTTTATTAATTTAACCTTTAGTAAAAGATATTAAATATTTAGCTATTAAATAAATTTATTATATAATTACTTTATTAAATTAATTATTTTATAAAAGATTTATAATATAATTAATTAATTAATATAAAATAATATAATAATATTTTTTTATAAATTATTAAAAGTATATATTTATAAAAATATTATTATTTTTTAACTTAAAGATTACTATTAACTTTCTTTTATATTTATATTTATATAAAGCTATTTATAAAATTAAAAAAACACTGCTTTTTTTATATAAAATAGACTATAAAATATTAAGTTAAAAAGTATAAAAAGTTTATTATAATAATATTTTAAAACTGCAGGGGTATTTTAAGTTATTTTTATTTTATTTCCTATAGCTTAATACTGCTATATTAATTTTAAAATATAATCTTATATAAAAATAGCTATAAAGTAATTATTTTTATTATTTTTATTATTATTATTAATTAAAATATTAAAAAATATTATATTATTTAATAAAGTTATTTTCTGCAGAATATTATAAATTATAATTAATTAAAAACCTATATTATTTCCTTTATATTTTAAATTAATTATAATTAACAGAATTTACTTAGAAATCTAACAGCTATTCCTTTTATAGGTATATTTGCAGTCTCTGCTAATTTAATATATTGCGAATAGGGGTTATAGTATTTTATTTAATGTAGAGAAAAATGATATAATTTTATGCTGAAAATCCCTACTAAATAAAGTATAGCGGCTATTTTATACTGGCTAATTAGTCAACTGGTTTGAAAAAGATGAGTTGGATCAGACCCATAATACGAGCTAAGACATAGAGATCTTACATGTGACGAAAATGTTCCGTATCCGAGTGCACATGCTTTTCGTGAATTTTGCCAAGCTTGGAGAATAGGGGTGTACAAAGATGATACAGATTTCCCAGCAATTAAATTCCCTCCTAGTCATTTGATCGAAGGAATTACAAGGGAAACCCGGATGAAACCCTCTGTAACACATTTGTGCCAGAAATGGGTACTTTGCCTATACAAGTACAAACATACAGATATACCAATAAAGAAACAAATAGCATCTGCACGACACCCCTTTTCTCATTGCGACAATTGCAGACTCAACAAAACTCCGCTTCTGTCGAGGTTAGCCTCGCCAAGGTTCCAAGGTGAGAACAAAAAGCAAAGACACGGCAATGTGAAGCCCGTCTTACGTCTCAACGCAAATCCTTCGCTCGCTGGCGCTAGTTTGCCAAGGAAGTAAAAAGCAAAGACAAGTGCCGATATCCAATGAAAAAGAGGTGGTAAGGATAGTATAAATAACTGATGGCTTCTGCCTTGTGATCAACCCCGCTCTGTATTAACTTGAAGACTTGTTACATATACGCTAAGATGCAGTCTAACAAAAGATCCCAAAAAAAAAAGCAATTATTGTAAAAAATGGCTTATTCGAAACGGGTATCATGCCATGCCATTGCTGTTGCTACTCTCAGGAAACGGAAACGCTCCCCGTAGCCTCCTTGCATGCTCATCGGGAGACATTTGCTTCTGATCGGGCGAAAGACGCCGATTTGCGCTCACAATGTCAATCTCGATGCGTTTGCGAATGTTCCTATTGTCCTCATCAGCTCTCAATTGCTGGTTTTCGTTGTGGCCGTCACTCCATACTTTGAGGTCCTGCATTCTGACATCTCCCACAATATGTTCTTCGCTTTCGTTTATCGTGATATTGGTGATTGGATTCGCAGTTGGGGGCCCGCGACCACGCCAACTTTTGGAACTTCCGCCAAAGGTAACGAGGTCTTTCGGTGTTGCATCTTCAAGCTTTTGTGTAGAACGTCTCGAGGAAAGGATGGATCCAATAAAGGGCCCAATCAACATCTTGAGCAAAGGAACAAGCATGGGAAGATTGGTGGTGACAACTGCGACAAATGTTTCTCTTACGGCCCAAGATCCGGCCAGCTGTGCACCATTGGCCGTATCCTAAATCGCTTTACATCAGCTTCGACTCTTTATATCAGGCATACGTTATAGAAGACGCACCAGTACAATGAGCGCACAACGCAAAGTGGCGCAAACAACGACAAAAAGTCCCCCACTAAAGAGAAAAATAAGTCCAATTTTCCTCCAAGGTTTCAGACTAGTTGTCCAGAGCATGGGCAACGGAATCGATATGATGTATAAGTCGGTGGTCACATTGAATGCCCAATAGACCCAAATGATTTGATTGGAAATGGCAGGCTGGCAGACGTCTAGATACCAAATTAGCAAAAAGCCGAAGGTGACATAGGGGTCAGAGAATGCTGACTTCCAGGATCGGGGTATATCTGCCACAGCTTATGGAAAGGTCGACATGAAAGATATAGGTTCAGCGCCACAACAATGTAGCTGGCTGCAAGAAAAGCAAAGCCTATATAGATTCGAATGCGGTAATGCCTGGCCAATCCGTCCTAATCGAGGAGCATGGTCAGAAAGGCGTTGAGGGAAGATACCGATCCGTATGGGAAAACATACTGTAAGTCTGATGTAAAATATTAGCAGCGACGTCTTCAGTGTCCAAAGAAGCGTCGAATATGTCGACCATCCTGCAATCTGGATCTTGGATCCTAGCACTCTGTCAAACTTGTCAGTATGGAATGCTAACCCCTATTCTTCTCTCGAGTTAGCTACCTTAAATGATACTCGGGATCATCTGGCGATAACGCAGCTCGCTGCTCATCCGTCATATTATTGTTTGCAAGTCCATTTGCCGCATTGCCAACACTATACGCCAGGCAAGTCTCGGCTATGTAGAAAAGAATGGCCAGCCATGCAAGATAGTCATCACCGCTCAGGCCTCGCCAGCCAGCAAATCTAACGCGAGCAAAAGTTCTGAGCACGGTGATGGCTATACCGATTGCCAAAAGAGTGAAGGCCTCAACAGTGAATTGGTGAAAAGCTGCAGCGGCTGCAGCCAGTGCAGCCGGATCTGGCGGAGGAGATGACATGATGTGCCGCGCAGCAGTGGCGTGTTTTTGCTTATACAAGACTTGCAAAGAAGTATCTGGGCTTTAACATGTGCTTACTCGACAACTCAACCCTCATTCAACCAACTGACATAACTCAAGAAAGTGCGAGGCCATTCCGTCATATTTCATTCTCAACGACCCTCTCTCAACGCACAAGTACTCATACATGTAAGTACCCCGTGGCAGGGCCCTCTCCTTTCCAGACCACGGATGATGATGCCGTTTGACAGGATACATACTCGTCCATGTCTTCTTGGCAACATCTTGTCATTTTCCCTGCCGTAACAAGGGTCATTACAACCTCAGCGGTGCCAACAACGGCCCCCCAGCCAGAATAGCCGTCTCAAAGTGGACGAGTTGCAGGGAAGCTCCACAACCGTTTGTTAGCGCAAGGGGAGTTCAGTTTGTGAGCCGCGGATGGCATGAATCCGGCGAGGTCGGTCTCCATAAAAAGAAAGTTCAAGCTGAGCTGTCATGAACCAATTCCGTACCAATTACTAGGTGTTATTTATTTGTCTTGTCGAATCTGATCTAAGCCCTATCGTCAGCTCGTAGAAAGCAAAAGCGCCCAATTGATTAGCTGCCTTCTTCACTTTTTTCCCTTCAAAGTGCGTTGAAGAATTCCCACGTCTGGCCCTAATCAGCAAACCGCTTGCATATGCGGGTCAACCTGCATGTTGGTTCACCCGGGCCACTGGATGTGCAACACTTCGTCATCCTTGGCCTAGTGAGTGTAGACTTGTACTCCGTCAGCGCGAAAATCATCCAAGGTTCTAAGCGATAATGGGGGGTGTGCATGTGCTACAAGCCCCCCTTGTCTTGGTTGAGTGCAACCTAGTGCCCAGTATTTGATCAACATGACTCCCCATCATAGTGGTGGCCAAAGAGGAGACTGGAACAAAAAAGAAACGAGAAAAAAGCAACCTCGTGCAAGTCTGCTTCAGCAACCGAGACGACAATGGAGACGTTTGACTGTGTCGTGGCTGGCGCTGGTGAGTTCTCATTTTCTCGCTTCAGATTTCTTTTTCCATGCTTTTAATGTTCATTCCTTTTCTTCTCCTGCGTGTCTAGTTGTGTCGCACCTATGCAAAAAGAAAAATCCGAGAGACTAATCGTTTGTGGCCACCAGGATGGTACGGACTGGCTGCCGCGAAGCAATACCGCGCCCTCCATCCAGATGACTCTCTTGTGGTGTTCGACCCTCAATCCAGCGTCGGCGGTACTTGGGCCGACGAGCGACTGTATCCAGATGTGAAGAGCAACAATCTCCTGGGGACATACGAGTATCCGGATTTCCCCATGGACCCAAACACATTCCAAGTAAAGCCTGGACAGTACATTCCCGGAGAGGTCACTAATGCATATCTCAAAGCCTATGTGGACAGGTTCAACCTCGGAGGGTCAATCCGTCTGCGAACCAAGATCACCACTGCCGAGCACAAGGACACTATCGAAGGCGGATGGATCCTGACCATTGTCAACGACGAGGGCCAAGAGTCCAAGATCTTCGCCAAGCGCTTCATTGTCGCTACCGGCCTAACTTCAGAGCCTTTCATGCCTCACTTTGACGGCCAGGAAGATTTCGGCGGCAAGATCTTCCACAGCAAATACTTTAAACAAAACCGAGATACCCTCCAGACTTCTAAGGCGGTCACCGTGTTTGGTGGCACAAAATTTGGCTGGGATGCCGCTTACAGCTACGCTACCGCCGGTGTCAAGGTGAACTGGGTCATTCGATGTTCGTTGGCCCCTTGCATATTACTCTATCTTTCCACCCTCCCTATCTTAGCAAAGTTGAGGAGGGACAAGGTGATATTTAAAGTGCTGACTTGGTAAAAATCTAGCATCTGGCCATGGCCCATGCTGGATGGCCCCATCATACGTGACTCCATTCAAGAAATGGATCGAGAAGCTTGCGAGTATGTATCGTCCCCATTATCGACATCGTCAAGATAGCTAACTAGCCACTTCGAGATATGCGCTTCCTCACATGGTTCAGCCCTTGTATCTTTAGCGGTGCCGCTGGCTACACCGGCATCCAGCGCTTCCTCCACGGCACCTTTCTCGGTCGTTTCATCGTGAATGCCTTCTGGGCTATCCTTGGTGGCGACGTCATGTCTCTCAATGCATATGGTTCACATCCCGAGACAGCAAAGCTAAAGCCATGGCTCCCCGCCATGTTCACCGCCGCCAGCTTCAGTATTCTCAACTACGACACCGACTTTTACGAACTCGTCCGAAGTGGCAAGATCAAGGTTCACATCGGTGAGATTGATCATCTGAGCCACGGCAAAGTCCATCTTGCCGACGGCACCGTTTTCGAATCAGACGCTTTGATCTCCAACACCGGCTGGATCAGCTCTCCCCCAATCAAATTTCTCCCCGAAGGCATTGAAAAGGAACTCGGTCTACCCCATGAAATCGACACAGAGGCTCCACCAGAGGACCTCGCCAACCAGCGGGATCTCATCAAACGCGCCGACAGGGAAATCGCGAAGCGCTTCCCCAGGCTCAAAGACCAGCCTATCTGGAACAAAAACTACGTCCCCCTTACAAAGCAGAAGGGCATCTCCAGCAAGGAGGCAATGACACCGTACACTCCTCAAACCCCCTTCATGCTGTACCACTTCCTCGTACCACCATCGGAACGCTTTCTCCGCTCCCGCGACATTGCCTTCTGCGGCTTCGTCAGCAACTTTAGCAACACACTAACAGCCCATCTCCAAGGCCTCTGGATTGGCGCTTGGTTCCGACGTCTCCTCGTCAACGATCCATCCCGAGCCGTTGACGACAAAGATGCCATGGCCAAGCTGCGATATGAGACAATGTTGCACAACCGCTTCGGCAAGTGGCGCTACCCTAACGAAACAAAGGCCCCGACCTTCATCTTTGACGCCGTGTACTACCTCGATCTGCTACAGAAAGATCTCGGCTTGAATCCCCGCCGCAAACCGAGGGGGCTGCTCACCGAGGTGACCAGCCCCTACGGTGCAGAGGACTACAAGGACGTGAACGAGGAGTGGGAAAGCAAATTTGGCGGTGTCACAGCTGTGTAAATGAAGCAGCCATGTCTTGTTTTATAAGCCACCAGTTGCCTATTCAGTCAATTGCCAGAGAGAGCGTTGGAAGAGGATACCCACAGTTTCACAGGTTCAACCCTTAATTTTGAGTCCCTTTTTCATGCGTTGTCTCACCAAACATATCGTCTCATCTTTTGGAAGTCTCGAGCAAGCCATAGCCGTACTTCCTAAACTGCTGCCTTCAGGATCAGTAATACGACCTCAATCGCGCATGAGATCAGCTCGTTTATAGTATCTATGGTGCTTCAATTATACCATTATTTACCTAGTAGTCTGCATATTTCCCAGGCTATGTACACGTGGAGAAACGAATTGGCGTCTACTGTACTTGCGTCTGCTTGGCGCACGCGCGAACCACGCGAGCCTTCATCTAGTTCTGGCGATCTGGCGAGTCAGTTGAACACTTGGCACGACGCTCCTGTGTAGAACGCCTAGAAGAGGGATGAGCAGCATCGACTATTGAAACGTGGGCTGATCCATTGGTATCTCCCATATATTCCGGCTCCACTGTTCCGTTTTGCGGCAATTTCCATAGCAAAATGGCAATTAGCCGTATGCTTCGTGCTATTCCTATACGATGTGTGGCTGGTCACTTTTATCCCCTCTTGTTGGCAGTTCCTGAAAAATACTCGTATAATATGCAATATCATTAAATCATCAATTTATATCATTCGTTGTCGTGAGCTACCAGTAAGGTAGTAGATGCTAAAAACTATCGCACGTGTCATGCGATGGATATTCCTCTGTGAATAGGTATAGGTAGTCTAAATATTTTCGAACCATGAAGCCCGGGTATTCCCCTCCCCGTCCCATTAACGACGGAGTGCGTAGAAAGACATAGGAATTACAAAGGAAAAAAATCACAGTCATAACGATGTTATGATACATCGGATCTGACTTCTGACCTAGCGCTGTATTTATCGTTCATGTTGACAAGTTGAACCTCATCGTTGTCGCCATACTCGACTGTGTATGATGTGTGGTACGCAATCCGGTTGGCCTCGATATTAGGATGAGGTTGTGACCTGTCCACGTGCGAACCGGCGCTATGCCCCAGGGGAAGTCGGCTTGACCGTTTGTTACTTGCTGTTCGATTTCGTTTCGAGTTCTTTCCATAGTAGCGCTCCGTTGTGCCCTGAAGCTTGGGGAAGATGCGGACGAGAAGAAGGCGGAGGGAAGGCAAGCAGATACAGATGAGTCCGACATTGATCTCCACAACGGACCAAACGCTAACATCGTAAAAATCCCACGTAGGATTCATACTATCGCTGCCAAATTGGATAAGAGACCGAAGACGCAGTATGCTCACGACGGTAACACTAGCAATGTGGTAAGCAGGTAGGTTCACCAAGAGAGTGAAAAGAGGTTCGCAACTTACAAAGCACCGAGGCAAAACATGAGCCCAACGCCAAGCTTGCGCCTCCAGTCCAAGTTGAGACTCTTGAGCTGCCACAGGGGAATGACCAAAACCCATATGTCAACCGCAATGCTGATGGCAGCATTTGTCCAAGCAATAGAGTTTATGTCTAAGCAGGTGCCTTTGTGTAAACCATCCCATTTTTCCCAGTAAAACTTGACGGGTGTGCATTGGAATATAGCAACAAGGACAAATGCGATACCAAAAAGCGTGGTGAAGATAAAGGTTCCCCAGAGCAGGCGACGTACCCCGGGGCTTGGGAAGATGCGGATGTAGAAGAGCAAGACGGAGAGTTTGATCATAGAGACTTCTGCGAAATAGCCCACCTCCATAATCCAGAAAAAAAGACCAAACCTAGTAATCTCTGCAGGCTGCAGGGTCCAAATATCACGACCCAGCCCGGGTTTCGTCACTCCATGAGCGCTGATGGTGGTGCTTGGGATGCCCAAGATAATGGTCGCCAAAGCCACCCAATCATCCCCACTCAGTCCCAACCGAGCCCAAAGCTTATACGCAAGTCGTTGAAAAACAAAAATGCCAGACAAGATACCAAAGGTGTTGCTGAGGGCAATGTATCTTTGTGATTTGTCTCTGATGGGCTGGTCGCAGGCTACAGATGTCAAATTCATTGTTTCTGGGCCACTGTTAGAATTCATTGACCTTCCTTGGCATATCTGTAAGACTAACGCAAAGCTTCTATGGTTGTGCAGCTTTGCAAGACGCAGCCTTGCATATTTTGCTGCAGCGTTGGGTTCGTGCATACGCAAGTTGTGTTCGTCGGCTGACATGGTGACGCGGTAAGCGATTTAACAAAGCACTCGCGCTGTGAAATGGAGTTTAGCTGACGGACTATATGTGTGAAGAGCATATCCCGGGGAGGGTACATACAGCACATGAGGGCATCTTTGCCACAGCATCGAGACTTGAGCCAATGCTCTGGCCAAAGGCTTTTGGCGCGGTAGCCAGAACCGCAAAGGCCAATAGCCATAGATTCATGGCTTTTGACAGTGCGTTTGTTTCTTATTGAAGTATGCTAGACTGGTGATCGAATCGTGTTGGGCATCGTTTTGTGAAGATGGGCCGTCAGTGGAACGAATCGAAGGCGAGGGTGGCAGTTTAGATCCCAGGATTCAGATATCTGCAACTGATGAACGGATAAGGAGAGGTCAAAGACTTTTGACTCAATCCGGAAATCCAATCTTGGATTCAGATACCTTGACGGTGGCAGCCACACGAAAAAGAGAAAGACGACAAAAAGAAGAATTGCCAACAAAGGAGTGGCTGAGACCCTGGTGTTAAGGAATAAGTCTTGGGTTGCATGGGGCAATCGTCTGCAAGCCTCCCCGCAATGCTCTCTACCGACGACCAGTGTCGATTCGGCTACATAGTATTTGTGTGTAGTAATACGCGCACAGGCTGGAGGCACTAGACATTATGATTGACGGAATGGGCGCATAACATTGGACGCAACGTCTTCTTTGGGTCTTGGAAATCAAGCGACGGGGGCGACTGGCACTAGTTTGGCGTTGAGGCGTTGACATGAATGAGAGCTCCATCTTGGCCCACGACTCAGGAACCTGAAGTCGCGACGGGTCCCGCTGGGTCCAATCACGCAGCGTGACAGGCATGTCGGCTCCGAGACGTGCATATCCGTGCTATTTCATGTGTCTAGCCAGCTGGTTCTCGGACAGTGAGCATATAAGGAAGGGCACGGGTGTCCCCACAGCGAGAACTATACCGGCATCGGCCAATGGCGGGATTGTTTCCGGTTGTGCGAAAGACGCTTGAAAAGCGTAGTGTGTATGGAATCTGGACTATGGCGTATCACAGATGTGTCATGGCACTACTCCGTACGAGTACTTGAATTCGTATTTCTCCAAGTACAGTACATGTACATAACAGTAGAGGAAGGGAGTAGAGGGAGAAGAAGCAACATGGACCCTAAGGACGCCTTGGCAACTGGGAAAGACGCCCAATCTAGACCTCGTGTCCAGTCAAGGGAGAATTGCGGCTGAACCAATATTGTTCAGGGTATACTGGGACGGCGAGCAGTACTACTACGGGCAATGGCTGGTGCTGGCTGTGCTTCACAGTTCGCCAAGGATAGCATGGGGATAAAGAGCTCCCCTCCCAGCTTTGGCTCGTAAAACACAAACTAGCGTCGTGTTCCAGAAACTTGGTTCGAGACAGAGGACAAGTCAGGGGACGGGGCTAAAGTTGCAAATCGAATGACTGGAACCGCACTTACAACGATCGGATTGGGGCCTCTTGGACCGATCCAGCAAGGTCGTGGGTTCGGGCCACAGACGGGTGCCGACTCGAAAAATAGTAGCGCTGCCTGGGATGCGACCGGCGCAAAGCCCCGTTATAGACTCGAGAGCGAGCCGATGATATTGGCCTATTGCTCACTAGCGGGCGCTCGCTCTCCGTCTGATTTGCAGCGGTTTTTGCCATGGCAGCAATTTTAAGACAAAGCCACCGTCGAGGCTTGGTAGACTAGAGCTTCCGTGGCCTGACAGCGGCACAACTGAAAAGATTTAACATTTTGTTGAGGGCGAGGCGTTGAAGTTTTTTTTTGGTGATAAGGGGCGTCGAGGTGGAGGAGGAGAGACGCTTTGCTATTAGATATTTCGGGATAAACCTCCAGCTGCTTGGCATAACCCAGTCCCCAGCATATAGGTAGTGTGACGAGAAGGAAGATGCAGCAAGAGCTGGTTAGCCCCAACTTTCTTCCCACAGTAGGTACTCTTGCATGTACCTTAGATGGTACGTATCAGGGCATCTTCAACATCCAACCTCCATTGAACCAACCACTTGACTCCCCAAATTACAGCTACGAGTGCATGGGTGCCGCCAAGCTGCCGTATCAAGTTTCACATTGACAAGCAACACTGAAGCGGGAAAAAAAACATTGGATGTATAGACCTGGACTCTTGGCCGTCCAATTTGCCAACGCCCGCATCGCCCCCTTTTGCAGACTTTTGAAGACTTTTGCTTTCTCTTGGGCCCAGCAGCGTCGCCTCTCGCCCCTTGACGCCTTTTTGCTGACATGGATTGGGCTGCGGGGTTTTGTTCCGTCTTTTACATGTGCCATCGTCGTGATTCTGAACTAGCGAATACCTACGAATTTACCCAGTGCTAGCTCTTGCTTCACAGCTTGTTAGACTCAGAGGCGTCGACATGTGGCCTCTGTGAGCCAAGCGACTAACACATTTTACCGCCAGCCACACTCTCTGGGCAGGTTTTCGCTGTCCATCGCAGATGGGGCATGGCACGAACGGCTGCCTTCCTAGCTAGGCATCCGGCTGCAGCCCCCAAAAGGTCAATATCTGCAAGAACGCAGTCAATGCCGAATTCATCGACGCTCCGTCTTCTACTCGTATACGCGCAAGCTGCTCCGCCCACATGCCGTGGCTCATCAAAACAAAGACGGCACGGCTTGGCTTCCCTGCAAGAGCACATGTCTCGAATGGCAATGGAAGCCTAACTACTGTACAAGTACTCCGTATAGTAGCCCGGTAGATCTGCCCCCGGCGTCCGTGCCCTGCTTGTACGCCGAAAAGCATCGTCCAAGTCAGATTCTCCATGCTTATACTTGTGGCGGGTGGGTTTCGTAGAGCCCTATGCGATGCAGGGAAGCATTGCGAGACAGCCTGGAGGGTGGCCCCTTGTCACAGCCCTGTGAACATGAGCTAGCAATGCAACCTCTCAGGCCCTTCGTTCATCGGCCTCATTCCGCTGGCGTTTGTTGTAGATTTACACGTGGAAGAGGCCCGCGGCCTTGCTGCTTCTTAACTAGCCCGCCTCCGAGCCCCCGTTTTTCATCTCGGAAGAAGCAGCGGAATCTCAGGTCTTTGACAGAGCCGGAGGTCGCTAGTCGCAAGTAGGGAGGCACAATTGCGTAAATTCATGCAAGGGCCGTTCTGCCCGTGACGGAAGAGGGCTGTTTGCACACAATCTCGGCGCCCACCCGAATCTGTTGAGCGATCGCCTTGTAGAGTGGCATTGCGTATGGAGTCGTTTTGTCGCTTGTCCTCACTAAATCATGCACGTCGGCAACAACAGTTGTTCTTCGTGGCAGTGTGTCGCGCGACAAAGGGAACCGAGGCTACCTCGGGAAAGGATTTTTCTCCTCTGGCCGGCCTGTCACTGTTGATCACGCCGACAGCCCGAGTTCGCCGGCACTCTCTTGCCGTCTACGGAGTACATAGTACTATTATGCACTGTATTTCCATTGCCAATGGGATAATCGCGGCCAAATTTTTGCTCCATAGGTGGCGTCTAGATGATACTCACGACTAAACTGGAGAATCTGACTGTGTCTCGCCATCACTCTCACTGTCGGACAGTTGTGCTAGAAGCAGCTATATTTTTCTTACTTGTGGGCCAGGGCCCCCTCGCCCACTCGCGATATGTCCTTGAATATTTGTATTTCTGTACAGTACTTTGCAGTACTCGTATTCTTCAAAGCACTAAGCATTTGCCGGATAAAGACTCGCAGTGGCGGTGGTAGCGAGTATTATTTTGCTTATGTTGCTTCATCATGTCTACCGTCTACTCCCATGGCGCGACGGCCACAAGTGATTCTCTCTGGTGGCCACCAGCCGTCTTCAGAGACTGCTAGTCTACCTAGTCAGGCACGGCTTGATGCGGTCTTTTCTCAGTCTCCTGCAAACTTGTTTCTTGGCTTGAGACGGCGCGTCGCCATCATTGGCCCAAGCGTTGTTACAGATCGGTGCAGCATTTCTGAGACATTGTCGCTGATCTGCAGCCGGTGGCCGCCAATGAGCAGCACTACACTAGTACGAGTAGCAGCATCAAGACTTGTACGGCAAGCTTCTTTTTCTTTTTTAGGTCTTGTTTCTTTCCAACCAACTCTTGAAAGACCGCCCTGTTAAGCGTGTACCGGGTAGGTAGGCATTGCAAGCCAATGTAAGAGGCAGAGAGGGAATTGGGCGGATTTTAACATTTTTTCGTCACTTTACTGTTTGCGTCCCAAAAAATGCCAAAAGAGGCAAAAACAGGGGCCGCCGATCGCGTCAGAAAGCCAAAGGCGATCGTCACGTGATTCTCCTGAGACTGGACTGCGCCCCTTTAGATTTGCAGCGCATCAAACAAGACGAAGTCCAACGTATCCGACTCTCCTCGACGCGGCATCTCCAATTCTCGTCGCCTGCAAGATCTCGTCTACCATGGTGGCCAAGTACATTGCCGGCCTGCGGGCTCTGGCTGCCCGACGGGTCGTGACTCTCGTGGCCGCGGCCGCTGTTCTGGCCAGCATCATCGTCATTCTCGTCCGGCTCGGGCCGCCCACGAAGCTCAACCTGCCAGACGTCAAGCTGCCCGACATCGACATGTCCAAGCTGCCGAACATTCCGGGATTTTCGGGATCGCACGAGCCGGAGCACTATGAGAAATGCGACAGGAACATTACCGAGCCCCTCAAGCAGTGGAAGGAAGCGCGGGAGAAATATGACAAACTGATGGATGACAAGTTCACGTAAGTTGCGGGGAGCATTTGGTGTGACGTTGATGCGTCATCGAGACAGCGCAGCAAAATCCAATTGACCAATGAGTTCTAACAATTCTTGTCTTGTCCCTTTTTAGAATTGCGATGCAGACTTATAAGCGGCCCAAGGAGCTCGAGGAGACGATGCGCGTTATTCTGTCCGAGAAGATTCCCTCGCTGCACGAAATTGTCATCATCTGGAACAACCTCGAAGAGAAACCCCCCGGCAACTTCAAGTCTGAGACGGGCGTGCCTGTGCGCTACAGGGTGTCGGAGCGGAACAGTCTCAACATGAAGCTCCTACCGGATCCGGACTTCAAGACCCAGGCTGTGCTGCTTTCGGACGACGATGTATACTATAAGCCGCAGGACCTCGAGTTTGCCTTTCAGACGTGGCGCAAGTTTGGTCAGCACCGATTGACGGGGGCTCTCCCGCGTTGCGCGACGCCAGACGCAGAGGGCCACTGGGGTTACGGCTTCTGCTCCAAGGATAGCAACCAGGATGTCTATTCCATGATCATCACAAACCTGTGCTTCTCCCACATGTCCTTCCTCGATTACTACTCGTCCAACAACACGGTCATGCAAAAGGTTCGTGATTATGTCGATGATCACTTCAATTGCGAGGACATTGCTCTCAACTATGTCGTGTCGTACCTCACTGGCACCGGGCCGCTCCTGGTCAAGGGTCGCGACAAGTATGTCAACTACGAGCCGGCTCAGGGCATCAGCAAGAAGCCTGGCCACCTGGAGGCCCGAAGCAAGTGCTTGAACGACCTGACAAAGATGTTTGGCTGCATGCCGCTGGTCAATGAGACGGCTCACATTGAGCGTGGCGTTATTGTCTTGTGATTTTATCGAGAAGGAAGGGCGAGGGGACCACGGCGTTTTTTAAAGACAAACCCTCAGCCCACGGCGTATTTGCTTTTTGTATCAGAGCAGAATCATTGGCGGGGGGCATTATCTCCGACGACGGAGTTATAATACGCGTCAGTCGTCAGACGGTTAATTAATGTCTTGGACGGGGATGGACGGGTAAAACGGCGTCGATCTCTTGGCGCTGGAAGCCTTGTTATGATTGGGAATAGAGGGGCACGCACGAGTCTTGTGTGCATATTTGTAAAACTTGGAGGATCTCTTGTTACTCGATATGTCTATGTGTAGTTTAATTTCTTATCCTTACAAAAACATGGAGTTATGCGTGCAGATAATAAACTCAAGCCGCTATTCAATCCAATTGCTATGAGTTGATGAGAAGCAGATTGTGGTGATATTGCCGTATACAAGTAGGTCGGGAGAGGAGAGGCAGACTCATGCCGCGTAAGAGACTGGTATGCATTGAGCTTGAGCTTGAGCTTCCTCTGATCGTCTGCCTTACCCAATCAATCAACCCCATTCGCACTCATATCTCATCATGATTACTCTTCTCCCCCGGGATGATGCCGGATCTTCCTCCAAGCCGCGTACCCCATGCCTCTCCCAGGAGGAAAAAACGCCATCGCCAGCACATAGTTTTGCGGGGAGCAGGGCTGCCAAGAACGGCCTTTGCTGGATATGCACTGGCCTCACGCTTCAGCTTCCACTTGATCCTTGCGCTTTTCCCCCTTTGAAGGTCCACAGCGACAATGTCTTGGCATCGAGGGCGCGTGCGTCATGACTAGCAAGAACAAGGCAAAGCGGAACGACTGCTACTAGTATTGGTATTGGAGTTATTACGAGTACAGTATGACATGTGCCTTGGTAGATGCCGCAATGCCTAAATTGCCGCGTGCTGGTCATATGTCGGTACGTGCGCGGGAGAATCCGAGGCTCTGCGGAATATTTGCCGCTCTGTCTCCGGAAAGATCCATTCCTTGATTGATCCAGGCCATTTGAATCGTGTAGTAGAGGATCAGCGCCGCAATTGTATCAACCACGTGGATGGAGTCTGGCAACCGCGTCAACAAGGGAAGTATCTGTGATGGAATTTATTCCCTAGTTGGGACAGAATCGGCCATGGGAGCTAATCCAGATTACCTGATCTGGGGGCGTGTCTCTGTGATGGCACTGCGCCCTTTGCGTGGGCGGGGTTTGTCCTTTGTGTGTGTGTTATTGTCTGGCAAAAGGCGCGGAGATGTATATAAGAGAAGAGAAGAAAAAAATATCTCAACACTCTTCTTCTTCTTCTTCTTCTCTTGGTGCTTTGCCCCTGTGCAATGAAAATCAGCAGCTATGGGTTCTCAGCAAATAACCCTGTTTGACTTGCCTAGTAAGGAGCCTTGCTCTTCGTGGTCTTTGAACCCGTGGAAGAGTAAGTACCGGTGATTTGTATAAGTGATATACATCCCTTACGGATATTCATGTTACGTGCTTTCTACATTTATACTAAATGCTAACATATTGATAAAGCACGTTTGCTTCTGAATTACAAGGGCCTTGATTACAAGACAGAATGGGTAGGCATTGGATAGCATCTTGTACCACTCTTCTTCAGGAGCCGCAGCTGATGCCATGAACCAGCTCAATTATCCAGAGATTGCGCCTAGAATCAGGCCACAGTATGTACCTATCTACTATATATCCTCCATCAGGACAAAATGATTATGTTTATCATAAACCAACTAACCTCCACTTCAGCCTCCCACCCAACGAAAAGGGCAGAGCGTATTCCATCCCCACAATCCAGTTCCCAGATGGAATATATGTCATGGACTCGAGAAAAATTGCAGAGGCCATCGAACAGAGACACCCATCTCCCTCTGTCTACCTGGATTCTCCCACAGTCCAAAGAATAGAGCATCTCGTCCTGCACTCCATCAAGCCCATCTACCCCATCCTCATGTACAAAATCTCACAGGTCATCCTCAGCGAAAAGAGCTACGATTACTGGGTCAGCCAGTACACTAAGGAGTTAGGCATGCCCCTCGATGAATATGAGAGCCAATTCGGCGGCGAGAAAGCCTGGGCGGCGGCCCTGCCGGCCATGAGTGAGCTGACGGCCATCTTGAAGGAGAGACAAGCTGAGGGGCCTTTTTTCTTGGGCAAGGACGTGAGTTACGCGGATTTCGTGTGGCTGGGGGGATTGGTCTTTGTGAAGCGTACCGATGAGGGGGTGTTTCAAGAGTTGTTGGATAGGACGGGGGATAGAGCCGCGCATGAGAGGCTTTTTGAAGCATGTGCGCCTTGGCTGAAGAGAGACGATTACTGACATGGTGGCTCTTTGATGAGTGCTGCTTGAGGCAACTTTTAAATGACGGTTTACGAATATTCACAAGAACAGCGAGCAGATACTTAAAGTTGTTTCGTCCGAGTAAAGAAAGATTATGACGGTAAAGATACGCCCGCGCTTTGTGCTGAAAAGTCGCCCTCCCAATAACTGCCTCACCACAACGAGCTCTCCTGCTCTGTAAGCATGTATCCTGGAGCGACCGGTAATATACCCCAAGTCATATACCCCATGTGTGTAGCCCAATATGTGATTTCCCGTATCCTTCGTATCCGTGGTATTCCCAACGCCGATATCAGAAAAAGAACAAGAGGAAAACGACCCAAAACGCCTCCCAGACCAGTGCCTTACTTGCTCTCGATTGTTCCCCCAAGCCCAACAATCGCCACATCCGCCGTCTCGCGCTCCAAGAAGCCCATCTTACTTACGTCCTCCCCCAGCGACAAACTTCCCTTGGCCCACTCGACGATGAGCTTTCGTGCCTGCCATATGGCGAGATGTTTATTGTGTTTGTGGATCTTGGCAATCACCTTGGTACGGAGACTCTGGCGCAGCTCTTGCACCCAGTCGTCTTCTACCCATCTAATGTCCTTGCGGGAGATGGGGCAGAATGCTTCGGGCTGGCGAGAAAGCTCGTCAATGGTTGAAAACTCTAGTTTGAACATGGGCGGGTTGTTGCAGTAGGTGGCCACGGCGGAAACATTCACTGCGCAGAGGGAGCCAGAGGCACAGTCGGTCAGCTTTGTATGTTCTTGAGGCTTCCCTGCAATGCTCATTAGCCGGATGTACATCTCGATCATGATATTTAAATAAAACAAGAGACCAAAGGGACATCAACCAAGCCAGATTCATCACTCACCACACAGTCTTCCTGCCACAACCTCTGCCTCCACCAGAAAATCCAGCTCTGAGCGTGGCAGAGCTCCAGCCTTGCGGCTCGACCAGTCATTAAAAACGGCATCCAAGAAGCCATCGATGCTCTGCCTCGTCTTGGACAAGCTGGCATTGGGATCCGTCGCACTGCCGCAGGCATGCAGAATCTCATAGCACTTCTTCAACTGCACGTCGTTCAAGTCATCCGCACTCTTGATGGGCACTGGCTCGAGAGGATAGTCGGCGCCAGCCTCGATGGCATCAAAGAGCTTGTCGCGCTCGCTCTTTACCTTGCGAGGTGCTCGTCGAGGAGGAGTCGAGGCTATGGATATCGGCGATGCAGAGGTGCGCGGGCGCTTGATGCTGCGCTGAGGAGTTGACGAAGTGATTTCCTGGATGCGATTTGCATCAGCAATGGAGGTGGCTCGTCGTCGAATCTCTCTCTGTGCCCTCGACATAGTAGTGAAGTTGCTTATGAATTCATTGACACTTGGCCGGCGCAATACTGGCACTACCTCCATTTTTTTGCGAGTTGAAGGCTTAGAGGGCAGTTGATCTTGTGGTCTTGTGGTCTTGTGGTCTTGTAGTCTTATGGCCTGCGATCTGAGGTAGAGGTGGCTAGCGAAGAAGCATCTTGGCGCATCGCAGAGGAGAGTAGAGGGGATTCGAAGGCGGTGAAATGTGAGTGTGCCGCATCTCATTTTTGTTTTGCCCAAATTTTCTGGCGGAGAGTGCGCTTCTCATCTTTTTGTCGATGGCAACGGGCATCTGGCAGCCAGTGTTTGTCTGATTGATGGGGCGATGGATGCAGCCAGTTTTCTAGAGCTATGTACTCAGGAACATTGCTCTCAACGGTCGACGATAGCAATATATGTGTTTCTTTGTTTCTTTTAAAATTGTACAAATAGTAACGTCGACAGCCAGGATATTATCAATTATGGAAAAAAGAATGAAAATTCATGATGAAATATGCATATGGTGTCTTACAAAGTCAGTGGTACCAAGAAGAAAAAAAGCGAGAAATGCAAAAAATAAATGCCCCCGCACAGATTTGAACTATGGACCTTTGCATTACAAGTGCAACGCTCTACCCCTGAGCTACAAGGGCATCTTCTCGTTAGCGGCTTGCCCGAAATTTTGCTCTATATACTTTTTGCATTCCATCTCCGTTTCTAGATCAGTGGTTCGTCGACCCATATTTTACCGCGTCCAGCACCTGTCAAAGCTGGGATTCCCATGCTAATAAACTGTGGAGGTTCCAAGCAAGGGCCATCATGATAATACTACATAGTAGTACATATTCGGGAACTACTTCGGGTAGAGAGGCTGACAACCACATTGAATGGACAAATGACAAGTACACTTACTATAAAATATACCAGGCAATGGCTATGGGATATCTACATGTAAGAGTACTGCTAAAGCCCAGTGTCTTTTATTTGAACGCTTCTCAGCTTCAGCAGCTCTAGTTCCACTGTTGCCACACTTCCTCCCTAGTCGGCTCCGAACGTGCCGCTGTTGTTGAGGACCCATCTTCTGAGTCTCAAAATGGTGGACACAGCTGAAGAGGCGAACGGGTCCGTAGGGCGCATTTGCTGGGTGCCGTGTCAGGTGTCAAGTTAGGCTGTAACAGCTTTTCTCGGCTATTTATTCCGTGAATCAGGTTACACGCTGTGTAGCGGCTACATATAACCACCTCTACTGCGAATAGGACTGAGATATCCATATTACAGATACGGCAGAAACGCCGGCAATTGACAGCTGTTGCAAACCAAATCGATCCTCTAAAGGATCCTACCTCACTTGCCTACTATACTTGTAGAGAGTGGCCATATCTGCAACAGTCATAAACTCCAGAGATTTAGCCCAACGGTTTGCGCCTGGGGAATTTCCACTTGGGCACACACCCCTTTCCACACCCCTTTGCAACAGCACCGGATAAATTCTCATCCCAGGAAGCCAAAGAAAATATAAATAAGGGGCTTGAGCCCATGAGCTAGAAAGAATACTTCAATTTTCGTTGATACGGGATATAAAGATTGCGAAAAAAGCTTTTTCAAGTTTTTAATGCATACCCAAGCAATTCTAGAAGAACCTGTCCATTTCCTATTAGGGTGTATGTTGCAAGCTAAACCATCTTTATAAAGGACCGAGCCCGGTTTTGCAGCAAAAGCCGTAAGTGCCATTGTAACGTCGCCACAGGGTCAGTTACAGATAAAGATCAGATACGCTATATCTACGGAGTACACGATGACTGTATCGACAGCTCCGAGAGTGGGTTTGAGGAGATATACTAGGAGGCATACGAGCAACCAAGTTTCCAATCCCAGCCGATATAAATAGGGAACATACATTGATCATCTGCATTTACTTTTGCTTCGTCCGCTTTACCAATATTGAAGGGTGGTTACATCCACCGACATCATAAATTTGTCGGTAATGCCATCCCAACAACATCATTTTTAAATCCGCACTCTTTCCTGCATGACAAGCGAAGCATCCATTTAGCAGAAAAGTGCTTAATTTTAATTTCGGAACATTGGCTCCGTCAAATATTTGGTCGCCGATTCATTACTCAGCGGCATGAAAGTAATTACATGTATTTATTCCATAAAGAAGGCGCCTTGGGACAGGTAGGAATGCTTCGCCTATAGATCGGTTGGCCTAGATCTCTAGTCTGCTTCTTTCTATAGGCTAGATCTACAAAGCATGAAGAATTATCCTCTATATCGTTTCCCGCACAATGACACAGCCAGCTGTTGCAGTGGCAAACCGTTGGGCGCGAGTCAGTAGCCGGACGGAAATTTCCACAAGTAGAAACAAGGCTGAAAATTGAGCCTATTGCAAACACCGACGCTAAATGTACGAGCTTTGCTTGCTAAAGCCGTTGCGCCCGCATCCATTGGCTTGGCTCTGGACCTCAAAGTCAAGTTTTGACACTTTCCCGTTTGACGGTGAAGATGAATATAGCCAAAAGGATGAATGCAACCAAAGATCGATGGCCAAGACGGTGTAGCGAACCCCCCTTTCGCTGCGCAGATCCTCATATAGCTACATATGTACTCGGTTAGTTTACTGTCCCCAAGCGACCAAATTTCATGAGAGGCATATCATGTGAGGACCGTGAAGCGGCAAGTGGGACAGAACTAGAATGGATTAATACTCGTATATTAACCAGATGTAGCATTAGCCAGCACTAGGAGGCGATACATAAGTAGCAGAACACAACTCTGAATCCATAAGATCTGCAAAACCCACACATTAAAGGGGCGACAGATACGTAAATACATGCTTTTCGGCGACCTCCTCGCTGGATCGGGAGGAGCCCTTGTCGCTTAAATTGACTGTTAAGGGCAATAGATGCTGTCTTGCCTCTATCCCTGGGTACAGATTGAGGACTTCTTCGTGAAGTCTTCACTCTTCCTTTCCTCAGCCACAGTAAGGTAACGCCGCAGAAGCCGGATACAATATCAATGTAATGGGCGCAATCGAGAATCGCGGCCCGCAGCTGCAAGGTGTCGCATATGCTCTTCTTGCCATTGCATTCGTGTCTTTACTGCTAAGATGTTATTGCCGGATCCTGATCGTGAAGAATTTTGGGGGCGATGACTGGATGATGGTATTGGCAATGGTATGTTACATCTTCCAAGATCATTTAGCACACACTGCTCATATCATCCATATCTAGATCTCGTTTATTCTCTTTGTTTCCTGCGCTCTTGTTGGCGTTCATTACGGTACAGGGCGCCATTTTACCGATTTAAAACCAGAAGATGCGTCCACAGCCATGATGGTGAAGTTATCCTCCAATGATAACCAACCTTCCATTGCATACTGACCTTTTTTGCAGTACTGGTGGTTTTGTTATGTGTGGTACTGTATCACCATGATATTCTCCAAAGCGTCTATTGGCTACTTTCTTCTCAAAATCGTCATCGACCGAACTCAAAGGATCATTATCTATGCCGCCCTGTCTATCACAGTGCTCTGGGGAGCTATTTTTTTCCTCGTCACAGTTCTTCAATGCAAACCAGTCTCGTTCTTCTGGACCAGACTTCTACCTGGAACACCTCAACCTGGAACATGCCTCGACATTATGATTATTGAGGCCATCACATATGTTTACAGTGCCTTCAGCATTATATCCGACTTTACCTTTGCAATACTACCAATGTTCCTGGTATGGAAGCTACAGATGGAGAGGAGGATGAAGATTGTGCTTGTTCCCATTCTGTCAATGGGCTGCATGTAAGTTCTTTTTGTTTAGAAAGCCTAATGGGGAGACTGGCTAACATGTTGATAGTGCCAGTGTTGCTGTGGCTGTCCGATTTGGATACATAAAGAAATTTAGTGATCCTGATTTCCTTTGTAAGTCTCGAACAGTCGGCTTAAGCAAATGTGCGCTGCTTATACTTGAATAGATTCTACAGTCGACATAGCCATCTGGTCAACCACAGAGCAAGGACTTGGAATTGCCGCGGGCAGTCTCGCTACGCTCCGGCCACTTTTCCGCAAAGCTGCTGCTCATATTTCAACTCGATCAGGGCAATCAGGGCAACAGGATTCATCACATCTTTCGAACGATATAGTAACAATTGGGAAAATAAGCAGGCAGAAGAAAAGCAGAAATTCCATGGACCTGGAGACAAACATTGTGCAGAACGATATTGAACTTGAGTCGGTGCAAGAGTATGAACAAGATTCAAAGCAACGAAACAGTAAGGGGGCGAATCGCAAATCAAAGTCAATATGGTCATCACAAGAGCGCAACAATGAAAGTGAGGAGAAGCTATATATATCAAAGCCACAAGAATATTAAAATTACTTTTTCTTCTGTACTGCGTTTATATGCTGATACACATCAGTATTCTGGGAAAACATCTTGACACGGCCATTTCTATCAATACACGAATACGGAATTCGATTTCTTTTTTTCCGTTTACGTATCGAGACCTCATGTGCCGTTGCTACTGCTTTACTGCAGAAAACAAACTCATAGCTGTGCTCCAGAGCAGGGGAGCGAGCACAACCCACGTTTCCGTGTCTCACTTTTGCATGTACCTAGGCAACCAGCCACCTTGATAAGGGAGCAAAAAAGACAATCATGGCGACAGAGAAACAATTGAAATGTTACAAAATGCTTCAAAAAGCCAAAAAGAGAAACACCTTGTTTCGTGCCCCCACACAGGATTGAACTATGGACCTTTGCATTACAAGTGCAACGCTCTACCACTGAGCTATAAGGGCGCTGATTAGATAATCGAGATTGACCAATCATGAAATCCTAACCGAGCTTGTTGATCAAACGAACTTTATTTGTTTTTATATGCCTTTTTTCAAATATGACTAACACGTTGCAAGCCCACCTTCTTCCAGGCCTCACTCTCCTTCGAAGAACGAGCGGTTTCCATCGATTACCGGGATGTATGTGCTAAGCTCTGTTAATTGGGTAAGGTCTTTGTCAGGGTGACTACTGATGCAAAGTGCACCTTACTATATTACTACTTGCTTATACTATGCACTATCGATCTAGATGTGCTTTAGTTTATCCTCATTATTTTAACACAACACCACTGATCTCAAATGTCTGCACTTGTCCCGTAGAAAAGGACACTGAAAATTTTCCGTTGGTGATCTTTGTATCCGAGTAGCTTTTGTATTGGTCCCCGCCACTTGTTTGGGTGCTCCATCGAGGGACTGTTGCACCATTACTGCCAGCAGACTTTGCACGAGTAAGGTCGAAAGTGATGGTCTGAGCACTACCCCAGTTTGCAGCAACGATGACGAGCTTCTGAGAGCTAGGATCGTAAGCAGCCGCAGTATTACCATCCGGGGTAGACAAGATCTGCATGCCAGGTTTGATATGCCGAGTGAAGTGTGCAAGCACAAAATATTTCGTGCTTGCCGATGAGAGCGTCAACTGGTCATTATCGCCAACGATGAGTCCCCAACCAGAGATGTCAATGGCCTGCCAGTATACCCAAGCAGTAGGGTGGAGCCAGGTAAAATCGAGAAGCAGGTTTGTGTACAGAGACTTTCCACTTGCATCTCCATCACCATATTCGCTATTCCACAGCCTCTTCCCTGCTTGACTGGCAAGACTGTAAAGGGTATCACGTCGCCCACCACCGTACTGGTAGCCATGGACATTGATACGTTTGACAAGGTTCTGTACAGAGCTGCCCAGGCCTTGCCAAGTCGAAATGGCCAAGTCATAGCTGGTCTCATCTGATGAAGCAACGAATGATGACAATCCACGCTGCACAAGCTCGGTGTTTAGGTAATTGATAACTGTGGCCATTGTTGACACAGCAAAATGGCAGCCCTCCTGAGTACCGATAGGTCCCCAACCCGAAGAAGGTTCGTTAAAAGCCTCGACTGATTGAAACTCGATTCCCCAGCTTTGCTTAGCTTGCTGGGCAATGTTGGCAAGATAAACAGCGTGACTTTGGTAGTTCCATGACTGGAGGTTATCACTCAAGGCGTTCCCTGACGGATTGTGGTTATTGCACATCCACCACATAGGCGAATTAGAGAAGAGCTCAAATATATTCGCGCCGTTCGCTTTAGCCTTCTGCAACATTGCTCGCTGGTTAGAATCGACATTCCAGTTCCAGCTTGATGACGTAGGGTCAGTGCTGGCCCAATCGAGCCAGTAGCCATCGACCTGCCGAGACGGCTTGATACTCGATGAGACTACCATACTGGCGCCATCATAGCTGTTGGTGCTACATGCGCCAGCATTATACCGAACAATATTGAAGCCCAAGCCTGGCAAGTTTTGGCCATTGACGACTTGGTTGTTTTTGGTGAAGAAGACATTAGCTAGGTCATCTCTGTTGCCGAAAGCTTTTGCCCACCAAGCAAGAGATACACCCCAGCCTTCCCACGTACCCCAGTTGGAGTTGGGATCAACAGAAAGAGTTGTATCAGCCCCGGCTCTCTGAAACAGCAGAGCAAGGGCTAATGATGGGGCGGCAACCGATCGCATTGCGACTAAAATGGGAGAATGGATCTTGCTGCGGAAATAATGTACGATGCAGATTGCACACCAGAAAAGCAACTGTTGCTGTTGACTTCCAGACAGCTCATTTTTATACACCTTGTGAGAAGCTACCTAACCGGCAATTGGCGCGCCTATTCTAGGATGTGCGCTGCAATGTAACACAAGGGTATCATCGAATACACACGATCTCGGTAATGGTTCTGGCCAAGGGCTTGGAACAAAGCGGAGGCGACAGACACATTTAGGCAGAAATTGGGAGAAGATGTTTAAGAGACGTTCTATTGTAATGGTGAAATTTTCTATTTGAATAGTCCAAGTTCTTTGCATGTAGGTACACATCTTCTTTCCCATGAGGCCACACCTTTATAAGTGCAGATTCATGACGCTTCACGTAGCTCAACTGCATAGGATCACGACAACGGCTGAAGGCTAAAGGCTACGGAAGGATAGTGAGGAAAATCATGCTATTAATAGCGAAGAGGAACTCCGAACGGGCCCTAAATTACAACCTGCTATTAGAGGTAAGGCCCCGCTCGCAAGTTAGCGCTATGTGCCCCTCCATCTTAACATTGAATACCGAGGATAATGCCTCCAAACATGTGTAAAAAAGGTCAAGTCGTAATTTGAAGAAAGTGGCGGACTTGACACCAGACCCTTTGTGAAGATCTTACGTGTGCTTCGGATGCTCTCTCAACCAAACTTTTCATATTATATACTTCTGTCTTCTTGCTCTCCCATGCCACAGAGCAAAGTTGAATTGGATGCTTCATCCTTGCTCAGCTGCATATGAGATCGTATCAGACAGATGCTTGAGCTATATACATACTCGTATAGGTACATGTAGCTAAGGCCTTATGCAACCCACGACATGCCTGGCAGTTCTCCCGACAGGTCCCTCTTTCCGGTTGCCGGGCCAGCGTGGTGACAGATGCCATTAACACAAGAGTAATCCGCGTTACACGGCTGAGAAGCGCTGCAATCCCAGCCGCCGCATCCCCAGCTGCAGTTTTTGCAGTATCCTCCCACACAAGAGTAAGCCGATTGGCAAGGAACGGAACTACTACAGTCCCAGCCCTCGCAGCTAGAAATTTGTTCGTCAGCTCAGTCTTTTGGTACGCTGATATAAGACAGCCTAAAGGTGCGTGAAACTTACCCCCAAGTACAAGTGTCTTTTGGATAGTTTGAGGGAGGAGGAGGAGGCGGCGGAGGCGGTGGTGGGCCGGAACCTCCAGCTGGGGGCGCTCCAACAAAGCTCCAGTCTTGCTTTGTCGTCTTGCTGTTTGCCTGAGAGATGGCATATTGAATGTTTCCCTTGCCACTGTTGAAGCCGACTTCGAAACCGTCATAGCCGGTGCAACAACCGCTGTTACAAGCCTCGGTGCCGTCGTCACCTGGAATCATTTGCCAGTATGTCTTCACCAGTGTTAGTCAGAATTAGAACAAAACTTCAATAAGAGATTGCATAGTGTCTGAGGTGGGAGATTATACATACCCATGGAATACCTTGAGCATTGAGAGAAGCAGCTTGGTCGTTAAAGTTGGAGTTGTAACTGGTCTGGACTCCCCATTCTTCTACATGGAGAAGTTTGTTGTGGGACGCGGCCGTAGACTCAAAACCTGGAAGAAGATAACCCCAAGTAGACGCATCACCAACATAGGCATGAATGCTAATGATGTCGATGGCTGAGCAAGTGAGAGCCTTTGAGAGCAGGTTGTAGCCGTGAACCTGGTCACCGCCAATGCCTCCGGTTGCGACCTTGATGTTGGAATCCGTAATGTACTTCTTGAAGTTTTGTGCTCGGTTGCAGAGCCAGTTGGAAGGATCGCCGTTTGCTCCGTCAGAGGTGAACTGGAAAGGTTCGTTCTCGAGGTCAAATGCCAATATGGCCTGAGACCAGTTCCCCCACTGAAGGCCACTGCTGGGCGACGTATAAGTCAAGATGGCCTTGATACGGGCGTCATACTGAGCCTGGGCATTCGAGTTGCCATAGAATGAAGTACCGTAGGTCTTGCAGTAAATATCACAGCCATTGCCATTGGTGTTGCCGTCGTGAATGTCATTTCCGTCATGGGGAGAGATGATGGCTTTCATTCCCTTTGCGGCCAGTTGGGCGAGAACTTTATCAACTTTTGCCAGAGCATCCCAATTGTATGAACCTATGCTTGTTTCGAACTCTTGAACACTTGTGACGATATTGCTGCCTTTATCACAGCCAGTCGTATGCTGATTGATCCAAATGCGAACCACCTTGGCTCCATAGCTGGAGAGAGTATTGATGTAGTTGGCTTGGTCGGATGCCGAAAGTCCAGGGAGGAAATACAAGCTAGATCCTGCAAAAGAGTTTGACGCGGTAGTAAAGCCAGAGGCAGCCAAAGCGTACGCCACAGTGTTGAGCTTCATGATGAGCTCGAGAGTATTGAACTTGAAGTAGGCAATCGATGAGTGTCTTGAAGGCTAGTACTACTTGACAACAGTGGGATTTTCATCTTCTTTAATAGATTTTCGGAATCAGCGCAATATTTCGCGCCTCGTGTACGTCAGTCCTTTCAGGTTAGGCTCTGTCAAATGCCTCCAAACGCCTCCAATGTGTTCGAACCTATGTGAAGCTGAACCTATCGCCAACCCCACGTAGGAACAGTTACAGAGCTTGATCCATGATCCCCACTGCACAAGTCCACGTTGAATTAGGCAAACGGAACGACACGTTCCGTAACTGGATGGGATCTAATACAAGTCTGAATATGTCTTTCGGCACTTATTGTGCACTAAAGTCTGGATGCCGTGTGCTCCCGTTCATGGCAGCTAGCGACATCCCGAGGGCAAGCCTATTGGCTGTGCTTTGTTTGATCTTCCTCTTTCAGCAAGTGATGATGCCGTTTATTTCCGCTCCTAATTCGGCCCGACTAGTTCAGGAAGTAAAGAAGGAATCAATTCCTCGCCGCCACAAGGATTCGGTGGCTCGAGAGCTGACCACAGTTGCATTGCATGGGCTTCTAAGCAAGTCTATAGCTAGGGTTTCGCTCCTGCAACGCGAAATGAACCTGATTTGGGTGACAGCGGCTGCAGTAGGAAAGTCAAGATATATTCAATGTGGCGCATCATGCAAAGAACCTCTGGATATAGATGCGCTTTAGGATTAGTGTAAGCATATAGGCGACTTGTTTGTTGCGGCCAACAGAGTATAGTGTATTGGGTGAAACAAGAGTACTCCGTAGTCTCCATCTCAGTTCTCAACTACTATAAGCTGGTGTCACATTTTCCAACCGCAGTTATTGCAACCTCCTGGGGTTAGACCACATATGTATATCTGTTCTACGGAGAATATCACATGTACAGTTTAAAACAAGGTTAAAGTAAAAACTTCGGAATCCTTTTTCCCTTCCCCCAATTGTGCAAATGTAAGCATACTGCGCCTAGTCGCCACGGCTTTTCCGCATTTAATTGACTTCACTATAAGCTGGGGCGAGTAAAGCTGCTCATTGGAGGCAGCCATTCTAGTACGTTCCCCCACGTAGTTCGCGAATACATTACCTAAATGGGGAGCAGGACAATTGCCGTAAAACCGAGATCATGCGACGCAGGATATGTGGCTTGCTTCTTCAATACGAAGTAGTTGCTGCCTGGAACTCTCACTGGTCAACTGTACGAGCCGTATATTCGTATGTCGGGGCAAAGTAAGCAAGCAACGGCGATAGGGGAACACGCCCCCCAACTAACATGACTATTGGAACAACGCGGCTCAGCCGTAAACAACCAGCTACCTATTTAGGTAATACTAGGAAATGGGACAGGGAGCCAAAATTTATACAGCTAACGAGGCTTAATTGTATCGTAGTTGGAGATTATTTCTGGTTAGTTGTTTGATCGTTCCATAGAGGAATTTATGAAACAATACGTTCTGGTCAATAAGCATGTAACAGGCTATATCGAGCTTCAGGTGATCCAGCCACATAATAGAGAGAGAAAATAATCTATTATACATGCAGATACTAGATATGATGGTGCTTCAAGCTTCCACCGTCTCATTTAAATAGCTAGGATTTTGATGATTCCTGTTAAGAACTATTTACAAACTCCCTGTCAGCGTAAATATTTTTAATGGCAGTTTATCCCATCGAGAACCTGTCCCAGAGCCCTATAGAGGTTCTTGATACATAGACACCCGTCATCCATCACCCACCTGCCACACCGTGAATGACAGTAAACTCCAGCACAATAAATGCAATGTAGCCAGCAACCATAGCCCCACCAATCCATCTCGAAAACCTAGCGCCAAACCAGACTGTGGCGGTGAATGCAGCCGTCGAGGCCCATAAGACCGTCAGTTCCGAGATCGTCACATTGCCCCCTTCCAAGGTTCCCTTTGTGTTAATCATAATGATGCCGCAGCAAAGGGACAGAAGGAAGATGTTACTGCCGGCGCAGTTAGCAACAAGGATCCCAGGGTGGCCACGGTAACCACTCATAACAGCTATAAACTTTTCAGGGAGTGTAGTGGCTATAGCAATAATTATGACGCTAAAGAGTACGTCGGAGATGCCCAATTGGTCAGTGATGTTAATTGCCGCTTGTGAAATCACGTAGCCCGCAAGGCATATAGCAAGGAATCCAAAGGATAGATAGAACCCATGGTATCCGAGCCGGTGACGGTGGCGACGTTGCCTCGCGTTTGTGCTGGAGTTGTCGGCAAGCAATCTTGTTCTACTTCCCACGGAACTCGTATCATCGTCATCGTCATCATCACTATCATCTGAATCTTCTGGCGCCGTAAGAACCCCTCGACCAATTGCCAAAGCGACGAGCAGGAAATAGACTCCGAATGCCGATACTAGAAGAGGCCCACAAACTAGCCAGGTGATTCTTGTAGAGAAATAGATAATTGGAGTCACCAGTGTAGTTAGGGCGAGGGTCATGAGAGAGTAAATTCGAGAGCTCCTGTCGAACTCGACCGTCTGTCCCTTCTCATAGCACAGAAGGCCGAGGGAAAAGGCGCCCAGGATATTGGAGATGGCCGAGCCAACGACATTACCAATGGCCAACGAAGAACGGCCCTGCGCCAGGGACGCGACAACAACCGCAAGCTAGTGGTAAGATCAGATTTGTTTCCAGCAATTATGTGATATGACTACGTACCTCTTCCCATTCTGCGCCTGCAGTAAGGAGTCCAATGACCACCTCGGACACGCCTATGCGTCCCGCGATTGCGGCTGTGTGAGCGATAAATTTATCAGCCCCGAACTCGAGCAGAAACAGTGTCGATATAAACGCCCCGATATTAAACGCAATTACGCCCTTCTGCGCCATTGTAATGAGTTATTAGTCTCTTGTTGGATACCAAGGTAGCCATGACGGATCCAGATTAGGCTCAGGAAACATGAAATCAGCACTTTGATCTTCACACTAACTAAATAGGTGGGGTTCATCAAGTCTCGTGTTAGCCATGACATCAAGTTGATTAGGAGCTATCGTAAGCTAGCCAATTTGTTTGGTAGTAAATATGAGTTTCCTTAAGTAAATAAGCCGATGGTATTAACCTTTTGTCACCAAATAAAAAGCGCATTCAAAATGTATGTAAATTAACTCGAAAAGCGATGTTTGAACAACTCTCCAGCTTCAGAACGCACGACAGCCGAAGAGAATGAAGACAACAATGAATCTAAAATTGTGACGACGCTTTGCCTTGTCCAATTCATGGGAATTGAGGCTGAAAGTAATTGCGTCTTAGAACAAACTCTGAAGAATGAATGTAAAGCTACAATAACTGAACCATCAGGTTGGGTATCCATCTACATGCATTCCCATCAACTAAATGAACGTGCCTGTCCATTCACCATTATTAATCCTACACCATTTCCACATAATTATTTTCCATGCCAAGTTACACATCAGATGCAGACTCCAAACTTAGTTGGCTCCGGGATACACCATGCCGCCAGTGTTCGCCTTGTACTGCTCCGAGTTGCCGTTCCTCAAGAGCGCCTCGCGGTGCTCCGTCTCCTTCTCTAGCTGAATGAGGTTGCAGCAACCACAGCAGAAGGACTTGGCAATGTCCTCGATGCAGTTGCCCTCGAGATTGTACTTTTCGCGGATCGTGGCACGCTGCATGCTGGCGAGGATCCAGTGAAGTCCACAGCAACCAGAGCCGCAGAAGAGAAGACACTATAGGAGACAAAGCATATTAGTGAGATGTTCATCAAGTGGTGTCTTATGACGTGCAATGCAAAACTAAAGACATACGGAGGTGTTGACGGGCTCATAGCCCTCCATGTTGCCATTCTTGTTGATTCGGTGGTGAGTCTTGCCGAATGTGACACAGGGGACACAGCAAGTGATGAGGCAAAGGTCAATGGGGTTGAAGCAGTCGAAAAGGTGTGTGGCCCAGCCCGCAGCACCAGCCGGGGATCTCGAGTTGACATGCTCGCCAGGTCGAGACAAGACATCGTTGAAGCGATCCTTCCAATGATTCACATCGTTATCGTCGATGGGCCCACCCTTGGCAGGAGCAGAGGATTGAGCAGGTGCTTGAGCAGGAGCTGCAACCGGAGCAATAGGGGTCTCAGTGGGAGCAGACATCTTGACGGTGGGTTTTGGGTATCAAAAAGAGGCTGTAAACGGTGTGAATGAGTGACAAAGGGTGAAATAGAAGGAGTACCAAGTAAGTTGTTAGAGAGCGTGTAGTGGCTGACGGAACAAGACGTCAAGAAGTCACGAAGCCAACAGCGGCATTGAAGAACACCTGCCGTCACATATATATAGAGAGATACACGAATACGGAAGACTAGCTCCAAAGCCAAACATTCCTTCTCTTTCAGCATTAGATGCCTCACACAGAGCCGCAACATGTGCGGTCCGCCCGAGGCAGACTGACACCCTGTGATGCCTATCTAAAGGGGGGCCCAGTCGTAAGATTGCTGTGCAATCCTGCCCGGGAGGCTGTCAGTGGCTGCTAAGTTTGCTATTGATAGCAATAAGCATACTGAGGCCCACGCGCGAGAGCCCAGACATGGTCATTGGCTCTCTTCAAGCCGCCAAAACGGCACGCTCATACACATTTCATCTAGCGTGGAGACGACCTCTTTCAGCCCTGTAAACTAATTTCAGCCGCGTCTGATACCAGTTGGGTAAAAGATTGCTATGATTGGCAAACTTGCCCAAACAATACATGGGTGTCAACGCCATCGAGCAGTGAAGCTGCAAAAAGGAGATTACGAGGTGGGCGATGCTTTAAGCAAGTGTCTTTGGGTTAACAAGGACAAGCCTAGTAGCAATGGAAAAGCAAATTGAAGCCTAAAAGGCCAACACGAGCGGACAACGATGGGCTGCAGGAAAGACGAAGGATGTGAAAGATGGTGGTGCTAATGATATGATACATCAATCTCGTCTCACGCACATGAAGCGGACTCGCATAGGCCGAAGCCGAGGAAAACGCGTCTCCTCGGCAGTCGTGTCTCCCCGCCATTCGGTCGCCTATCAAAACTCTGCAGGCTATCGCTTGAGCTGAGCAGCCATACGGATGCTGGCTCTCGAAAAGTCACGAGCTGCCGCTACTGCACAAGACCCCCGTGCTAACGGCAATTGCGAGGAAGGTTGCCTGGATAATGACAGTACAGGCCCGTTTGCTTTTTCCCAGCCGGTTGACTCATATGACGCCACGGCTGGATGTGAAGCAAGAGGTTGCATGGGGAAATTGCAGTGAAGCCATCAAGGGGACACTCAGGCATCAACACTTGTCAGAGAAGAGCTTTGGCGAGAGGTTCAAGCCAATGGCTGATATCTCAGTTGACCGGCTTCAGGGTCACAAAGCTGCCTTGACGCTAAATCGAAGCCGGGAGCGACACAGGGGCCACATCTCGGGATAGGCCAGTGTCTTATTGGCCCAAATGATAAGAGGAGAGAACTCGCTCAGGCCATAAACGTCAGTAGGCTGTTCCACAATCAACCTAAGTGCGTCTTGGCGACAGCTGTGGCTTTAGAGCTGAGATCCCTGCTGTCTCAAGAGCTTTCCGATATCCCCGTCGGCATGGTACAGCTAGCTCTGTTGGCGTTTCGACCCTTGTTTTTTTTTTTCTCTCTCTTTAGTTTTTTTCTTTTCTTTTTTCCCGTTGCTTTTTTCTTCTTCTTAGACTAGTAGTGGTGAGGCTGAAGTTCGGGGTGCATGATGAGGCCGTTTATGGCTAGGGGTGGTGGACAGGGGCAGACCGGTGAGCGTCCGGCATTGCAAGATAAACAAGGTTGACTTTTCAAGTACAAGATGGTACGGTACTCGCGTTCCTTTCGGTAGTTTTCAAAGCTTGTGATGAGTTGCTTTGAACATAAATAGAAACGGGCTTGGCCGGTGAAGACGGTCTAGCCTTTGCAGAGCCGACTAGCAGCAATATTGTTGAACTCTTTTCCAGAGACTACCAAACTATGCCGCAGGTAGCCTTCCAGGAGAGTTCCTCCGAATCGTTCGGCATTGATCCCCCCGCCCAGATACAAATCCAACCTTGCAAGGAGTCGGACGATCACTCCATGATTCTACCAGGGGGGCTAGCTAGCTGCAGTAAACCCATGCTCCCAACAAGACGCAGGGCGTACGCCAAATGCACTGTGCGGCCTGGAATTAGGCGCCGTTCTGGGTTAATCTGAACGCCGCAATTTCGTCTCAGTCCTGCAATCAGTGAGGTGGAAATTCAGCTTTCACGGGTCTATGATTTATGGAAATAGACAGACTTTGACTGCTTGTTGGTGACATCCTGGAGCCGCATGCTGGTGTTACTCTAACGGTACACGCATTGCTTGTAAGGGGAGCATGTACAGCTTGATCCGGCTTTGGGGAGCTCTCCTCTTACCCTACAGTTTGTCAAGAAGCAGTTGGGAGCTCGACGGAATGCCTCTTGGTGAATCATCACATCATTCCATGACACGATGATAATACCAAGTCTGATAATTGCTGATGTCTGGTTAACTTGATGGGGGAATGGTAATAACCATCCAATCCATAAACATTGAAATGAATACATTATTGCGGGACGATTTCACCCCACCACCACAAGCCTACGTAAACAACAAGCTCGGAATGAGATCGGGGCTCATACATGAATGCCCTGAGAAAACCAAGAAATTGAATCTGATATTGTCTTTATCAATCACACTCCATTCTCGCCATAAAGATCCTCTTGACATGTGATAACTCTATTTCATGGACCTCATACAAGGTAAACCCCCCTAAACCACCTGCGAAATTGGGCCAAGTCAAGTGTACCAAGTGGGCTTCACCTTTAGCTCTATCGGATTTGATCTTGTCGTCGCGTTGCAAGATATTGATTGAGCCGAATACCGATCTTGCCAAGATGTCCCCTCCCGTTGGGCGGGGTTTGTTTGTAAATGTGTCTGCGATATAATACCAGTCCCTCGTATGACGCGTAAATTGAACACCAAGACGCCAATCAAGCCCAAATAAAATGTCACGGAGATATCCCTGGCCTGGCGCCTCAATCGCGCCTATTCCCGCCAAGAACACCACGGCTCTCCTCATCATACACAGCCAGTACGGATATCGCGACATTGCGGCATGGGGAGACGGTGCCTCCAATCCTGGCTACGAGAGCAACGTTTCCAATCTCATTGCCAAGTTCCGCAGCATATTTGCGGCTACTCCCCAGGGCGAGAGGCCAATCATTATCCACGTCCAATTTAAGACGGTATGGACCGATTCCCCCCTCTTCACAGGCAAAGTCGGCCCATATGGAGTAAATGGCGAGGAGAAGCGCGCCATAGACTTCTTAGAATGCTCAGTGCCATTGGTACAGAGGCCGGAAGGCCCTGTCTTTGTGTACACGTTTGACGAGCCTAATGGTCCGCCTACGCCACCCAAACCAGACGATCCTCCTCGTCCACCTTCAGACGAGATCCTTATGACGTCTCACGGACACAGCGTTTTTATCAATACTCCCCTAGAGTTTCTGTTGAATAAGAAAGGCATTAAAACGCTTCTCATTGCTGGGATTCCAACAGATTACGCTGTTAGTACCGCTGTGCGCTCAGCACAGAATCTTGCCTTGACTGGGAAGTGGGGAGGCCGGGGTAATATGGAGGACGTTCCACTATCGTCTCTATGGACCGATGGCTCTGGTGTGTATGCATCCATGGAGAACAATGAAGGTGATAATGGTGAGCTTGCCGTTGACATGCCCCGGATCATCCTTGTTCACGATGCTACAAGGGCATTTGGCAAGGGAGGAGTGGATGCCGAAACGGTCCATCGTGTGCATGTAGAAAGCTTAAAGGAATTTGCTGAAGTGCGAAGTGCTCATGAAGTAATCAGCGCATTGGGTCAAGATTGATGGAGAACCGATACACAGTGACGATAATGTCGCTTGACTACTATATCATTAAACAAGTCCTGCCTGAGCCGAGATTAAATATACTCTAACTAGTATCTATCATGCCACGCTGACGTGAAATGTTCTATATCCTATAGATCTTGCTGGGGTCCACACACCTCGCTCATTTTTGCCAAAATGCGAGTTCAGCTACTGCATGAGACCAAGACAAATTCAGGCAAAGTCTGGACGCTGGTCAACCTCTCGTGGTGTTGCGTCGAATTTCTCAACGTGATTCTTGTATATCTTTTTATTGCAAGTGGGAACGCAAGGGCTCATGGACCAGGCCGTCCCAGAAACAGAGGCCTCGAGCTCAAGGTTCCATTGCTTCACCAGCTCTGCACACGGGCCGCCCTTGACCCGGACGACTTTAATCAGCGGCCTTTCTTTTTTAATATACTTCAAAATCTCGTCAAACGTTCCCATTTTGTTATATAAGTTGTAGACGCGTCTGTTTTCGATGAGAAGCTCAAGGCAAGTGACGTTGGTGAAGAGCCTGAAGGCCTTCATAATAGTATCATGAGCCCATCGGAGCTTTGGTGTAAAGGTATCATCAGAGTGGCGTTCGCAGGTAACCACTCCGGGCACATTGTAGCAACGCGGCACACGGCAATTCAAGACTTTATCATCGAACCTCAGCGTCAAGATCCTGACGCTCTCTCCGATATTGCCGCCAAGAAGTATGCTGTTTGTGCAATCGGGCATCAGAAATGCTTCCTCGTCTCCGTGCGGAATCTCACCAAATTCCCTGGTGATGGCGACTTGCAATCGCCTCTGGCGCCAGTAGGCAAGGCTTCCCTCTCCCCACATCTGCTTGCAAGATCTCATCAGGTTGTAGACGCTGAAATAGTTCTTATTGTTATTGGTACCTCCATGTAGCCGTTGATGAAACCAGAGCTGCTCGATTCTCCAGAGGCACGCTGCGTATTTGTCCCAAGGAATCTTTTTATTAGGCCAGTGGGTCTTGGAACTCTTGTTGAAGTGAATAAAGTGCATGAGAGCAAGAGTGAATGGGTTCTCATCATTATGCCTCTCCCCGTAGTCTTTGATGAACATGAGCAAATCGAAATCTCGCCCTTCCCATAACTCGTTAAAGATCTTGAGGCGAACCTCCAGTGGCATCTTTAACAAGTGCAATCTTGGGTAAAGCCATTGATGGCCTCCTTCCAGAGGTGCGGGCAGACTAGTGGAAGCCCACTGGTTCTGATTTTTGATAGAGAGTTGACTATTTTGAGACATTTTGTAAAAAGCGATAGAAAATAAAAGGCTATGTAAAGATTGGAAGATGATGCAATCCTAATGAACAGTGAATAGAGCAAGGAACGGCGGCTTCGTTGGTGGTGAAGATGGCATCTCATCCACATTGCGGGGCACACAGCAATAAATACATGGAGAGATATGGACAAGGCTGCTTGGTAAATACAGGTACATGTGCCTGAGAGGGTGTGATTGCATGTATCCCGTGCAGTAGATGGATGCAAATAAAAAGCAAGGTTACGATCACACAGTGCGAGAATGGCAAATACGCGAGCTCAGAATGTATCAAGCTGAAGCCTTTTCGCCCCCGGTGCATTAGATCCAATCATAGCATCCCACCTGGCGGCTGGAGGAATCGAGTGAAACATACATACGCATGGATTCATTCATCACACATAGGCGAGGTAATACTACTGCTGCAGCTGCACAATAGTTCCATGCCTTCTTTGAGTCTATGATGGTATGAAAGAGAATGAGTATTGCCTATCTATGTCTACGTATGTTTTGTACAGAAGAGTGTCGTGTAGAACAAGCTAAAAAATGGGGGCATAAAGTCGTAAGTGTTGGTGGTACATGTAGATATAATACAAGCTGAGCCTGTTATTTCGCAGCCCATGCTGCAGGCTCATAAAGACTCGACCCCGGTACAAGTGAGCAAATCTTCCAAACGAAGAAGAGAGAAGAGGATGCCATCATATCATTTAAAAAGAGTGGTCCTTTAAACGATCCTGTGACGATTCTCCAATCGTCTTTTCCACCTCTTCCAACTTCTGCATCAATGCGCCGTCATACGGAGGAGACTCCATCATGGCCATGACAAACGGACCCTGGCCACCCCAAGTGCAAGCATGCAGCTGATTGCGCAGCTGCGAGATGAGGCTATTCACATTCCTGTTCGCAAAGAGGCCTGCAGAGTTCATCTCCAGCAACATGTCGAGCGCCGAGTTGGCGTCACCGAAGCGATGCCAATGAATCTCGGCCAGCTTGGAGTAAAACGGCGTCGAGACACCGAGCACAAACGACGGCAAGCCGAGCTCCTTGATGCGGGGGAGGATCTGGAAGATGTACGGCGACGGGCGAGCAAAAGCCGTGTCGAAGAGGTCGAGGGCCGTGCTGAGGAACCGCGAATACAGCGGGCCGTGGATGTTCATGACGCGCTCCTCGTCCTGCGAGGCCATTTCCGATGCCGCTTGCTCTTCTTCGCTCTCCAGAAGTGCGGTTTGCTTCTTGGATTTTCTGCCCTTGGAGGCTCCTGACCGCTTTGCCTGTGCGATATGCAGCTTTTCAGGCAGAGAAAAGACTTCCTTCTCCATCACGCCCCACAACTCGGCATCAGTTTTGCATTCCTTCATCAGAGCTTCTACTCTCTCACACTCTTCGCTTCTCGCGCGCTCCCGATCTGTGCGCTCCGCCCATGTCGCCTCATCGGCACCGTCCAGCTCCATCATCTGGGCATCCTGTGCCGAGTTCGAATCCGAATCCCGAGGCTTGATCTCATACAGGCCGAGAGCAACTTGCGCAGCGTTTTGGAGCGATCTGGGATACCGGCTCAGAAATTTCTCCCGAAAGTCCGTGATGCGGGCCTTTTCCACGAGTGAGCGAGCCGAGCCAGGGCTGTCCTTATCACTGCTCGTGGGCGAATCATGATGATTCTGCAGCCCATCTTGCAGATGCCGGATAGGGCTTCGTCTCTTTGCAGGTGGCATTTTCCCTTGGGCGATTTCATGGAAAATGCCCTTGAAAATCTGAGCTTCTGAAGGCGTGATGGTGGAAACTCGCTCCGAGTCGATGCTGGCCAGCTCTTGGTCTCCAGACTCCCATTGGAAGGGAATGGAATTGTCTGCAGGCCGTTTAACCCGTCGAGCAGAGTGAGCCAGACGGGCGAGATTCAGTGCAACAAGAGGTCCCCTGACAGCCCGGCGAAGGGTCTGTGTTTGATACAAGAACGGAAGCATGGTTGAAGACATTGCTGGCATGAAGAGATTTTGACGTCCGAGTCTCATCTTTCAACTCTCGAATCTTCAAAAATTCGGATGCAATTGCGAGCATATCCAAAGTGTTTTACACGGCTAAACTTCGGTGAATGGCATTCAACGCTTTTTGCTCTGGATGACGCTCTGATTCCTAAGAAGCCAGTCCCACTAATTAGGGATAAATTGATAATTGATGCGCGTGACTTCGCGCCAGAACAATTAATGGCAGAGACGCGGTGCCACGCGACGGCTCCGGCTTCAGCTCCAAATTCAATTCGCCTCAACCATCGCTCACTTTTTGCTGCGCTTATAACAGCAACCAACTAATTGGCCTCTGGCGATTTGCATTCGCACGAATTCGATTCTAGCTTGACTTTTCGATTTCCTCCTCTCAACAGCCATTCCTGCACCCGCAACAAGATGGCGCCGAAGAACGAAGCTGATGGGCTCAGTGCCTTTGAGCGGCGTCGACTGGAGAACATTGCTGCCAATAAGGCGCTTCTGTCCGAGATATCCGTCACGGCCAAGAAAATAATCCCAGACAAGCCAGCATCTAAACCATCGGCTCCTCGAAAGAAAATCAAGGCAGAGCCGGTTGTTAGAGAGCTTCGGCGGGGGACGCGCATGAGCTCACGGCTTGCTGGTGTTGCTGCTGATGATGAAGTCTTGAAGCGGAAGTTGGAGGTCGAGGCCGAGCACCAGGCCGAACAAGTCAAAGCAAAAAGACTTCGAGTTGGCGACGACATGAATCTGGGCGACATTGTTGTGGACGGCAAAAAATACACAAGCAGCATGGACGGCTTAAAGGGCATCTTTCGAGGTGCACAGCCGGGGGTACGAACCTTCGAGTACGACGCAAAAGAGGCCACAGATGGCGACCTAAAAGAATTGCGGCAGCGAATGAATGGCTTGAAGCTCTATGAGCATTGGATTCCCAATGGTGAGTTGTCTAAAACCGGAGACTTCATCGCAATGCTAACGGCCAACTCTCTTCTATAGACATTAAAATCACGCCCCAAAGAGTATATGCGCTGGGCTTCCATCCAACAGAAGACAAGCCGATAGTGTTCGCGGGCGACAAAGAAGGCGCCATGGGCGTGTTTGACGCTTCTCAGACAGCTCCCGAGGTGACCGACGAAGACGAAGACATCCCCGATCCTGTTATTTCTGCCTTTAAAACACACGCAAGGACGATTACATCTTTTGCATTCTCTCCCATTGATGCGAATGCCGTATTTTCAGCGTCATATGATTCCTCAATAAGAAAGCTAGATCTGGAAAAGGGTGTCTCTGTCCAAGTCTTTGCACCAGAGAACGCATACGAAGACTTACCCATCTCGGCACTGGAGATTCCTTCTGCAGAACCGAACGTGCTCTTTTTCTCAACTTTGGATGGGTCAGTGGGCCGCTACGATACCAGGACACCAGGCAGCCTCGAGCTGTGGACCCTGTCTGAACAGAAAATTGGAGGATTTTCTATGCATCCTCTGCATCCCTATCTACTAGTTACCGCCTCTCTTGATAGAACTATGAAGGTATGGGACCTACGAAAAATGAGTGGGAAAGGAGACTTGAAACACCCAACATTGCTTGGAGAGCATGAATCGCGGCTATCTGTCTCTCATGCTTCATGGAGTGCAGGCGGCCATGTCGCGACATCATCATATGACGATACAATCAAGATCTACGACTTTTCCGAGGCCTCAAAGTGGAAGCCGGGTCAGAGCATCGATACGAAAACCATGGAGCCCGCACACACCATCAGACATAACAATCAGACGGGCAGGTGGGTTACCATCCTGAAGCCGCAGTGGCAGAAGAATCCGAAAGACGGAATCCAAAAATTTACAATTGGTAACATGAACCGTTTCGTCGATGTATATGCTTCAGACGGGAGCCAGTTGGCTCAGCTGGGAGGAGACGGTATTTCTGCCGTTCCAGCTGTGGCTCACTTCCATCCAACCATGGACTGGGTGGCTGGCGGAACTGCAAGCGGAAAGCTATGTCTGTGGCAGTAGATGGATTTGGAGGGTGTGGATACTTGCAAAAATGATGGCTTTAGTCTGTCACTTGTACTAATGATGCATTGACATTAACGACGAGGCTGTTATATCTCAGTTATATCTTCCTGATGGCTATACCCAAGATATTGCTGATAATGGTGGGGAATAGTTGCTATGGCTGGAAAATGCGGGGTCTACTCTCCTGGACACGCCGACTTGGATTTCTAGATCAGTACATAGCTAGCTGGCAACAGACGGAAGGGCATGAATAGAATTTTGTTCAATTATCTAAGGTAATAATTTTCTCTATTGGCGAGGCAGACGTGATCATACCTGTAGCTATCTTGGGAATTTATGAGGTCTTTGTTGCTCGCAGATGAAACAACTCCGTTAGTTCTCCTTCCCCCCTTCAAACACAGTCTCCATTTCCGTGCCACAGAGCGTGAAGCCGCATTTCTCGTAAAAGGGGATGTTGTGCTGGCTGCAGTTTAGAATCGTCTTTCGGCATCCTACGTTCTTCGCCACCGAGTTCAAGGCGCCGAGCATGTAGAAGCCCAGCCTCTTTCCTTGATGGTCCTTGGAGACGCAAATCTCTTCAATGTGGCCAACAGTGGTGCGGTTTTGTATACTTTTATTCCATCCCCATCCTTGTTAGAAGCAAGAAAGAAATATATGTGTGCCATAGAAACACTCACAACTTCTTCTCAACAATCACGGCGCCTGTGCCCACGATCTGCCCCTCATGCTCAATGACAAGATAGTAGTAGGGGCCTTTGCCGCCAGTGTCCATATCATCGTACCGCTCGCTAAACTCCTGCTCTGTGACATTGGCCATCCATGTCAAATCGCGAAGACACTCAAGAAATCCCTTGGCATAATCTCCCTTTTCCAGAGGTCGGATGGCGAATCCCTCTGGTAGAGCCGCAACGGCGTCGCTGGACAGGAGAGATGCGGGGAATATGGGGCTTTGGGCGGCCATTGTAAGTGAGGACTCTGCAAGAGGGGCGAAAGGGAAGCACTTGTGGGAGCAGAATTTTGTATTTTGTATGGAAAGAGGCGTTCAATTTGTGTCTGTAGTTGAAGATATCATTGATTTAGGATCAAAGTAAGCAAGCTATTGGAATGTATTGATTTGTGACGTTACATGTGAATGCTATCCCGTATACTTGCGTAGTGCCTCCTCCGGACTGTACGCTAATTGTCTTGCCCCATTGACCGTCTCGCGATAATCTGCAGTCACTTGAACAATGAGATCAAAAATATTAAACTACGGTTGTGATGTGTCTGCCGGAAGAAATCAACAGCGTTCCTTTAAGTCTGTACGACTGAAGGAAATCGAAGCTGTTATAAAACGGTAGGTATGCCGATGACGGAGCTCTTGCAAAGGCGGCGAGGCCCATCCCGTGATATAGCGGGAGTGGCATCTCTAGTAGTGCCCGGCTTATTTGAGATGGAACATTGAAGGCGCCCAGTTAAATTAGAAGGCTAAAGTGGACGGGAGACGGCTTCACCAAAAGGTCATCCGACTGATCCGATTGAACAAAGAATCAATATTTTCTTTGTTCCGCTTCTGGCAACTGTTCATGGGAGCAAGCAGCACTGATTCTGTGGCAACACGGGTCCAGATGAGTAAGCTCAGAATGCAAAAGCTAAATGGCATTACTCAACAGTAAGATTAGAGTCGGCTCACGTACAGAATTACTGTGCCTAGTATGTTATCTACTAAAACAACAAAGGGATATCATATGTACATATATACTATATGAAAGAGCGAAAACGAAAACGACGCCCGAGACAAAACAGGGACAACCAGAGAGGTGGTCGCACGGCATAGACCAAGTCCGCCTTGCTCAGCCAAAAGCGGCAGCGTTACCCCTGTGCTGCGCACCCTTTCCCGGTTCGTACTCGTACAGAGCGAGATGCAAGCTCTACGGAGTACATGCCAGGTACTGTGGAATATGAGGCAGTGCAGCCTGTGATTTTGAGTCTTACAGCCACCTTGGTAGAGCGATTACTTAGTACTTGCAGTACCTACCTGTATGTCTCTCCACGGAGGTACATGTGCCTTGTACTTACAAGCTTGGATGGTCATCACTTGCAAACAAGTCCGAGCATACGACTTCCGACTCGCAAAATCCAATGCTCGCAAAAAGAGTCAAGAGCCCAAGCAAGTATGAGCAAGTCACTCGTCACCTGTTACAAAGAGCCCCGGTGCCCATTTCTTTGTTTACACCGCACGTCATCGTAAATCCCCCATAGCCCGTACATGATCATATCACATGGGGAACCGAGTGGAGGCAGAGCCACGGGCCGGACTAAGACGCCAACGAGTGTGACTTGTGTCGCCGCCTGGGCATTGCGCATCGTGGAGATGATAAACGGCCCGTCGTCGATTGGCCTGGGCGATTCACCGAGCTGCACGGAATATTACTTCTGCAACTCCGCTGCATGTGCAGAGGAACAATCACAAGATAACGACAGTGCGGCGTCGCCCTCCCTTTGTTGCAGTGCGCCTTTATCGATAAGTGCTCCCTCTGGGTACCTTTAGTGCTTGCACCCATTACCACCACGGTACCTGTAGGAGCGATCTACACAAAGAACCGCCCTATCTGATGCGAAGCCTCCTCCCACCCACTGACGTACCTCGTACCTCTACAGCACACCATTGAAGTCCTACGGCGCTACTCCAGCTTGCAGCTTCACTGTCCCAGGTACAAGGGGGTCCTGTTTACAGCGAGCGGTGTGTCAAGGGCGGATTGCGAGCGCAGGTACCCAGCAGGTACATCCAGGTAGCCCGGCAGTCCGCGAACCTTATCAGGTACTAATCGATGCAGCCATACATGAGCGGCTCCCACTTCATCACCACGCAACACACACACATCATCTCAGCCTGAGTGGACGCAGATCCCCAAGCAGCCTCTTGCTCCTGTGTGCTCTGTCTGTGTCTGCCGAGCGCTGCCTTGCATAACCTCAGGCGGTTGGCGGAGCTGGCGGTTGCCTGGCCGTTTGATCGCGGCTGCACGTCTTCCGTCATCTGCATCACTGTGCTGACCCGCGGCCCATTGAGAAACCTAATCCCAAGCCTTCTTCTGGCGCAGTCTCCGCATCTCCAGGCAACTCTAACCATCTAGGCCGGAACTTGCGTCTGCCTTTGCCTCTGGCCAATATGGCTACAACGCCCACTCCCCGCCGCATCAGCCTGGACGGCCAGGACCATGTCGAGCTGCCGCAGACCAGCACCACGCACGACGACCCGACACCCACGGCTGAGCTCCCTGAACCTCTCCAAGGCAGCGACGACGAGACAAGCGAAAATGCCGACCTGCACAAGCCCAGCCACATGGCTGTGAATATGAACCAGAGCATCTTTGGCTTGATCGCCGCCGCCGGTTCTCGGGTCGACTTCAACACGCGGTTTGACGACGGCAGCAGCGACGAGGACGAGGGGGGCAGCTTGAAGCCCCCGAGCGCGCGACACCGAGACCTTTCGCAAACGGCAATATTCGGGTCATTGCCGCCCAGGGATAAGAGACTGGGGCGCGGGAAGCAGGTTCCCGGCCACAGGATGTTAAAGTCGTTTGCCTCTTTACCCAAGAGGAAGAGCAGATCGGGAACAGGCTCCAGCCGGCTATGGGAACCAACCCAAGAGGTGGACGAGCAGAGCGAGCCTAGTGAACCTTCCTCTCCCAAAATACCCTCACAGCAGCCGGACGAAGACGTTCGAATAGCGCCCGTCATGAGCAGAATGCTGGAAGCCAAGGCTGAAATGGCTAGCCGATCTAGCTTCGACATCGAAAGAGACTCTTCCGGTCCGGATCGCACAGATGAAGGAGAGGCAGAGGATGAGGCAGAGGACGACGAAGATGAAGACGGGGAGGACGCCACAGCGCTGGCAAAGAAATTAATGGAAATCTTCAAGTTTGATGAGCCCGAGCGAGTTATAGAAGGTTCGTTTACGCTGCATTGCGCCTCCTGTCTCGAAATCAATACTAACAAGCTGCCATTTGTAGAGTACCCCTGCTGGCTACTTCATAGCGTACTGCTCCAAGGTTACCTATACATCACGTCCAAGCACATTTGCTTCTACGCATACCTTCCAAAGAAGACGGTAAGACGGATCGTACCAAGAAATGTATTGCTCACCTTGGCTAATCATAATCCGCATATAATATAGCACGCCGTCACCAAGTCTGGTTATCTTTCAAAAAGTGGCAAACGGAACCCTAAATACAACCGTTACTGGTTTCGCCTCAAAGGCGATGTACTCTCGTACTACCAAGATGCAACAAATTTGTACTTCCCGCATGGCCATATTGACCTTAGTTTCGGCATATCCGCTAGCATCACCGACGAAGACAAGGAAGGTGTGCACTTCTCAGTGGTAACGAGCCACCGTACCTACAACTTCAGGGCCGAGAGCGCACCAAGTGCAAAGGAGTGGGTGAAAAGCCTGCAAAGGGTCATTTTCCGAAGCCACAATGATGGCGACAGCGTCAAAATATCTCTGCCCATTGAGAACATCATTGATGTCGAAGATACCCAGATGATGGACTTTTCGGACACTTGTAAGATTCGGGTAATAGATAGCGATGAGACTTTTGCTATTGACGAGGTGAGTTTCAATCGGGAACCCCTTTTCACGGGGGTTGAAAAGTTGCAATTCTAACATGTTCGATTTGTAGCACTTCTTCTCATTCTTTACTGTTGGCAAAGAGGCCATAAACGTCATCAAGCTTCTGGTAGAGAACGCATCTGCCGAGGGCCCAACCGCTGGTAAAGTCATTGCCGCTCAGGAAGGAGAATCCTCAGACCAGTCTTCATCACCACACATCTCTGGGGGCGCATTCCGAAATCTAGCTCGTGTCGACAGCGCACTTACAACCAAGTTTCTCAGTACTGCGCAAGAGGTTGTTTCTTCAGCATCGCCCAAATCAACAAGTCCTAGCCCACACCCCAGCGCCGATGAAGAAGGTGTATTGAGCTTGAAGAGCTCTCGGGGCAGAGGATCCAGCGATGACAGAAGACTAGAAGGCGACCGGCACGCTGAAGAAAGGACATCGTCGCGGATAATGGAATCGTCAGAGTCCAATATGTATTCCTCGATTGAAGAACCGAGCTTCGCTAGCCTCACCCAATCTGCGTTTGAAGATCCTTCGGCAAGCCAGATTCTCAGAGGCAGCGATGTATTCCAAAGTCCCACAATGAGACACTCACAAACCTCCAGCCGGGATTACAACGAGTTCAAGGACAAGGCCCCCGAGTCAAAGCAAGGGCAGCAGGGCTCAGCGGCAGCAAGTCAGAGCGAGGGATCTGTCTATACAGGGTCAGCTGAACCCCCGCGAACGTCGACGCCAACATTACAGAGTATTACCAAGATGGGAGCGTATCCTCTACAACGAGCGGGCGCGTTTGCCGACTACCTAAACAAGACGGGTAAACGAATGAGCACTCTCTTTGCAACCGAGTCTATGGGCTATGTTGAAAAGGTATCTGGCATGTGGAAGGGCGAACGCAAGCACTACGATGAACCAGCCGGTCTACGACCTGACGAGGATGAGCTGGAAGAGGATGATGATGGCCAGATCAAAACTTCTAATGAGCGATTTCGAGCGCATTTCGCACTTCCCGACACAGAAAGGCTGCAGGCCACATACTTTGGCTACATCATGCGTGTCCTGCCGTTGTATGGCAAGATCTACCTCAGCGGCCGGTATTTCTGCTTTCGAAGCTTGCTTCCTGGCACTCGAACCAAGTTGATTCTACCCCTGAAGGATATCGAGAACGCGCATAAGGAGAAGGGCTTCCGTTTCGGATACTCTGGCTTGGTTGTCGTAATCCGCGGACATGAAGAGCTCTTCTTTGAATTCCGACAAGCCGAGATTCGCGACGATTGTGCGGTGACACTGCTCCAATGCCTGGAAACTGATCGTAATCTTCAGGAATCCGGGATTCTAGAACAGCACTACAAGCACGAGGCAAGCGCTGCTGCTGCAGAACGGGATGCTTTGAAACTAGCGACAGGGGACGTGTTTGCGGATCGTGAGCTTCAGCTAGCCCAATCAACCGCGTCGCTGTCTCAGGCCCCCAATATCCTGGGCGATGACATGGAGACATCAGTAATCCAGTTCAAGTCGCCGCATCCCATGAGAATCACATGCCTGACAATCGGCTCCAGGGGCGATGTTCAGCCTTACATTGCCTTGTGTAAAGGATTGCTCAAAGAGGGTCACAAGCCGCGGATTGCGACTCATGCTGAGTTCCAGGGATGGATCGAATCTCACGGTATTGAGTTTGCTTGTGTCGAAGGTGACCCTGGAGAACTCATGCGCCTCTGCATTGAAAATGGAACGTTTACCCTTTCATTCCTCCGAGAAGCCAATGCGACGTTCCGAGGTTGGCTCGACGATCTTCTTGACTCGGCGTACAAGGCTTGTGAAGGATCAGAGCTTCTCATTGAATCGCCATCCGCCATGGCAGGAATTCATATCGCCGAGAAGCTTGGCATTCCCTACTTCAGAGCATTCACAATGCCGTGGACAAGGACAAGGGCATACCCCCATGCCTTCATCATGCCTGAAAACAAAATGGGCGGTGCCTATAATTACATGACCTACGTCATGTTTGACAACATCTTCTGGAAGGCTACCGCGCATCAGGTTAACAGATGGAGGAACAAGACACTTGGCTTACCAAACACTGGCTTGGAAAAGATGCAACCCAACAAGGTGCCGTTCCTATACAACTTTAGCCCGAGTGTTGTTGCGCCGCCTCTGGATTTCTCAGACTGGGTCAGAGTCACTGGTTACTGGTTCTTGGATGAAGGCGGCGACTATAAGCCCCCTCAGGAGCTGCAAGAGTTCATTTCCAAGGCAAGGGCCGACGGCAAAAAGATTGTATATGTTGGGTTTGGCTCCATCATTGTCAACGATCCGGCAAAGATGACTCAGGAGGTGATTGATGCCATCCTCAAAGCCGATGTTCGATGCATTCTCTCCAAGGGATGGTCGGATCGCATAACTACCGGAAGGGACGAGCCCACTGGGCCACCCATGGCAGAGCCGGTGATGCCGCCTGAGATTCACGTCATCAAGTCTGCTCCGCACGACTGGCTCTTCAGACAGATTGATGCGGCAGCGCATCACGGTGGATCCGGCACCACCGGAGCCAGCTTGAGGGCCGGCATACCAACCATCATTCGGCCATTCTTTGGAGACCAATTCTTCTTTGCGAGTCGCGTAGAAGATTTGGGCGTCGGTGTGTGGGTCAAGAAATGGGGAACGAAATCTTTTGGCCGGGCTCTTTGGGAGGTAACGCGTAACGAGCGGATGATTGTCAAGGCCCGGCTCCTAGGTGAACAGATTCGCAAGGTAGGCAGAATCCCCCTTGTTTCCTCTGTCTTCTGAATGCATAAATGTGCTAACAATCTTGCAGGAGAGTGGCGTCGAAACAGCCATTCAGTCGATATATCGAGATATGGAATACGCGAAGAGCCTGATCAAGCATACAGATGGACATTTAGAAACAGAAGAAGACGAGGACACGGAAGAAAGTTGGACATTTGTCCGAGGCGACGAACCAGATCCGGATGTGATTACGACCAAGTTGAGCGAGGGATTGGATGGCGTGGCATTGGGTAACAATAGCAAGGCGTCGGGCAAGGCATGAGATGAACGATTTTTTTTTTTTTTTTTTTTTTTAATGAAGCTATGTTTTGGGGGGTTTTTTTTTCCTTTGGATGAATGGAGGGCAGCAGGATTTTCATTTTACATAAAGCCTAGAACAGGTGTTTTTCTAATGCTCTGCGTATGTGTTTTCTTCCTTGATGCTTTTCACGGATTGGATATGGCCATCTTCCTCATTTGGATGGATGGAAACGAGATGGGGTGATAATGTGATTGCTGGTTTTATGGCTGGAATAGATTGTGCGCTATAGAAAGAAGAATGCAAATCGTATGGTCACATCTATACGTGGTTGTAATGAAAGGAGTGGTCAAATTAATGGATTAATATTCGTTATTCATAAAAAAAGTTGAGCATATCAATGTCATAAACCATCATAAACCAGCCCAGAACGACCAGACCAAGCAAGCAAGTGAGTACGCCCGAAATCCTTCCCCATGCTCCCGCTTCAGTAAATAGAAGAAACACGAACAGAACAAAACGCCGCCGAATCCATTTACACGCACAAATCTGTCGTTGTACGTGTTCGCGAAGCAAGCAAATTACCATCCTTGCTGGTGCGATTATCCACGAAATCTGCCAGCGGTCGGGAATTGGCCACAGCCTCCCACACGTCCAGAAACGCATCCTCCATACCGTCGGTCGTTGGGTCTCGTTTTTGATACACGATGCGGCCCTGGGCATCTCGGACGGCCTGGCCGTTGGCATCTCGGACAGGCTCGTTCAAGAGAAGGAAGAACTCGGGCCAGTCTCGCCAGGGAGACGTTTCGAGCGCCGTCCTCCAGATGCCGTCCGTGTGAGCGATGATGGCGTCTTCCCACCGCGCCGTCATGTGAAGGCACTCGCGATACCAGTCCATCATCCCCTGCATGTCGGCACGCCACCAGCCGCCAAGGATGGTGCCGCCAGGCAGAATCAGCTGCCTCGAGATGACCCAGCGGGCCAGGGCGGGCCAGAAGACGGTTTGCAGCACGTCCAGCTTCTGCTGGCGCGTAACACCAAACTCGCCAACCCGGAGGACATAGATGCGATCGGTCTGGGAGGCATAGACCCAGTCGAGGTCTCGATGGGCTGTATCGCCGTCCATGGGGCTCTTGTGGGTGGGATAAGGGATCCGTTGAAAGTCTCCGTACATGATGCAATGTTGAATGGCTGCAGTGCCCTTTACTTCTTCTCTTTTTTTCTCGTTTTTTTCCCCTGTCGTATTACCTCTTCTTCCCCTAACAGTAGGTAATGCAATGATGATCCATCAATGGTAGAATGTAATAAGAGGATGGATCCAGCACTAAAGGGAACATGCGTTTGAAGGTAGGACAGACGGCGCGCAATTGACGCGGCAGCGAAGAGATGTAAGTAAAGAGAGAAAAGAAGTGGATTGAGTAATTCTGAATCAAAGTCAGAGAAATGAATCACATCGAAATTCATGCAAAAGACGGGGGCTGCGTCTTTTTTGTTGACGAGCTTCAGAGCGCCGTGGCCATCACCCCATATCAGCCCCTAAGGTATCCAACAACATGCAACGCAAACAAGGCAAAACCCAAGAAGGCCACAATGGGTAGCATCAAGCCAGGGATGGCAGTCCGGGGAGGACGAGAAAAGGGCCCATCTCATACGTCGATCCGCGGCGCAGTGCCGTCAGGCTAAGACCGCAGGCAGAAGCAGAAGCGGCGAATAGCGGGTATGATCGGGATGAAAGCGGAAATGGCTTGGCCAGACATTTGAGCTGTGGCAAAGTCCTGGCGATATGATTGTATGAGTCGAGGGGCGGGGCCCAGCACGGAGGGCCAAAGTTCAAGCCTTTGTGGAGACTGAGGGCCAAGATGAGGCTGGGCACAAGGGGACTTGAGTCTTGGGATTCATCGGATGCTGCGTTACATGTCCCGCGATAATATGACGAGGTCCAGCCACCGAGGCCGGCAAAGTGAGCCTGAGGGCGTTAGAAACGGAACCAGGACTCCACACCACTCCGTGGTCGGGCAGACGCGCGGAGTAATACAGGCTCAAGCAGCAAGGCCCTTGCTCTCTCTCAATGCACCATCTTTGATGCTTGTGAGGGTCCCCCAGCGATAGTTTCACCTGCGGAAGGCTTGAGCCGGCAAACTAGATAAGGCGGACGGCTCATTACGCAGGGGGATGAGCAATCGATTCGGACCCAAGGCTAGTTTTTGCCTTTGCGATTGGCGATTTCCCAAGTGGCCGAAGCCAGGCCGGGACCACGAGAAAATGTGGCTGCTGCGGCGCAACTTTCTGGCTGTTCTCAATCGCGTGCTGCTGGGAACCAGGCCAAGGATGATGATGCCTAAGGGCACTCCGAAGATGCCATTCGCTCGAACTCTAAGGCATGGACGCATATCGAGTCAGCGGCGTTGCATAGGTAAGGCAGCTTATTGCATGAGTCCGTCCATTCAGCTGTCATGCCTGTTTGTTTGCCTCTGTCTTGCATCTCCGCCCCTTGTTGTATCGTTCGCTTGTTTGCAGAACCATGAGGAGGAATCTGTTGCAGGTTGAGTCCGGATGCCTCCCTGCTCGGCGAATCTTGAAATAGATCGTTCGTGCGATTGCAAAGTCGGCTCAAAAGGCTCAGATCATCTTCATCGAACGAGATGACCTTGATCAGCAAAATGACTTTGATGGAATAAGAAGCTGGCGTGTGGAGTATGTTGATTCTGTTGCATGCGCTATCGGCTTTGCTGTTATTAGGTAAGTTCGGTAGCGATACGCTGCTAACATCGGCCTTGCATTAGTAAAAGGAAACATGGCAGTATTAGGGAATTGTTTATTTTCTGAGCAAGCATTATTATAGCTGAAGAATAGAATAATTTAGAGCATGGAGAAATGGAGACGCACCAATAGCAATTTGATTCTAATAGCATGAATTTGATAACTGGAAGCTGCAGAGGCTGGGCCAACAGTAATTGATAGTAAATATTCACTGAGGCGCTCAAATAGTGGCCAGTGAATTGAATGATCTGGGCTTGATGGGTTTGATTGGGGACCCCACGAGACTTGTCAAACATCCAGGCTCTTCAGCTTTTGAACAACTCGTTCCATATACATCCGTTGCAGGGTTATTCCTACAGCAGGGTCAGTCTGATTATCACCCTCGGCGAGTTCGAAGCCTTCAGGACCAGTAATGCAAGCCTTGACGGCGTCATGGTATTTCCTCCCCATTATTTCCAAAAGTTTGTCCAGGAGTTGGGGCTCCGTGTTCAAAAGCCTAGAGCGAATCTTAAGAGACTGGCTAGTCGTGATGCCGTCCACATCTGGGAATCCCATGATTGTCTCTATGGGCTTCCAGTGTGCAATTTCGAGAAGGATTACCCCAAGGCTATATATGTCGAACGTCTTGCGTGCCCGATTCTCTTCCGGTAAGGAAGTCTGGCTCAACGGCCAACGGTAAATATCTCGCTTCGGATTTGCATCCATCCTCTCTACCGTCTTTGCCGAGTCTTCGTCCGGCCGAGAGAGATCAAATCCCGACACAATAGGTTCGGATAGAGGGGGAACATCATCATCATCATCATCGTAAACAAACAAGATATTGTCACTGCGAAGAGCCTTGTGGAGCCAGTTAACTGCATGCAAATGTAAGAGGCACGCAGCAAGTTTTGATGCCAGTGCGACTCGCTCTGTGAGTGATGGGCACGCAATACCGTAGAGTAGCGAACGGAGGCTTCTCGGGGGATGGGCCCTCCCGGCCGGCATGGCGAAGACCCAGCCCAAGCGACACTTCTCAGGTTCGTCCAGGTACCCCAGACAAGTCGGAGTACAAAAATCTGCAGCTTTAGGGCATGCGAGAAGTTTCGCCAACTGGGCTGCTCGCGAGATGATTTCTCGGCGGATGGCCTCGGCTTGTTCCCCATGGCGGTTAAGGCCGTTCTTGAAGTCTCCCATCCCATACCGTTTCCATTCAATCCAGACGCCTCGACTATTTGGGCCGAGCAGGGCGCTTGTAGATTCTCCCTTCTCCTCTGGATGGTCCTGGTATTTTGCAGTCGTGATTGTACTAGATATTTCGTCTACGGTATATTGAATGCGGTCAGCTGGTATTTGATGCCCCATCTTGCTTGCAATGTTCAACTCCTTCAATTTAGCCAAATCACGCAGTGTTTGCAACTCATTTCGTGACCTATTTTCTCCCTGAGCTTGGCTGATTCCAGGATCTTCAAGAAGCGCTACTACGGCTCGCACCAGAGCCAATAGTTCCTTCTGCGTGTCCATTGACTGCACCAGTTCCATAAACGTCATCTCAACCGTGTTTTGAATCGTTCTCAGGCGAGAATCTCCCGTTAATCCACGCAAATGGTTCGTAAGGTCATGTAGGCGTTTAAGTGCAACATCAAAAGCTTCCTGGTCTATTAAGACCCAACGGATTCGCTTTGGATGTTTGAACACAGCACCAACACCTGCAAATAGCTTGCCAACTGAGCTCAATAATGGATTTCTGGCTTCCTTCTTTTCATTGTACGTAAGTACCATGGTGGATACTTCTGTGAGAGAGCTTTTCAGTGGCATTGGTGGTTCGGATTTCTGCCGTTGGCCGATAACGGGCCGCAGCTCCTCATACTTTCCATGCATTTCTGTGATAGTCTCCAAAATTGTGCGAATTGCCGACAAGACTGCAGCTATCTCTAACTGGGAGGCGCCAAGGCTCCTGGAAATGCTGTCATGGGATTTTTCTTCCATTAATTCTGCTTCTTTTGCCCAGGCAAGGAGCCAGTTATATTCGATAATTAGATTTTGTCTTCTTTCTGCACATGACTCTGGCATCTCCACGACGCTCACTAGAAAATTATAGCCTATAGGTCAAGTGATGCCAATTCACGAGTTAGAGATAACAATCTGCATGAAGTGCCAGTACATGCAATCAAGCACACTTACCTCTGATGCAACCATCAAGAAGTTGGAGGGTGAGAGATACACCGTTTATAATGTCTGTCATAGCAATAACAGAGATTATACCGTTCTCAGAAATACTTGAAAACAGCTGCCACGAATTCTGCGAGACGTTACTCCAGGAGAAGAATGAAGGATTGAAGATTTCATTGGTAATTATCGCAGAAGAGTAGTTTTTCGAGCGTATAAAACGTATTATATCTTTTATCTTTCCAGTCACGGAGACTCTCCACCAAGGTAGCCAGACTACTTCCCGTTTAGGCTGCTAGGAAATCCCTCTGCAAAAAAAAAAGTATCTAACCCATGCATATGTGTGCTGACTTTATGACCACTTTTTGGTCACAAGCAATGTGCTATCAAACAATACTACCTAGTTGTAACACGAGCAGAAGGCAAGGCTTGGCATAAGCCAAATTTGGATTGATATCAGGTTATCAGAGATTGTAAGGCGAATAACCACTCCACCGCTGCGAGAGAGAAGGGATTGTGTTTTGCCTTCGGTTTGTAACATCCACGGTATTCTTGAGATTAAGATGTTGCTTGTTGCGTCGCACCGCTGCCGTAAAACTGGGCATAGTAATACCATGAAGTATGCCTTGTACTGCGCAAATACAGGATATGCGGGGAAGAATCTTGCTTTGTAAGAAGCGGGCAGTTATTTCGGCCTTTCCATATTACTTGAGCCATGGTTGAGGAGACGACAACCAATACCTGCATCATACCCTACACCACTTTCAAGCCTTGCCTCTGGAATATGAAAGCAGGCTGAGCATGCATGATGAGTTGGCAATGCAAGCTGTAAAAGGATAGATAGGCTACGATATTCACGTGTCAATAGATTCTTGTTAGCGGTGTAATCACTGCCGCGAAACAATTTCCTTATCGAAAACTTTATACTGAAAAGGGTGCGTGTAACCACTGCATTTTCTAGACCATCCGGAGCGCCAGCCAGGCCATCACTAGGCGTCGTGCCCGAATTCAAAGAAGTGCAGGAGATGTAAGCATTCTTCTGTTTTGAATTGAGTGGAACCATACTTTATTGCAGTGTATTCGAAGAGCCACATTCAGCCTAATATCAGGGTGGCTCAATCGCAGGCTGATTCTATCCCAGCCTGGTCCTATATATTGGCTTAAGGGTTTGTAGTGGTGTATTGATGTAGCTACCGCATAAGCATGCATCTTGCCTCGTCCAATAATCCACGAGTTATTCTCACATGCAATTGTAATCAAACAAAAGTGCAGATAGCTGCAATAATCCTCTGCATATGTTTCGTCAGCCTCGTTCAAACTTTCGGTGAAGACCTCTGCAACATGCCCTTTGTGTCACGAACATCCTGAATTGCTGGATCATTACCTGGGAATTGAACGCGGGGAAAAATATACATATATACACATATATGTGTATATATATGTGTGTATGTAAGTGATCAACTGAGAATTACAACTTCGATGCAAACGAACTCCAGCCCTTGGCACTCGAAGAAGACTGCCTCTCTTCCCCTAAGTAATTTTCAATCCCTCTCCAGTTCTATTCATGTTCTCATGGCTTTCAGACTTCATATCCTCTACTTTTGCTCTCATATTTCAACCAATTCAACAAGAGCCATCAGTACCATCCATAAGCAGCCTCGCTGAAGAAAATCAATCCAAAATGGCGGAGGTATATATGTCTTCGAATATCGATACGGCGACACTGCAGAAGGCGCTACCTCCACCATCCGTGGTTGTTTCCTCTGAGGAAACCCAATATAAGATGGTGGAGGTATTTGAGTCTTCCAGCAATGTGGCGACGCCGCCCATAATACCATCGCGCCCCGAGTTTGATGAACTGTTGACAAAAGATCGGATCAGCCCAGAGACTATGCGAATTTACTTGGAGAAGCTTCATGGCCATTATGTTGCGGGAAATGGGTACAAAGCTGAGAGTTTAGGAGCACTTGACGACCGTTGGGTGCTATGTCTGATATTGAGCTGCTTGAAGGCGAAAGACGAACAAGGGATAAATGAATGGCTAAAGGACATCGTTGAAAATGATTGGCCGTTTGACTGTGATCTGCCGTGGTCACTTAAGAAGGTGGAGAATATTGATTTCTTCAGTAAGAGTAAGGAGGATGCGTTGAGGTTCTTTGAACTGCAACAGAAGTTGTGTGGGCTCTACCAGATAGAGCAACATTCGGTCATTGAGGATCCCATGCTGCCTCCCTTTTACACACACGACACCCCTCTTGGTGATGGAACTTATTCGATCGTCGAAACCGTGGAGCTTGTCCACCGCGACGGGCAGCAACAAACTTCACGCCGCTATGCACGAAAGAGGCCAAAAGACAGTGCTACAAATTCAGCATTGGAGGAAGAGTTGGATACCTTGAGAGACATGGACTCTCACCATCACGTTGTTCGATGTGTCGGATCATACCGCCATAATGGCTATACGAACATTCTACTTGAACCTCGAGCCAGCAAAGGCAATCTCTCTAAATTCTTGAAAGGCAAGATCTCTCAGACAAAGGCAGATATCCTTAAGAAGTCGTTTGGGTGTCTTATGTCTGGACTTGCATTCCTCAGCGCTAAAATGCGACATAAAGATATCAAACCGGAGAATATCCTTGTTGATGACACCAGGGTTTTGTTCACTGACTTCGGCAGCGCCTACAACTTTGCGAAAGGGGGACTTGGCGCAGCGACTTCCCATACACTCGTCAGAGGCATCAATTGGATGTATGCTGCACCCGAGGTTCATACACCTAACGGGAAAAGGGACGTGAAAACCGATTTGTTCTCATTAGGCTGCGTCTTTGCAGAAATTATAGCGGCTCTCTCGGGCCAGACAATTAGCAAGTTCCACGAGGAGCTAAAAGCCGAGAAAGAAGGAGATAGCTTAGGTATTCGGTATGCAACTCAGATCGAGGAGTTACATAAATGGTTAGATCGGGCTAGCGAGAAGAACCCCAGTCTTTCCATGCCGATCGGTTGGTGCAAGAAGATGACCCAGGAAGATCTGGCTAATCGCCCAAAGATTCCTGTATTGATCCAGCAAGCAAAGGAGCAATGTAAGGGCAAGGGTGAATTAGAAAAATATTTCTGTTCGAAATGCCTCGAGAAGCCGGCCATTTCGGTGGATAAAGAGAGGAAGGACCCTGAAAGGGAAAATCTCTCAAAGTATGGGACAGAAGTCAACGAGCGGAATGCATATGGCCTACCGCAACTGAGCGCGACTGCACTCGAAGGGCGTGAGGACATTGTGAGGATGCTTCTGGAAGCAAAAGCAATTACTGATGAAAGGGATCAAAGCGAAAATGGAACGGCACTACATTGGGCTGTCGAGGGTGGTCATCTAAACATAGTCAAACTCCTCTTGGATGAAGGGCATGCAGATATTAATGCGGAGAGTCTCAATCATGGCACTCCGCTTAGCTGGGCGGTGCAGAAGGAATCCATTGATACCGCGCAGCTTCTTCTCGACAAAGGCGCAGATGTTGGTGTCAAGAACCGGACTGGTTCAACGCCACTGCATCTGGCGGCTCAGAGCGGACATGAGGCTTTGGTCGAGCTTCTGCTTGACATGGGTGCCGATCCCTTAGAGACCGACAAAGAAGGGCGCACAGCGCTAAAACTAGCAGAAGAGAGAGGAAATGGAGATGCGGTCGAACTGCTCAAGGTAGCAACACCTGATGGCCCAAGCCCTGCTGCAGTCGATCAGGGACAGGCTATATTGGATGAAATAGTTGTTGGCACTGTAGAGAGTGCTGGCAGCGAGCCCGCCAAGACCACGCGAAATGAATTGTCGCCACATCGGCCTGCTATAAAGAGTCGAACCAGTTCATCTCGAAGCAATACCAAGGCAATACCATCACATACAAGATTTGCCGAACCTGAGAAAGAAATTCAAGGCACTCCAGCGATGTTCCTTGAAATTCCTAATAAATAGTAGGTTTCGAATGGATATTGGCAGAAGACGGGCACGGTCAGGTAAGTAAGGGTAGCTATAACATAAGGCACTAGATTGAATAAAGACCTGCCTTTCCCTTTTGCTTATTTTGCATTTACGAGTAATACACCAACTTCATAGTTGGTCTATATCTCCGATGTTTGATGACTTGCCGACCTTGGCACTTACTCCTTGCTCAGTGCATCTTAAATCATCTTCACGCGCCCTATTTAACGCTTCGTATGTGGAGGACGCTATCTAATCACGGTATGACAACAAGTCAGGATGGAAGTCATTAGATCTAGCCGCTGTGGCCTCGTTCTTCCCGGAGCAAGGCTGCTGACGCAGTTGTGGGCTCATCTTAAAGCAAATACACTGTCTCCTCTACTATTGAGAGAGCATGGTCAAAGTTCGGGCCAAGGCACATAGCTAGCTAGCTTAGTAACCAATTACTATCTTACTGTCCCAAGGTCGGCTCAAACAGCTTGTCCAACCATCAATAATAGATAAATTGGACGGGTTTATTTTTTATATTTTTATTTTTATTTTTTATTTTTTCTCGCTAATAGAAGCGGCGATATAATACATACACATGTACGTGCAGATAAATCACAGTGTTGCTTAGCAGGCAAGCAACCAGGCCTTCTTTCTTGCCTTGACCATCAAAGCCGTGCCCCACCAAAAACTGCATTATGTAATCCGCACAGTCAACCTCTGAGGAGGCTCTCACGGAAAACAGCCCTCACCATAGCTTTTGGCGCCAGACGACATTGACTCTCCCCTGCAAACGGCGCGCAGCAGCGGTATCCCGATCGGCCTCAATCTCGATTGACGAGGCGACTCTCCGATTACTCAGCGCTTGCCGCGATTGACCCTGTCTCTGTCCCGGCCCGACTGCAACAACCGACCATCATGGCCCAAGATATGCCCCCCCGGGGCGGGTACGAGCCCGTCCAGTACAAGGTACGTTGCTGCAGGGCTTCTGGCGGTAGTGGTGATCGACTGGTGTTGTTTTTGTCGTCTTCCTCGATGTGGGATTGGGTGTGCGAATCCTCATTGGGGGGGCGCGAGGCTGCATCGATGGCGAGAGATATTCGGCTTGACATCTACGCCGAGCTAGACAATGGGACAAGGCTGACAGTTCTGCTTAGCGAAATCTCCCCGCCAAGGGCTTCCGACCCGGAATCCTCCTCCTCGGCATGGGCGCCGTCATGGGCTACGGTTGGTACAAGCTGGTTGGCGGTATTCGAGAGGCCAAGTATGTCCCCTCCCCTCCTCATATCACTCAATGCGGTGGCTTCGATTTCTAGACGCAAAAAAAGGGCTCGCACACTGACAATGCCTACCCTAGTGAGCTTGCTCGTGAGAAGATGTGGGCGCGAATCCACCTGATTCCCCTCCTGCAGGCCGAAGAGGACCGTGACCAGGTGCGACGATACTGGGCCGACCAGAAGCGCGAGAAGGAACTGTTGGGCGAGAACACAAAGGTCTACAACAGCGACAGGTGCGTCTTTCGAAATACTATTCAGTCGAGATCCATCGAGGATTTGCTAACAGGCGACATATAGATTCGTGCGACCAACATTTGCCGTCTCCCCGGCTCCTTCGAAATAAATAGAGGAAGCAAGGGTGGACGAATTGGAATTTTGTATATATATCAATATGAGTGTGTGCCACTTGTCGTCGGCTTGACTCCATGGGCAAAAATGAGAAGAAAAATCAGAATCATGAGGGGGCGTGGTGAATATCTTGTTGGTCTCGTGTGTGCCAAGATGCTCAATTCACCAATCCAGAACCGCTGTCTACCTATTTATGAGGAAGGGGGGTACAATAAAACGTATAGCTAATGTTACAGATGAACTCTTCACCAAAGCTACCAGCATTGAGGCAGTATTGCACCATCCTCAACTCACTCAACTTCAACACCAACCTCCTTCACCGTCCACTCCCACAACTTGTTAGATAGCTCGTCACTACGACACTTTGCATCCCCGCCGTGCGCTTTCCCAACCGGTTCAAAAAGAACCGTCTTATCGTCAAGCTTCCCTCTGACCTCCGGAGATGTCGCCGCCCACAACGTGTTATACGCCCCCTCGCGCGGCGTCAGCATCCCCAGCGGAGCCATGCCAAAGATGAGTATCCTGTCAAACATCCCCAGGCCAGTAATCATCTCCGTCTTGACCACGCCCGGATGGATAGCCACGCTCGTGATCTGCGGATACCGTTTGCCCAGCTCCCGCGCCAGCAACAGGTTGGCCAGCTTGCTCTGGCCGTAGCGAGCCCACCTGCCCAGCAGCAGATTCTCCTGCTTGGATTTCAGACCGTCAAAGTCTATTCCGTTGAGCGGGTGCGTGAAGTAGCCCAGCGACGTCACCGTCACGTACCGCACGTCTGCGTCTGGCACCTCCTTGGCCGTCCGCAGCATGATGGGCAGAAGACGGAGTAGCAGCGCCGTGTTACCGACGTGGTTAGTTCCAAACTGGATTTCGTAGCCATCCTTTGTGACAGCAGCCGGGACGGCTAGGATCCCTGCGTTGGCGATGAAGACATCTAGACGACTGTGGTGGAACTTTGCCGCGGCATCGCGGATGCTGTCGAGGCTGTCGAGCTCGCAAGGGAGAAACGTCACGCTTGAAGGGGTGGCACACTGGGATATGACTTGTGCGGCTGATTTCTCGTTGCGGCCAGTGAAGTAGATGTGCTCCGGGCTGTGTTTAGAGAGCTCAAGGACGGTGGTTTTCCCAATGCCGCTGGTGCCTATTTGCTTGACGGTCAATTCTTGTTCATCAGGCGCGACGAGATGAGACTTGCCTCCAGTGATGAGAATGACTTTGCCCGAGAGGTTGGGCACGTCAGTGTCGGGATCGTATCCAAGACCCATTTTGTAATGCAGCGTTTGAATAGAGTAGATGAACAACAGTAGGATTAAGAATACAATATACAAATCCCTTGAGCAAGAAGTTTTCACTTCCCATGCTCTCTTTATATACACCTCGCCATCCCATCTCCCTTCCCACCACTCCCCCAATTCCACTCACCGGCGCATTCAATCTCCCCATCAACCACGCGCAAAAACATCCACCACGGCAACGACTTTCCTTTTTCTGCTCCTTTCCAATATCGCGAGCCCCATGCCGAGCTCGTCAATACGGGAGTCGAGCCGGTGGGTCTCCGGAGGGATTACCTACCGGCGGAGCAGTACTAGCAGATGTTATCCCTGCCTGGTGGCTACTTGCTGCGGTTTCTGTTAGTGCGGGATAAATTTCGAGATGGGCACTCCGTTGGATCGAAATACGGCCCGTCCGTTTGTTTTGATGGGCTGCAATGAAACCTGAAGATTTGCTGCAATGAAGAATCCCTTAGCCGGGCCCCGGTTTCATAACAAGAACCATTCGCATCCTTCTCCTATGTCTCTAGACTATCGTCATATGCGAGGTATAGATAATTCACAGCTTGTAATAGGTAGTAGGTACCTTAGCATCGTATCACAGGAATTCAAAGAATCGTGTCTTTCATATAAAAATGGCTTAATTGCTTTCCCCTTCTGGCCAAAGAATGGGTATTCGAATCACGAACAGAAAGGAATCAAGAGAGAGAGAGAGAGAGAAACCAAACAAAAGCTGAAACAAGAAAAACACCTTGACCCAGGTTTCCCAATACTATTCTAACACAAAAAAGCGCCGGCCAGATGTTTTTGTTTTTAAAACGACATGAAATCCAAAGCCCAGTTGCGTTGGCGTTCGCGGTCCAACCTCAACCTCTAATCGCCAGCTGCCTCAAGCCCTGCTAATAGCTCTCGCTCTAGCTCGTCGAAATTGTCCGTTTCTGCGCTGCGAGGTGGAGGTTCATCGCTTTCGCCAGCATCTCCGTTTGGCGTATGTACGGATCGCAATGCGGAGGCTCCTCTACTCCGTGACACCCGCTGCTTCTTCGCCAGCGCACTCTCTCCAACAACACTTGATCCGTCTCCGTCAGACTCAATGGTAGACGCTCTGGTCTTGCGTTTTGTGCCTCTTCGCCCTGGATCATCGGTATCATCCCCCTCGCCGTCCGTTGTCTCGCTGTCATTCTCCCCTTCCTCCTCCTCATCGGCTTCTTCATCTCCCTCGTCGTCTTCGTCGTCGTCATCATCGTCATCTAGACCCAAAAACTCCTTAAGCTCTTCATCAAAATCACCCATGTTGATGGGGACGCCAGTATCTTCCATTTCGGCCGCGCTAGTTTCTGCAGTGTCCTCTGACCTCTCACGATCGGCATCAAGAATGGCCATGTAGTATGGGCTTTCGTCTAGCCTACGCCATTGGCTAAGACAGTCCGCCAGCCAACTCTGGTTCACAATCTTGATACTGGGAATCTTTGCCGCTTGCTGTACCTTTTTGGTTCGCGGTCGCGCCAGAGAAACTACAAGGTGTGTGACCCGGGGCGAGACGCTATCCACGACCTGGGCTCCAAAGCTTTGCGCATGCATTCCAATTTCAGACTCCTCAATGTTCACTCCCAGAGGCACTAGACCAGATAGACATATAACGAGGCCCGAGAGAACGCTGGATTTGAGCTCGTCCAGTATGTCTCCTACGGGAGGAACAAATGAGAGATCCACACCGTCGTCAGGGTGAGATTTCCTACGCGCTTTGGTATGCCCTGGCGGGTGGGTTGGCTCCGACTTTTTCCTCTCCTCCCGCTTCTTATCGTACATATCGTAAAAGGCAGCGTGGAGATCAGTCAAGTGATCTTGCAGAGTAACAAGCTCTTCGTCATCGTCGCTTAATAGATGCTGTCTGTGGTGGATGCTCGAAGATGCACCACCTTCTGAGTCTTGGCGCTCATCCTCTTTATCCAGCTCCTCTTGCATATGCAGCAACGGGCGATCAGTCAGTTGCTTTTCCAATGTCTTTTCCTGCTCCTCCGCCTGAACTTTTAGGCTCGCCTCGTCGCCACCCATCCGGGCTAGCTCATCAAGTGGTGAAATCTTTTCGGTCAAGGCGTTTTCAGCGTTGGAGCTTGGAACCAGGCCGTTTAGCTTTCCTGCGGCAGGTAGAATATCCTGTCGCTTGGGCAAGAAACTCGAGTTGATATCTCCAATTCCCTTGAAGAAGTCATACGGTACGACTTTGATCAGGTTTGGCCGATTCATGGGCCAGACATCCGCACGATCGTCAATAATAACAACCATATCCGTACTGACAGGGAACAGCCTTTGCAAACTCTTTGCCGTAATGCTTCCGTTCTCGTCACGGCTGATGACACGATTGCCAAAGAGCTTCCTGTCCGGGTCAACAATGCGAGCGATATTCAGAGCATACGCGCGGGTTCCCATGGTATACACGTGCAGCTCGTACTTGGTAGAAACGGCTTCCAGGAATTCTTGGAGGCCTGGTCGTAGCTTGATATAGTAGGTGCAGCCGCTAGCCAGACCTCTAGGGCCGTCGTCGTTGAGCTGGAAGCTCTTGACGTCTTTGACAGCTTCGTGGTTGGGGTTTGTCGGGTCACGCTGCCATTCTCCAATAGTTGGCTCTATACACGCATGGATAATGGTCTGGTCCAGATCGACCACCAGACTGAGCTTCCGCTGGCGCAGCAGGCGCTTCTGTGTATCGTGCTCTGCCCTTTTAGCAACGTTTTTGCTCACCATCAGGCCCGTCTGGTCATGTGTCATGTTGATCATGGCCCGGTCCGTGTCTCTTTCTTCGGTGGCCCAGTTGACCTCGGTCATGTCTGCGCCGCAGACGCTGCAAAGGCCCTGAATCTGCACCTCGTGGCCGCAGGCCTCCTCGACAATCATACACGGCATGTCGGCAGCAATCGTCTGCCCTTCCTTGACCCGCCATTCTTTCAGAGTGCCCTCGGCAGGGCTGTCGAACTCGGTATACGTAGTCTCATCGACCCATTCGTCGTCGCTAATCTTACGTCGCCAGGTGAACTTGTATTCTATGATTGTCTCCTGCTTTTTTACGGAATCGCCCGACGACTTGAGCAGCTTGGTGATGACGATGGGATAGTGCAGGCGCGAGCCTAGAGAGACCACCTTGTCGTACATGATGGCTGCGCGCTTCGAGATTTTCGGGCTTTGCGCGCGTCGTGTCTCCTTTCTGCAAGCTCCAAAGCAGAGCTAAAGCTCCTCGAGCTCCCGTCTAGCGCGATCGGCGGCGACGGACAACCGCGACAGCAATTGAGGCCTCAATTGCGTGTTCCAAAGCGATCCTAAAAGGCTTCCCTATGCGCAATCCTGGTAGCGACAGCGACGGTAGCCGAGCCCATGGCCCTCACAAACGAGGTTGCCGAGCTTGGGGGCAGAAACGAGGTCGACGCTGGGTAGATGCTGGATGGCGGAACAGCTCGCGACAGCCGCAGTGGGAATGCCGGCAATATAGATGCTGCGTCGGAAAAGATGCTCAAGAGATACGTCGTAATAGATGTAGATGCTGGATTGCTTTCCGCTCGGGTGTTGCTCACAAGCAGCGGCCGCTTGCTGGGTCAGTTAACAAAGGATATGCTGAGGGTGACGTGACGCAGCTGCCCGCAAACGTCCTTCAATTGAGCAAGCTGAAATACTTTAGCCGCTGCTGGGAGGTACCAAGGTACTTGCTGGGAGCACGCGCCCCGCCAACCCGCTTGTTGCCGTACAAGGTTAGACATGTCGGGTCACGTGGTGCAGTTTGTCTTTCGATTTTTTGTTACTTTTGTGCCGAACGCAACGCTAGGTCTATTTAGGATAAGGTGGCGACGCCACCGAGAAACACGGCGGTAGATTCCGAGAGCCAAAAAATACTCCGAATCTTTGTTGTTCTTAAATTAGAGGATGGCCGCTTCTACTATGTGAAATCTATACAGAGTACATACCTAAACAGTTTGAACATGCAGGCTGTAGATGCGTATATCTTATTCTAATTAAACCTTTTTTTACACCAAGCTAATAAATAATTCCACCCCATAGCTATTGTTATTGCGCCGATATGGGATTTGAGATGCATAAATGCCGAACCCAAAGCTGTACTGAGCACCCAAGTTGCCTACCCTAGAAGTCATAATCACACAGCGGGTCTGGTTCACCGTAGCCCAATCTAGAGCTTCGGTGGAAAGCATCAACAATGGCTCAAGGTCTCAATTCTCGGTGAGCGTGTTTCTCCTTAGACATCATAACCGCATTGCATTCATACATGATCCGTTACAGGCAAATGCCCTTGCCTGTCTAAATAAATAAATAGATAAATAAACACCGTCCACCCGATATGGACAATCTATAATTCCTTATAATGACCCCTCGTCACACCTCAAGCGGCAGCCTGCACCACCTTGAAACCCTCTGAAACCAGTTTTGTAATCTCCTCATTCTTGTGTTGCAGCAAGCCCAAGGCAAACGCGACATCGTTCCATTGCCGCTCTGTCTCGCAGCGGCTGAGTCTTGCAGCGAGCTTTTCCGATAGCTGCTTGGCGTGTTTGTCCTGCGCACACTGTTAGCTTTCTGGTAGATGCAAACACGGCTTTCACCAGGGACAAGTATTCTTACCTTTTCAACAAACCCGAGAAGAAACCTGATGATGCGTTTGAAGCTCTCCTCCTCCATGTTACCGGCGCTGAGCAAACTGAACATGTCAACGAAGTGGTTGTAGACTGCATTGTCTTTGGTGCTGAGCTCCGTAAAGAACATTTTCGCAAGGTCGGCAATCCGCCTGTCTTCGTCCTCCATACATTTGGCCATCTCGCCCAACTGTCCCTTGACCTTGACCTGACCGGCCAAAATCAAGAATGTCAGCGTCATTAAGCAGGTTCGCTTCACGGACACGTCCGTATCTGCAAGACGTCTGTACAAAAAGTCTGTGTTTTCGTCTATCAGGTGGTTAAAGCAGACGGCCATGTCACCCAACGCAATGACGGCATTCGATCGGACTGTGGCATCAGGAGATCGCTCCATGATTGTGATGAGAAGGGGAAGGTTTGTCTCGCAGTACTCAGACGACACGCACATGAGCTTTGCAAGACACAGAGTGGCTGCCGCCTGGAGCCCCTCGTCTGCGTATGTGGTGTTGTTTGCACAAATCTCTGACACAAGGGGACCAAACGTTGCAAGGAGCGACGTCGGGCCATAGAGAAGCTCTCGCTCCCTGATGTGCGCCATGGCCTCTGTGAAATCATCCTCGGTGGTGCCGCCGATGAGATCCAGCTCGTCTGCGTCTTCCTTGTCCTTGTCTGCCTTTGCCGGCGCCTGCTTCTCCTTCTCCTGCTTTCTGCGCTTGAAATCCAATTCGCAGAGCTCCAAATGTACAATTTGTTTGATAGCCACATGGCCGACAATGAAGAGGAGCTGAGAAAGGGCAATGGCATTATCGCGCTTCGCTGTCTTCTGCGGTGATGATGGCATAGCCTCCGGTGAGGTCGGGTCCGATATGTGATGTCCTGTCATGTTCTCATCTCGCGAGGCTGGTCTTGAGCTGGAACGGCCGAAAACTTGCTTGGCCTTTCGCCGGATTATGGCTGAGCAAAGAATATCCGGGTGTTTGGAGAGGGCGTATATTGCGTTGATTGCCTGTTCCGCAACACCGTACCATTCTTTTGTGTCTGAGGGTATGTCGGTTATGGCTGCTAGCCGTGAGCAGACCGCATGGTCATTTGGGAGCCGGGAAAACTTGGAGTTTGATTCCTTGGCTTGCCTTCCTGTGGGATTGATACGTCTTAGAGCAATACAAGTATATTTTGCCAGCTGCAAATCGTTCCGCCCATGGGCTCCCAGACCCGTCCGGAGCATCGTCTCAATCTCACCAACGGCGATCTCAGGGATTGCCGTTGCAAGCATCCCCAGCACGATGATGGCGCCTCGTCTCTGAGTCCGAGAAATCTCTCGCCTCTGGACGCCGTACACCTGCCATAGTTTGGCGACCACGATTTCGTGAATAGCGCCGCTTTTCATCATGGTGGCAAGCAGCTGCTCTAGTGAAGTAAGTTCGGCAGGCGTAGCCCCAAACGTCAAACTTATCATGTTGCGCGCAATATAGTTGGCTGCATCGTTTGGGCTGAAAGAGTCCGGCGCTTCGAAAAATAGTCTCTTGTAGCACTCGATGAGATGGGTTTGCACGCCTTTGCCCTCGTCGCTGTTGCCCTTGGTCCAGATCAATCGCAACATACGGCGAATACCGACCTTGTTCTGCTCAATGTTGTAGGCGTCGCCAATTTCGAAATAATCGATTGCCTCGATGACCTCGCTCTTGTTTCGAGATCCAAGAAGCTGGCAGATGATCTCAGTTGCGTTGTGCAAGACGTCAATGAACTTGATGGCTTCGTTGTAATATCGCCTAGTGAGAGTGAGCTTTTCAATCGCCTCACTTGTAGCCGCCTCTTGTTGTGCTTTTTGGATTGCCTCGAATTTCTCCTGATCTGTCATTGGCTTGGACTTTTCTGGAGATTCGATTTGGGTAGCCTCATCGAGAAGGCTGTTGTCGACTGTAGCATCGGCCAAGCCAGCAATGCCGGGAGGAGGCTTCAGTGCATTCAGCTCTTCTTCAACCTTGTCGTAGCGAGCCTGCCACTCCTTTCGTGAGAGCTGAGCCCCGTGCATAACAGTAAATGGGTGAGTCTTGATAAGCGTGCCCAATAACTTAATCGCGTTACGCCTCACATTGCTGCTCTTGTCTTCAAGACTTCTGCAAGCAAGCTCGGCAGCCTTTTGTCGTCGCTTGGGAAACTTTTGCTCAAGCTCGCAAAGTCTCACATATACCTGCAAGGTGCGGCATCTTGCGTACGGGTTAATGTCAAGGAAACGCTCCTCAAGGACATCAAAGAAGGCGTTTAGCTGGGACTTGTGATTCTCGCTTCGCTCGTCTTGTCTGCTAAGGTAAGCAATCATGTTACCGCACACCTCGATCAAAGCGCATCGAAGAGTATACGACTAGAGCAAGGTTAGCTGCCATTCGCCCTGCTTGTTGATGACCAGCATTAGGTGCAGTTACCTCGCTATCTAGCTGCTTAGCCAGCATTGTCATCTGCTTGATTACCAGCCTTGGGCCAAGCTCTGATAACTTGGCGATGAATGCAGAGACTGACTTTGGTCCTCGAGTATCGTTGGCGTTGAATTCCTTGTTACTTATTTCGCGCAAGACTTCGTCGGTTAGCTGTGGATAGTCGTATGTTTCCGCCAGAATATGCAGAAACTCCGCCATTGGTTCAGACAGATGCTCAAAGTATGTCAAGTTCTGAATGATGTTGATTTGTGCGGCTGTCGTAGTGTTAGTAATGCTGCGCAAAGCTGCTTGGTGAGGCGGGAGAACACACCGTAGCCATGGCCGTGATGCTTGACCGCAATGCACAGGACTTTGAAACAGTGCATCCGAATAGTTGTTGTCTTCACACGTTGCTCATTTTCGAGAATCATATAGACCGGTCGCGTGAGCAGACTGATGAAGGTATCCCTCTCACTTGTTGTCATGAAGATTTTGGACAATTTCAGCTTGAGCGTCTTGCACATGATTTCAAGTGCGACCTGAAGCTGTGATGCCGAGTCCCAAGTGTCCTCTCTTTGCGACGCCTTCTTCGGCTTCCCTCGCCCTCTCGCGACTGGCGCTGTGGATGACTTTTCGGCGGTTTTGGTTTCGACGGCGGCAATGGTCCACTGAATAAGGAATCCATATATCTCGAGCAGCTGCTTGTGATGCGCCACAGATTCCTGCTCCTCCGGTGACTCGATATCGCTATGTACTGCATCCGCCTCGGCACTCAACCCACTCATTACCAAGTCAAACACCTTGCTGAGGATATGAGCTGGTATATAGGGGGTATATCTATCTCGCGGAAGCGCCAGTTAGCCATAGCCTCCTTACTTTTCTTTTTCATCATCCCCCCTCCCTCCGCCCTCTTATGTATGCATGCTGGGGGGATTTATGGCAAGCATACTTGAGCAGGAATTGTAATGAATCTATGTTAACGGCCCTCAGGATGGCATCTGGGTTATCGGCAACCGCGTCGATGATGGGATTCAACACAGGATTGATCACCTGGTTGGTGAGTGCCTCCGGGTCATTCTCGCAATCGAACAGCGCAGCGTCTGCTTCCGGCGTGGGGATCGTGGCAGGATCGGACATGTAATGCTTGAGCGCATCGTTGATATCGAAGGTGATGGTCCCCATGATGGGCGATTTGTGCGCCGATACGGCGGGGTGTGAGCCGGGTATCGAGGGAGGTCAATCAGCACAGGCGGAAGATGAGGCTCTGGAGATTCAGCTGTCAGAGGGTGAGTTGCTGCTCAGCCGAGGCCTGGCTCAGCGTCGAAGCGATGCGCCTGCGTCGTTGCTGCGTCGTGTCGCGACCGCTTAGCTGCGACGGGTGTTGTGTGTGCGGTAAATGGCGGGGATGGATCTCGGGACCTGGCAACCAGCGTGTTTATTTTGTTTGGACGCGACAGCTTGCCCAAGCGCCCCGCCATGCACTAACGGTCGCGTTTTCAGCCACTGAGCAGTCGCTGTAGCTGCCCGAAGCCACCAAAAAGCCCCTCCACACTGCCCTAGAGAACTTCTTCGGGACCTGCATTGATTCGCTGGATACCTTGCGTCTGATGTTAAATACCGGCTCGTGATCATTTTGTCCAGCATCGGTCAGGTGAAACTCAATTGCATCTCCGCACTAGATCCTGCTATACATTGGAACGTAAAAAGGTGTTCCTCTTTAGCTGAGACACAGACTACTTCCTCACAATCTCCAATTCTCTGGAGAGAAGCTGGCGGCCATGGCGACGGCAACGCTTCGGCCGGTGGAGGATGCTTTTGACATTCATGAGGATGCTAGAACAGAAGAAACAGAGGTCATGGTGGACGAGGACGACGTAGACGACCAGGATGCCGCTACGGTTGGCGAGCCCGAGGCGGAGGAAGAGGCAGAAGAAGAGGAAGAAGAGAGCTCCGACGAGGAGCAGGTCGAAAGCAGTGTCCAGGCAGACATGGAGAGATTACAGGAGGACTTCCCCGGATTTCGAGATCGGTATCGGCTGATCAAGCGTATTGGAGAAGGTTTGTCAATTGAATATGTCACGAGAGTCCCGGGACTGGCTCAATGCTCATGTTTGTTAGGCACATTTTCTACCGTCTTCAAGGCTGAAGACATTCACTACGATCGATACGACAACAGCTGGGACCATGAAGACGATTTGTCGAAATGGACTCCTCCTCCTCTCAAGGGACGCTCAAGTCGATCGCGGTCTCCACGGAAGCGAGCGCGTTTTGTTGCCATCAAGAAGATCTACGTTACATCCAGTCCTGCCCGAATTCTCAACGAGCTCGAGCTGTTACACGACTTACGACAGTGCCCATCCGTCTGCCCTCTCATTACCGCCTTTCGGCATACCGACCAGGTCGTTGCCATTCTCCCTTATTTCCGGCACGGCGACTTTCGAGCATACTTCAGAGAGATGACGATCCCCGACATTGCCATCTATCTTCGATCACTCTTCACTGCTCTTAAGAGCGTACACGAACACAAGATACTACACCGAGATATCAAGCCCACCAACTTCCTCTACGACCCAACAACCCAACATGGCGTTCTCGTGGACTTTGGCTTGGCTGAACGAGAGGGCACCGATAGCAAGCCATGTCTTTGCCACGAAGCACGAGAAACGCGGAAGCATCGCCAGGCCGGATCCGTCTGGGCGCAGACTTCGATGAATACCCAGCCGGGCTATCCCAAATCAGACACGCGCCCCTCCCGCCGTGCCAATCGTGCGGGAACTCGAGGGTTCCGTGCCCCGGAAGTTCTCTTCAAGTGCACGGAGCAAACCACGGCAATTGATGTCTGGTCAGCCGGTGTCATACTGCTCACCATACTGTCCAAGCGATTTCCCTTCTTCAACTCGGCCGATGACGTCGAGGCAATGATTGAGATTGCAACGATATTCGGGTCCAAGCGAATGAAGGCGGCCGGACTACTGCACGGCTGCGTCTTTGAAACAACGATACCCACAATTGGCCAACAGGGCTTCACCATGGAGAAGATTATCCTGTGGAGCACGTGTAGGGCAGAGGACAAACCGCTGACTCCTGACGAGAAGCTGGCCATTCGATTCCTGGAACGGTGCATGGAATTGGACCCAAGCCGGCGCATCTCAGCGCAAGAGGCTCTGGACCATGAATTTTTGAACATGGGAATGTCATCCCAAGAAACTGCTGACGAAGACGAGGTCGACATGCTGCCTGCATGAACGGCCAATAGGGTTAGCATAATATACTGACGAGGATAAAGCATATCTAATTGGACATGCCATGATGAAACGAACAATGAAAACTAGGTACTAAGATAGATGGATGGGTCAACATGTACTCGATCATGTATGCTATTATGGGTACTGTTAACGGCGTTTTGGAGCATTACTACATCAACTCTGCGAGCTAGACAATGGCTGAATCTGGAATCCAGATTCATAGTTGTATACCCCCCCTTTCCCTCCAACATATGCATGCACTGTGATATCATCCCTCAAACGACATCATAATGCCAACACCAGTTCTATCTCGTTTTGCACAGAGGCCGAGTGTCGAGACATTGGGCGAATTTTGATTTTTCATTCGTTAAAAAACTCCGTTATAGAGTCCCTGATGCAATGCTCGTAGCCGACCAACCCAATCCCTCCCCAAAAGACCTTGTCTCGGTATACAGGGGCGAGGATCTATTTTCCACCGTGAAAAACCGGTTCCAAATCCACAAGCCTTACTCCAGCATAGTGTAATGCATTTACGCCACCAGCTCGATAACACCACCAGCCTTCTTGATCTTCTCCTCAGCGAGCTTGCTGACCCATCGTGCGCGGACAACCAGAGGGATTTCGGGAATGCGGCCCTTGCCAAGCAGCTTGGAGTAGCCCAGAGGGAGAAGGTCGAGAACGGGGACGGTGTCCTTCTTCTCACCGGAGACGTAGGCCTCACGGGTCTCGACGGGGACGAGTGACCACAGCTAGATTTTTCTCTCGTTAGTCAATTGATTCTTTGACCGAATAATTTCGCCTCGAATATGTTTGGGAGGACATCTTCTAGACCCCGTCTTCCACGACTCCCACGACGTCCCCCCAAAAAAGTATTCGATACGGGAAAGAGTTGAAATGTACCTTGTCGAGGTTGATGATGGGCTTCCAGAAGTGGTTCTGCTGCTTGTGGAAGTATCGCATACCAACCTTACCGAAGTAACCGGGGTGGTACTATCGTAACGGTCAGTCAAGCTTGTCCGGCGCTTCTCTCGTCATTATCAAGTCGTTCGAACCTTGTCCATGTTGGTTCGGTGGTGGTGCTGACCACCGGCCAGACCACGACCACCGGGGTGCTTGCGGTGCTTTCCTACACGACCCTTTCCATGGGAGACGTTACCGCGGCTGTGAACGAAGCAATTTGTTAGCCAGCCATCGCAAATTGCGAATCTTTTTCAACATGCGCCTTTCCAAGGCCACCAGGACGGCGGTCTCCTCGATTCCGGCAGTCGAGAAACATTATCCAACGGGCTCATAAACGTACTGCTTGCGGGTCTTCGAAGTTCGGGTAGGCATGGCGACGGTTGTGGTGTTGTCGCTTCTCCAATGTGTTGCGTCGAAGGACTGGAAGTGGGTGGTGATGTTTTTGCGGCCAGCGGCTTTGGCACTGCGCAGCCCCGGAAAATTGTTAGGCGAGAGGGCAGCACAGCCCTAAGCCTAATTGTGATTGTTCGCTCGCACTGAATAATTTGCAATCACGTGCTGTGGGTCCACGTGGTTTCGTGACACTGCCGCGATAGAAGCGACATCCCAATGCGGGGCTCTTTCTATCAAGGACGATTCGGCGCGATTGGCAGATTATCTCATCATCTCACCTGTAGTGTGCACTAATCCTCACACCGCCCGCGCGACGCCATTATACGCGTTTCATTGCTGCTAAGAGTGGTGTCTGATATCAAATGTCATTCGCCTCATTGGACGAGCAAGATATGTGATGAAACAAGGCGGCAAAATGATAAAAGTGACAAAATGGCCTTGACAGCGGAAGTCGATAGCATTGCGCACGAGTTGTCGAGCCTTGACTTTCACCACCCATTTACGCCGTATGATGTCCAAAATCAGTTCATGCAAACAGTGTATCAAGTTCTGGAGACCGGACAAGGACAAGTGGGAATCCTGGAAAGCCCAACTGGTACTGTAGGTGTACTTTTCCCTTGAGACAGTTCATTGATCCAGCTGGCTTTGGGCAGGAGGGAGTGGCGATTGTTTGCGAGCCCAGGCATCATAGACTGATTGTCATTTCAGGGTAAATCTCTCTCGCTCATATGCGCATCTTTAACATGGCTTCGAAACCATAAAGCTACTAGGCAGGAGGCAGAACTGCAAGTGGCAGGAGAGTCGTATAAAGACGAACCGGCTTGGATTGTCGAGCAGCTCCTGTCTCGTAAAAGACAAGAATTGTTGAGGCAATGGGAAGATAGAGAAAAGCGTCTTGCTTCCTTTAGACTTAGAGAGAAAATTCAGGAGGAAAGAAGCCGAAAGCGACGCCGTGTGGAAGACGTTTCTGCCGCCGTTGAAACAACGGCTGACGAAGATGCCGAATGGCTACTGGATGCTGATGATGACGACGCACGCCAAGAAGATGCCCTATCTGGTCTGAGTAAAGAGTCGCGAGAGATTCTTGAGAAGATTGGCTTAGGAGGACGTATGAAGCAAACGGACGATGAGGACATCCTAGAAGAGAAAATCAAGGTGCGAGTATCGACACTAATTTCGCCTCTGGCCATAGTAACCATGAGTAATAGATCTACTATACATCCAGAACACATTCTCAATTATCGCAATTCATCACAGAACTGCGCCGCCCTGTGTTTCCGTCGTCATTGCCTCCGTCGGTTGCAAAGGGATCAGATGTCTCCTCAACTGAACCTGTGAAGCTTCTACCACTATCGTCGCGACAGAAGCTCTGCATCAACCCATCGGTTGCTCGTCTCGGGTCAGTTCAAGCCATCAATGACCGCTGTACAGAACTCCAGCAAGCAAAGTCCAGCACCAAATGCTCGTTCGTTCCGAAGGAAGAACTTCTTAGCCAAACCCACCAGTTTCGGGATTCCGCTCTGGCCACGCTCCCAGATATTGAAGATCTTCATCTGCTTGGAAAATCCTTGTCAATATGTCCCTACTACGCCTCCCGTGTGGCTCTGCCTGGAGCTGAAATCATCACACTGCCATACCCGCTTCTGCTGCAACGTAGTGCTCGCGAGGCTCTGGGCATTAAGCTTGAGGGTAACGTGGTCATCATTGACGAGGCGCATAATATCCTCGACGCGATATCGAACGTGCATGCCGCAGAGCTGCAGCTGAGCGATCTCCGCAGAGGTCGCCAAATGCTTGGCGTTTATGTTAAACGATTTGGCAAGAAGCTAAAGGGCATAAATCGCGTAAATGTTGGGAGAGTAGGGAGAGTCATTGACGGGCTGTCCGAGTGGCTTGAGGGAGCCTTGAAACTCAAGGTATGGTTTCGGAACGGCATATATCTTTTGGAGACCCAGCTAATGCCCTTTTAGAATGAACATGGGATTGTCGATCCAAATGATCTCACAAGACACAAAGGTATTGACCAGATCAACATTTACGAATTAATCCAGTATATACAAGAGTCCAAACTGGCTTATAAGATTGAGAGCTACGTTGCTCACGTAGAAAGCGAGGGCGAAAACAAGAAACCTGGACTCTCAAAAGCCGGAACGCCTGTCCTGCATATGCTTGTTTCATTCCTTATTGCCCTTACGAACCTTGGCTCTGAAGGTCGCATCTTCTACCAAAAGACTCAAGGGGCCACTGCAGATGTCAAACTTACATATCTGCTTCTCTCGCCCACTCATGCTTTCTCCTCAATTGCTTCAAGCGCCAGGGCTGTAATCCTGGCCGGTGGAACAATGTCACCCTTTCAAGACTACAAGGATCAGTTATTTCCCACCCTGGATAACACAAAGGTAACATCGCTAAGCTGCGGACATGTTATTCCGGCAGAAAATCTTTGCGTCTGGACCCTTGCTTCGACCAATACCGAGTCACCGCCATTCGAGTTTAGTTTCAAGCACCGAGGAAACAAAGAAATGATGAATCAGCTGGGTTTGGCAATCTTGAACGTATGCAATATTGTACCTGACGGAGTGGTCGTTTTCTTCCCGAGCTATGGCTATCTCGATGAAATAATAGCGGTGTGGCAGCAACGCCAAGGTGGAAGCTCTCAAACTACATGGGATCGACTGCAGGCGCGAAAATTTGTTTTCAGAGACACCAAGGGTGAAAGCAGCGAAGAGGTGCTGCGGGACTACTCCGAAGCGATCCTGGGGACTAGACCAGCCGGGGACAAGCACACCGGGGCTTTACTCCTGAGTGTTGTCGGCGGTAAAATGTCCGAAGGCATCAACTTTTCAGACCGATTGGGACGCTGTGTGATGGTCGTTGGGCTACCCTACCCAAACATTGCATCGCCAGACTGGAAGGCAAAGCTTGAGTACATTGAGTCGACAACAGAGGCCCGACTCATCAAAGAAGGGCAAAGCAGCAGCGATGCAACAGCACAAGCGAAGCAGGCCGCGAGAGACTTTTACGAAAACGCCTGCATGCGAGCCGTCAACCAGAGTATTGGTCGGGCGATCCGACATCGTGGAGATTACGCAGCAATCATCCTGGTCGACCGAAGATATGGCACGCCTCGGATACGAAATAAACTGCCTGGATGGATTCAGAACGGCCTTCAGCAAGACAGCCATGAGAAAGGGCTTGGCGTACTGATGGGAGCACTAGGCGGCTTCTTTCGCAAGAAGTCTCAAGCAAGTAGTGGCAGCGCATAAGCACCAAGTTTTAGGAGGTAGACTTTGAACATTTTGCCTAGCAGGATTCTCGTAATCATCTACCACTAGTACCCTCTATATGAGAATACCTGTATCTTTATAGAGTAGGTGCGGAGTATAATCATGCATAGCAAGGTATCCAGGTACCTAGTCGGTGATTTCCGCGTGTCCATAGGTACCGACTTACCTATCTATTATAACACGTGTATTATCGTCAGTGGCCTTGGGATTAACTGCTTCTTCTTCTTTTTTGTACACATGAGGGTTTTTTTTTTCACCCTGGTGGATGGCCCTATACTGCCTCCTACTGTGCTGGTGGTTCGATGCAGTGGGATGTGTCTCAGGGAGCTCTATTCAGGGCCTCTGCGCTTGTACATGTACCAACTTAAACTTACTAAATGTCTCTCCCCTGTGTCACCCTCCTGGTTCAGAATGTCTCATTGCGTTTGGGAGACTAGAGGGAATTTTTTCCACAAACAAAAGAAGGGGCAACCAATCCTTGTGTGCTTTGAATATATTAGAAAGTTGCTGCTGTTTTGAAATATTGACGGCTGCAGGGTAGTATATGGAGTATTGGAAGCATCAAAACCAGGTAACCAGCGGTTATATACTGGATCGTGCCTATCAGTATGCTTTATACAGAGGTATGTTCTCAGCTTATTTCAAGGATTTGCTACGCTTCCATGGTATACAGACGATACTTGTATGGATGAGCTATGAGGAGAGACTTGATGTTTGAAATATGACAGGGTGTGTCAATTACTCCCCACACTATAAGCAGAGACACTACTGACTCAGTTGGCGATATCCGCAAAGTCCCATGACAGTCATAAAGCACTGCTACCTAGATTAGTGCCTAGGCAGTTACTGATCCTTTCTGCACGTATACACAGGTAGGCATTCAGTATAGCCAGTTCATGTACCTCCATGTATGCTTACCTCTACTCTATGCGTCCTCTTCTGGTGGCGTGATGTTAACGTGCAAAAGCTTCAGTTGACACCACCCCCGCCATACTTACCTAAGTGAACGCTGACATGAGAACCTCCAAACAGAAACATTCCAGATAACACAAGCTCGAGCTAACACTGTTCCTGTTAAGTGGCGGAGGGGCTGCAGGGTTTTCTCGACGGGCCGGTCGCTCATGAACCCTTTTGATTCGCCACCAAGCATTGATTGGCCCCGGACGCCTTCTAGTCCGTATCTGGCCGTGCGGATGTGAAAATATTTGTGCTTCGTCGGCCTAGGTCGGAGGAGGGGCGGAAGGGCAGCGCTCAGTGTCGGAGGCAAAATTCCATTCTTGACTCACTACAAGTCCCGATACGAGAGCTCACCGTCGTTTTGGTTTGCATGGAGTTGCTGAAGCGTGAGGGTTCATCAAGTGATTTTTGACGTCTTCTCATCATACTTTGTGGTGTGCTTTTGTTGCCTTGGTCCTTGCAACCGGACGCCGGTTTACAAGCCGTTTCACAAACTCAAACTCCGACTCAGCAGCATCCAAACACAACGCCCAGATGTTGGTGGATACGGTAGAGGCCTCGGCGGTGCCCGTCAGAGAAAAGGATGGCCATCAAAGCGACGAGGAGTCGCTGCTCCACAAGGTCCTGCGAGCTGGCCGTGTCGAGGAGCGAGGCATCCTCCCTGTGCCAGTTGAGGAGCGCAGCTCAACCCGCTTCTTCAACATCTTCACTGTCTGGTTCTCCATAAACGCAAACATTCTGGGGTAAGTTCCATCCCGAAAGATGGGGCCATCACCTGTGCTCTTACAGAACATCTTGTACCCCATATAACAAGCAGCTGCTAACCGCGCCCGCTGCGTCTTATGCAGGATTACCTTTGGCATGTTGGGTCCCTTAGCGTACAATCTCAGCCTCAGAGACTCATCCCTTGTGATCTTGTTCTTCTGTATGCTGTCGACTATACCCCCGGCATATCTTGCCATCTTGGGCCCCAAGACGGGCATGAGGCAGATGATCCAGGCCCGGTACAGCTTTGGGTAAGAATATCTTCTAGAAACTCTAACTACCTGAGAGACCAGCCCAACTAACCGTGGCCGATTTGATATCCAGACGATATATTGTATCGATACCAGTGCTGCTGAACTTGGCTAGCATGACCGGCTTTACTGTCATCATCTGCATTACTGGTGGACAGTGCCTTTCCGCCATCTCAAACGGGTCTATCAATGAAGATGCAGGTATCGTCATCATTGCAGTATTGTCCCTATTAGTCTCATTTTGCGGCTTTAGGGTACTGCACATATACGAGACGTATGCATTCATCCCGGCCATCATCAGCGTTGTCATCGCTACTGGCTGCGCTGGTTCGGGCCTCAAGAAGCAGGCCACCCCTGAGACTCCTGCTACCGCCGCAAACGTCCTAAACTTTGGCATGATCATTGCTAGTTACCAGATCCCATGGGCTGCCCTAGCGAGTGACTTTACCACCTATTTCGATCCCAAGGTTCCATCGTAAGTTCCCATATGCTCCTCCCTTTCATTTTAACACACCTTGCTTCGATTCTACGTACCAGCTTGTGAGAATGAGTTGGGAAAAAAGATTCTAATGATCGACAGCTGGCGCGTTTTCCAATACACTTACTGGGGCCTGCTGATCCCGACCGTGCTGCTCATGGTTCTCGGAGCGGCCGTTGCGGGAGCGATGCCCAACAACCCCGAGTGGCAAACTGCATTTGATGAATATTCGGCTGGTGGTGTTCTTGCGGCCATGCTGGCACCTGCGGGAAACTTTGGCAAGTTCGTTGTCGTAGTGCTGTCGCTCACTCTGCTGGGAAATACTTGCGGAACGTTTTATGCCATTACGCTCAACTTTCAGACTTTGGCACCGATCCTTTTCAAGGTGCCTCGATACCTGTTTGCCGTGGTCATTACCGGTATCATCATCGCAGTGGCTATTACTGCAGTTGGCGACTTCTTCGAGAGCTTGGAGAACTTTGTGTCCCTAATTGGCTACTGGTCTGCTGCATTTGTTGGAATCGTCATTGTTGAGCATGTGGTGTTCCGCCGCCAGGACTACAGTTCATATGACCACGCCATCTGGAGCGACGCAAAGAAGCTGCCACTTGGCATCGCGGCTATATCGAGCGGTATTTTGTGCTTTGGATTGGTCGTTCCTTGCATGGATCAGGTGTGGTGGCAAGGACCGATTGCGAAGACCACTGGAGACATTGGTTTTGAAATGGCATTTGCAGTGAGTTCATTGATCTACGTACCTCTCCGCTACGCCGAGAAACGACTTACGGGCCGGTAATGGAGAATGGGAGCATGTCTTGTTGCTTTTTTGGGTTAGGATAAAAACAAATGTATTACGGAGATGCTGCATGAAGCCTGCGCCTCCTTGCTTTGGGTGGGTTGCATGCACGTACGGGTGGCTTTAGTGTTGAGATTAATGTTGGCGTCCTTGGCCTTTTCTCTTACTGGACTCGAAGTATTTCATAGATGTCCTGAGAGACTAGGCAGTGGTTGTTTTGTTGTCGGTTTGAAGAAGACACTTCAAGCAGTTTAATAATTTCGACGTTAAACATTTTCTATATCGAGTACCTTACAATGTTTATCCCCCCAAAGAGAAAGAGAAAGCACAAACTCTGTAGAAGAGACATTTCGCTTTATTATTTGTGATTTTGGCCTAGCTCTCTGCAATAATAGTGGTTTACTTTTCTGTTGGTCGGCGGCCTGTTGGGAGGTATGATACAGGCAAGTACCATTCTCTGCATGTGGTGTTGGCCACATGGCCGTCCTCCTTTTTCGACTAACACAATTTGACTTCGTCCTTGCAAAACATGGCTTCACACCACACGCAGAACCTCGAGCCGAGAAGTATCCTGGCTGCTGTTACAGAGCTTGGAGTCGGTGGAAATGGCGCATTTCTTGACGGGGAATTTAATGGAGGGGAGTGTTGCGTCTTCAAACTTAGCTTCGAAGACAAAGCGAGTATCGCCGTTCGGGTGTCGCATCCCACAGATGACAGTCGTGACGACATAATCGCCACAGTTCAAACCGAAGTGCGACTTCTTCAGACTCTTGAGTCAAAGGGCTTCCGCTGGTCGCCGAGATGTTGCGGCTTTAGCCCAACGTTCGATAACCCGATTAAATATCCATTCATCATATTAACTTGGATTGAGGGTTCTACCTTGACCTGGGATGATGACTTTCCACGACAGCCTCTTCGAGATGTGTTACTTGGTCAAATAGCCTCAATACAGCTATCCTTGATCACATGTACACTAGAAAATCGTATGTAAGTACCATCAACGAAGTATTGAAACCTTTACTTAGTAGCATTAGGGTCTACTTCCGCAGCTGCTTTCTTCCAACGACGTATGGGAAATAGATTGGCTCAGGTGCGAGAAGGCAGGATTCCTGGTCTCTCTGAAAAAAACTGCATCGAACAACAAGCTCTGGTTAGCCAGGTGCTTGGCGAAGATCAAAATGATACTGCCTTCGCCGTGGAGCACGGCGATATTAAGCCGAATAATATCATAATTGATCAAGATTATAATATTAAATGGTATGTGGGAAATGCTACGGCTGGGGGTTTTATTTTTAAAACGCGTGACTAATAGCATATTATTTGGCAGTATTATCGACTGGGGCTTTGCTGCCTTTGTACCGATCACAAAAGCCACAGGCCTGCCTCGTTTTCTGTGGTCTAGCGACTCGGACCCGGCTGAAGTTGCACCGAGTCAGACCCTTCTGAAGGATAGGCGGGCATATGTTAGTTCATTTTTATCACAGACTTCGCAAGCGGCGCTATCTATAGGTATGCGGCACTGGTATAATGTCCACGACATATATTTTCGTACCCTCTGCTTAGAGTCCACTTCCAGCAAGGGGGTACATGCTTCTATGGCGCGGGTCGGATGGAAACTGCCTTGTGGCGAGTTCCTCGGGGACACTGAAGACCACACATAAACAGGATTTCTGAGGGAGGGGAGAATGTAGTTTCCTGGGCAAGAGTGTTGAGTGTGACTCTTAGTGAAACGCATAGCTGGCAAGAGTTGTCAAGGACGTATTGTGATAGAGTATGTCGCAATCCGAAAAAGAAGGCTCCGTGTATTTCCCTGGGGCTCCATATCCAAAGAAAATGAATGAATCCCCGACTTCCGCTATCAGTTAGGTTTGTCATTGCCTCCGAGAAGAGAATATTCTGCAGACTCCTAGAAGCAACACGAGACTGTTGTCTGGAAACATTGGAGCGGGGCCCCTTTTCACCCAATCAATCCGATTTGAGGGCTTAGAGTGAGGACTATAGTGTCGGCTACTTCGTGGTAACAGTGTTGGCCTTGCTTGATATTGGACGTTTCATTGTCAAAAAGTTGCTAGGCCTCTTGTTTAGTGCTTTTGCCACTGCCACGCTGATAAGCAGTGTCGTTAGTGACTTATCATGTCGAGTTAGCAGGTCTTAATAGCTACACAGTTAATATATATATGGATATGCTATATAGCAGAGCATACCTCGGAATAAAAGTATTCAAGCACTGTATTGCCAAATATAAAGAGTCGTAGTTAGCTCCAGTGGAGGGGATGCGGAGGACGGAACTGCCATTACGGCCAGCACTTGAGGGCATCAAAGGCTCTCGAAGATTGGTTGTCGTCAGCTCCGAGGATGCCTTGCACATACGGAGAGCACGGGCCGGGAGCAGGGTCCAGGTCGAAAATCTTTTCCGTGCACTTGCATAATACAGTCAATCTCCATCGAATACGACCGCCTAGAGTGAAGTGCCGGGTTATTTTGACGCACGGAAAACCTTTTCCGTGCTTGCATATAATCAATCTCCATCAAACACGGCTTAGAATACAGGTTTCGGCAAGAAGGCAAGAACAAACTTCTGTCGTTTACTCGTGTATTACCGAACGATTTTCTCCGTAAAGAGCCGGGCCAATTTGCTAATGCGCCGAAAATCTTCTCCGAAGCTGCATGGAGTTAATCTCCATTGATTACTGTCTGGAGTAAAGTGTCGGGCTATTTCCACTTGATCCTGGCATAGACAACTAGCGTCGGTGAGCTTGGCGCGATATACAGGACCGGGCAGGGCAAATGAGAGAAGTGAGAATTGTGATTCGTTTTCTTCTTGCCTCTATTTATTCATCTTTTTGTCCATGTCTCGGGCAGACTGCCCTACGGCGGGAGCAGAATCTCGTTATTACAAACCGTGGCTGGCGAAGACTTGACCACTTCGTGAAGTAGGCTACATATGCAGAGTGAACTCTCAGGAGGCCAAAACAAGACTTGACTGACCGTGGGATTATTTTCAGAACTCCCTTAGTCGTCGGTAGTCGGTCTAATAATTGAAGCCTGCTCTCAATAGATCCCACATGGATGTCGATACGTAGCCGCGTCTTATGTCTATCAATGACTTAGATCTTGTGAGGTCTTTAGAAGGCCCAAGCACTGCGTATATCTTTGAATTTATCTTTTGATTTGAAACTGGTTGAACTGGTTAATCCCTGTCGATGCCAAGATCTGTTTTGTGAAGATTTATATACGAGCAGTCGCTGAGCTTGCCGCATCAAGTGTATGGCACATTCTCGCTTATATGCACAAAACGTCTATCCGCAAAGAATACTACCTACCTAGGTACATGTATTGATGAAAAGACCGATATTTCCCGGTTACGACGCTACTACATGTGGGAGGCATCAAATCAGTAAACCCTAAAGCACCGATCACCATGTCGATGCCTGCTATGAGCTCGAGTACAAATACAGTCAACCCCCTCGCTACCTCAAGTCGCGCCGTGCTAGTAGAAACCATGCAAGGATTTGCAAGATAACAGGGAGTTTGCAAACGATCGGCAGACAGAATTACGCTGAGCGCACACATCGACCGCGCGAAGTTCCACGAAATAGTGCTCGTATTGTCTCAATGTATGCACATATTCTTCTTGCGGTCCCTCTTTTTTTGTAAACTAATACTTGCTATGGCAGCACCTGTAGCACCTCTCACACCCTCTCACTCCCGACCAGGTTTGTGGCGAGGCGTGGAGACGGGTAACCACGTAGGCTACATATACATCGGCTACTTTGTGCCTTTTATTCCTAATCCTAACCACCGAGCCAAAGTCTGGATGCAATTCTGCAATGCCTGGACTCGAGAATCGGCCTGTCGCTGGCCATCGCATGACTTGAATGCTTATATGTTGATCAACCCCATGCTTCTTATCTCTGCCTGAATCTTAATCGTCCGTCTCTCAACCAGGGATTGCCCTATCCGGCACTTCCCTTCTCTCCCGCCCCCTGTCTAGCGTCCGCACACACGCATGAGACCATAAGCAGCATTCACTTTCAGAGCAAAAGCGAAGGAAACACTGGAATTGACCATAAAAAGGCGACTTAGTGCCGCAGCCTGAGGGATTTTAACCTGAATCTAGAAAGTCGCCGCGGAGTTGCGTCGTAGCGGTGCTGCTTGGCGAAGTCGAGTTCGGGCTACAAGTATGGCGCCTTTTCTTTTCTTGTGCATCTGGGGGCTCGTACAGTGTTATTTCATTTCAGGCTGTCTGATAAATGGATGTACGGAGTACACGAGTCAATCAATATCCAGACCCAAGGCTGCTGCACGATTAAGCACCTTGTTCCATGTGGCCTTGCCACATGTTATACCCATCAATGCCTCACAAAGTTGATGCTGTTTGCGGACGTGCTTGTAAGAGAATTCCCAGACTTGGAAAGGATGCAATTATTTCCAGCCTTAATTAATGCATAGTGCAGAAATAGCGCCGACAACTATATTGTGTCGCATGTGCCCAAATTGCTAGGCTGACCGCTTGGCTGACCAGTCTTCACTTGCGAAGCACCTCCTTGCGGAGTACCTCGTGCCCAATTACACACAATACTAAACATGCCATGTACTCGTAGAGCGTCTTGTGTCTTCGCGAACCCCGGCATTGTCAGCATCGTATGGAACCTAGTTCTCCAGACAGGCAAGGCAAGGCAATGTGAAGACAAGGCTAGCACACACACAGTTTAAATTATTACTACTGGGCATTACTCTCACGGCTCTTACTGCAGCGACTCCGGAGCTTAGTCACCAAGCCGTGTTTTGCTAGTCCATGTAAGTTCCAAGTTGTGCAAACGGAGGGCTGATGCCGTGTGCACAGTCCAATGTAAGCTGGCAGCATCAAGTGGCATTGGAGCCGTCAGCGTGTCAGGGGGGAACCCGGAAGCTGCAAAACCAATGCCGCGTTACTACATCCCCATTCGATTGCTGGTCTCTACTAAAAGCAAACTAGGCGCCTACTTACATACGTTGTACATGTAGTGCCGGTCCTCTCCCGTCCACAGATGCGTTGACTGGCTGGGCTCCTATGTCTACCTTAGTACTGTTACCTCGAGTACAGGCCATGCACTCGAATCTACCCAACTCCATGTACTAGGCCGTATTCATTCGCGTGTGTTGCAGTGCTATACCTGTCGAGATTGAGTGCATACCAATGTGCACGTGGCTCAATATATATCAGCCGTGCGCCCACCATCCCACCTTGTCCAGACTCAGACTATTGAGTCCAGCACATGAGAGCTGAAGTCCCAGAAAAGGAAGAGGTGCAGACACAAAAATCGCAGCAAAACTGCCAAATACGAACAGACACGAGATTACAGCCTCTTACACTTATAAGTTCCTTTCCTCTCGTGGCTAGCAATCTATAGCTTCGCCGTAGGCGAAACCGAAGGATTGGATTACAGGCCCGTTGCCATTGTCATTCTTCGTCTCACGCCCGCCCTTTCAGCTTGACTCGTCTGAAAGCAAGCATGGATCCATCAGGTATGTCGAGTATTTCTTACTTTCAATACGATGTTTGTTCTTCAACTGGCCTATTCTTCCATTATGTCATATGTCATATCACCACCCCTTTGGAAAGGTATTTACATATATTGCTGGGACGCCGTCTCCCTCTTATTACACGTACATACATATATACATACATACGTACTCCGTACATGCACACTTCTCCGAGCGGGACCCCCTACCACTGCCGTTCTATTCCAAGCTTATTGCTGTGTATGACTTCATATTATACCCCTTCGCCCATCATGGTTGATAACCAGGACTTTGCGTTCAAGTGTTGGCCAGACCAAGTGTTGACCGAAGACATGCACCCCTCAGAAGCTTTTTTCTCAGCGCAGCAACATCACCATCACCAACACCTCTTCGACACAAGCCTGCATCATCATGCCTCTCGAATACATGTACCACATAATCAGCAACAGGAAGACAGGCTGGGCATGTCAGCCCCCACCTTTTCCTCAGAAGGCGCCAACAGCGTCTTCTTCCAGATGCCGGCGCAGCACATGGCCAATGTGATGGCGCCATCATCCTCGGCAGCATCAACACCAACACCGCATCACTACCGCCAGGATTCTCCGACCAGCACACATAGCGGAGGCTCCCATTCAAAGCAGCGCAGCACAACTCGATCAACGGACGGAGACGAAATTGAAGCCTGCAGCGATGAGGCGCAGGCTGCCATTAAGCGTCAGCGCAATACGATGGCAGCACGGAAATATCGCCAGAAACGCCTAGACCGGATAGCCGACCTGGAGCGGGCATTGAGCGACATGACTGGAGAACGCGACGAACTCAAGCTTAAGCTAGCAAGGCGTGAGGCCGAAGTTGAAGCTCTAAGAGAGGTGCTGGGAAAAAAGTAAAACCCCATGCATGTCCTCAACGCATGTTTTCGCTCTCGCACACACTGTATAACACACACTAAGGGGAGGGTGAAGCCCTCAACGACACTCACTCTACCACAAGCACAATACCCTCAACGCCTAACCTCTACTGGATTCCCACTTTGCTTAACGGATATGGAATTTATTTTTATTTTTGGTTTTTGGTTTTTAATTGGAGCTATGGGGTTTTAGATTCTTACGTCACATGGTGTTCAGGGGAGAGACGACCTAGGAATCGGTCATTGGGAGGGCACATTGTTTTCATTTCGTCTTTTTTTGTTCCTCCTTTTTTTTTTCTCTCTCTAATTTTGTCATTGTCATTTCCCCCCCAAAATTGGATCCTGAACGAAAAGCTGCCGGCTGTAATCGAGTCCTTCGAGTTTGTCATATGTAAACCCCTTGTCAGCGCTACAGTCCTTCTGCATATAGATGGGAAGGATAAAAAGTAATCAATGACGACCAAAACAGAATTAGAAAAGCAAACAATTCAAAATAAAATGTGCTCGTGGTTGCTCAGACGATGTCGATTCTCTTCCTTAATTATGAACAAGATGTTTCATGGAAATTATTCAACTTCTTTCGCCTCATCATGGCCAGACCAGCAATGTCATATTCGACAGGAAGCGCGGGGTATATAGGGGGTGGATGTGCTAGATGGCAAGGAAAAATTCTTTATGTGACTTACCAAAACACATTGGCCATCATCAGAGCGGCCAAACGGTCTCATCTTTCAGACATACTTCAATGTCGTCTTGAGCATTTCTTCAAGCCCTCCGGCCAGCAAATTGGGGAAAGAAACAGAAGGAAGATAAAGTAGCATTTATTAACAATGCAGAGACACTGTTTCATTCTGATATAATTGATGATCTTTCCTGGCTTCCACATTCTACAGTGAGACAAGAAGAGGATGATCCTTTGAATACCGCCGATTGGAAAGGACAAGAGAATCATCTAAGCTGGGAAGAATGAGGACTTAAATGTCACAAAGCAAATACAATCAATTCAATTCAAACTACCTCTAACTGAGACAAGAAAAACACGCGAGAAGCATCTGGCAGGAGACAGGGGATGGGATACACGAAATTACAAAGCTCTCTCTAGTGTCGTCTTGGCCTCTTCCTCTCCCGTCTTGCTGCAGAAAGAATCTGGCAGTTTACTAATGACGGAAATAACATTTTCTTTACTCGCGGATTGACCGTTGTTGGTTCAACCCTTTTTTTTCTGTCTTGATGTCCAAGTATGTGTCGGCGACACAGTCATAGTGGGGGCGTTTGAGCTCCGGTGACTCACCCCAACACAAAGGAGATTACCAGTACATGTACTCGCTATTGGCCACTTTCGACGTCGTACAGATGAAAGAGGACGAGATTGTCAAGTTGACACTGTTAGTTGTTGATTGATGGATGATGGTTGAGTCAAGTTACTGACTCTGATTCCCTGTAATAGGGGATACAACTTGTCATTGAACACTGACCGCAGCAAGGTCTGACATGTTCTTCTATGTATTGGCAAGCAAAAGATTGGTCGGCGAAAGCCTTTTGCGGGATTAAGGGGGCAAAAAATCAAAGAAAATGTGACACGGAGCATGAGCAATTGGAGCTTGCTGACACAGCAGCCCCCTATTTTGTATTTTGTTCTATCCATTGCAAGAATGGGAAGGAATCACTAAATTAGCCAAAACTCGAAGAATACGGTTGATCATGATATGAACAAGCTGATGATTGGGTGGAAGCTCGGAAGAATACAAAATGTGCCTCTGCATCAGCTTCGCATCTTCGGCCCACGGGTATTTCCAATGTCGAACAGTGGTGACCTTGTCCAACTGCGGGAACCGAAGGATCACACTGATGTTTGGCAACGTGAGTTTTGGTAGCCCTGTCACGCGTTATTTGCACACAAACAGGGAATATGAGGGACATTCATGTTCTATGTGTTGAAGCAGGGGACGGATTAAGCTATATTCGGCAATTGATTTGACTCGTGTCGCCTCCAAAACATCCACATGCATTAGTTGTTGCCATACGGAGTTACAGTATACATAGAAGGTACATGTATATTTGTAATCAGTATGAAAGGGTCAATCAAGCTGTAGTAGCTGAATCAATAAAAGGCCATGCCCCTGACTTTGGTTCAAAAACCAGAATCATTCCCCAACTTAATTCAATCGGCAACAGCCTATCGAGCTAGACTTTAGAGATCTAAGCCATACTATGCTATTGTATAAATATAACCATACCTAAGTATGTATAGGTAGATACGCACTGGGTATATATATAGGCACATGTATATGTCCTTGCAGTACTGATGTTTCTTCATCCGTCTCTTCTGCGTTTACCCCGCATATGCGCTGCCGAAGATCATCGCAAGCTCAGTTGCGCATATTGACGTGAACTATTCTTGAATCAGATCTACCTATATTATATCTACAAATTCAATGTACCTATCTGTGCAGCTTACTGTCCCAGCAATCCTACGGACCAACTTGTGCAAGAGGGTCGGCAAGGAACTGGCTCCTTGCTTGCAACGCTCCCACGTGAAACCCCAAATGCACAGACACCCATCGGGTGAATACCAAGCTTTAGGATCTCGGCACATAAGCAGTCTCTGAACGTGGTATTACGGCAGTTTCCGCTGCGCAAGTCAAGGGTTGTCCATTTTGCACAAGCAGCTGGAACATACAGATACGAGTGAGGCTATGTCCGTGTAAGTCGGGTAGCGATGCAGCTGGATTCAGCACATGTACACCTGCTTCGTATGAGCGTACGATACCGACGTACGAGTATACGAATCAAAAGGCTTGCTTCTCCCCCCCTTGGCTCATACGACCTCTGTCTTCCCCACGAACCACAAGTGTGGCCTTGTCATCATCCTTCGAAGCAAGCTGAAGCTGATAAGCACCGCCCAGTTGCTTACTGCATGGGTCTAGCCTAGCTGCAATAACGTACTATACAGCCTTATTCTTGGCAAGGTCAGACGACTGGAGGATGCCTCCATAATTCCATAATTCAATAATGCAATCAATAATGCAACCCTCACCCCCCTTGTTCGAGTCTCAAATCATCAACGGAACAATCGTTTTTCCCCCACAACGGCGCCAAGGCGAGGGCAACGTGGCGATGACGTAGCCGCGTTCCTGATCATCGGCGACAGCAAATCAAGCTCGTCAGATGCGAGTTTCTTGGCCTTTTTTCTCCCTCCCTTTATTATCTCTTACAAGTCACGCGCTATTGGTCTCAGGCTCACCAAGGGTAACATCTCACGTACCATCGCATATCGAGTCGCGCACTTCCGCTTGCTTGCATTTCCTGCTTCTACTGCCAGTATCTTCGTTTCGCTGCCATCATGTCTGCTGCTAGCGATCGTGTTGTGGTGACGGAACCTGAACGCGTCTATGATGCGCAGCCAAACTCACATCCAGCTATGGGTAAGTCTTTCTGACACATGGTTTTATGATTTTGGCGCGAAGTCGAAGAGAAAATGGTGCTGACCGCGCGCGAACAGACGCTCAACAGCCGCATCCAGAGACGAAAGACGACGTCAACATGCGCGGAGGCGACGATGGTGACTGCTGTCCCGGCCGCTTTTGCTTTATTATACCCTGCCCGATCCCCATCGACTGCTGCATTTTCCCATGCCCGTGCTAAGCGGAGCTTCTAATACCGCGCTACTGTGTTATGAAGAGGAGGGGTCTTATATACCAACCAACCAGCAGGCATCATCAAATCCTGCTGAGGTCTAATGCTGTGTGATCTTGTGGAATGCTACACGCACAAGAGGATGATTTCAAGTTGATTAATTGCTATGAAGCACCGATATGATGTTTGAGCGGCATGATTTGCACAATGCTTCAGTTGATGAGATTCAGAGTTGCTCGGCTTTTGCACCAGCGGAGCGAGATAGACACAATATACCAGATGAATTATCATGACTACATGTATTTGAACCAACCGAAAAGTTGCGTATTTTATACTTGGGGACGTCGAGGCTTCTTCAACTGTAGGTATGGGTTCACAACGATGGGGAACACGGGCTGCCCTTTCTCTATGTGACTCGTTCATGTGATACTCATAGCGCTCTACAGAGCACAGAGTTATGAATCGAAACCAATCATTTTCCAGCCATCCTCGGTTGTTTTCTCCACCTTGACTCGCGGCCCATCACCGCCTTGATATTCCTCAAACAGGTCTTCTGTCTTCCTCACATCAGGCTTCTTTTTGCTCGTCTCAAAATTCGCTGCCACGAGGGCGTCGATACTCAGTCTCGTCTGCACATCTCCCACTTCATCACACTTTGCCACCTCCATTAGGGCATCTACCGTGAGAACAATCGCCAGCAGCACAACTAGCACATTGGCGACCAGCAGACAGACGAGTGGTGCGACCGGCACGGCAGCAACGAGCACCGAAGACCGCTGTTGGGCAACCTCTGCCAGCCGAGGCTCAACGACTACGCCGAAGGACGAGATAACGGCATAGCTGAACGTATGGCTGAATTTGTTAGCCACTTGCTGAGCAGACACGCTTTCCCAGAGATCGGTAATGGTGCGTTGGAGAAGGAAAATATCCATAAAGGGAGTGTATGCAAGTGTATCCGTGAGGACGATGGTAGCAGAGGAGTTGCTAGGCGAGGCCGAAAAGCGCGTTAGAGAGCCGTTGACGGAAACGTACTGCGCATCCAAAACGGTGCTCTCGCATACCATGGCCATGAGGACGGGCCCTTGTGGGCGCTCAGTTAATACATATATCTCGTCATCATCGTATTCTGGCTGGCCCATACTTCCAGTCATGGCCACCACAACTCCGAAATGAAATGGGTTTTCCATGGTATAGCGGCGCGTCCGGTTACTGGCCAGTGTCGAGTTTGTGAAGTAGGTCACCAGCAAGTCGCTGGTGCCAGTCGCGTTGATGGAACCCGCCATGGCAAAATCGCAACTGTAGTCGCTGACGAGATTGATGCGATCTCTGTCGAAGCATCTAGACGTTGCAGGTGTGCAGGTCGTCTCGGCCGCAAATGTTGTGGCTGCAAAGTCAATGTCGGTGTGGAAAACGCTGGTCGGAGAGGCGACATAGACGTAGTTGTGCCCGTCTTCATAGTAGTTCCCAACAGCTGCTCTCGCGGAGGTGTTGGCGAGAATTTGTTGGACCATCTTACTTTTGCGGGCCTGGAAGGATTCACTTGATGTCGATCCTCGCATTGCTTCAGGAAAGCATCCGTACTGAGTGTCCCCTTCGAAAACTGTACAGTATTTAGGTATGCCGAAACTGACATTGCTATATGTGGTCGGGTAGAACTGAGTGATGGGTACTGTCTCGGTCGTGAAATGAAGCCAAGTATCAGTCGCAAAGATGAGCATGCTTCACTAGGTTAGTTTATTGCAAGACCACGAGTTTTGAAGTCTAGCATCAGGATTACCTCTGTATCGTGCCCAGAACCAGGGTGCATACCACGATGTTTAGAGCCGATGACATGGGCGCTCGCCTTCGCTTTGCGGACATGTAAACCATGCAGTGCCAAACCGAGCTGAGAGAAGAGTTGGACATGACGCGGAGCAACAGAGCAATCTGATAAGGAGTGGGCAGCTTATGCTTTCCATTACCGTCGCTCGCCCGCATCAGCAATTTGGAGGCGGGATAGGACGCAATTGCCAGGATAAACGGGAGCGATAGCGGCGCCATTGTGCTTGACCAGGACCCTACAGTGATCAACATGGTGGCACTCAGATTAACATAGATAATGCTCTTATTCAAGTGCGGATTCTCATCCGGGAGTCTCGCATCATTGTGACCCTGGGGCGTAAACCGATACCGGAACACCAAACCGAGAAGCAAGCCAGAGAAGGCGAGAAGGGGTAATACCGACAATGAAAACGCCAGTAGAATCTCTTTTACACAGCCATTTTTTTGTGTTGCAGGTGAATCAGCGGCTCGAAGGCCAAAATATTTGGCAGTAATCTTTGGCATTGTTGTCGACACGAGTTTGAGGCGAAGTTTTGGCCAGCGTTTATGCGTGATCTCAAAACTTTGGGAAATGAAAACATCCAGGGGGAGCCAAAAGGGCGTATCGAATTTAATGGGACAACGAATTAAAGCATTGAACCTGGTTTGCTCTTCAGGTGCTCCTTATACTTTGTTAAGAGACATCGCGTACTACCGGCAAACCAGTGCTACTCTTGTCTCATCCTTCGGCTGATTGTTGGCCTGATAAAGTACGTGTGACGGTACATATGCGCTCCGCCAGGATATTCCAAACAGGAGCAGGAGGATCTAGAGGTTACACCAAGGAGAGCGTCTGGCCTGCTGCTATTTTCATGGCTTATTGCAACCTCCTTTGGATTTACTCCTTGCAGATCGGCCAAAGGGATCAAAGTAGGAGACATCGTGGAGCTATTTACAAAGTGGCGGAGACGCGCTTGTGTAGCCCTGAGAACACGCATTGCCCCAATTTTTGCAATGGTTTTTCGTAGAATAACCACAAGGCAAGAGAAATTCTTTTGAGCCTTGTTGATAAATTTGTATCACAGACCGGGCTACGCCAAGATATTATCAACGTAGGGGCTGTAAAGTGGCTGTGCTCGATCTCTGAAGAGCCTCTGGCGTTACGGTGGCATCTTAATTTTTTCATTGGTGTAACAACTAATCCGTATATAACTCTTCACAATTGGAAACATTTATGTTTTCTTTAGGTGGATCGAGTCTCTCTAGATAAATCGAGTTTACGTTAATATGACCTATGGAGCGGCTATATTGCTATCTACGATTTGAATACCTTGTGAATGAAGAAAATGAAAGAAATGGTCCAACTGCATTGTGCACTTGATGTCGGTTTGAAGCGGAAGATTACCTTCACATCCACCCTGATTGGTTTGATGTAAGTTCTATTACATGTATGGCAATCAATGCGAGGAATGGCCATCTCTGGATATTAAGAGTTAGCCTCAACTATGAAAAAGGTGAGACTAATCAATTTCATGAAGCTTTTATTGCGGTGGAAAGAGTTGCACTCGTTTTGTTCTAGCTATTTGTCCTGCTCTACTGTTCACATATGAAGAGCAGAATCTTAGTTCAACATACCTTTACAACTATGCATGACTTTATTTCCCTCAAATGTGTATGTCGACTCTAAGTTGGCAGTTATGGCGGTTGAATAAAAGTTTTCATCAATATGCTCATAATAATCCAGCGAATATTTATCTCATGGAGTAGTTTTTAAAAAGCGGCTGCAAATTGTACACAGATATTAGCAAAATGCCATCTTGTTTACAGGTTATGGATATATCTCATCGTAGTTGATCTTCAATCTATTAAACAAAACAACCTGAAAAGAAGTTGAGGAAGTAGTACGCACTGTTGATAGAATTGACATGGCAAATGAGAGTTTTCATTGCTTCTCAACGTGGAATGCCTCTCTTTTACAGCTACATCTACAGACACAATCTCATTGGAAGCAATCCTCAATCTCCTCCTCTTTTTCTTCTTCTTCTTTTTTCTGCTTATCTTCCTTCCTTTTTTTTTTTTTTGTTGAAAATGTGACTACCCAGAACTGCTCGACCCCAATAATTCATCATATCTCATACGCCACAGCTCCAGCTGTCAAAAGTTAATCCTTCTTGGTCGGAACATTAAACGACTCAGCTGATCCGTATGCATTGCTAGCCCGTCTTGTTGGCAAAACTAAAGCAAAAGACAAGTGACAGCAGTCAACTCTAAAATAGTCGGCGTCAGACCAACTGTCAGATATCTTAATGTGATACTGATTGTTCAGGGACAATCAATATCTGCTTCACTCCAAGAATTAGGTGCACTGCTTAGATTATTAAACATCACAGCATCCCAATTACGTCGCCCAGTGATATCTAAAAGCACCATTGAATCCCTGACGGCACCAATCCCAGAAGTATGACGTACATTTATCAATCACGAGTTGCAAATCACACACAGTCGTCTCATACCGGGCGTAGTCACAATGCTAATTGGCAGTGGCACTTATCCTAAGACCCCCCCCTGATGTACTTCAATGACAAGTAATTAGCGTTTACACAAGACAAGCTGTCACAACACCTCTTGATAGCGTGTGAATTTGTCTCGTAAAAACCAAAAAAAAGGGGGGGTTCGCACAAGTTGTTGCCCCCTCAGTTAGGGAGAATAGGGCGTCAAACCTGATTGAGGAATCGAGAAGCGAAAAGAGGCTTACATGGCGAAGAAGGTTTCGGACAAATAGATCGAGTGGAATCCGGGTTAAGGGAGAATTCTCAAGCAGCACACGCCCGAGTGTGCGACTCATTGGCTCGACGAGAGGCTCGTTACTGGGCCAAGACGGATTAAAGTTTCCGTGCTGCCAACGTTTACTAGATCTGGACGGGCGCATGCACCCACTCTCGAAATCTGTTGCCGTCACATGCAAAAGAATTGCCTGTTTACGGTAACCATGGCTTGCATGGATTTTCTAATGAGGACCGGGGATCCATGGTAAGCTCGTCGTGGCGCTATTCATGACAAAGCCGAGTAAACGTCAAATCAGGATCAGTCAGGGTTCAGGCTGTCTGTAGAGCTCATAGCTGGGCGACCTGTTTAGAATCGGCACTAGGACCTGTGCAAGAGCCTGTTAACACAGTTCGTCTTCGTCGTACAAGCTCTGCCCTAGCTTGGGCATGTCATGTTTATCTCGAGAGTTGCTTATATAAGATGAGGTAATCGGGTGCACTGAGCGAAGCCACTAGAGAAACGCTGCACAGTAGAATGAGTAAAGCAGTGAGAGTGAGTACTAGGATTTCAAATCCGGAGGAAGAGAAAGCCGGAACAAAACGGGGGCCTCTGGTGAAAGAGCCGCAAACGAATTCACCAACGTCATAATTACCTATCCCACGGCGTCTGTGACCTTTGCTGATTGGAAGATGATATGATGGCGTATCATCTGGTTGCGTGGTGATACCCCTTGACGATACCGCCAAGAGCGTCTCAGAAGGCGAAGGGAACGCACAATAGGGGAGGGAGGAGGCGTGTGAATGGCATCGTTGGGCGGATGACCACAAAAACTAGCCAGGACAGGTGGACATGGTTGACCATCACAGCCGGCATCTCGGTGGGGTGAGTGGGCAGGGATCATGAGATTCAGTAATGGAGTGCTTGGTCTGAAAGTGGCAGATCTTGCAGGATTAGAGGCATAGATGTGAAGCAACGCCAAACTAACAGGGATATAGCAACGGTCTGAGCCTCCGAGGGCTTGCGCCTACTGCGGCCCCAATGAACAGAGCAGCAAAAATGAAGGGGGTGTGTAAGTACAGTAGACAATGGAAGACCTGGTTAGGCCGTCCATCTATGCCACTGCTACACTGTAAATGGTTCCCTGAACCTTGGTCCATCGTATTTCTCCAAAGCATCCGAGTTGCGTTGGAGATACGAAGGCCAGCCTTTGACATCCCTCAAAGTTGGCTTTCGCCTTTTGACATTTACGGGAATGAGAGGTGGCAGACGCGGAGAGGCCCGCCTGGGACGGCCCACACCTAGACCAGATAGAATGGGAGAGCCAAAGCGAATGGAGAAAGCGTGAAGCCAGCCCGCAAAGTGTCCGCAACCTTACCTGAATACTATTGCGTTAGCATCTCACTACTGAAAGAGGCAGACAGTAGCAAAGGTGGCTGAGTGACGGTCAAAGGAAAAAAAGAAAAACGAAAAAAGAAGAAAGAAAAAGAGAAGATTATGGGGTGATATTAACTCATGTTTCTAGAACCAATGATTCGCACCTGGTCAGCCCAGCTTGCGCCGCGTAGCTGCGTGTAGCTGCAGGTAGGTGCACGTAGGTGATGCCGAGGGGAGGTCGCAGTCTGGAGTATTGCAACGACGATGCGGGACGCATGACCCTCGTACAGAGGTCCCCACCATGCATGCATCTTCACACATGCTTGCGTTAGCGCCTGAGATGTGCATAAGGATGCATAATAGGGCGGGCAAATGGTGTGAGCAGATGCGGCATGCCGGTGCACTTGCAGGCAAGGCATGAAGCTCGGCCTGTGGTTGGCTGTGGTTCGGACAAACAGGCCATGCGTGTGTCCGTCTCCCACGACAGCCACATGAACATGAACGTGAAGGAAATTCACATCCTTCGCAAATAGCACGGTGGCGTATTTCGTATCAAAGGCTATCGGTCGTGGTAGCGTGGTTTGAGCGGCAGATATCATTCGCGGCTGATGGGCTCAAAAGTCAAATGCGGGAGGTGATGATGGCATCTATCATCAGACTAGCCGACGACTAGTACCTCGGCGGTCTGAGGCTGACCGGCCGGTGTGGGCAGGTGTCTTAACATGGGCTGAAGCCATATCGCTAGTCAGAATCCAAGCACCCGGCTGCCCCTGCACATGGCCTCTTGGTGGCGTCGTTTGTCGTCGATAGCCTCTCTCCTCTCCTCTCCAAGAAGAGAGAACGAACAGCCTCCCGTTCTTGGTGCTGGAAACGGGAAAGCGTCGACAGGTACAGGCAGCTTCTTGGCTGTTACACAAGCCCCTATTGCCCCGAGAGGTGCGGCACTCGTTTTTGTCTTTGGCGTGGAGGCGATTAACTGTGCGTCTGTGCTTGTTCTGGCTTCGTCGCCTTTTAGCAAGCGGTTATTGGCGTCCTCGAGCAAGGGATCAAAGGTAGCTGCACGTGAGAAGCGAATCGGAATGAAGGCGAAAAATGAAAAAGCAAGGATCGGCATATATCAAGAGAGGCCATACATGTACTGTACCAGATAGCATGTAGCCTATGTCGCCTCGAAGAGCAGATAGATAGCTGTCTAACCTACCTAGGTAATCAATGCAGAGGCACCGCTCATCCCCTCGGAGTTGGGAGTTTGGAGTTGGAGCACACAACCCCATTCGCTAGCCCGGGTATGAGGGTATGAGGCCAAAGCCAGCGTTCTGCTTCTGCCCTGAGACATGCCGATGCTCATGGAGGGCTGGCATGAGCCATGAGTGGACGCAGCTCCAGGCGATGGATGCAAGTCATGGGCTGGAGCGTCTTTGGAACCAAGAACTTTTCACCGCTGAGACTAGGCAAGCTAGGCAACGGAACAATGGGCAGGAGTTGGAGGAATTGACGAGTCGTTTCGAGCGGCTCGGCTGGGCGTGCGATCATTGGCGTCTTCTCCTCTTTGTGGCGCTATCGCGTTGTTTGCACGGAGACAGTTTGTCGCTCGCATCGCGTCTCGTCTCGTCTGGAGGTTGATGCAGGCGAGGTCGAATGGGGGAGCGTCGGAATAATTTTGTGCCAGATAAGAAAGAGATACGATACCACAACTTCATGTGCTACTGCTACTACTAGGTACCTAAGGTAGGAAGCACTCCTCCTCTACTCCGTATGTACATGTGCATGCGACGTGCACATCTTTTACCCAAGGCGAGATGGGATATTGCCGGCTCTCATCAGTGTCTCAGCCTCAAAACGGATTATTATTACCTGTAATCTGCAGATATCTCGGCTCGATGGCATCCGGCCAGCGATGACGAGTGCATGCATTCTAGTCTTCTATTCCTGGCCCGTCGGCGACTTGGGAGCGATGGACATGCAACAACACCTGATGAAGCCCGAACTACTGGCTCTGAATCCCGGCCCTATGCTTTGTGGCGTCTTGCAGGGATGACCCAGGAGATGGGCGATTTCCCCGGATTCACGCATTCTGCGTACGAGTACTACTACAGTACTAAGGTACTGACCTCGTTCCTTGCCTGGCATAGCACCCCCTCGCCGAGATACCAAGGTACAAGTTCGTGCCCAGCAAATCGACTGGGATCAGTTCGCTGGCGCTGTCTCGCGCGCGCACTCCGTCCGTCTGTGCTTTTCCCTGCGACGGCCGTGTTTCCTCACTGAGATTCGGCGGTCGGTTTGACAAGCCCAGGTTGTGCTAGCGCGCGGGAGGTTGCTCAAGCTGCTGAGAGGAGACTATGTACGTGATGTCTCTGCTACGTGTACTCGTATTAGCCGCAGGCCGGAAGCACTGGGCAAGCTACAGGTAAGCAGAGCCCAGCTTGAGCTATTCAATCGATTAATCCCCAGTCAAGATGAAAAGCACGGCCGTGGAATCACGCTTACTGCCTGTAGGTCGCTGGAGACGCTGGAGACGGCTGCAATACTACCGACAGCTTACCTAGTTGAGATGTATTATCATATGCGGTGTAACAATAGCGGCTGGGGGTCCGTCTTTGACAACCTCTGATCTATTTTAAACGCCTCTGTGTGGGACAAGATTGCGTGGGATAGCTTTCGCAACGCGGCTCAGCCAAGACACTCGACGGCCATGAATGACAAGCACATGCGTAACACGAGGCAAACCCATTCGACTAGCGTTGCGAACATTCCGGCAAAGAGACCAAAATATGTCTACAGATTACGAGTTCCGAGTACCGTGCAAGTAGTAGTGGTACTACCGTCTGTGTGGATATATCGCGGCTTTGATGGTGTGGGAGTGAACCTTTGATATTGTCTCGTTACATGTATTCTGCCGAGCACATCTGATAAGAGGTCGGATTCATGGTGGTTTCTTTTTTTCCCTTTTCCTTTTTTTTTTTACCGGCCGTGGAGACAAGTGCCATGCAAATCGCGACGGGGCAAGATCGTCGACAAGACGGCCCCGTGCTCACAACTGCCATGAATGATCTGCAGCAGGGTGGCTACAGATGCAGGCATCATCTCGGATGCATACATATGTGCACATACTGTATGCATCAGGACGCATAGAGACAAGCTGCGCAGTTCTCTTGGGCCATGTCAAACGAGACAGCATGCACAAGAGTCTCAACGCCGATTCTCGCATCTGAGCGGATGGGGAAGTTGATGTTATTTTGGGCAAAGGAATGTTGGCCCACAATGAGTGTGGCATGCTTCCATGCTTCTTCGCCCCTCTGTTTCGGCAATAGAAAGTTCGGCTTCCTGGAAAACGTCTTTGTCTATCAGCTCTGCTCTACTCTGGTCCTTTTGACCGGATTTTGAAACAGTTCCAAGGCTGTCAGCTCCACCGTCATTGCTATTCTGGGCCTTGCCAGAGTCAAAAACGGGAGCGACGGTCACTTCCGAGCTGAATCGAGACCTTGAGCTGGCCAACACTCTAGCCTTCAGTCTATCTCTGAGGCTAGTGGCTTGGAGTTGATCGCCTCGCCGTGTCTTGGAAGCAGAAGGCGATGGCTGAGGGGCATCAAACAAACGCCTCACCTCTTTCGCGGGCTCTTGCTCCGGCTAGCGGCATTCGCATGTACACGCAATCAACTGAACCCAACGCTGATACGTGTATACATGTCCGGCCCTCGTATTTGGCGCCTGATGTGAGGTACCCCGAGGCCATCGCCAACAAGCTGTGGTGTTTCAGCACACCATCCTTCTGACCCCGAAGACGCCGTCGTCCGCACCCGCACCTACACCCACGCCTACATCTCCCATACACAGCATCTACTCTAACTAACACAACTACACCTACGCCCAGGCCCGTGTCCACACGCCTCTATCTTGCCCATCACATCCGACTACTCTTTGCCTATCCAACAGGCCCTCGCTACTGGGGTACATGGTCGCGCTTTGGCTTCGGGGATGATGGACGTGAAATGCTCCTGACGCGAACGCGAGGGGCTGGCAGCGTACTCCGTATATTAGTATACTATGAGTTACATGTACCTACATTATCTTAGACACTTGAGCCTCCCTTGGTCCTTTCTTCGCAGGTGCTGGCATATATAATGAGCTAGACGTCCCCGTGCATCGGCTTGATAGGCGGCCGACTCATCGACATCTGCCGTGATATATTACCATCATCCCAACTGACCCTCCCTGTCCTGCTCCCCCTGCCACCCCCCTTGTCGCGGCCGCCTTAGATATCATTCGATTTAGTTGATCGACTGCCAGTCTACGGAATCTGCAGTACCGGCCGTTGCTGAGCTCTCGAGCCCGGTAGACCCGCAGCTTCGGTACATGCGCTGCTGACAGACGGGCGACTGACCACGGGCGAGTCCATCGACAGCCTCACATTAAGCTGCTGCTAGTCGAAATACCGGAGCGCCTTCTGTCGACGTCTGGGACCAAGTAGTACAAAAACGTGGTAGCAGGCGCAAATCACGCCCTGCTTCTCTTACTTCTCTTACTTCTCTCTTTTTTTACTCTTCTTCTTCTTCTTCCTTTCGCTAATTCGCTTCTTCTCCTCCCCATTTATCCGTCTATTTTCGTTATTTTCGTTCATCTGGTTCATTTCACCCTCGGACTGGTTCTCGGCCCTGTTATCTCTTTTCCACAGTTCCACCCTGCTTCTCCATAAGCGGATGGCCGCGATCCACGACCGATACACTGTGCTCCCGCCCCAGAGGCTACGACGGCCGGGAGCGCTGCTACGAGCCGTGCTGAGACACAGAGATTCTGCAGGAAGCGGATACAGTCATCAGATTAATCATCCGAATTATCATCGTCAACAAGACGCGGCGAGCGTTGGCCAAGTGCTGCAAGAACAGGCAGCGTCTGAAGCCAAACACTCACACTCACACTCACACTCACACTTAGACGCACACTCGCACATGCACTACCAGTACCGGTTCGGCGTCGGAGGCCCGGATGCTGGCGCTGGCGCTGCTGGAATCCTGCTACAGGGCCCCCCTACGGCTGCCTGTACAGCGCCTCCAGCGCCTCCAGGGGCCCTGTCTGCCCCCTCCGTCCCCTCTATCCCCGCTCACGCTGCCATTTTACCACCCGCGCAGCACCTAAACCCCAATTTCTCCCCCTCAAACTTGATCCGTCACGCTCGCAGCACTTCTTCTCCTCTTCCTCTAGTTTCACCTCTTGTTCCCTCTGCGCTCGACCGCCGAGCCTCGCGACTCTCGTCTCCCATCGCCACGATGCCCGAGTATCGCCACATGCGCAGCGGCAGCCTCAGCATCCCCAGCGCCGCCCACGGAAGCAGCCATCACAGCATGCCGCGCAGCCCGCCCAGTACGTTACACAATCCTCTTCTGCTTGCTGGCTCTCTCTAGGGCCTCCCCCACCGAGGCCCGGCACACGACCACGGCTCGGGGCCTCGCGATGAGCAACGACTGATTGCCTGAGCATACGCTGACCTCTTGTTGCTGCTTGTAGACACATCGCACGTCCCGTGCAAGTTTTTCCGCCAGGGAGCCTGCCAGGCCGGCAATGCCTGTCCCTTCAGCCATGACCTGGGCGCCGCCTCGGAGACGATCTGCAAATATTTCGCAAAGGTGAGCGCTGCTTTTTTTTCTGCGTGTCTATGTGTGTGTCGCATCTTGCATCTTGATTTCGCTTCCGCTATCGTCACCCATTGTGACAACCAGAGGAACCAAGACAAAAAACAATCTTGATCCCCTCTCTTTTCGTCCTTGCCCGAAAATACCCGCACCGGTCTGCGTCCTCTCCGACGCTCGTCCGATATGCTCCACGTCTTTTTCTGAAGCCCTTTTTTGCGACCTCTCGCTTGTTGCGCCGTGGCATGACAAAGACAGATGTGTCTAGATTGGTTGGCTGACCATGGGCTTTCCTCTTAGGGTAACTGCAAGTTTGGCCCCAAGTGCGCAAACATCCACGTCCTGCCCGACGGCCGCCGAATCAACTACGGTAAGAATGGCGTTACCATCGGCCCAAATCCCCTCAATCTTGCCAATCGTGCGGGCGGTGCCAGTCCCGTCTCACAGACCCCGGGCGCTGTCAGTAGCCCCTTCAGCCATTCGACCGCGAGTGCCCTGACCACATCCCTCTACCGCGCCGACCAGCCCGCATATCCTTATCTCAGCGATGAGATGCAGCAACTCGGCCTCTCCAGTGGCCACGATAACGGCCCCCCTACCATTGATGCGCCATACTCCGTCACAGAGTCTAGCTATGGCTCTCCCCCCGACGACGACCCCTCCCGCCTTGGCTTTGGCCTGTCGCCAGCTGCCAAGGGCTTGTCTGTGCTCGATGCCCCGTTGCCCGCCTCGTTCGACTCCAATGGCATCTCCAACGCTGCCCGCTTCCCTGCTGCGCCCTGGCCTTCGTCTGTGCCGTCAAAGTTTGGCCTCGAGTCGCCGTCTCCATCGCTCAGCAGCATCAAGGATTCACGCACCTCCGAGACGCTCAAGCTGCTCCACTCGTCCGCCTTCGGATCATCCGAGCACCTTGCTACCCCCACCGCCAGCAGCCCGCCAGACTCGCAGCATCTCACCGGCGAAGAGTACTTTGGGAAACGAATTATGCACTCGACCCGATACCCCAAGCCACGATTGCTTAGCGCCAGCATGCCCAAGAACATGGTTGACCGCGATTGGGAGGCCGAATTTGCCTTTGGCGACGACGACAACGTGCCTGAAAACCTCGTGCCTGGCGACTTGCAGGATCTGTTGACCCCAGCCGAAAAGGCCCGGAGAGGCTCGATGCGAGACGAGAGGCCTGATTTCAGCCTCGGCAGTCTTGGCAAGTATGGCAGTCCTATTGGCTCAAGCCCGAGCCGTTGGGGACCCCTGTTCCAGCGTCAGAAGGAAGAGGAGGAGATGACCAGGTCGGCCCGAAGCGCTGCCGGATCAGCTTTCGGTCATGTCGGCAGCCCCCTGCGGAACTCGATTCTAGCCAAGGAGATGTCGGACGACCTCTCTGGGGCCAATGGCCGGCCGTCTACCATCCGGGCCGGGAGCGAAACCATGTCGGTTCTTTCTCAGCAGCTCCAACGCAGTCGGCTGGATGACACCTTGAATGGCTCAAGCCCTCTTCTGCACCCCACCGTCAGTCGCAACGCTAGCAACGGCATCGCGCCCATCGGCAAGGACCGCAGTCTGGAGCGCCACGTCTCCAGCGCCAGCATTGGTTCGTCTGTCACCGGCCGATTTACCACGCCGATTGATGAAGAAGATCCTGCGTTCGTCTTCAGCATGGAAGAAGAGGACGATTCTTCGTCATCAAAGATTCGCAAGCGTGGCTCTTCCGGCTTGGCACTGGGAGGCTACAGTTCCTATGCCAACGCCGCCGCCAGCAAGGCAGTGACGGCTTCCAACGGCACCAAGGAGGGTCGAGACGCTGTTCCAGTCAATGGAAGGTAATAGACTTCGCGAAGAGGAAAATTTTAAAAAAATATGGCGGAGCATATTTCTTTAGACAAGATACCCCCACCCTTCAAAACTAAAATCGACGAAACGGAGGAATCACACCATTTTTGACGAAGGCATGACGATCTACGAACCAGACGACAGCGCGCCATGCGACGTGCATTTTTCTTGGAGACCAAGAGTTCAGTCCATCGAATTTTTCCGGATGTCCTTCCAAGCTATTTGCTTCTTTTCTCTTCTTTTCTCTTCTCTCTCGTCTTCTCTCTCGCAATATCAATGGCAATCTTTGGAAGGGGAACACACAAAATCATCATCCGGCATCCAACATCGCCAAGGGCTGGGAAAGGGAAAAAAACAAAAAGGGACACAGGGGGTGTAAATATACTATATAGGTTGGAGTTTTTTTTGCTTTTTTTTCTTTTCTTAATCTTTTTTCCATCTTTCCGTTATTCCATCGAGGAGCCATCTAGGACAGCCACGCCCTGAAGTCATACCTCTCATTTTCTGGTCTACGGTCTATCAAAGGAGTTAGCAACAACAAGCATCATATGCTTTCATCATAAGAAAAAAATGAAAGTAACAAATTACTGGATTATCGTCTTTTTTTTTTTAGCATTTGCCGAGGGGTTTCTTTTTATTTCTTTCGCTTTGCGGTTACTGAACCTTGGATCTTTGTTTCGCACGGCCGATTGCGCAGATATGGGAGAGGGTGGATATAATAATCCTGCTACCAAGGAACGGAACTTGAGGCCAACTTGGATCTGCTTTTTTCTTTTTCTCTCCAGGATATATTCGGAGGAGTTGAGTCGACCGTTGGAGCCTCTTCCGGGGGCAGCGAGCTTGGAAGAAGCCATAATAATATCTCTCAGGTTACGCCCGTCAATAACAATGACTTTTGTGCGTTAGGTGTATGTATCATCAGGATAGGGGAATGTGTACATGTATGCAGCTGAATATTGAGCTTGGAGTTCCAAGATGTATTTACGGTATTGGTCTTATGTTTCGTTAATAGTACTGTCATGTCTATTCATGGGTGTCTCGCAAGATGTGTCTGAAGATGTGTCTAAAGATGTGTCCATTTTGTAGATATCTTTAAGGAGATGTCATTATTGGCCAGTATCTCACTTCTCAAATCGCGTCAGATAGCAATGTTGGCAGTCAGTGGAGAGTAAAATGATTCTTCTATACACTAGTACAAGGGATAGCTGCAAAGACCCTTTTCGCAGCGTCTCCGGCCACCACCAATACAATCGTCCTTTTTCTTCCTGTTCTAACATTTCATTTCTGACCCCCCATCGCACTCCTGCCGTCTGATCCTGGAAACGCTGGTGGGAAAAAAAAAGAAGAGTCCCTTTGCCCCTCTCTCGAAGATGAAGAAAAAAATTAGCTGAGATTTTTATCATCACCTGGTATCACCTGTTGGCCATGAATGGCCTCTTTTTTAATTTTACAAGTCCCCAAACAAATCATTATTTATCTCGGTACCCCGCCCCTATATCCTGATCTCTTCATATCCGGGTATATCGTAGGAGGGAATTTCAAGTCACATAACGAGGGAGGGACTTAGGAGAGTAAAGGATAGAACAAGGGAGCCAGCGTTTCCAGAGTCGTCGGGTCGGAAGTAATTTAGTGAGCATCGGGCTGGTTGAGGATGTACTCGACGGCCTTGTCAACTGCAAAACGGAAAATGTGAGCACTATATGGTGATCCAGAGGGGCATCAAGGGGAATGCGAATCGTACCTGAGTGGATGGTGTCGGCGTCCTTGTCGGGGATCTCGATGCTGAACTCCTCCTCGATGGCCATGACGACCTCAACGGTGTCGAGACTGTCCAGGCCGAGGTCGTTGGCGAAGTGAGCAGTGGCCTTGATCTGTAAGGGAAGAGTTAGGCATGTCATTCCACGAGGGGGATTGCGCGGGGTGGCATTTCCGGACGTACATTGGCAGCATCGTTGACCTAGAGCGCACATAGTTAGCAAAATGTTTGCATGTAGAAGAAGTAAAAAGCCCAAAGCATAAACCGGCGCATATCCAACATGACGATGTTGTTGCACCCCGCTCCCTTGAGCTCCCCCGCCTCCATCAAGGCTTCTCGGTCCAAATCTTGCCATTGCGCAGCTGTTCCTCCGCTAAATGCAATGCATCCCATGGCGTCTTACTACTATCGCCTTCCATTCCCCCAAACTCCCCTCCTCACGACTCCGAGATGACATGCAACAGTGAAGAATAGAGCGAGCTGGTGGCCTACCTTGTCGAATCCCTGCAGCAAGCTGATGATGCGGCCCTCGACCTCCTCCTTGTGCAGGCCACCGCCAGCACTGTACATCCTCACGGCCATGAGGCTCTGGACGCGGACAGGGGCGGCGACGGCGCGGGGAGCAGCGGCGAGAGCTGTTCTTCGGATGGCGACGGGTCGGGCAACAGCGCGGACGGCCGAGGCGGATGTGCGGAGGACAGCAGTGCGGAACATGATTGCGGCTTTGGGGGGGGGGGGAGGGAGGATTTTTTCCGGGGAGGGTGAAAGAAAAGAAAAAAAGGAGGAGAAGACGAGGTCAATTGGGGGGACGATTGACTGCGGGTTTTGGTGTTTGCGGCAAGGCGGGTTTTTTTTGGGTGACGGGTTCGTTGTTGCGGCGATGATAAATTTCTCGCTGGCTATTACTCGGTCTATTGGAGGTTTTTCGGAGCTGGGCCGGTACAAAGGTACAAAGGTGGGAAAGCTGGAGTGCGGGAGGATGAGGAGTCACGTGCGGGCTGGTGGGCTGGAGGGGTTGGCTGAATCAGCGGGAATGGAGAGCTTGGGATTGGTGATGCTTTAATGCTGTTGCTATTTGGTAAGGACATATTCTACATATAGTAGGTGTACACGGGGTGTTGGATGGGATCTTCTTTTAATGGTGGGTGTTGCTGCTTGATAGAGGGTCTGAATATGTGAATTCATAACATCGCCAAAACACTCATTCACAGAAGTCTATGCAGTTTGTTTGTTTAGCACTCGCCAGTTAATACGTTGATGGATGCTACACCATGTTTCCAGCCCAAGTTTGATGTTTTAGCAAAGCAGCTGGTTCTATGACTCCCACGCTTGCACCTTAGTATATATCTCCAATCATGCCTCTCACCAACTCGTAGTTCCTATTTGCCGCAATTGTTCCCCATAATATTGCCAATCCAGCTCAAGTCTCAATATGAAAATCACCATAGGCAAGATAGTCCTCCTAATGTATTTCTTGTTGAAACTTCAACACAGTATCAAAAGAAAAAGAAAGAGAGACAAGCCAGTAGTATGTCACGATTCTAGAGGAACCGGAATTACCATTGGCGACAGAGGTAACGCCCAAGACCCCTCTCAGGGCGGTTCCGATCTTTCATAGGCACTCGGCCTTTAAACTCTCGGAATTAATGCAAACAACCTCGGATATTCAGAAATTGGTCGTGAAAAGGGTCAGCCAAAACTTTTGATTGAAATGCTCCCTAGCTAGTTGGACGGGGGCTTCAATGCTGTGTTGACAACATCCATCGCTGTTATAATTCAGCGCTCGTGTTGGTCACTTTCTTCTTTTTGCATTCATTCACTCATTCCATGGCCGAAAGTCGAATCAAAGGCTCTTTTTTTTTTCGTTCAGCCCCAAGCTTATGTACAATCCTGTTGTCCATGACTCCTCCATTGGTGCCTCTCTTCTAATTTGATCTCTCTCCTCTCACATCATACAAAATGGAATTAGATTTGTGTAGCTTATCGGTAAGGTGAATCTGCGCGAATGGCGGCAGCAAGTTCAGGCTCCCACTTGTCTCCATTAGACAGCAGCTTCTCTGTAATCGCCGTATCAGTATGCTGCTGCTAAGCTAATCCCCGTTGGGGTTGATTGCAAACTCACCCTTGTTATACAACAGCTCTTCTCTGGTCTCAGTCGCGTACTCGGCGTTGGGAGACTCAACGATGGCGTCGACGGGGCAGGACTCCTGGCAGAAACCGCAGTAGATGCACTTTGTCATGTCGATATCGTAACGGGTAGTGCGGCGAGATCCATCAGCACGCTCCTCGGCTTCAATGGTGATGGCTTGGGCAGGGCAGATCTATTCGCATATACAGTTAGCATTGCCCGATCCCGGCAACTTCGCTTAAAGGTTGGAATTTGGCGGGGTCCCTTACGGCCTCGCAGAGCTTGCAGGCAATGCATCGCTCTTCACCAGAGGGGTATCGTCTCAGCGCGTGTTCGCCACGGAATCGGGGAGAAATGGGGCCCTAAGACAAGTGTTAATCGCAGCTCAATGGCAAGAAGAGGATCTGCCTCGATATTCAGCGCATCCCCGCGCAGCTTGCGTACCTTTTCGAAAGGATAGTAGATGGTGTAGCTATGTCCCTCCAGTCAGCAATCCCATATCTGATATATGCCAGTGACAAAATCAAATCCTCAGCCTCCAGAATCGGTATACATACGGTGGTCGGAAGAACTGCTCCAGCAGGACGTACATTCCTCTGGCCATCTCGGTCATGAGGAAGTACTTGCCCAGCCGGTCCAACAAGCTGTCCTTTTCCCACGCCCACTCAACCTGCTTGCTCGTTCGGAAGTTCTGCGGCGGGGCGCCCCTGGGAGTCGCATATCCCCGCTGCTGGTGGTAGGGAGTGGCCAGCATCCTCGTCGCCATCATGAGCGAGCTGGTAGAGGCCGGAGCTCGGGCAAGCTGGCGTTTGGCGAGCATGGCTGCTGCCGAGGCGGAGAGAGTCGGCGCCATTGTCGTCGGATTCGCTGCAATTGACGGAGTTGCAAAGAGCAGGCTCGCCTCGGGCGGGACGTCGATTGGGTGGGAGGCGACTTTTGACGTGATGCACTTTTGATGGCTCTTTTGCCTTGGGTGAATGGCTTAGTGCACTGCGGGATTACATTGCTAGGCCAGTGATTGGTGGAGATGGACGCTCGTGATATGGCACGTGATGTTTAATATACCTTGGACCGCCAGCTTCAACTACCTCAACATGCTACAGCTCATTACCTCTCCTGTCTAGTGCCAACCAAGGTATAATGGAAAAGAAAAAGAAAAGGGAGAAAACAAAGGAAAAATAAAACGCCATTACACGCTCATAATGGATTACTCAATGCCATGATCGCCCTTATCCGCATATGCACAAAATCGCCTTCAGAAGCTCTTCTCCCATGTCCCCCACCACAGCCCCATGTTGGCCGCCACCAGCAGATCGAGCATCTTCAGCCCGTCGTGGTATATGATGAGCTTCCCGAGCTTGGCCCGCTTGCCGCGGTTGCCTCCTCCTGCCCTCTCGCCGCCTATGTTTACGTCAAATGGTGATATTACATCATCCTCATCTCTATCTTCATAGCGTTCCATGGCCGACTTGATGAACTTGCTGAAGTGGCCAAGGCGGCGATCGTCACCCTTGGCCACTTCTCCAGAGGGGAACAAGTCAGAGCCCGGAAGGTTGAAGCGCAACTCACTGACAACAGTGGAGGCCGACCTGGACGGGCTGGCCTCGGGAACCAATGGATTATAAGCTCCCACCTCGCCCTCGTGCAAGAAGTGGTGGCACAGCAAGCTCCGGCCGCCGTTGCCCGTGCGAAACTCGCATCTACCACCCCAAGGGCTTGTAAAAGTGTATCCTCGCGGCTTCATCTTGTCAGGGCGTGAAGACGTCGGTGATCCGGACTTGTACTCTCCGGAGCTAAACGAATTGGCTGATGCTTCGCTCTCGCTTCGATTGTGCGCCTTCTTCCGAGCTGCTTGTTCTATCTGGTGAAACTTGGATCGTATGGCAGAGCCAAAGCTTCGAGAGTATGACATGGACACCTGTCTGGAGAACATGCCATCTGCTCGTGTGCCTGGTGCCATATCCATAAAGGGTCGGTCAGCATCCATGCTCCTCCTAGGAGGAATGGCGCTTGACGGCCGCCCGCGGAACTTGGCGTATCCCGCACTCTCGATGTGAATGTCGATTGGTGGATGTTGAGGAGATCGTTGTTCTGACGACGCAGAAAGATATGTGGTAGACTGCCCAGCTTCTCTAGCCAATGTATTCACCTCGTACGACGAAATCTTGCCCACGTTCCACTGATCTCCTGTTCCTGGGTCCCGCCTAATTAGGCTCAAGGTAAATGGCGGCGTAGAATATTCGATGCTCTTCATTGGAGACAGGGAACGGCTTTGCCTAGTATGCCCCATGGTAGCAGTTCTGTCTCTAGTTTGATCTCTAGAGCGCGCCGCTTCATCCATGGAGACTCGACTCTGCGGTATATCGCTCAGCTGCCTTGGGCCGACGGGCTTCCGCCTAGAGGCAGATGAGCGTAATTGCTGTGGCCCGTCTCGTGCATTTGACTCAAAGGAGCTTTCTGAGAGTCCCAAGCCCGAATCTTCGAAACGTCTAGGAGGCAGAGGGGGTGCGTAGTTGGCATCTTGCGAGTTGGGCACACTAAGATCACTTGGCGGTCGCAGAGTCGGGTTTCCATATGCCATCTGGGGTTGATCACCTTGTATCGAAATATTGGGAGTCTGGGATGAAATGGAGCCTGGCACTGGCTTCCGAGCAATCGTCCTCGCCACGGAGCTATCTTCGCTGGATCTACCTTGCGCTTCATCTCTCAATGGCTGAGGGCCGGTGATGTCCAGCATTGGGAGCTCGAGATGAACATAGTAGAGACTGCTGGAGACATCTCCGCCTGTGACGTTCTTGAGCTGAGGTTTGAAGGGTGAAAGAATCACATCTGCAAGTAAAATTATTCATGAGATTCAGTTACAAGTATTGTTGTTGCGTGAGAGCTTTCACATACCTCTAGTGCCGGGGACTCTAGATATGTAGAGCACCAAGGGCTCTTGTCTTGTCTCTGACGGATTTTCGGGGTATTGCGGCGGATTCGCCGCCAGCAGATTTAGGGAGGCGAGTGAATGGGCCTCCATGACGACCGTCGCTTGCAAAATATGCCTCTATTGGGAACTATGCTGGTGGCCTTGGACAATGTTGGACTCGGAAAAGGCGCGTGCAAATAGAAATCTCTGCTTGATGTATCGCTCAATTAAGCTTATGCTATGTGGCTCTAATCAAGGCGGGTGACTTGACGATCATATTTTTTTTCTCCTTTCTTATGTAAAGACGGCTTGTGCAAGGATTTGCTGCAGGTTCAAGGCACCCGGACATCCAGGACCGGAGAAAAAAGGCGACTAACCCAAGCCGAAGGATGACAGCAATTGCCGGGCCAAGCAAATCAGACGCAGGCTGGAGAGAGAAGAGACAGATTGAGATCAATACTCGTACATCCTGGCCAGAGGTAAGCAGAGACGGGCATTACCCCAGCACAAGACGTGGTTTTAATCAGACGTAAGGCGCAGCTGGTGTCGTGTCTTGTCTTTCTTTCGATGCTTTTGCAGAAAAAGGGAAAAAGATAAACGTCACCGCACCGGGGCTGTGCCGTGTCAAGGCCACCAGGTTTTATTTTAGGGGCGCTGCGAGCCCGGTGAGCGAGCCGATAGGACGGAGCCGGGAGGCCGTCGTTTTCCTAGCGAATCTGGTGATGAGGCGTCAGCTGCAAACGAGGCGAAGCTGAGAGTAGAGAGGAAAATCAGCTCAGCTGGAGTGGTCATGGCTACCTAGTAAATGGGGAACACGTATGCCGGGTTGGTGATGGCGATTGGAACTGGATAGGTTCGTTCTCTATATGCCTGTGCAGCTGCGTCAGGTTGCCTGTGGCGATTGTTAGCAGCCAGCTGAACGCTGTGGGTTTTGCTGTAGGTCGCGTGTTGGGCGATACAGTGCTGGTAGCACGCAGCAGATGCAGCGGAGTTGTGCGGCGGCCTACAGTAGCTATGACTAAACTGCTACTGTATTTAGCACCAAGCTGTCAGTGGGTCGATGCCCGAGTCTGAGCTACCATCAACACTAAACATCTTCCTTGTCCCGTTCCAATTATAACATCAATTGGATGGATGCTTCACGATTCAACCATCTGCACTCGTGCCCTGCTACTGTACCTTATCTCTCGCCCCCTTGAGCACTCGTCACATCGCAAATTCAACCGTTGAACATGATGATACATTGGGTTCTTAAAATATCCGTCAGGCCTGGTCCTGGTCCTGGTCCTCCCCCGCCTTTGACGCACCTATCACCGCGCAGGTGATATTGCAGCCGTATGCAGTGGCATCTCCATCATCTGCAGGTGTGCAGCATTGGGCATCTACAAAAATAACCGCCGTGTTACATTGAGCATTCTTCCTCCACAGGGCCCTGTCCTGGCCATCTACCGAGCCGCTCTCCTGCACACTGCACACGCCAGGCATGCGTCGCCACGGCATCAATCTTGGCAGCACAGCCCCTACTACGGACTCGTCGGCTCTGGACAGTCGGTGGCCGTGGTGGTGAATGGAAATCCGGTATGGCAGTTCCAACACGGACTCGATGTTGCACATGCGGTGACCGTCTTGGTGACGACGCCTGCAGCCTGTGAACAGCCGCAGGGCAGGGTCACGAAGTCTATGGCGTCGAATCATGAGAGGGATGCTTCACCCGCGCATGCTATTTTGGGTTACTCACTATCGATGATGCAAAATTCGCTGGAGCAGTTGAATCTGCAACCTTGGCTGGTGCCAGGACGCGTTGTTATCGTGACGGTAGGAACACAACTAACTGGCGATGCAGGGGTATCGACAGCCAGAGAATGCACAGCGGAAATGAAGCTTGTTTCAAGAGTCTTGAGTCAGCAGAGGAGCGTGAGGTGACCGGGCATTGATGCTTCAGCTTGAGGTACCATACCCTGCGAGCGTGAGGACGGTTATGATCGAAGCGAACCGCATGCTGACAAGTAGGTCCTGACAGATGGTTGATTGTTGAGATTGAAATAGCTATTTGCGGGAAACCTGAATAACATATGTGCAAAAAAAGATTATGCTTGGGAGAGAGCTGACATCTCCAGGACCAATCCCTTCCTTCACGAGCGTTAGAGCTTGCTCTAAATACTCGAATCTGGAGTTGGTATGCCTCCGTCAAGTGGCGTGATGGTGTCCCATTGTGACTAGCGACAGTCCGAGTATTGATTGTCGCATTACAGACGAATGCCTTTTGTGGCGCACACAGCTGTGGTACGGACTGCTCTGATAGGCCGGGTGAAGACGTTGACGAAAGGATCAATTTCTTGGCGAGATGCAAGACGTTGAGGGGTACAACGTCGATGCTGCCGCTTCTGAACTGGAGCTTGCTTGATTGGACCCAAGTTTTAAGCTTGAATGGTGATCATCCACCAGCAGTGCGTTTGACAGGTGCCACTTACATGCGTTTCCTCGAAATTAACCGAAGCTTCCACGGTTCGAGATGAAGCTCAAGCTCGTATTCTTTGCCAGGGTGAGACTCTGCCAGCCAATTATGAACTCTTCCGAACTAACGCTTGTGCATGCTGTAAATTGCGGCTGAAGCTGAGGGTGTTTACTTGAGTGCTCCCTGCATGCCATCAAATCGTATAGAGAGGGAATTGAAGTACGAATATGTGGCTAATCGTAAATAAGGTAGCATTGCGAGTTCTGCGCTTGCATGGAACCTTTCTTCAAGTTCTGATGCGAGTGCTACCCTGAAATTTGATATGCATCATCGTCAGCGGTAATCATAGAGACTCTTGTCATGACTGGAGTGCCATTTACTGTCTTGGTAGTTTATATATGTACTTTATATGTGATGACGAAGCTGCCCGCTTTGGCAAATATCGGGTTCTCTATAGTCTAACCGCTTCATGTTGAAGTCTCGGCTCTATACGCAGCAACCACCTCGTTAACAACGTCTTCCAGCTTCTCATCCTCCAAACCAAGCAGCTCCATTGCAAACCCATCCCTCTTTGTCCAATCGGCATCCAGAGCTCCCAGCACAAAGACAATGTCTTCTATGGCGACCAAAACGGCCTTTTCATCATCGCTATCCAGCCTCTTCCGAGCATCCTCCAGGTACGGCTTTGAATCGACATGCTGAATGTGCCACGTCTCGCCCATGGCCTTTTCCAGAGCAGCTACAATCTCAAGCTGTGTCGGGTTGAAGCTCTGGACGTAAAGCGCGCGATTGCGAGTCTCGACAGGCCTTTGGAGGATGCGGACAGTTGCCTCCGTGATGCGCCGCAGCGTCGACGTCGAAGCCTTGATGGCGCCTCCATCCAGGATCTGAGCCGTGCGTGTGTCAAAGTTGAAATGGAGCAGTCCGTCACGCAGTCCGCGGTCGAAAAAGTGTCCGCACACAAGCGTCGTCCATGAGAAGGCCGTGTCCTCTCGAGCAGCCAGAGCCTCGCACTTTTCGCGCACCAGCGTCTTCCTACGATACAGCGGTAGGTACTTCTGAGGCTCGGCATCGCCTGCGTCGCAGCTCCCAAAGTCGGCGGGGATGAAGCGCTTGACACCAGCCTGGAACGCAGCCTCTACGAGCCGGAGATGCTGGTCGCCCTGGCCGAGCGGAAACGCAGCGACGACGGCATCCTGGCCTTTGAGAGCTTCTGTGAGCTCGTCGACAGCCAGATCAGGCCCAACGACTATGCGCGTGATGGAGTCCCCAAATGTCGTGGGAGACGACGAGTTTGAGCGCTGAAGGACGGACACGTCAAAGCAGTTTGCCTCAACCAGCCCTCGGAGAATGACGGAGCCCAGGGTGCCGTTGGCGCCCACGAGGCAGATCTTCTTGAGCGAAGTTTGCGTCATGATATATAATTAGGTAGGCAGGCAATGGATGGTTGTGTATTTGTTATCAGATTGAGGCGAGCAACTCGAAAGACTGACCAGATTGGGCAATGTGCCGCTTAGTACGAGAAAACGCGGAGGTTTTGGTGGGGCAACTTGTTCTGTTGCGCCATTCGTAGGATCATGGTTACAAGCAATTGACTGCGGGTACTCGTACTACCTGTTTAGTCGTACGTTGCTCAATATGGATTGGGAGTGGAACGGAGTCGGGAGAACTGAGAGGACGGTGGTGATCAGGAACTTGGGGTTAAGGCAACGCAAGGACAGCGTATGTTTGAAAGAAAGACCTGATGGGAGAGCAAAACTACTTCACGATATATTTCGACTTTTAGTCATATTGACAAATGACTTACACAAGACTGATATACGCCTGCTAAATAGGCATGAAACCTCTGGAGTTTGAGCTCCGGCTCCGAAATGCCTCGCATCCGGCACCCACAGGCCTTCAATGAACCCCCCGGCTCGGCCTTGTTCCCCCACATTTGTTCAAGACGCGGACTCTCTCGGCTATCCGAGATGGAAATAAGCTATAAGCTCCTGGCGGATAGTAGTTTTAACTCCGGCTCTCGCCAGCTCGCCGTTCGGCTCGGCCTAGCAATACAGCGTATTTGACAGCGAATCAGAAAGAGAAGCTCGGCCGAGTTGGTTGTATTCACCTTGGATAGTTGTCAAGAAGGATTCGACTATGAAAGCCACTGGCAATGGTATAGATGTGTGCATATATAGTGGCGATGGTACGTCACCTCATGAAGTGTCAACTCAACTCGACAAGACAAAGAATCAACCAGTATCATAACAATCATCATATTTCACACATCATCATTAACAATGGCTGACAAGCACATCGTTTTTATCACCGGTGCCAACACTGGCATTGGCTACGAGGCTGTTAAAGCACTGCTGCGCTCATCCGTGCCATACCACATCTTCGTGGGCGCTCGCACGCTGGAAAAGAGCCAAAATGCAATTGCTGCCGTCACTCAAGAGGTCCCGGGATCGAGCAGCACCCTCGAGCCCGTCGCCATTGAGCTAGCTAGCGATGAGTCCATTGCCCAGGCTTATGAGGCTATCGAGGCCAAGGTGGACAGAATTGACACACTGGTCAACAACGCGGGTTCGTAACATGTAACCTAGAACATTTTGACTATATTGGTTGAATGAATGGACTGACGCATGAGTATTTGTTCAAATAACATAGGCGCTGCTTTTGATACCTCCGACTTCAAGGACGACGTTCCAAACAGCCGCACCATCTTCAACAAGGCGTACGACGTCAACGTCACCGGAACTCATATTGTAACGTCAACCTTTGTCCCGCTCCTCATCAAGTCGTCTTCTCCCCGTCTCATCTTCATCACATCCGGCCTGTCCACCCTCACGGCGCACTCCAAGAGCTTCTTCCCTCCATGGGCTCCCAAGCCGCAAGCCGGATGGCCCAAGGAAAATGTCGTGGCCAACCTGGGATACAAGAGCAGCAAGGCCGCGCTCAACATGGTGATGCTCAACTGGCACTGGCTGCTGCTGGATGACGGCGTCAAGACTTTTGCTATTAGCCCGGGCTTCTTGGCTACCAACCTGGGAGGCGTTCCTGAGAAGCTCAAAGCTCTGGGTGCAGGCGACCCATCAATCGGTGGAGAGTTTATCAGGAAGGTGACTGAGGGAGAGCGAGATGCGGATGCGGGCAAGGTTGTAAACAAAGACGGCCTTCAGGACTGGTAGAGGTTGTCGTGATACCCGACCGTTTCTATCTGCGTGTACGTTGCATGTATCTAGTATTTTGAAAAGCTTAGCAAATGAATTTATTATGAGAAGAATGATTTGCTTTACTTTACCCTCTTCTGTTGCTATGCTTCTCGTCATATTATATTATTTCATCTTCTAAAAAATCATCGTCTTCATCTATAGGCGGAGGGTCTTCTCCACGAAGCCTCCTTATACGTCTTAATATCCGGTCTTTGATGGGTTCGTGACGAAATCTCGTAGGGATTGTCGTTGCCAAATCCCAGTAGATGAGATACTCTAGCTGTTGAATCCACCGATGCAGGCTCTCAATATCGGCGCTTAGGAGCTCTCTATCTATCCCATTCTCGCTGAATAACTGTCTTCGGTAGTGATAGAGTATGAATTGCAAGTTATCCAGCTCACCGTGGACTGGGGGGTCTCTTCGTACGGCTTGATAAGGAGGAGGTGGTTGAATCATGTCGGCGATGCAGGATACTGTAGTTTTGTCTTTTCGGAGCCAGCGCTTAAAATCGCGGTAACGGTTCCTGATAACGATAGGTGCTTTTATCCAGGGCATTGTCGTGGGGCCTGTGGGTGCCTGCATTTTGTTGATGCTGAATTATATGTATGTGTATGCCTAGTAGGTATGTATGTAAGCGTGTGAGTGGGTGCGCAATGGAGTGAGTGATTGAGTAGGTGAGCGAATGATTAAACGAATGTGTACATGACGAGCGAGTGAATGAGCAAGTGATCGAATGAACGAATGACCGAAGATAATTGTATCGTCGTAAACTGAGGATGGTGGGTTTGTTTAAATAACAATGGCAACGCTGACACGGCTAGACTGTTAGTTGAGCATTTACATTATTCATTTAGACTTTTAAGTCCGTGAGGAGAAGTAAACACCAAAACTTGACATGTACGTAATTCCAGGAACGCCCGTTTATACAAACATTGAATTAAGTTTATTAAGTTGTTTAATAGTCATGTGGCCCTCCTGAACTCAATCAAGCCTTTTGCGTAAAAATAGATCTTGTTTGTATTTCTACGCAAATATTTAATGAGCCAATACATGTCAAATCTGGATCTAGAGTATCAGAGTAGATCGCTTTACCTGAATGAGCGTGGTAATTCGGTTGGGTGAAAGGGTACCTTTCTACCACCTTTGAAGTTTTCGTGGCCTCGGGAATAGGGCATGATTTCTTAGCTAATTGTTGCACCCAACAGCGTATAATTGCCCAAATAATAATGCAGAAACGGAGCATGGCGTAGAAACGTTATCATAAAGGCCGTTGTGAGGCCGTATACGAGGATAATAGCATCATTCAAAGCCGTCAAGCGTCGTGTTCCGCGATGATATTTTCAGCTAGGACGCACAAATTATTTTCTGTCTACTGCATTTGCAAATGTAATCTCAACGGCCAGTCGTGATTAACTTTTGGCGTCGATGCTACAAGTCTCCCACAAACTGGACCCTTGGCGGAGACTGGAATTCTTCTCAATAGAATGCAGTATAGATACGACCAGAGGATCACATGGGTACTCTACTAAGCAAACATAGAGCCAGAATAAAGATTAACGTAAAATTAAATAGAGAAATCAAGATCTGGTCATCCATTCGCGATGATGACACAGCAGTCGCATCATATCGAATTGTACGCATGGAGTGTGTATTGTAATAATACCTGGCTCTCGAAGCAATACATAGCACTTTTTTTTGGCTCATGTTGCACCCGCGAGAGCTGTTTCTAAAGAAGCAGACATACTCATGGAAGACGATTCTTCCCATCCAATTCATCGCGAGCGCGATACTTCATTCAGATTACATGTAGACCTGCTGCTGTCCTGCGACGAGCGATGGGAGACACCAAAGCATAAGTAAGCTTTCGATTGACATCACCAATACAAGCTCTGGAATGCTACCCAGGCCATCCATCGCCATCGCAAAAATCGCGCTTATGAGTCTCTACTAGATGACAGTGTCTGTTACATTCCAACGACTTGGACCATCGCTCACCTAGGACGAAATGTAACGGCGCCAGCCTCCCTTTCTCCCACCCAAACAATGCAGTTTTCGTGGCTGTGAGAATGTCTCGGCTTAGCCTCTTTTCCAACGAGAAAACACAGCTGAAACGGTACGTTGGAAATTCACTGGTCAGCCAGCCTCTCGTTTCCTTCATACCTTGGAGAGGCATGTTGGCATCGCATGCCATTATACGCTGATCTCTTTGCGCCTCTCCACATCTGCAGGACTTTCAGGCGGCACATATGTATGTTGGTTGCATGTTATTCGGTGATATACTCATTCTACTCCGCGATAGAGGCGAAGTTTCGCGTGAGACCTCTGGGTATCCATTCCCTGCAGATGTCATGATGTCGCGAATCAGCCCACCAGAGTGCGATGCGTCGTTCCCATACTTGAGTCTGGCTAAGCATCCCATCGTGAGGTTGGATCAGAATATCCATAACAATCATGGGTGGTTTGATAGATATATAACTTGACAGCGTTGCTTGTTCCATCGCTCATCTACTTCTCACCACGGCTTCATCTGGAGTATAAACTCAAGAAACAAGTGTCGTCTTGGTTTCTTCTTTGCTGGCATCAATCAATCACCATGTCTCGACTCGCCCTCCTCCTCAGCCTCATGGCTGCCACCGCAGCAGCCCAAGCCGAGTATGCATCCCACGGCTTCAAATACATCGGCTGCGTCGAGGCCGAACCCCCAGTCTTCTCCTTCAACGTCGATCTCCCCTCCCCGTTCAGCGCCCAGCAATGCCAGGTTGCCTGCCATTCAAAAGGCAAATACGCCGCCCTCGATGGATCATGCCATTGCGAAGATCCCCTGTCCAAGAGCGAGCCGCAGTACAAGGTGCTTAATGATTCTGTCTGCGCGCTGCCGTGCGATGGCGGTAACAAAAGTTGGGGATGGTGCGGAGGCCCGCACTGCCCGGTGACTGGGAAGAAGCGATATTCGCTGTATAAGAAGGATGAGGATCACGACCACAATGACGACTGCGAGAAAGATGATAAGAGCAAGGGTATTGGCATCGGTTTCCACACCAAGGACATCCCCGTGAGAACCTCTACCACTATCAAGACTATTACGTCTTGTCCCCCTGAAGTCACCAATTGCCCTCTCTCCTGCCCGCCTGGAGGGTGCCATATCGATCCTTCACCTCCTGTCACGAAGCATCACGCGGTCCCACCCTCTGAGCCCTCAATTCGTCCGCCGCCGCCAGAGTGCCATGGTGAGTACTGCAAGACCAAAATTCCGACAACGTCAGCTTGCCCGTCGGGGGGATGCGTCAAGATTGTCACAGATCCTATCCCAACGCGTCCTCATCCTACCCCTGATCCTGCTCCTACCAAGGCTGTGGTGACCGTTAGTGAGGGCACAAGATACCAGTCTGGGGTGTTGATAGCAGCTGTTGCCGCGTTGGTGGTGGCTGTAAGTTGGCTGTAAGTTGGCTGTGAAGAATGGAAATGTGGTGTGACGACTTCATGACAAGGAACCACTCGTTTGGTATGGATGTAAAGAGAGTGAAAATAAGCTAAAAACAACACCAAAAAAATCAGCGCATAGATAGTTTTGAGGCGTTGCATGGCGTTTTGGTGGACTGCGATGCTTGTAATTACTATAATACACTCGTTAGATGGCCAGATTAGGCACTTAGCCTCATCTTGAATACAATGATGCTCAAAGAATGCAGAATCCTTGCCAAGCCCAATCTCTCCAGCTCATGAGATACATGTTAATGACAGTACAGACAAATACTCATATGGCGGCGAAATCTTCAAAAGCTAATCACCTAAATAAGAAAAAAAAAAAATCAACATAGAAGCAGCACGGGTTACCTCCTTGGGGGGTCCGTTAACGGCACATATCGCACCCCAAATAGCTTCTTCCTCGTCACCTTGCCCTCTTCGTCCTTTTCGATGCGCCACACGCTTTGATCCCACCCGGTGGAGTCATCGTCCACAGGAATAAACATACTTTGGCAGACAAAGGGTAAGTAACTCTCGTTGGCAAGTGTGTGATGGAGTGATGGATACCATGGCGGAACTTACCATCCTGGGGCCTTGAGCTGCTCCAACAGTGGAGAATGCACCTCTTTGGCAGCGGCACCGACGTGAATCACATCCCACGCCGTCCCAAGCTGCTCTTCGCCTGCTCTCGCCGCTTCAACCCAGCCCAATCGGCCGTCGCCAACCACAAACTTTGCGATTCCCGCTTCTAGCAGCTTCTTCCCCTCTGGGCTTTTTTTCATGTTGGCTTCTCCTAGGTCTCGTAGTTCCGAGATATGCTCCAGCCCTACCACGAGCCCGCGGTCTCCTACGAGCTCCGCAAAGATGTGGGTAAGGTAGCCTGAGCCGGAGCCAATGTCAAGAACTCGTGGTGCTGGCGATGTCTCCGACGGGAGAAGACGAGAGAGGACATTCTCAATAGCAGAGGCGTGCATATGCGGAGCGGAAATAGTGGCCTCGTAGCCGATGGGTTGGGGAGAGTCTTGGTACGGCATGCCAGGGGCGTAATGCCGCCGGTCGACCTGCTGCGGGTTAGATGAAGCGCCCTTTCATTCTCTCTTCTTGTTCAGTACCAGCTCAAGACGGAGCTTGCCTTTAGAAATGCCTCCTTGACCAGAGGCTCGGTGATGAGGCCGTGAGTCCACATGTTTGCCACCAGCCCGGCATTCGAGCTCCCTGAGCACCGCCACGCCATGTTGATGCCGCTGCGCGCTTGGAGTCCTCCTGCAATGAGGAAGCAGATGCCGGCAGATTTCAGCAGCAGATATGGACTGGACAGCCTAGCTACAGCTCGCGTGAGAGTTTGAGGCGCCAGCTTTCAACCGCAGTCCTGCCGAGGAGAGAGCAACGAGATAAGGATCAGGTAGGTAGAATCAGTAGAATCAGTAGAAAGCTGTGAATGGCCAAGATGGTTGACGGCGCGCTTACGACTGGGCAAATCACGCAATCGTCACAGCGGTGATACGGCCCGAGTCAATACCTTATGTCGGAAGCGTAGGTGAGGATTATTTTGGGGAATCCCAACATTGAAGATATCACAGCTGCCCATGATGTAGGAAAGACGTCAAAGGCACCTCTTATCAGCTCCATGCTGACGAGGTGTAGAAGTCACCAGATCCATTGGACAATAGCGAGCTGCTGCTGCTTAAGCTCAGGCCCGTTAGCGGGGGCCCAACAGCGCTACCACCCCGCACGCGCGGGGCAGATGCTAGTGCCTGTTAGTGGCCGCTGCACCTGTAATGGCCTGTAAGCATGGATCCATTGGTGAATTACACTTCCATGGATGATCAATGCCCTGGATCTGCAACGGGATCGATCGACATGCAATCTTCACACAACGGGGAGCTGGGCTGGCTACGGAACGGCAGTAATATCTACGCAAGCCACCAAGAGCCCCGATCCAGCTAATAAACAAAGATATAAATGCACACACATCACCGGGTTGCCTCAACGAGAGACCAATGCAAAAACAAGTCAGAGAGATAGGTAAATGGCCCATTATCCTATACATTGTACATAAGAGAAGCGTGCTACGCGTTATGCCTGGGAAACAAATATTGCAGCTGTCCATAACGCCAGAATCCATCCCACAAACAGACACAGGAAATAGAAGAAAAAAAGACAGGGGGAAAAAAGGGGGTTCCTGGTGTGATATCGTTATTCACACGCCCTCGGTCTGCCGTAGAATTTGGCTAGAACAAATTCGAGGGAGGGGCCACAGCAAAAAAAGGATTCAGATCTAGAAATGTAATGAACCAGCAGTTCTATACCACGTGCTCCGAGTTCTCGCCTTCTGCGATGATTGGAACATTGAGTCCACGGCCAGGGCTCTGCAGGACCAGTTGCTCGTGTCGTCGGGCCCTCATGAACTCGGCCACACTCCTAATAAGCATGAACCAGCCAACGACCATCAGGATATATGCCATCCAGTCATTGCCTGAGATGCCGGAGCTGGGGCCATCACGCACATCGTCAACGTTAAAGTTGTGGGAGTTTGGATCTTGCGGCGCAGCATATCCGTCTGGGCCCGTCATCTTAGGCGGGTCATCGGGCGACCCTCGCATGTAAAAGCCGTACTGGATAAGGGTGATGCCGAGGCCAGCTCGTGATCCGTTCTTGGCAGCATGAGTGGAGTGAAGGAGGTAGGTGAGCAGGAAGCCGACAAGCTGGAATGAGGTCGAAATCATGCCGTTCCAGATAAAAGAAAACACCGAGCCGACGGGCATGCCGTCGACATAGACTTCATCTGCACCACCGTAGCCGGGCGCAAGAATTGTGGTTTCCCAGTAGGGAGGGGCGGCATCTGCGGCAGCTTGTTCATAGGTCTGCAAGTGTCACCATAATTAGTTCATGTTCGTGTTCTTGGGCAGTCGTTTCATGTTCTAGGGGCTTAGCAGGGTAGACAAACAGGTGGCTGCTCCTCCTTTTCCGCGTTGGCATCTGTTCGCTCGGGTCGGGCTGACATGTTGGCAAACACGCCATCCGAACCAAATCCACCCCCCATCACCCGGGGTCGTGAGCCAGACGAAGCCGTATCCGGCGTCGCTGAGGTTGGAGTCGTCGCTGTCGGCGCAGAGGGTCGCGCAGACGAGTCATTGGTGGATCGGATGGTTGGGGTCGAGTTCTGTCGAACTAATCTTTGTCTGTCGTCGGCTTCATCGTCGTCGCTTGCATCGTCATCGTCAAAAGCATCGGCAAGGTCGTTATTGACGCGGCCATTTCGGCTTGGCGAGGAGGCGCGAGAATGAAAGGACGGAGGCGGCGAATTGGGGATCTGGACTCGTCGCTGCGGAACCTCGTGCTCCTCGTCCTCGTCGTGGGCATTTACCTATCAAGGAACAAGCAAGAGGTCAGCGTCGTCGCCGACAAAATAACCTTGGGATACGACAAAGAAAAAAAAATGCGACAAGTGCTCGCATACCCTCTCATAACGCCCAGACATGGCTGCAGTAGTATTTCGTATTTCGTCAAAGTCACGCAGCGCCGCGGATTCGGATTCTGAGGTGTTTGGGGGAAATGGTGATGTCGTAATCGGGTCACGAGCGCCCGTAGAAAAAGGAGCACAAGTCGGAGAGCGACGATCCAAAGGAGGCAGAGAAGCGACAAAGGAGAAGAGGAGGTAAAAAGTCGGGACAAGGGTGAGGGCGACAAGGGCAAACGAACAGAAAAGAAAAAGAAACGCAATCCGACGTTGAGGAGTTTGGTGAGATGATGGGAATGGACGGATTGAAGATAAAAGAATGGGGAATTACGAGAACAGAACAGAACGGGCAGGCCAGATGATGCGCGGCCACTGATGACCAATGTGAGGGAGGCGCTGGAGGCAACCTGCTGATGCACACAAAGTACCTGCGAACCCTGCCGGCCGCCCGCGCAATTTGTGTACTAGCCGGTAGTCGTACTCGTACTCTTTGTCGTTCAGGTGCCAAGTCAAGCACCATCTGGAACACTCCAGGGTCGCCTTGGGGGACTTTTGCCGGGATTGGGGGGGGGATTGGGGGGGATTGGGGGGGCCTTTAGCGCTATTTGCTGGGCCTCAGGCAGCAGAAGCTGTCAATGATGTGTTTTGCATTTGATGGCGTTTTAGCTCTAGAGCCATGTCTGGAAGTAGCTGGAACGTCAGATCCCGCACCATCAGGGCACCTGCTGCATGTACCCTGTACCTGGTAGCCTGGATACGCGGACTGTGGGTATGGCGAAAGAGGTGCACTGTGGGATGGGCACTGTGCTGGCGGAAACTTTGCTCCAGCAGAAATCCAATATTTTGGAGCATATAGTATTGAATCCAAGTTCCATCCGGCGAAAGAGTTGCGGCATTGCATTGCGCAAGCACGCGCATAGCAGATCCCAATAGTTTTCAACAATGTCGCGATCACTAGCAGTGAGTGGAATCTTGTCAATTCCTATGACAGCCATCCGGCCAATGCTAATGCTTGTCTCAAAAAAAACAGCGCCGCATCTACTCCGACGTCTTCGCCAAATGGCCCAAGCAGGACCTGCGACCCGACTACCAGTTCCAGGATGTCCTAGCCAAGGTCGTTGACGAGCGCTTCAAGAACTACAAGCCATCTATTGAGCCCGAGGAGCTGCTAAAGGCACGAGCGCTGCAATTCCTGGTGCAGAACAAGTTCAGAGATAGGGTGCGCAACCAAACCCTTTTCTTTTGTGTGAGGGGCCCGGCAAATTTCGCTAACGAGTGGGCTATGCAGTATAAGCTTAAGGGTCCTATGCTGGAACCGAAGAGCCAGCCGACATATTTCGAAGACTTGGTCAGGGAGATTGAGGAGGCGCCCAAGAGAACCTGGCTGGAGAGATTGGGCAAGAGATTGTCAGGAATGATAAGACTGCAATGAGGTAATGAACAAAACGGCGACACACGACATCGATATCAATATCAGCATCAAATTAAACAGGCATATCAAAAGGACAAGGGAAGAGGGGAAAGTGCCATTCATGACAATAATGGATATGGCAAGGCCAAAAGAAAGAAGAAAAAACATATCAAAACCAAGAATCTTTTGCAATCACCACTGTATACTATGTATATACACTTGTACAACTAGTCGCTGTATCAATACGAAGGCTGTATAATCCCCATCTAAATCCTAAACGCCAGACCAGTCTGCTTCCTCTTCCTTTTGTTTTCTCTCTCTCTTCTAGATGTACTTCATCTCGGGGTCTAGCTTGTTCATGAGATCCATGCTCTTCTCATACATGGTGAACACAATGCCTCCGCTGAGCACCAGTCTGGCCAGTCGGGGCAGCGCTCCGCTCCAAAATGTGAGAATGCCCTCCTGCTTGAAGATCATGGCAGCGCACTTGAATGTGTTGCCATACATGGACCGCGCCTCGATACTCTGCATGCGCGTCTTGACTGTATCGAGAGGCTGAGTCACATACACCGTCACCAGGCCCGCAAGACCACCCATGGCAAAAGTACCTATGGTGCCGAGCTTCTCTCCTGGCGCAGTATATGACTCGGCGATCTGCTTGAAGAAGTTGTAGGCACCGAAACGGGTTGCGCTGTTTGCCGCCTGACGAGCTGTCGTCGGTACGAAGCCCTGGAAGAAACCGCGGATACCACGTTCACGGGCGATGATGGGGACGGCGTGGAGGAAACCGCGCATGCGAGGCTTGGCAGACTTGCGGTCGTCGATGCTAAGGAGAGGACCATATCAGCACACAGTACACATATTACTCGATAAGAGTGAAAGGGAGAGCCTACAGTGTCGTCTTGATACTCTCGGTGGGAGTGACGGCGAGCAGCGACTCTGTAACACCGGCACCGAAGCCAGCCAAGACGGTTCGTGGGCCAGAGAGCTTCCCGTTCTCGTCGGCGAGCAGGCTCTTGAACTGATCAAACGCAACAAACCCTGCCATCCACGTCAGAACCTTTGCGCCGTAATTCAAATCGCCAATTGGGTTATGCTTGCGTACGGATTCCTGCCTTGGCAGAGTTGCCGATGATGAGTGTGGTGCATCCCGCATACCACTGCGCTCCGAACGGTGGCCATGGCAGCTTCTTTCCCTCGGCTAGCCGTCTGTTGAGCTGCGACCTTGTCTTTGCGACTGCACATGTCTAGTCAGTTTTCTGTCCATGGATACACAAGATATTTCTCCCGTTTCGTTCAGGACGGCAGCGGCGCAGACACACATTCGGCGGGATAGGTAATGGCTGCAAGAATCATAGCCGGTTAGCATATCGAAAAGCATATCGAAAAAAAAATCTCGAATCCAAGCACGCGCGACAAGACATACCGATTTCAATCGCACCGGCGGTTGAGCCAGCAATGATTGATCGCAGCGCATTGGGCCGCTGCTTCTTCTCAGCAACTGCCGGCTCCTTGGCTACCGTCGCCATTGTGCTTGTGCTTGTTCAGGGCAGCTGTTCTGGCGGGGGGATTCGATGTCTGGAATTGATGCAATTCTTAGTGCAGCCATGCTAGCGGGTGCCTCTGATTTGAATGTCTTAGGCCGGAAGATGGGTTCCGATGTCGCCGATGGGCTACCCGTGAATGAACGGGGCCGCACCCGGAGCTGCGATCTGGGTCGGGAAAATTACTCATTTCACATTAGCACGCCTGGGGAGTCTGGGGAATATATCGATGATTTGCGCGGTTGCTTTTCCGTTTTGTTCCGTAAATGGTTCTTTATTAGGTCAGTTCAGTTCAGTTCAGTTCAGTTTAAACCAGGTGCATTTCCCTTTTCGCAGTATTTCTCCTGCTGTAGCGTGGAAGATGTCTGACAAGTGACAAACTGATGTGCGCACAGTGTGCCGCTCAGCGTCTCCCTTGCATCTCGCATTGCAGATTTAGGCGCCTGCAGCTGAGAATGATGACCGCATACATCTCTTTAACGATAGCCGGCCCAAGACATTGGGTGCGCATCTTCAGCAGGGCATCCACTTGGTTGGAGAAAATGTCTCGGATCGCGGCCAACTCGCTGCCCAACTGGGCTCCCATGTTTCGTGTTACCTCATGCTACGGGCAGCTCCGTACCCTAGAGCTGAAGAAAGCGGTGAAATGTTGGGTATATGAAGATCAATGATTGCAAAATCATGGGACCTTACAAATCTCCAAGTCTACTAGTAGCTAAGAGGTGATACTGCATTCTCGCAGGATGGACAGAGCACTAGCTAGATTATTGCTGGCATCTCGCATGTAGTGTGGTCATATTGTGAGTCACTGATCAAATGAACCCGAAGAGAGTACACATGCGGTATGAGTACTTTCTCCAAGATGGAGGGCTCTAAGGCTGCCAAACACGCAGATAACGCTGCATGTAAGCACAGACAATATGCACATGTATCCTTCTGCTGAACCCCATTCCTACAATCTAGGGGAGATGGGGCACATCCAGCCCGTGGGAAACAAGGTAAGCCATAACTTGATCCTTTGGCTACATATGTTAGAACGTACCTTAATAATCATAACTGAATAAATATTCATCTGGGGTGTTCTGGAGTGGGATGCTATTCCTCTGGTAAGAGGGGCGCATCTTACTGCATCGATGTTTACAAGCTGCATTCTACAGCCACCCAGCCCTGTTTCATCTTTGCCTCAAGGTAACCCCAATCATCCAGGGTAGTACTGCAACCTGCAAACTTTTAATGATGCTGAGCACATAACAGGGCAGCTAATCCTCCGAATCTAGCCCTGTTTGAACTTGAACCTGGCAAACAACGTCTCACCTATATGGCGTGCATTGGTGCATGTGGCTCAAACCATATTCTAATCTCCAACAGCCTCATCATGCTGGACATTTTTTTTATTGGCAGTGAAGCCATGGTGCTATGAAGTGGATTGGTAGCCGACTCTTGTTTTCATGATGTGGTAGTGGCATCTCTGCAGTGTTCATGGGTTGATTAAAAGAGCCACCATCTCGAAATCTTGTCCATATTTTTTTTCCTTTCAGATCATCATTTCATAGCAGCGGCGGTTAGTGCGGGTAAAATTGGAGAACGAGCGGGAGGGGCGCCATGGTCAGTCGTGGTCTGATTTTCTGATTTTCCATCCGCGCGGAGATGCTGTAATTAACTGATTTGATGTATAGGCGGAAGGGAGGCGTCAAAGCAGCAGATACTTTGTCAAGGCCAGATTCTGTCTAAATAATGTGAAGTAATGACAAATAAAAACGGCAGCGCTGCCTGAACCGGGGGTCTGACAAACGCTGCAAATCGGTTGCAAATATTTTCGTCTTGGGTGACGCAGCATCCGGATCTAAGGCTGCTTGTGCATATACAAGTGCCAACATCCCCTGGTCTGCTCGTTAATTATCCCGCGTCTTTGTACTCGATACTCCATAATACATCCATACGAGTACAAACACGCACAACCTGTTTGTCTCCCTGGTTTTCTCCTCTTCTCTTTTCGTCTTTTTTTCAGTGAGACAAACATTCGTAACTTCTTAGTCAAGGCTCACTTGACGTCAAACTCAAGTAAGCCCGCGGTATTAGTCATGGCTCTTCTCTCTGACTCTGACTCCTTTGCCTCTCTCTCAGCCGTGCTCCTCTGCCGTCTGGTCTCATCCTGTTGGCACAGCCCGCTAATTTTAGTCGCCCAAACCCGGCCATGTGACGATGATCATGCCAGCCACAGCTGGAGCAATTAATGAGCCATTACTGGGATCCTACGGGGATCTTACGGGGACGTGTACACACATGGCGGAACCTGGTGGGCCGTGGCTGCCTGTCACCAGCCCGACCTGATCTTATCTGATCCGAAGCTCGTACGAAAGGTCGCCTCTCATAAAGCCCTCATCCCCGTTCAATTTCCCCCGTCGCTGTCCCCCTTTGTAATTTTGTTCTTTGTCCAGAAATGCGGTGAATGCACGTGGCTATAAAGCACTGGCTGTTTTTATCTTTGTCTTCGGGATTTTTCTCCCCAGCCAGCTTTGCCTCCTCATCGCCACCAGGGCTTAATCTCGGCGATGGCGGCTTCAGGCGAACAGGCCCCATTGCTCGGCTCGGAGCCGCGCTCCATGACCGAGGTCCATGAGTATACAGTCATTTCGACACAAAATCACCATCATGGCTATCCGGACGACGAATATGCAGAATCCACGCTGGCGGGATCCAGAAGCCGGGCTGCTGGCGTCGCCCGCATGGAGGCCATTTCGGCCCAACTCTCCCCGATGGAGCGGTTCTGGATATTCTCAGGCATCTTCTTGATAGGCTACGCATACGGCCTCGAGAGCCAGGTTCGGTCAACGTACATGCCGTATGCAACATCCAGCTTCTCGCTGCACTCATACCTGGCCACCATAAACCTCCTCAGAAGCGTTGTTGCGGTGGCGATCCAGCCAACTGCAGCCAAGATTGCCGATGTCTTTGGACGCTTCGAGGTCGTGGCTGCGTCCACCTTGTTCTACGTGGTCGGCATGTTAATCGAGTCGACTTCGGATTCCGTCTATGCGTTTTGCGCCGGCACCATCACCTACCAGGTCGGCTACACCTGCATCGTCCTGATGTTGGAGATCCTGGTTGCCGACTTCTCGTCTATGCGGGCTCGCGTCTTCTTCAGCTACATACCCGCGCTGCCATTTGTGATCAACACATGGATTAGCGGCAGCATTACGTCTGCCGTGCTGCGCATAACCACGTGGCGTTGGGGAATCGGCATGTGGTGCATCATTTACCCTGTCGCCTCGCTTCCCCTCCTAATAACGCTGTACTCGATCGACCGTCGCACAGCGCATGGGCTCAGGAAGAAGAGCGAGTTTGGAGATGCTCATGGTGGCCTCGACAACCTTCGAAAATGGAGTGTCCGGCTCTTTGATCAGGTGGACGCCATTGGGCTTCTTACACTTGTCACAGCGTTTAGTCTTGTTCTCACTCCTCTCACCATTGCAGGTGGCACGGTATCTCATTGGAGGAACCCGCAGGTCGTCATCCCGTTGGTCATCGGGCTTTTCTTCGTTCCCGCTTTCGTCTTTTGGGAGAAAAACGGCGCCAGAAACCCCCTTGTCCCCTTCCATCTTCTGAAGGATCGCGGGGTCTGGGCGGCTCTAGCCGTGCGGAGCTTGCTCAACTTTGCCTGGTACGTGCAGGGCAACTATCTGTATACTGTTCTCATCGTTGCATTCGATTTCCCTATTGAGAGTGCGACCCGAATCTTGTCCTTCTTTTCCTTTTTTGGCGTTGTCAGTGGCGTTGCGGTGGGCCTCGTCATCTATAGATTTCGGCGCCTCAAACACATCATCGTCATTGGCACCGTTCTATTCATGATTGCTCTGGGTGTTCTCATCAAGTTCCCTGGAGGAGCGACTGCGGCATCCAGGACTGGGCTCATCGGCGGCCAGATCCTTCTGGGGCTCTCCAGCGGCTTGTTTGCATATCCCACCCAGGCTTCGATTCAGGCTTCGGCCTCTCGAGATCACGTTGCCATCTTGACGGGTCTCTACCTGTCCTTCTACAATGTGGGCAGCGCACTCGGAACCTGTTTATCTGGGGCCATTTGGACCCAGACCTTATACCCGACATTAGAGGCGAGCCTGGCGTTTCAACCCAACGCCACGCTGGCACGAGCCATCTACGAAAACCCGTTTCAGATCGTTTCGCAATACCCAGTCGGCACGGAGATTCGAGCTGCCATTATTCACAGTTATCAAAGCATTCAGCAAATACTTTGCATCACGGGCATGTGCATATGTTTTCCCATGATTGCTTTTGCATTAGCGCTTAGAAATCCTAAGCTGTCGGATCAACAAGTGCAAGAAGACGCGGAAGACGTGACAGCAAACGACGTATGATACCAAGACACGATAATTACCCCTTTGATGAACCCATTTTTGTTTTAGCGTTATTCAGAGCAGGTGGGAATACTACGGAAAACATATTAGCAAGCGGATTGAGATTATGCATAGATACCATATAGATTCAAATTTAAAGGCATGTTGTGTTTTTATCCACCACGCAGACCGGAGATTTATAGAGTATGTGATGACCACGGTATCCTAAGCACAAGCAAGTGATCTCTATGCCGTGAGTTTGCACAGACTAAGTGATATTATGAACTGGCGTGCATAAATAAGTCAGTGTCCCCCTTGCTTCATTTCCCCATTTGCATGTGCTCTAGCTGATTACACGTAGGCCGAGACTACAGCCACGCTGCAGCCACCAACCCACGCAGATCAAATAGGATTCCCGTATTCAGCGTGGCAGACCGTTATACGAGGTTATTTTGAGTAAAAGCTAGCTTTCAGACGGGACCGTTACGGATCAGCCACCCTTAACTGCAGTTCATTGGAAGCATTGGACGGTGCCAAGTTTTGCCGATGCATCTAGATCTCTGTATGTTGCATTTTGGAAGAGGATACAATGCGATATTGTGGTGGGTGGCTCAGCGTTCATTGTATCACGGTGTCGGTGTTAGCCGCTCCAATGTCTCACTTGGACCGGAAGCTGAGGTTCTGGAGGCGGTAAGGAGAGGACTATAAGAAGGACTGGATGTGACCGAGGTTACATGTAGATCGTTATTGTATTCACTCCTGCACAGCTTCCCTCTAGTATTCGCAATTTATTTCACACATTTTAGACAATCAGATACTCCATCACCATGAAATTCCAGATCATCTCAGCCGTTTCCCTTCTGTTGTCTTCTGTCACCGCAGCTCCGCCGCCTGCACTCAGGACCTTTGACGTTATGGCACTTCATTCAGCTAGTCCCATCCATTTTGCGCAGATGAGCGCTGCTAGGAGCGGCTTGTTTCTCAACTTGCCTCAGCAGAATGCCACGTGCAAAGGCGAGTCGAGCGGGCACGCAACATTTTATATTGCAAACGAGGAATTGGTGCTGTATTCCTGCGAAGGAGAGAAGCAAAAGGTCTTTGTCGATCGATCTGGAATGGGTAAGTTTTCTCCCCATTTTTTTTTCTTTTTGTGATCAGTTCTGCAATTCTTGGCCATGATGGTAGCTGACTTTTTATGTATCTTTGTGCGAATAACAGGACAGGGTATAGTAGGCTATATCACAGGGAGTCAATCTCTTCCACGATATGGGGAATCAAAAGGTTGGAGGGTCGATAAGGATAAAAACCTGTTTTTCAAGGATGCCGGCTTGATTGCTTGTCCACATAGCATTGACGGCTCGTGGAGGATTTGGCTGGGTTTGGGCTTCACTGCGCCTGGCGGTAATAAGGATTGCTTGGGGATGTCGGCCCGGACGCTGGACAATAAGACGCCGATTAGCTGCCATTACACGTAATGACAGCTCGCTCGTCTGTTTGCGGAGTAAATATTTGGGTAAATGGTTGTGTAATTAGTCTTCAAGTTACAATTCTCACGATATGATGCTCGATCCCAGTCTATTGAAGTTATCCATCTTGACATGGCGTTGTATAACAGGTATCCAGTTGCTTTAGGACTAATTGAGTATTGGCACTTGGTCCATTAAGAGTTCGATGCAGTTACTCTACACAATCCCATTCTTCCAGCTCCCTTGTCCACATTAGGCAGCCTTACTGAACGGGTCATTTGTAGAGTCAGTGTTTCGAGTATACTCAGACACGGTTGCAACTTGAGTGGCAGCATCTTCTCCATATTGATCAGCAATAAAAGCATAAATCATGTCAATACCGGCTGATACCCCGGAAGAGGTCCAAATGTTGCCATCTTGTACCCATCGCGCTTGGCGAACCCACTTCACATTAGGACCCTGAGACATGACCTAGAAAGCCGGCATCTGTTAGCTAGATGGCCAATATACCTCTTAATTTGTTCATGTTCTTACCCATTCAAAGGACAGCTTGTTAGATGTGGCATTTTTGCCATCGAGAACACCTGCCCGTGCTGCAAGGCTACTCCCCGTACAGACAGTAAGGAGGAACCGGAGGTTCGGAAACGTTGCTTCGATGAAATCCACCACTGGCTGTGTGAACTCAAGGTCGCGGGTCCCCCGGCCTCCTGGCACAAGAAGAACTTCAATGTCATTTGGAGCGTCCTGATACGTATGTGTTGGAACAATGCTCTGCCCAACTGCACCGGGAGTTGGAGCCTTTGCGGGGATAGTAGACACTGGATCTAACGTCGTAGAGAGAATGTATAATTCTAATGGGTGAGAATATGAGAGTATGTTGAGTGCGTCTAGAGGGCCAAAGACATCGAGAGCTTGGAAGCCTGAAAAGAGGGCGACCGCGAATTTGCTGGGCGAACCTGATAGCATTTTGAGGTTATGTTGCTTGCATGCTACTCTAGAGAAAAGGAAACGCTAATCCCCCATCAGGAATCGTAAGCTTTTAAGTTCCCAAGTGTGTCTGGTTGAAACCTACATGTATGCAGTAAAGAGAGGAGGTATTAAAAGTCAGGCGGAATTATAACTCGTACGCTGTGAGCGACAATTGGTATCAGATAGTCTCTCTCTGGTAATGATTTAGTGACAAAACATCGGCGAATTCAAATTGCGTGATGGTCTAGTGTAACAATGGGCATTAAGGCACCAGAATGTACATACAGCTTGCAAACAATATGCTATTACCCGAGATCCTGAGGCCTGCCTAACCAATAAAGCCAGCTGGCTGCGATATTGTAAAACAAAAGTAGAACTGTTTTACCGACATTGGATTCTTGCTCGGCCAAGACATCCAAATACAACATCATCACGCGCCGGGTTATAGGCATAACACATTGTTTTACGCCACTAAATCTGCAGTACAAAGCTCGTTCCGACCATCCATATGTGGTCATCAGCGGCAACCTTCGGGAGGGGACATCTGTTGGCTCAAGTCGCCCCAAAAATCGGCCACCTAAGCGTCGCACCCCACAGCACCAGGTTAAGGATCCTGTGGATCAATCACAAGTGTTGGACTTGGGGAATGAAGTACAGGGCGTTTGCTTTTGTAGGTACTGTAAGTTCTCTCCTTCATCTTCAACCTTTTGCAATGACCGGCAATGTGATAGTTTGTACTGAACCCGAGTAAAAATAAGGTAATATTGGGTTGAGTCCACATATCTCAGCCCAAGCTCTCAAATACGATGTATGTTGGTAAGCCAGGTCCCAGATTTCTCGTAAAGTGCTAGCGTTACAGCACTAGATCCTGCGAATTGCTTGGAGGGAGTTTGTGAAATTGTACTATGTACACGGATATTGCTGCTGGGGTTGCACAAGTTGTTAAGCCGCGGCGCCTAAGTTACGATATCCAAAATTGTATGTCAAGACCCAGATCCAGGCTTAGACCACTCCGCCAATTTGCCGTGCTATGTGTAGATCAGGGTACACACCTGTGAATAGCAAAGGCTTACGCTTATATGGAAACAAGGCGGTGGTGGCTCTCAGAAGCACAATTCTCACATCGAATAGGAGTTGAGAGACGAAATGAATTCTAGTGCGGAATGAAGGGGTGATACACTTGGATACTATTCGCACGCGTGGTAGCACTAAAGACGCGGTCACGCCGAGTGCCTAAAAGTAAATGTGTTGGAATCATCTTGTATTTCCGTCCTACATCGGATGAAAAGCCCCCAACGGGCCGCCCCGCGCCTCGTTAGGTAGCAATGTTAGAGCAACCAAAGCGAGTTAATGGCGTGTTTGTTGAACAAGAGTGCTTCTCGCGCCCACTTTCAGCATCGCCATGCTCATCGCCTTCCAGCCTTGTTTATGTACGGCTTTTTCACCTGCCCAGACATGAGTGGATAGTGGAATGATCAGGTGGCAGCGGAAAACCCCCATGTAACATGTAAAAGTAGTCAAAGAAAGCCAGTTCCACTTGAATGGACACCAAGGAATGACTCCAACCTCAGTGTGTGGCACTGGTGGCCAAGATCTGCCAAGCACAGCCCAGTACACGCATTAGGCGAGCCCTGAGTTTACAAAAGGCATCTAGTCACATTGGCTTATTCCAGCGGATTTGCCCCCTATTCTTGATGCAACATAGAAGCCATGATTTGAAACCTTGACGGATACATACATGTAGCAAGCCCCGCCTCTTCTAGGTAGCAGTCGAAAGGTTCAATGACGGCGCAGCGACTGATAACCCCTGTGCAGGTGACGATTCTCGACGCTGAAACGACGACGGATCAGCATGCAGCTTGATCGCTTTGCGGTATCTAGCGCGCGTAAATGAGGCGGAGAAGGTGTCTAGTCTGTCACTTGAGGCTCTTAAGCCCTTGTTACTGACACGTCTGGCCCCCCACAGGAGGCGGAGTGACTAAAAACACTGGTGCAGTCAAATCGTGAAAATGAGATTTTGAACACTTTAAAATACCCGGCTCTTCGTATGCGACGGAGAGTGTTTGGAGAATCTGCATCATGATAGCAAAGATGGGCGCTCAGGAGAAACAGCCATCTCAAAAGTCACCGGGAATGGAGACGCAGTTTGCCGCCATCCTGGCGGATGCTGCCAAGCTCTTCAAAGATTCATCCGACAAGGATCTAACACTTGACGAGTTTCTGACGCCACCGATGAAGACCATATCCGATCTTAAGCTGCAGTTGACCACCCAGAATGACCAGTTTAGCCACTTTCGAGAAAAGCGCCAGAGTATCTTCGACGCCATTGCAGTAACTCTACGGCCGATAGAGTTGATAGGGGACATAGTGGCCGAGGGAGTTTCAGAAGCTTTCCCACCGGCACAGGGTATCTTTGCCGCAGTCATGTATCTCATAAATGCTGCACATGATGTTTCCTCCATGTACGACTCAATATTAGAGCTGTTTGATCAACTCAAGGTAAGGCAGCTCTAGCACGTTAAATGGCCTCGATCAAGTTGGGATTAATGCGTGACAGGATTTCACATCGAGGCTAGATGTGTACTTAAACCACACGCTTAGTCCTGCACTACGCGATAAGCTTGTTACCATTCTCGCAACCTTATTCGAGGTTCTCGTTATAGCTACTAAAGTTGCGCGCAGTGGAAGATTCAAGGCATATTTCAAAAAGCTAGTCGGAATCGAGAGTCCTGTCCAGCCGGCGCTTCAAAAGCTCAATGCCTTGACGCTGGGAGAGGAGAGACAAGTCATTGCAGAGACGTACGGCGGTGTTGCCGAGCTCAATCTCAAGACTGATAAAGTAGAGACTCTTGTCGCACAGATGAGCCAAAACATCCTGGACATGAGGTTAGGACAGCAACAAAATGGGGGCCTTTCTTACAGAGACAAATTGAGAGAAATTTTGGAGCCCACTCCATATGCAGAGGATTCGTACAATGCATTCAACAAGTACAGAGTTCAAGGAACCGGAGACTGGCTGCTAGAAGATGAAGGGTTGAAGTCTTGGGTTCAGGGAGAGACCCGCCATCTATGGGTGTGCGGTAATCCTGGTATGGCAATCTCATAAGTTGATTACAAAACGATGGCCCCTATTACTAACTCTATCATGCTTCAAGGTACCGGGAAATCCTTCTTAACATCGCGACTTATTACATGGGGCCTAGAGAATCTCCCGCACCTAGGCTATTTCTTCTTCTCAGCCAATGATCCAGAAACAAGATCTGTGCTGCAGGCGTTACGTGATATTGCGTATCAGCTTAGCGAAGCCGATGCCTTTTACGCCGAGAAGCTTGCAAGACAGCTGCACAGCAGCGATGATATCAAGACTGTGCCCAGTGCATTTAGACGACTATTTGTACAGCCATTCTTGGATGATACTCGCGATAAGACTATTTACATCTTCCTCGACGGCATAGACGAAGCGGAACAAAGTGATATTGAGCAGCTTCTATCTTTGCTTGCTCCCGAAGACGAATCCGAACCGTTGAAGGTGCAATTTGCACTGACTGGAAGGTCATATTTGGCTGACATAGTGTCCTTTGCGCTGGATCCAAATGCAATTGGTCAAGTGTACACAACTATTTACGTGACACCAGATCGTATTGCGGATGATGTGAGCGCCTTCATTTCTGAAGGTGTGCGGCATTCAAGGATACTCAGTCGATCTCCGGAAGATTTCAAGCAAGAGGTTATCGAATCCATGAAGAAGCAAGTCGACGGCCTCTTCATCTTGGCCAAATTCATGTTGAACGAGATCAACCAGAAACGTCATCCTAGCTCGATTCTCAAAAGCTTGAAGTCATTTCCAAAAGAAATTAATGGAATGCTCAACGAAACGCTTGCCAATCTCTCCGTTACCATCTCAGAGGAGGATGCTCGTGACCTCAATGAGATGCTGCAGTGGGTAACTTGTGCCGAGGAATCGCTCACGCTAGAGCAGTTGGAAGCTGCGCTCATCATGAAATTCGGAGATCCTCCCTTGCGACTTGAGGAATCATTACGAGGCCAATATTCGTGCTTCTTTGCACTCGAGCGTGAAGATGGGTTGACCACAGATGACCTGCTCAAAGACTTTGCCAGAACGCATCGAGAGGTGTATCCGGAAAGAAACTTTAGAAACGAAAGTCCGCGTCCTCGTGGCCTTAGCTCTTCCGATACAAGCAGCCCTGGTCGCAGAGTTAGTCCTGCTGGCAGAGGCAGCCCTGCTAGCAAAGGCGCCTTCGGTTATTCGACCAGTCCACCAGCAGCTGAAATGCCTAGCCCTACCCGACACTTTAGCCCAGCAAGAAGCCCTGGAGTTTTTGATGTTTCAAACGAAGTCGATTTCCGGTCGAATCCATCGACAACATATGTGACTTTCTCCCACACGTCAGTGAGACAGTTTTTCCATGATGGTAATGCGAACACTGTTCATGCGACGAAAGGAGGTGTTATGGTTGGATTTGACATGATGAAGGCTCGCATCAATGTCTTAAAGACTTGCCTGAAAATCTTCAACGACAGGTCGTGGTTCGATAATCAGGAGTTGGATCATGGCAAGGAAGCTATAAAGCAATATGCCGCGTGGTACTGGCAAGAACATTTGGCGGCACTTGACCCCGCGAGCGTTCCACCAGAGCACAAAAAGGAGCTCGGTATGAGCATATACAACATGCTTACCGTGGAGGACATTATATACGACTGGAGCACCATGTATGAGAAGAATAACGAGGGGTTGGAGGTGCTTACCGACTCTAACATCCAAGGGCTTCGTAAGTGGCTCAATGATCCCCAGATCCTTACGAGCCTTACATCCGATGCGAAGGACTTTGTGGCAAAGTCAGTCAACAAGGATTTGGGGATTTGTCAAGCAATCGGCCGATTTTACGCAAAACAGTGGCTTTCTACAGACTTTTACAAATATGTGCCGACACTGTTTTGTCTCAAGATTGTCCAAAACGTGGCATTCATGAGCGATGAACGCCCCTGGTCTCAAGCACAGAATCTCTGGTCCGAAACTCCAATTAGAGAAAGGGTGTTGAAAGCCATTGAATGGGCCAATTATCCCGAAACAGCGCATTGGCATCGACGACTCGGAAGCACATACCTGATGTTGGGACTTTACAGCGATGCCCTGATTCATTACAACAAAGCTCTTGAATTGGATCACAACAGCGTCGGAACTGCTGGGCGCATTGCGTACTGCCTGTCCAAATATGGTCAATACGATGAGGCCCTGGCCCAGGCTCTGAAGTGCGCTGAAATTGAGGAGAAGAGCATTCAGGATAGCACGTTGCAAGGCTATGCGCTGACCAGCTGCAGATGGCGACTGTACAAAGATTATCTGCTCATCGCGCGCTGCTCTTATATGACTGGGAAAAGAGAGCCTGCTCTTGAGTATTTTCGCAAAGCAATTGATAGCGCACCAGCTGCAAATTTGAACGCATCTGAACATTTTGAGGCTGAAATTGGCTATTTGGAAATGTTGGCGACTGAGAATCTGCACTCTGAAATGATAAAGTTGCTTCAGGAGCTGGCAAAGAAAACAACCACAAAAGATAAAGAGGCGAGTTTGCTAACCGATCTACTCCTGGAGAATTGCGACAAGCCCCTCACCATGGAATGGATTCCCAAAGCAGCCTGCAAGGCCGGGGAAGTAGCCTTCATATTACACCAATATGAAGTTGCTATCGAGACTGCCCACACCATACGCAACCAGATGGGTGTGCTCTATCTGCGTCTAGCATATGGAAACACCTGCGCCTACAATCGCGATCTCGACGCCTCGATTGCTATTTTTGAACAGATTTCTTTGATTGAGTATAGACCACGCGGCAACGTCCCGACGCGCCATGGACATGCAACTTCTTTCCAGAAGCTGTCTGCTCTATATAAGCAAAAGATTCTTCAAGCCGGTCTCACGTCTCCTGAAGTCATGAAGTGGCTGGAGAAATTAGAACAGGTCCAAGAGAAGCAAAGCAAGCATCAAAATTTGGATATTCCTGCAGACAAATACGGTTCAGATGTCAACATTGCATCTGTTTATCTCGCAATGTTCTATCGTCTCCTCAAAAAGGAACCCAATGCTCGGCAGCTTCTTGGGAACTTGGTCATCAACAGTCTCGACATTTTACTCGATGATGAGCCGCGCAATGACCAATATGCAGTAGAAAATCTGCTGCAAGTCTTTATCGCAGCCAATGATGCTGAAAATGCGCAAGCGCTGGCACGATCTATGAGAAAAGTCAATCGTGCAGTTGCAATGACAACTCCGCTGGCTTCTCCTGTGCACACGAGGGCTGAGCCGAAGCTTCCTGATATCCAGTCGGTGAACAAGGCGTGTGCCCAGTGTTTGAACAACATCTCCATGTCTGAGAATTTCTACTTATGCCAACTGTGTGTGGATGCATATTGTGAGGCGTGCTTGAACGGAATTATCAAGCAGCCTGGGAACAAGACCGGCGATCACAAACTCGATGTTGTTTGCCGCAGTGACCATGAATGGTTTACGATACCGCCCTTGAATCAATTTTTACACACGGGGGAAATTCTTTGGAACGATGGTATGGTGAAGAATTTTAGAGAATGGGAAAGCGCCTTGAGACAGAGATGGTGCGATGCTCTGCTTTGAATAAGTTGAAGACGGCGATTATTATGTATCTATTTTCTTGTACTGGGTGGTTGATTGGCATGATGCGAATGAGGTCCTTTTAGAGAGCAGAGCTATTATACCAGAGAGCGATTGAGTTCTTACAGATTAGAGACAGCATACTAGGATAAGTAGAAAAAGAAAAAAAAAAATAGGATTCATCTTGGAAGATAAAAAGGAAAAAAGCGAAACATGAAAAAAAGAAGAACCCTTTGAAAGGGTGGCGCTCTCCCGCCGGGAATTGAACCCGGGTCTCAAGCGTGACAAGCTTGCATACTGACCACTATACTACGGAAGATTTAATGACTTTGAGTCATTGTAGCAGGTTCTGATGGGAGGAGCTGCGGTAGTTTGCTTTATATAAGAACTAGCGGCTGACTAGTTGAGAAGTGATTTGATCGGCGATGGCCGGCATTATCCTCTCAAGCCGAGTTCCGTGCTGACTGCAGTGTATAAAAGATGGTCAAGTTCACAGGCGAGCTTCGTCTATATGAATAGAATAGTCAAACTACATGCGTAATAGGGTCTTGTGAACTGGCACGATTGCCCAACCGAAAAGCCTCGATCGCCGGCGCTGCTGAAGTGAACTAAGCCGCTAAGATACGTCAGTTAACAGCATCGAATCCATTGGGGCTGAAGAGGGGGCTTGTTGGTGGCAATGGTTTCGTATCTACGTGTGGAGGAAGACCTGTCCAAAGATCGGGGTGTCCATTCACCTTTCTCAAAGTACTGGGAAGCAAGATGGGAGAACTGAGGAGACAACATAAGTATAAATACGAGACAAAATATCACCTCCTATTTTCAGATGGTCATACGAGTACGGCGGCGGCAGCTCTGAAGTGTCCGCTCCCCGCTTCATCGGGGCAAATTCCCCAGACATGCCCTTGCAAATGCATTTAGCCTCCATTATTCTGCATGTCCGAATTGCACATTTGGCGTAGCTTCGTCTAAACCGCGGAAGATGTAATGAGGGGGCTAGGAGCATGATCATGGGTTCGACCAACCATAAACGGCACTCCGCACTTAGTGTAGATGTAGAAGAGGGCTACTCCGTACCCTGAGAAGGATCTTGGATTGATTTGCTGTTGGTTTTCGGCTGCATGGGCCTCGGCTTGCTCTTGTGAGACAGCGGTGGCTGGAGAGATGGAGTTAGGCAAGGGTTGCGGCACCCAAAATCGCCCTGCTGGCATACATGACAATGGCGCCTGTTCTTGCATCATCAGTACTTGTATGAAGACAATTAGATCGAATTGATTCGCAAGCGCATATATATACACGTTTTCTTTATCCAGTTCATTCATCATGATATACTCAAACCCAAGACAGATGGAGGTTCCGAACCTGGATCTTCTTACGCTTTTGTTCGGTATGCTGATGCTGACAATGGGTTACTCCGCGTGATGCCATCTCCACCTCTCTCGGCGCCACAATCTTCTTCATAATTTGAGTAACTGACTGATTCTACTCAGAATTTGAGGGATCACAAGCAAAAGAAGACGCGCCAGTATTTTCTGAGGCCAAGTACCCTTCCCACGTCATCACCAAGGCACACGCTCGCGATTTGACTCGTCAATTTGCCTACTTCCTTCGCCATCAATATGGAATCGGGAAACATGGGCCCTCAAAAGATGTGGTTGTCGCGATATCTACCGGGCAATCTGCTCTAGGATGCATATTCTATGCTGTTCTTGCTGCAGATGGCATTTATTCAGCTGCGTCACCTTCTTCCACGGTGGCAGATCTGACAAGACAGATTGAAGACGGACCTGGTAGGATCATAATATGTAGCGAAGATGTGAAAGGTGTCGCTTTGAACGCTGCTCGCAATGCTGGACTGCCTGCCAAAAATGTCCTTGTATTGAAATCGCACCCAGATATCCAGCTGAAAAGCGCCGATGGCACAATTGAATGCGATTTTAGAGGATCTCTGGATTGGAGACGAATTACTGATCTGGAAGAGCTCGAAAATAGCAAGGCATGCATTATGTATTCATCAGGCACTACTGGGTTACCAAAAGGTAAGATGGACCATCACTGGCGATGATGGAAGAGCGCTCAACTCTCATAGGCGTCCTCATATCGCATATGAACATGGTTTCTGAATGCTATCTTCCCAGCACTCTGGGCCGTGAAGCATGGGCAAGAATGGGCATTTCTTTCCCCAGATCAACACTCGGCCATTTGCCCGCGGCGCATATTGCTGGCTTACAAAGCTACTTCATTAATAGCGTCTATGAAGGAGCTGTCATTTATTGGATGCCAGGTTTCAACTTTGACGATTTTGTTCGGCATTTCGCAGAACTCAAACTGACATTCTTCTTTTCTGTCCCACCCATATACATGGCTATTGCAAAGCATCCAGCCGTCAAGGACCAATTCAAGAGCGTCGAGTATGCTACTTCTGCTGCGGCGCCGATGAGCTATGAGCTACAAGAGTCGGCTAGCAAAAAGCTCAAAGGCGTCGTTTATCAAGTCTGGGGATTAAGTGAAACAACAGGTGCTGTAACTTATACCCTACCAGATCGAACTGATACTATGGGGAGCTTGAGTCCATTGTTACCAAATGTTAGCCTAAGGTACGCTCAACACCATTAACTGAAGCTCCACTGAAGAATGACTAACAACTGGTGTGTCTACCAGACTTGTGGATGAGAATGATAAAGATGTCGATGTGGGACAACCAGGCGAAGCATTACTAAAAGGCCCGATGGTCACCAAAGGTTATCACAACAATCCAGAGGCTAATAGTTCATCTTTTACCACCGACGGGTGGTTTCGGACTGGCGATATTCTCAAAATGGAAGGAGACAAGCTGTACATGGTAGACAGGAAGAAGGTGAGTCTTGAGTCGTTCTAGCAGTCTTCTGAGGAAACATGACAAGAATCTGACTAATGATGCCACAGGAATTGATCAAATACAAGGGGCTTCAAGTTGCCCCAGCCGAACTTGAGGGCGTGCTTACATCGCATCCATCCGTTGCTGACGCTGCAGTAATTGGTACTCATCGAGAAGACACGGAAGTGCCTACAGCATATGTTGCACTTGTGCCTGCAGCGAAAGGAAAAGTGTCTGAGGTCGAGCTTATTGACTATGTCCAAAGCAAAGTCTCGGATTATAAGCGCCTAAGGGGCGGCTTAATCTTCATTGATGCCATTCCTAGGAGTCCCACAGGCAAGATCCTGAGAAAAGACCTGAGAGCATCATATAGCCGCCAGACGAAGTCGAAAATCTAAGTTGAGGTATTGAATCATGTTCTTTATTTATGAATGAAGCATATTTAGACACCTCCATACACAGTTCTTGAGCTATACTTGACAGAAGAAGATTATGCAGTTTTGATACCATTCACAAATTGAACAATAGCAGTCCCAACGTGCTCTGGCGATTCAATACAGTACCAGTGGCCAGTTCTATCGAGTATTTGTAGTTTCTTATCTTTTGAGCCCCAGCTGTGAAGCGAGTAAGTAATTTTGCCCTACGCATGGAAGATATGTAATCACATACCTGTCATATACTTTTTGTGAGAGCTCAATTGGGCAAACAAAGTCTTCAGCGCCGTTGATGAGTAGGAGTGGGGTGCCGATGCTCGCGTAATCTGGAACTGAGGCTGATGCGATTGCTTTGCAGTTTGCAATATATCCTTCAGGAGTTTGAGATAGGAGAAGAGTGCGGATGAAAGCGCGTTGCAGCGGTGTAGATGAAGATGCTGTTCCGACTATAGGGATGATATCTGCTAAGCTATCCATTCCATCTGGGAATGGCTTATCAGTATTGCGCTCCATCTATACCCGGTGCCCGAAATAGCGGCAAGTGACTGGTATATTCTTACTCTGTTGGACTTTTGTAATTCTGTCTTGAAGAACTTTGGTAAGAGCCGCATTTGGGTAAACTGGCCCCAAAAGAACGGTACCAGCAAATTGATAGCGAAGAGCGGCTTCAGGAGCAACGATTCCGCCCATAGAGTGGCCCACTATAACGGTGCGACTGGGAGAGATATCAAGAGCTGATACGGCGGCACCAATATCATCAATGATAGTATCAAGACTGCCACCTTCACCGGTCAATGGGGTTAAGGCGGCGCCTTTATTGTTTTCAAGTTAGAAGCAGCGTATAGTATTAGGGTTATAAAGAATAAGAGAAGTAATAGATAATATACGCACCATGGGAGTCAAGTGCCAGGCAGGTGTATCCTGCATCTACAAGTTTTGGAATGACTGGAGCATAATATGAGCTCGATGAGCCCAAGCCGTGGATGAGAATGACGGTAGTTATTTTATCGGACGATGAGGCTGCAGTTGGAGGCGCACTCCAAGTGTAGTATAGCTGCCTGTCCCGGTCTTGCAGCTTGAGGAATGGCATGGCTCAGGATTTTTCTTAGCGAATAGCCTTCGTCCTTGAATATTCCTGCGTAAATACTATGTAGAGCTAGTGAGCGCCTCAATTTGTGGTCTGGCATGCATGAGGATGGACGTTACCCCTGGTTAAGAGACAAACGGATGGGACTCGTTCGGATAGAGGCGGTATACTGAAATCGTTACGGCTGTCTGATTCCGCCAATGGATATCCGACCCTACTAATGAATAATTGTGCAAAGAGCTATTAGAATGAGGGGAGAGCAATGATGTAAGATGATCTTAACGATGTAGAGTGTGTCGGTTAAGGGCGCGCGGCCCCACTGGATGTCGGAGTCCGGGTTTTGGGGATCGGATACGGGATCCCGGCCTGAATCTGATGGCGAGAAGAGGTCAGTCGGGCGGCAAATTCGTTATCGCGGATCCATTAGATTTCAGCCAAGATCTCCTTAGCAAGAGTCTCTCTTGCTCTGTTCTATCCGTGTCCTTCGGCCAAGCTTGGGATTTAGATAGCAAGTTTCCGTTTATTTCATCTCCGTCACGTAGTTGGCGACAGGGGCATTTTCACATTGCCACACGTCCCACCAAACTGGTGTTTACGAATCATATAAAATCGGCTCAGCTCAAAGTGATATTACAATACCACAAAAAGCTGACGCGACATTCATCTTTTTTTATTAACTGCAAATTTATCGTTCCTACTCCTTGTCAGCAATCATGAACGGGACGACAATACCCGCGTACTCCTCCAAGAAAGAGGCCCTTGCCATTCTGCAGTACCTCTGCACTCAATTTGATCCTATATCGCTACCTGCTGGAGTAGCGAGTCGAGCGGATCATGTCCAATTTGTCGCGGAGCGGGATCAACCATATTTCCCAATCCCATTCAAGGAAACAGAAACAACAGCAGCGCTCAAGGCGATTGAGGCATCAGTTGCATCCCTTCTCGCAGATACACGGCAAGAGGGATCGGTCTCTGATAGAAAAATCGTGGTTAACCTTGAAAAGACAACAGCATTCCTATTTCAAGCATACTTGGCCAAAGTTGGAGGGTATGGAAAGCTTGATAAGGGGGTCAAGAGCATGCTGAAAGGTTTGCGCTACTAGAAACTTGAACTATATATGATTTGTCCAGTTCGCTAACCTCATATTGATTACTAGACACGGATCTTCTGCAGGCGCAATCTGATCCTTATCGTCGCATGTCTGCCAATTTATATGCTACCAAAAACCCCAATGAATATTATCACATCCATGGGTCATTGGAAGCGTCGACGACACTGAAGATGATTGGGCTGGAACCATACCGGCCTGATTTGGCAACGCATGAGGATATTGTGCAGGAAATTGAATCTGCGGTGAAGAAATTTACGGTGGATGAATTAGAAGAGCTAAATGCAGAGCATAGGCAAGCTGGGATAAAAGCATTTACACATGCTGAATTTCTTAAAACTCCACATGTAAGTCGACGTTTTAGAGCGCTAAGGCTACAGCAAAGCCGGGACGGCGTATACTAACGTGGGTTGCAGGGTAAAACAAACATGCTGCTTCCACCATGGTCAGTTGAGAGTTTAGAAGACAAGACGCCACAGATACCTCTCACAACTCAAGATAATCGACTGTTATCCGGCATCAAGGTACTGGAGCTGTGTCGAATTATTGCCGGCCCTACGATCACTAGGATATTGGGCGAATATGGCGCAGAAGTCATCAAGGTGACAAGTCCTAATCTCAGCGATGTGCCCTTCTTTCAGGTAGACGGCAACATGGGAAAGCGAGCGACAGATCTGGATCTCAAAACTGCAGAGGGAAGAGAGGCTTTTGAGAAGCTCCTGGCCGAGGCCGATGTTGTAGTTGACGGATACCGCCCTGGAGCTATCGCCAAGCTGGGATACGGCCCTAAACAGCTTTCCGAATTGGCCATCAAGAGAGGCAAGGGATTTGTCTACGTCAATGAGAATTGCTTCGGATACGAGGGCGAGTGGGCTCATCGGCCTGGATGGCAGCAGATCTCGGACTGTGTAAGATCCTCTCGTCTTCCCATCTGATTCACATCTAGGCCATGGCTAACTGACACGACGAATTCAGGTAACGGGCATCGCGTGGGAGCAGGGTAAGTTCATGGGCCTCAACGAACCCATGGTACCCCCGTTTCCCATCTCAGACTACGGCACCGGCTGTATCGGCGCCATTACAGCGCTCGTGGGTCTTTATCATCGAGCAACTCGCGGCGGCTCTTGGCACGGCAAGGCTTGCCTCCTACATTATGACCTCCTCCTGTTCAAAGTCGGCTTGTTACCGGAGCACGTTCAGCAGGAGCTTCGCGACACTATGGGCCCCGAGGTGCTCGCTTTACGTTATCATAACAGCGTGGACCAAATCTCAGGTACTGCGCTGCGGCGAATGCGCGAGGTGTATCCTAACTTTGTGGAGAACCCAAAGTACCTAGATAAGTGGTATGCCGATAAGTACAAGGCGGAAGTGCATGCAGTGAGGCCGGTGGTGGAGATTGACGGTTTGGAATTGGGATTCCGAAGGGCAAGCCGGCCGAACGGTTCGGATGAAGCGAAGTGGGAAGTGGCTGAAGAAAAGGATTACCGGACGGAGTAGAAGTAGACTTGCATGAGATTTTATTAGAAGACTATAGATGAATTAAGCAGTTTCCTTCATGCCCAAACAATCTCAAAGCAACCCAAAGTTCAATTGTAACTGTATACGGAGTGCGTAAGTGTATCCATGCTTGGAATTTCATCCTTCTCACGAGACTAGAATCAACACGCAGCTCTAGGGCCGTTATCCGACAATCTAGAACGAGTGGAATATTAATCCACGGTCTGTGAGGGGCTACAGGCTCTTGTGGACTCTCTTGATCCGCGCTGCCGAGCTGCTTACTAGCGCCTATGTCTTTGCGGGGAGATTCTGAACTATCCAATATCAGGGAGTCCGGGATGTTATCCGACCCTGCAGCCACCTTCGGATCTGGGGAACCCCGCGAGGCGGATACCGGACTCGGGCATGGCTGAGGCGAAACGAACGAGAAAACGAACGATACAGTCGTCATTTTTGGCTTATTTATTGTTTGATAATCGTTTATCTACCAGTTGGACGGGTATCAAGAACGCTAACTTGAATACCCGTGCATCCAGGTTATAAGGCCAAGTTCCGAGCTCATTATTCGCTTCCATAAGAACCACTACAATCCCAATAATAAACCCCATAATACAGCATCCAGCCCTCCTCTAAACTGCAAGATCGCCTACGAATCAGTCGACAACTGCATCAAACCTCAGCAAATATTCACAATGGGTTCTCAATCAACCGATGGTGGCCTTGGACAGGAATTCACTAGCCATGTTATCCAAGCCATGGGTCCAAATACCACTCCCAGGATGCGGACTGTCTTATCCGCTCTTATACAGCATGTTCATGACTTTGCTCGCGAAGTCAATCTGACGACGGAGGAATGGTTGGCGGGTGTGGAAATGATTAACTGGGCAGGCCGGATGAGTAACGACAAGCGCAACGAGGGACAGTTGGTGTGCGATGTCATTGGGTTGGAATCGTGAGTTGCTCCTTAGCAATCCAGGCACCTAGATATCTTCTCTTTATTTGCAGAGCTAACCAAATGATTATGATTCCAGACTTGTGGATGATATCACATATAGAGAAGCCAGCAAAACAGACAAGCCCCCCACATCGTCTGCCATTCTGGGGCCATTTTGGCGTGCTGATGCGCCAATTCGAGAGAACGGCACAACTATCACATTCAACACCCCCAAGGATGGCGTGGTAGCCTACATGCATGGCCAAGTGACGGACGCTGAGACAGGCAAACCACTCCCAAATACCTCAGTGGACGTTTGGCAGGCTTCAACAAATGGTATGAGCATAAGGCAGTATCCATGCTTTGGAATAAGAATAGTGGCTAACATTAATTGAAATCAATAGGCCTGTATGAGCAGCAGGATGATGATCAGATTGATTGCAACCTGCGCGGCAAATTCATCACCGATGCGGAGGGTCGGTATTCGTTTTACTGCCTGCGCCCGACGCCATATCCTGTAAGAGAATCTTGGAGGCTCTGGTTCAAGAAAACTGAACGCTAATTTGATGTTTAAGATCCCTTTCGATGGTCCTGCAGGAAAGTTGCTAAAGCTCATGGATCGCCACGAGTTCCGACCGGCACACATCCATCTCATTGTAAGCGACCCATTCCATCTCCCTTCTACGCTATTCTATTTCTAACGCGCAACGACAGGTTCAATCAGAGGGATACAGCTCATTGACCACTCAAATTTTTGACAAAGATTCCAAATATCTTGAAGACGACAGCGTGTTCGCCGTAAAGGATGGATTGACTGTCGAGTTCAAGCCTCGTAAGGGAGACTCACAGGCGGAATGGGACCTAGAGTATGATGTGAAACTGGCGAAGAAGAATTAACGATGGCATGAATGCAAGTTGTTTGACGATGATACAGATTGGCGCTTTGTTCTGTTTGTGTATATCTCTTGTAAATAGTAGCCAATATCCCCTGCCATGTTCTACATGTTTTCATGTCATTTTATCCTCCCTAGACTGTCGTGCACATAGTGCATTATGAAAACTCCATTTGCCATCACACCGATATCATCGCATATCATAAAGACATAATGTTTGCTTACCTATATACACGCATGAATAGCAAACGTCGATTGTGTGACGGAATTTAAAAGATGAATTGCTTAAGACAACACTGTTCGCACAGCACGATGCAAGGCATCTACAGACGCAACAACAGAATTACAAATCAACACCATGAATATTGTACACTTCGAAATAGCCTTTTTTTTTTAAGTAGTTAGGTAGGTAAAGTTAAGTTATGTAATTTTACATCATATTTACAAATTTGAAGTAGTCAATATTGATCTGCTATACTTCCAGGAATGGAATCTCATGCCTCTTGCCCAATGATGATACCACTCGGAAGCTCCAGACCAACTGGCAGTCCATGAATATACTTTTCACGGAACGCAGCTCCACGCTTCTCTGCCAAGGTCTGCTCGATATCTTTGTACATGTCATACCTGATTCATTATTAGCCACCGTCATATGCCGCAGATCGGGTTATTTGACTTACGCATTCATCTCTTCAATAGTCAGCTTCTTTTTCTCGTCCTCGACTTTGTATGTCGGGATGTTCTTATTTTGCGAGAATCCTAAACTCTCAGTGTTAGTCATATCCAATTGACGAAACATGGATTAGCTTTACTCACCAATTCTCTCGTTAATATTGTAGGCTGCCTTTGCGGCCGCAGACTGTACCCTTGTCACTCTGGGAAGTCTGACGGCATCGTACACCGCCAGGGCTTCACCGACGTCTCCGCTGAAGTACTTTTCGCTGAATAGAATACCCAATGCAGCAGCATCTTCTATGGCCATGCATGCACCTTGACTCTGATGGGGCATCATCTAGTATTGTGTTAGTACTGCTATAGTTGCATCCTTGAACTGAAGGGAACTCATACTGGGTGTCCTGCATCACCTAACAAACAGACCATGTTTTTGTGGATAAAAGGATAAGGATCACTATACCATCGGAGTTAGTGGAGAGACTAAGGCGTTATCATAACCTTCTTCAATACTCACTGCACCCATAGCCGCCACGGCCGGATCTCTTTTCCAATCTTCAAATGTGACAACACCTGGGTGTCAAGATTCGGATATGGGGCAAGCAATTCTTCCACTGGCCTGTCATCATTTCCCCAAGTATGCGTAGAGTAATCGCCCACAGAACGAGGGAAGAAGCAGTAGTACGATAGAAGCTTGCCTCCATTGCACGGTGACAAAACAATCTTGTCCCATTTGCCCTCTTGGCCGCCCCAATATTCCAGCGCGCTGTGTTGTGAGTAGTCAACAAGCCCTAGCTTGACGGCTTCCTCCGTAGTGACATTTGCATGAAGACAGCTCTGCTCGGATGGCCGCTTCGCTGGATGAATGCCGATTTCGCCGCGGACAACCGAACCGATGCCATCTGCGCCGACGATGAGGTCGTGGTGAGCTGTAACACCGTTGGTGAACGTAATCTTGCCGGCAATAATGTCAATGTTTTGACACTTTGAAGAAAAAATTAGCATTACTTTTTATGCTAGAATATACTTGATCATTCCACTTACCTGGTGGTTCACTTCTAGCTTCGCTGGTGTTCCCTTGCCCTCCCCCATAGCAGAGTCCTTCAACATAGCATGCATGTATTGTCGGTGAAACATGTTATAAACATATCCCCACTTCTCTTCGTAGTCATCTAAATCGTACACGGAAACCGGTTCACCCGTTTTCCAATCACGGTTGATCAATTTCTTTAACACAACCGGATCGCCTTTCGCCACGTCGACTCCCCATTCGTGAAGCCAGCGTGTGCCGTTTGCAGCGCATGAGACTGAAGCGCCTACCTCACCTGCAAAGTCGTGCTTCTCGTAGATGGTTACATCGTGGCCGGCGCGACGGAGAGCAATGGCAACAGACATGCCACCGATTCCACCTCCGACAACTCCGACATTGAGACGTCTCCAGCCTGAGGGGAAATTTGAACCCATTTTGGAAATAGTGAAGAAGAAATAATAATATTACAGTCAACTGTACTTGCTTGGTAGTGACACGCGGAGTATTGTTGAGAAATAAACTACGAGGGCAGTGCTGGGTGAAGCTGAAGTTTATCTATCTCCCGGTCTTCTAATACACGAACACGATCCTCCATGGAGCGGAAAAGGACTCTGTACAGATAATGTTGTGACGTATACAGAGCTATCTCATCCGTCACCCGTTATCTCTCCCTTGGTACCGCCATTCACGTCAGTGCCTTGTAAAGAACTCCGTGCTGGGAAAAGCTAGAAGGCTTATCGCGGATGTTGTCGGCTGTGCCCCTGGCACATGGACATGGACTGGTGCTATAGCCGCTTCAAGGTTGGCACAAGCTTCAGAGAAAAGGGGTATCTACCTCTTATCACTTCACTGGGTCAATAAAACATATCCGATGCATACCTCATACCTGTCGGTTTTTTCTGCATAATTTTCCAGACAAGCTTTATTGGCGTTATATTATGTCGACGGAGGCGGCTTACATACTTCTCTGCTTATCACAGCTGGTCAACAATACTAAGAGGGTGCATTATCCGACGCACTATAAATGACACTTCGGTTTATAACATAGATAAGCACTAATATTCAGCTACTCGATAATCGATTTGTTAATACAGAAACCTTAGATCTAAAGACAGAATCACTTATGTAGATTGAATCTAGCTATTGGCAACTCCGTACTCCAGGATAGTGCAACAGAGATTTTAAAACAAATGTCTCATCCGCACCCAGTAGCCGTCACCTATTAGCCTTCTCAGGGCCAAAACGCCCTTGGGTTGAAAAAGGGAAAATTATCCCACTGTGACAAGTCTAGGCTGTCCCAACCTCGTAGCATATCTCCATCCATCTCTCCAGACTGGGCCGACAGATCGCCGGTCCAAACTCCACCAATTTCTCCAAGTGGAAGCCCCTCGTTATTATTAAGAGATAAAACCTCGTTATCGTTGGTGGTGTTGTCTTGGCTTGAGCTCCGTTCCCCGCTAAAAGAAACCAGCTTTCCGACGTACCTACTTCGAGAGCGTGAAGACAGTTTCATTCGCCGTTTCGTGATTGCATTGGATAGAAGGCCTAGGATTTCAGAGTAATGAGTGGCCTGGGGGCTTTGAATGCCCAAGAAGTCGAGGACGTCTTTGGCACTACGAAAGGTTACTTCAACCTCGTAGTCCAGCTCTCTCTTCGCAAACATGTCAAACCCAAGGATAAGCCCAGCGGCAAATATCAGGGCCCTAATTCTAGTTGTCAGTTACTGATCTAAACCGCTCATACAGATGCCTTACTTTAATATGCACATATTACCAAGCAATAGCCCAGACTTGTGTGCTTCTGAGCACGTCTGTACAAGATACACAGCCGCATCAAGACAGGCAGCTGCCAGAGGGGACGTTGAAGGTGTCGCAGAACCAGAGAGAGAGGTGAGTCCGGATATAAGTACGGGTCGAGTGACTAGAGTGATAGCAAAGTAATAGAGGCAAGCGACGTGTATACTGTCCGTTGCCGCTTTCTGGGCCGGAGAGCCTTTAGATGTCAGAGGATTGCGGAGAAAACTGGGTAGATCTCTGCTCCAATCCTCAATTTTGTTCAAAAAAGGTTCCACCATGGCGGTGGATGCAACTTTCCTGCCGTATAGTGCATCGACGCTCTCATTAATGATTGTAAGAATTTTGTACGATGCGAACAGACTTGCAGTACGTGAATCGTGCCGTGATTCTAATGAGTTGTATGAAGCGATGATGCTAGTATCAACTTCTGCTCTCAAACCAGCCGTCGCAGGCGGTCTCCCTAGTATAGAGCACACGAGCATATCCAAGACACAGAGGCTCATCCAAATGTGAAGCCTGTATAGTGCATTAGCCTTGACTAACAGTCGATGAGAAGCTTCACCAGATTCAACCTACCTCAGCTGGCATAATGGATTCTTCAAGTCTGTATAAGAGTGTGGGCTGTGCATTCCAAGAGCAACTGCAGCTCTCGACGCAATCCCCAAATACATGAATGCTGTATTTCTCCGGCAATGGCCAAGCATATAAAAGGCCATTAGAAGAAATGCGCGGACCATATCAACATTTGGGTCTTCCAGCATGCCGGCGAATGCACGCTGTTGCGCTTGACGAAAATATGCCGGTCCGATTTGCTGTGCATCCATTGGAGACTTGCATTGCGCACCGATGGCTATAACAAGATCAATCGCGGCACGTTGGCATGGGCCAAGGGACTCAACCCCATCAGTTCCAGTTTTTAACAAAATGTCCTCTACCTCTGTTGGTCCGAAGAGATATAAAAGTCCACCGGTCTTTACATGCGATTAGCACTGTTGTTGGACAGCAGGAGATTGAAGTATTGTCGCCATACTTACAGCAGCTTCGAAGGTGCGGGAGTAGAGTAGACTGCCCTCTAAGTCTACATTGCAATTGGCTAGCTCTAGATCGTTCGAATTAGCCGCCGAAGGCTCTGTTTCCAGCATATTATCGCTCTTTTCATTGTGAGAAAATTGGGACGGCCCAATTTGTGCTGTCACAGTATCTCTGATAAGCTGTAGGAACGATAGAGATGCAGCCTCGCCGATATAGACTATGTGTGATGCTAGTATTAGTGATCATGATACAACATATGTAATGGGTTATGATGATGATATAGTCATTTACCTCGTTCTCCTCGAAGATTCAGTAGCATCCGGGCATGCGATTCTGGTCCTGGAGCTGGAGAGCCTGGCCTTGCTGGTAGTTGCGTCGATGGCTGTGCAGATCTGTTCGCAACCCCATCGGATATGCTTATTCGGGAATCAGACGGGGTAAGCGGTTGGTATTCGGCATTGGCATCATTGTCAATGGAAGCCGGGTCATCTTCCGGGCACCACTCCGGACCAAACCCAGCTCGGCTCCATGCAGACTCTTGCGGAAGCTGATCCAGCGAAGCATCCGCGCCCAGGCCGTCCGGGATACCGTCTCCACCGCCCGGTGAAGCCGGAACCTGCTCCGGAGCCGAGTTCCTCGTCCGAGGTGGAACCTTTCTAGAGCCTCGAGGTCGGTGGGTGAGATAACAGGAATCCCCAATGCCGCGTCTCTGGCAAGCGGTGCAAGGCACTGTGGCACTGCATCGCTTCTTGGATGCGCGGCAAAAATTGCATGCTTCGGCGGCACGCTGACGCTGACTTGGATGAACCTTTGGCCGCGGCATCTTGTCTTCGGGTGGCCAATGGACCAAGACAGTCGCTAGCGATTATCCGCTCTAGCCCGGGTACGAAAGAATAACTTGAAGGGGTTGTACGCGACAACAGGCCACCACAGGCTCATCATGTGCGATTTGAGTCGTGTCTCGGAGCTCTGCGAGCATTGTGAGACAGGGGGATCCCCCAGACAAAGGGCTGCCCAGTTTCTTGTTCAAATTCGTGCCCCGCTGATTCCGTTGGTTGGCAGGCGATGACGCGGTTGAACCCCCAAGGCCGGTGAGTAGGCAGGGCTGAGATGCCGGTTATCATCCTTTGATTGACCGAGCACTATCAAGGCATGACCGTATCCGCGGACAGTCCATCACAAATTATACTGTGCGGTAATCGCCCCTTGTCTACTTCCCCGCATCCTCTACCGCCTCGAATCCAATCGTCTACAGCCTCTTAGCCGTTAATACCCACCGCCGCCCGCTCTGTCATCCCCCAAAGTCTAGCTCACGGCGCGGAAAGGGCATCATTGGGGCCGACATCCACTGCGCCCCTAAGCCTACCCCTTAGCTTCGATCCATTGGACGGGGCTGCTCTACTACACCCATGAATGGGACGTCATCCGCCAACATCCGCCAATATATTGAGTTACTGATCTTCAGCCGCCAGCGGAAGAGGGACGACAGATGAGGGGGTAATATTGAAAGCTTGAATGCCCATTCGCGACTATAATCGCAACAATGCGCGACGCCGACAAGTAGAGGAGGGTTGATTCTTACTTATATTGGGTCCCCGATCAATTTTTGGATAAACAATAACCATTTCCTCCGTGTCACTGGCATCTACAGGCTGTACGCTTCTTTTCTGTTGATCAGGATCATCTTTAGAATATACATACTGTACTTATCAGCTCCAGCAATCTCAAAAATGCTCGGCAAAGTAGCTCTTGAGGAGGCGTTTGCCTTGCCTCGCATGCAGGAGAAGACAAGATGGTGGGCTTCGCTCTTCGCCGTCAACCCTGATAAGCACGCACATGAGATGACAGATATTACCAACACGCGCATTGCCTACATGGACAAGCATGGTGTTGGCTACACATTACTTTCTTACACAGCACCAGGTGTGCAGGATATCTGGGATAGCAAAGAAGCGCAAGCGTTTGCCGTTGAGATCAACGACTACATCGCCGGTGCTATCAAGGATCACCCTGACCGATTTGGCGCACTAGCGTAAGTGTCATATTACAATTAATGTACATTTCAAACATCATTCTTGAAGCTAACACCAAAATCCAGCACTCTCTCTATGCATGATCCCGCTGAGGCAGCTGCCGAGCTAAGGCGATGCGTAACTCAGCTGGGCTTCAAGGGTGCACTTGTCAATGACACACAGCGAGCTGGTGCGGATGGAGACGACATGGTCTTCTACGATGGACCTGAATGGGATGTTTTCTGGTCCACTGTTACCGAATTAGATGTTCCCTTCTATCTGCATCCCAGAAATCCCACTGGAACTATCCACGACAAGCTGTGGGCCAAGCGAAAGTGGCTCATTGGACCTCCCCTCAGCTTTGCTCAGGGTGTGAGCTTGCATCTCCTAGGTATGGTCACAAACGGCGTCTTTGACAGACATCCCAAGCTCCAAATCATCATTGGCCACTTGGGCGAGCATATCCCATTTGATCTGTGGAGAATCAACCACTGGTTCGAAGACGTCAAGAAGCCACTAGGTCTAGATTGCAAGAAGACGATCCGCGAATACTTTGCCCAGAACATCTGGATCACCACGAGCGGTCATTTCTCAACACCCACGTTAGAGTACTGTATCACAGAGCTGGGTGGTGCAGACCGCATCCTGTTCTCAATCGACTACCCGTTTGAGTCTTTTGGCGATGCTTGTGACTGGTATGATGGCGTTACCTTGAAGAATGCAGAGGACGTGAGGAAGATCGGAAAGGACAATGCAAAGAAGCTGTTCAAGCTGGGGGCCTTCAAAGATTCGGCATAGAGGCACAACATACAAGGTTGGTAGAACGGCCACGCACTTACTGGTATGTATATTTGACTATATATCTACTTCACACACCAGTTTCATGAGTATGGTGTTCGGTTTTAGGGCGCTATATAGAATATATAGTATTTTATGTACATTTACAGTTTCTATCAGGTATATCCAATATTGGAAGCGTATAACAATTGCGAGAGACAACTGTCCAAGCGCTTGATAAAATACTGAAAGTATCCACTCAACTCCTGCAACGCTACCTGAAGAGGCATTTTGTAGACCTTCACATCCATTTCAGCTCATGCGAGATGTCCCCACACAAACAGAGGTACATTTTCACAAGATCTTCTTCCTCGATTATTAGACCTGGTCCTTTGTCGCAGTTGTATTGGCCAATTTTCTCTCAGTCCCTTTCCTTTTCATTTTTCATCAAAGGGATGCGGCTTTATCCCTGAAGAATAGCCTGGAAGACTTATTGGTATTGCTCAGTTCAGATATCGCATCAATATAGCTTCAGCACTGCAATGAAGGCATGCTATCTATATTGTTTTAGCGAACCAACAGGCATGAAATCGGCGAGATGGCCGAGTTGGTTATGGCGTCAGGTTAAGGCTACCTTAACAGCAATTCCTGGTGGAGCAATCCGCGTGGGTTCGAGTCCCACTCTCGTCAGCTTTCATTTTTTGTCTCTCTTGTATATTTTTGGCTCTGCTGAACTTTCATCGCCCAGCCCTCATTGGTGAGGCTGTTACTTCTATTAGACACGCACTACGCAATAACTCATTCACCAATTGGTGTGTGGTGCATTCATAGTGCCGGTGTAAAAGACGGCGATTCCGTAAACGCTGTTTTTGCAACCGGCTATTCAGTAGCAGCTCGGAGACTGATCTGATGGCCGAAAATTGAGACGGCAGAAATAGGCATCGAAAGTTATTTTTATCCAGACTACAATCACTGCGAGAAATAAGAGGGCTTGCAAAATACAGAGTATTCACTTGCGACAAATGGCCGGCCAAGCCTTTTCTACCGTTGGCCGCTTACAAGCTTTCTGCCAATCATGCATTTTTCTCAGGTGTAGGGTAGGGCTTTGAGAAGTGTCTGCTACGAGTGTTGGGTTCAAAACTATCAAGTCAGCTAAATAAACGCTTCAAGACCAATACAAATTATCTTTCGATTTGTATTCAAATGAGCGGAGGTGCGCAACTGTGGGAAAGAAAAGGTTGTGCGCATCCCCGTGTGGTTAATCAGCACCTGTTGGATCGGTGGATTGCGAACACTTATCGCCGTGCTCACGTATTAGCTGACGTCCGGTTTACAAGAGAAGAGGCGCCGGTTGTTCCCGGTAGGCTGCGGCTGTGCCTATGCCATCATTTATTTGCTTATAGCCAGTGATGAAATAGTCTAAATCACCGGCGGTACGGATCGCAAAGGCTTATTAGGAAGTTGATGATCATCTTCGGCAGTGGTAATAGTTGCCCCGAGTCTGCGGTTGACAAACGACCAGACCAAAAGAAGGAAGTGGACAGGACGAGTCTCCACTGCTATCGTGAAGAAGATTATTCGGCTTTTACTCTTTGCCCCGTGCACCTTGATGGACATTTGGTCATGAGCATTGTGCTTGGTAGCCGCAACGTCAAAGTTCAGTGCTGGATGACGCAAAAGCAAGACGGAATTCAATTGACCACTTCCCCTGTCAGCGCCATTTCTGACTCGTTGCCGCAGCCTTGTTTGGAATCTTTGCCAATACGGAGTACAATCCACAACAAAACAAGTTCAAAGTTTATGTTATCAAACGAGTAGCCGAATAAGAGTAGCCAAGTCGGCTTCTCACTCAAGAAACCACAAGAAACCACAGAACAACACATCCAATGACTAATGGTCTGGTAATGACTAGCATCGGCTCCGCCCTCGGCTCGCATTTACACCTTTCTCCGGCCCTGGTGAAATCAAGTCGGCCATTGACGTCAGCTAGAGCCCCTAGCAATCGGCACACTTGAGCCGGGTGTGGATCGGGAATAGCGACGGCAGATATCGAGGGCGACTGGGATCAATTTTTCTTTCGCCCATTGTTGGCTGGCCTTGATTTCTGTCAGATTTAGCGGTCGACGATTGTGGAAATTTCTCCCGGTCTTCGGCTGTTTGTTCGACCAGGGATTTTCGTACCACTAGTTATATAAATGAAAGCTGCCGCTCTCAGGATGATCGTTCCGGGATTGAAGATGCGCTAGCCATAGTTGTATTCTCTTTTCAATGAACCTCACGTGCTACAGTCCTCAACATGGCGGACAAAGAAGACCAAGTTCTTGGACGATCGCAGTCTCAAACCAGTGATACGGCCGCTTTTGACGAAAGTCCAAATGAAGAGAGTGGAACCAGTGTTCACAGTCTAAATGATAGAGAAAAAGAAGACGACCTTGACGGCCACCGACCCGCTCTCCATGAGATCCAGACCAACACATCTCAAGCTAGCAAGATTCGAACTCGTCCCGAATCTGCCAGGGCCACTGCCTTGGATCGGACCCTGTCCCGGCGGGACACAGTTTTGTCGCGGATCCGTTCTCGACCCAATATCCAATTTACACACCCCCTTGCACATATCCCGACGACAGAGGACGAGATTGTCGATTTCGACGGCCCTGATGATCCCTACCATCCTCTCAACTGGCCCACACACAAAAAGGTGCTTACCACGGCACTCTATGGCCTTGTTACCATGTCGGCGACTTGGGCTTCATCGGCATACTCTGCCGGTACGCTGCAAGTCGCCAAAGAATTCCACGTTGGAACGCAGGTTGCAACGCTAGGAACTACATTGTTCCTCTTCGGCTTTGGCGTTGGCCCTTTACTATGGGCACCGCTGAGTGAAGTCTATGGCCGGCGCATTGCCGTCATGGCTCCTATGTTTGTTGCCATTTGCTTCAGCTTCGGGACCGCTACGGCCAAAGATCTTCAGACAGTGATGTTGACTCGTTTCTGGGGTGCCTTCTTCTCATCTGCTCCTGTTACGAACACAGGCGGTGTATTGGGAGATTTGTACTCTCCAGCATACAGAGGTATTGCCATGGCTGGCTATGCAATGGCTGTCGTCGGTGGCCCTTCTTTGGGTAAGTAAAGATCAGTAATAGATAATGTGATGATAGTCAAAGCCACATTGGGAAAATTTGAGCTTACTAACATATAATTCAGGCCCTATTGTCTCTGCTGCTGTGACGGAACAGTCATTCCTAGGATGGCGCTGGACCGAATATCTTACAGGAATCATCCAGGCCTTTTTCCTACTGCTTGCAGTCATCTTCATCGATGAAAGCTACCCCCCGAAACTCCTCGTATACAAGGCGCGTCGACTGCGCCACGAGAGCGGAAACTGGGCTCTGCATGCCAAATTCGAGGAATGGGACGTCAACATCAAGGATCTGTGTAAAAAATTCTTGGTTCGTCCGGTGCAGTTACTCCTCACGCCTATTTGCTTCCTCGTTGCTCTGTATGCCAGTTTCTGCTACGGCATCTTATACATGCAACTGGGCGGCATTCCTATCATCTTTCGTGAAATTCGTGGATGGAACCCTCTGGTCGCTACGCTGCCTTTCACGTGCATCTTCCTTGGAGCCATTCTTGGATGTGGTGCGAATGTGTACAACCAACTGTTGTATAACAAGGCATATCACGCCGCTGGAAACCGAGCAGTTCCCGAAAAACGATTGCCGCCCATGATGGTTGGCTCCGTCCTGTTCAGTGGCGGACAGTTCTTGATGGGTTGGACTGGCCCGCAGCGCGATATTCACTGGATCGTCCCTTGCATCGGCCTCGTCATGCTGGGCACAGGTTTCTTCACCATTTTCCAGGCTGCGCTCAATTACCTGGTGGATACATTCCAGGCTTACGCTGCATCAGCTGTGGCGGCAAATACCTTCCTTCGATCATGCTTTGCTGGTGCCTTCCCGCTGGTTGTAGGACCTTTGTTCCACAACATTGGTGTCGGCCCAGGCTCCAGCATTACTGGTGGGTTTGCCGCGTTGCTGATTCCTGTCCCATTCTTCTTTTACAAATATGGAAAGCGAATCCGAGCCGGTTCCAAATGGTCAAAAGCATCTGTTTATGATTAAAGAATTATGAGTTACGACGTTTGATATTATATACATGGGGTTGCTGCGCATTGGCTTAAGCTCAGCGACGGAGGCTTTGCTTTGCTGTTTTTCCTTTTCCCTTTTTTTTTTTCCTTTAATAATAAAAGGGGAGATGGGAGGAGTGATCTTGATTTTCTCTATATTGGCATAGACTTAGATATCTAGATTTGGAGTGTTATATACTCCATAGTAATAATGAAACTTGTGATACCCCGAATGGCCTACTAGCTCGACGACAGTCAAGTGTCAATGTGACGCTGAAACAAATAACACGGAAGTTGTCCGAGGCCACCCAAGATAGGCACCAGTGAAACAGAGTGTAATGAATTGAGATATAAGATGCAAATAATTAACCTCAAAGTTGATGGCTGAGTATTTGTTGGCTGCTCGTTTTAAAAGTTGCCTTGACTTGTACCGCTAACAAAAGGCGCCATGGCCAAAAATAGCCACAGTCCTTTGATCATGAATCCAGATTTGATAATAAGCACATCATGTTTGCGGACTTGCTTATCATGCATGCGCGTTATTTTTGCTAGAGTGAGTATATACGAACTTACATGGCTTGCTGCAGCCTGCAGCGATCTACATAAGCTATCGCAGCGTTGCTAGTACCCTCAAGAACGTAGTCTAGAGAGGGAAATTATGCATCTGAGAAATGGATTTGAGGAGATAAAGGCGAGAAATGCATGGGATCAAGCTAATTGGTATCTTGTCAAGTAATCGAGACATGAAGATGTGATGAAGTGCAGATACTGGCCCCTTTAGAAACAATGAGTGGATCCATGGCAAAGGCTATGTAGTAATATGAACTTGAATGCTTGAGTACTCGTACAGTTGTGACTCCCCCGTTTTTGGGTTGGTGTCGCCTTACCTCGCTATTAAGCCGTATCGTATCGTATCGCGTAAATGGAAGAGAGCGCCATGATTCCTTTGCTCCCGGTTATGGAATGGTGTCGTTGGATGCTTTACCCTTGTATTTTATGAGGGCCGCGGCAGCATTCAAGACCCCGCGCGTCGACCTCAGGCAGGCAAAGATCTCAACAAAAAAGATACGGAGTGAGCAGTTATGCAGGACTCAGGATGTCGTGCCAATGAAACCGTGTTTGCATGACACAAGATAATGTATATTTTTCGATATCAACTTTGCATGTGAATGTCTGATGACGATTGGCTTCTCAAATGCCGCCCAGATCCAGTCTAGGCACGAGTGTGGGGATGGTGTGGCTGTGTGTCTAAGCCATCGACCTGATTCGCGGACAAGGCACACCAGCATCGAGAGAATCCGCCCGAAGAGCCTCATGCACAGACGTTGAAGCCTAATTGCCGATGTCAGAAAAGAGGGAGAGCAGAGCCCCCCCCCCCCCCCCCCCCCCCAAAGCTCCGTTCCTGGAGTCTCGTACGATCGATCCGGGACAGCCAGTTCTTAGCGTTCCTTCTGGTATGTATGTTATTACGTACTACTCCATGCTTTGGTACCCGACAACGTCTAGGTAGAGGGATTACAGGTAGACGATACGGTATTTAATGCAGAGTGTGTTATATCATTCAGAACAAGATGAGCTGTTTATCTACATATTTAAATTGTGAATTCCAGCTTGTCTTCTACGGAAATGGTTAGCTGCTGAAACCATATCAGACAATATCTCTCTTACAGAACCTCTCGAGGTACTTGCAGGTGTGAGAGAGATACCTGGGGAACGAAGCAAGCGCTTTTAAGGAAATACAAATCCCAACCGCGCCCATGCAGCTCTTGTGGGGGCAAGAATGGATACTAGATCGGTTAGAATTGGCGGAAACCCGAGACCACCCTCACGAACCGTTTATTAAATGCAAGCTCCCATTATAGCTAGAGTTTAATAATCCATGTATTCAGTCCTACGGGGTGAAGTAGCAGCTTATCAAGCTTTCAATTGGAAAACCAGTCTCTTTTCATCTGTCGAAAACAGACCTAAAATATTAGTCGATGGCTGCCTGGCATTCGTTTAAGATTCATGCAGGTTTATTGGCTGCGGATCCTCGCCCATGCTCACGGTGGCTGCCTCGCAGCTGCCTAGCGAGCTGCGGCGTGAGTCACGATCTCAATTGCTGTGAGGAAGCTCAGGGTTTGAATTTTGATGAGTAGATAGGGCAGTAAATATTAATATGCCATCATTCCTCTAGTGAAGTCAACTCTTTTACCAACAAGCCTCACAACAGCTCACCTGGTCTCTCACACAACAGGCTTCACTTACATCTTCTCTGTTTTATTCCTATTTTCATTGATATCTTTCTCTCCGAGTCAATTACACAGAATCAAAAATGGCTCGCACAAAGCAGACCACCCGGAAGCCTGTTCCCCGGCGGGGTGGCCGCTTTGGGGGCAATGGCAACGGCGGCAACGGCACCGGCACTGGCCGCTCGGCACGCCCATACGGCCCTCATGATCTCGACTTGATAGCTATGCAAGAAGAGGCAGAGCGTCGGGAGCGAATCCTAGCCGATCGCCGCCGTGTTGCTGCCAAGTGGCGCCCCAAGATCCCCGAGGTCCGTAAGGTGAACTTTGAGAACTTCAAGAACCGCTTCCAGGCCGAGGATGAGCCCGACTATGCTGTTGAAGTCCTTGTGGCTGGCCCCGGACTTCAGGGTCAGATCCGACGTGAGCGTGCGATGCGCCGTAGCGAAGAGACAGCTCGAGTGCGCAAGAGCTGGTACAGCCTCTACGACAACCACCTCGATCGCAAGAAGAAGATTGACCCACTCGACAAGGTAAAACGTGAGAAGAGGAACGAGCTTCTCTCTTCCGATACCGAGATTCAGCGGATTCGTGTGCAGTCGCAGCCCATTCTGGGACACTTGACATCATTCCTCAACGATACCGAGTCCAGATCAACCCCCCGCACCTTCATGCGGCCATTCAAGGCCTTGGTTTACTTCCAGCCCAAGATGCGAGAGATTCTTGCCACACTGGAGGAGAAGTGGGCCGACTATGAAGAGCTTGATGAGCAGGACTCAGATGCCGCTGACACAGCTGCAAGCGAGGAGCCTGAGGTTATCGTCGAGGTCATCAACAAAGATGACACTGATACAGAAGCCAAGTCTGATGCGGATGGTGAGGATGATGACAAGGACGAGACTGAGTCACTTGCTTCCGTGGACTCCAACGTCGACGAAGACTTTGATGGCGTCATGGATAGCCCCGAGGCTCTGAGGGACATGCGGGCCTACGTCAAGTTCATCGACGACGAAATCATGCCCCTCTATGAGCGCTTCGAGGGCAGCACCGCCGAGAAGGTCAAGTTTGATGACTTGTGGTCGCTGTTCCGTGTTGGTGACCTCGTTCACATGCCGGCGGCTGTTGAGGCAGGCGGTCGATACCATGAAGTCTGGCGAATCTACAAGATCCAGGCGCCTCACCCTGAGACCTCCTATCCCAAGAACGGCTGGGGCTTTTTCGATGAATTTGACGACATCGATGATCAGACCAAGTTCAAAATCTCGGCTTACTACATCGACCACGACGGCTCGACCTTTGGTGCTGTCAAGAACAAGTTCGAGATCGAAGCCTTTGCTGGCGAGCGGTCCATTGAATCGCTGCCATGCTACCCCATGCGCTACCAGCCTGGTCATGAAGACCTCATTGAGGGCCTGAAGGACCAGGGCCGCAGGTTCCTGCATCTCTTGGAAGACCGCCACCAGCAGCACAATGCCTGGACGCTGACCAGGAACCCTCCCTCGCACCGCAATGATCCCGATCAGGAAATCCTGGAGAACGAGTACTACGAGAAGATGCGCCACCCAGAGTTTGTGGAGAGCGATGTCATTGTCGACTTGACAGAGGCCTATCAGAAGATGCCCAACTGGCGCCCTGATTTCCACCAGCTAGCCGTCAGCAAGGCCACCCGCTGCGAGATCTCGGAGGATGAGATGCCAATCCAGAAATGGTTCGATGGTATGCGCCAGAACAGGTCATACGTGCAAAAGGAGATCATCCAGAAGGCCGATGGTGTCGAAGCCCGCCAGCGTCGTGACAACCTTGCCGTTGATACATTCCTGCGTAACCGCCTTAGAGGATCTCGCAACTTCGAGGCCAACGCCCAAGCTCTGAAGCTGCGCGATGAAGACTTGGTGCTGCTCCCTAAGCGTATGTTCGCTTATGCCCTGCGAGAACGTCGCTTCATGCCCGTCGACCTGAACCTTCTCAAGCCTATCCGACGCGAGGCTGGTGTTTTTGAGAACCTCCGAATTCACAGTGACTACAAGGATGTGGTCCGCAGTCTGGTAATGTCTCATTTCCGGAAGAAGCAACTTGAGCGACGATATGTCGACGCTTCAACCGAGGGACCCGGACAGGATCTCATCCAGGGCAAGGGTCGTGGTCTTGTGGTCCTCCTGCATGGTGTACCTGGTGTTGGTAAGACTGCCACGGCTGAAGCTGTGGCTATGGAGAACAAGAAGCCGCTGTTTGTCATTACCTGCGGTGATCTCGGTCTGTCACCTCACGAGGTCGAGTCCCGTCTGAAGAACGTCTTCCGCCTTGCGCACTTGTGGGACTGCGTGCTCCTGCTGGATGAGGCCGATGTTTTCCTGTCACAGCGATCCAAGCAGGATATGACTCGAAATGCTCTTGTGTCTGTTTTCCTTCGTGTTCTGGAATACTACAACGGTCTCCTCTTCCTGACAACCAACCGTGTGGGAACTATCGATGAGGCCTTCAAGTCTCGTATCCACCTGTCCCTGTACTACCCACCTCTCGACAAGGCCCAGACAACTGAGATCTTCCGCCTCAACATTGCCAAGCTCAAGGTGATGGAGTCTGAGCGACACAAGATGACAGGCGAGCCGTCACTTGCAATCAAAGACGACGAGATCATCGAATTTGCCAACAAGCACTACGAGGATCTGGCGCGCTCCACAGGTTGCTGGAACGGTCGACAGATCAGGAATGCCTTCCAGATCGCGTCGAGTTTGGCGCTTCACAACTACACCAAGGACGCGGATGCCGCACGTGCAAAGGGCCAGCTGCCGCCCGCAGCACCTGTGTTGGATAGGCGGCTGTTTGACAAGGTGCAGATGTCGACACAGAGCTTTGACAAGCACATGAAGAAAGAGGAGGGCAAGTATGATGACGACTTGCCTCTGAAGGGCACCTTTCAGGACTAAGCTGTTATGAAGTGACTAATGGGTGCTATGGGTTACACGCTCTTTCAGGATGTTTTTGATTTGGATCTGGATCTTTTATATATGAATAAGTCAGATAGGCGCAATGTCATAAGGATTCTATTACAACATGAGGCAGAGTGAGAGTGCATTTTTGATCCACTGAACTTTGAAGGTCGCCAAGATCATGACCAAGGAAGGTCAGCATGTAAGAGCAGCTGACTGCATACACAGACTTGCCTCCTTCGCCCAAAACAGTTCAATCAATCCCCGTCGCTTGATCAATGTGCTCGGCTAAGAATTAACTGGGTCTTTCCTGCATCAATGCATGCTCTTTGGAGGGACGTTGTCACACCATCGTACGGCATACAGACTGTAAGTGAATTGGTGGAGTAGAGCCAGGATACCATCCGAAAATCACACCTCACCTAGAACTCATGTAGATAACTTGAAGCTGAATTGCTGTCTCTCAGCCAAAGTCTTCTCCCCAAATATTATACCGCAGGTCGCGCAAATAAGCTTTAACCATATCTCTAACACAGCGCAAACATAAAAAGTATGATAATATGAGGAGCAGCCAAAACAAGGCACAACTCCGTGTTCACCCGGAGCTAGAATCACGGGACGTTCAGCATCGAACGCGGGCCGATTCCCGCGCGGAGAAATGTGAATGCGGGGTGAAGCCGTCCAGGGTTCTTCTCCACGTTTGATCGAATAGTTTCCAATGAAGACTGATACTAAAACTTTGCCGCCAGGATTAAACTGTGCAAATGCGAGATTTTTGGCAGCTGCTTGACGTTGATATGATCGGTATAGCAGAATGAGGTTACCTCACAAAGCGGACCTCTCCTTTTTGCCAGAGTTATTTATTTTGCCGGTAGTTTACAATATTTCTGCCTTCAGCAAGCGAGCTGAGACTAAACATATATAACCGTATTGAACATCTATGTAGATATTATATATGTAACCTACAGCATCTGTTGATTGTTGGAACATCTCTGGTGTTTGCTGTATATCAACAATCATGCGGGCAACAGCTTCCCTCGTCGTTGTCGGAATTTTTTCGTCCCCGGTCTTTTCGGCCGCGTTTTCACCCCTCCAACTCCGGGCTATCGCCGGTCAAGGCTGGTCCTTGCAGTCGGGATCATGCCCTTCCGATACCCAGTCGTGCGGAAACGGGTCCTGCTGCCCTTCAACGTCACATTGTCAAGCGACCGGTAACGGCGAAGTTGAAGCCTGCTGCCCTACAAGTGAGTAGTATAGGGAGAATGTATAAATTAAACGGCCACGGCAGTGAGCTAATAATAACTTTGTATTAACAGCAAGCAATTGTAGGGGCAGTGTTGAAGGTGCTCCTAGTTGCGCGAGTCCAGCTTGGTCTTTGTGGACAGGAAGTTTCGGAAACGGATTTTGTTGTGAGGTCGGTTTGACCGGAGCATTTGTCAATGGGGGATCTGTTGCTGGAATTTGTGTCACTTCCGTTCCCTCTGGATACTCCACTGCTTCATTGGTAAGAGATGTGATCCTGTGATAGTTTCATGACATTCATCCATAACTGTGATTCAATACAGGCTAGCAAAGGGACAGGCAGTCCAGTCACATCAGCTCCTTCGACAAAATCTACTACTTCAGTCGCTCAGACAACGACTAAATCCACTTCTACAACTACAAAATCAACCGTGTCTAGTGGACCAACATCAAGTACGGTGCCGAGAGCTGTGTAAGTGAAAGTGTACTCCTTACACCCTGACAAAAGTTCAGCTAGCTGTTGATTTGTCGATGCTAATAACTCTGTCTTGGTTCTCTACAGATTTGCACACTACATGGTTGGCAGCATGACTCAAGCAGAAGCAGTTCAGGATGTCAAAGATGCAAAGGCAGTAGGATTCGATGCTTTTGCGCTCAATACACACGACATCACGTCTTCTTGGGCACTGAACGCATTGGGATACCTGTTTGATGCGGCAGATCAGAACGGCTTCAAGCTATTCATTTCGTTTGATATGAGCTGGCGTGCCATCACGCCTTCGCAAATTCCTTCTTTCTTGCTCAACTACATTTCTCGACCGTCATATTACACTATTTCTGGTCGACCGTTTGTTAGCACATATGATGGTGGCTATATTGCGAATTCTGACTGGGTGTCGGGCTTTCAGCAGCCTCTTGTCTCCCAAGGCATCAACCCATACTTTGTTCCCAATTTTGGCGATTGGAGTGGTTGGCCAAACAATTTCTTCTCGAATTACCCCGTTGTAGATGGTGCCTTTAGCTGGGAGTCGGCATGGCCCGCTCCAGGTACCGCCATCTCCAACGTGTCCGACAGCGTTGATCAGAGCCTTTTCCAACAGGCGCGAGCAGTTAATAAAGTATTCATGATGCGTAAGAGACCATTTCTGTTTCCATATCATTTCATTTTCTTTTACTTAAAAGTATTATTACTGATCCGACAACCATTCTACAGCTGTATCTAGTTTCCAGTTCAAGTATCTCGGCTCAGGACAAGACTGGTATCGCATTGGCGAAGTCAACCTACCACAACGGTTTGAGCAGGTACTGGCCCTGAAACCAGATCTGGTGGAATTAATCACATGGAACGACGCTGGAGAAGGCCATTATATCGGCAACTTCTTCCAAGAACAGATTGCAGGTTCGACTATTGGGGACTATGCCAACGGTTTCGACCACACCGGATGGCAACAGCTGGTGACACCTTTCATAAAGGCATATAAAAATGGTGTAGCAACTAGCGGCAGTCAGATTTTGCCTCCTGGATCGGCTCCCGTCGGTTCGCTGTGGTATCGTACGTTGCTGAAGAGTGCTAGCTGTTCACCATCTATCCAGAATTACCAACAGGGCCAAGACACAATTAACTATGCTGTCTTGCTGCCCTCAAATGGGTACACGATTAAAGTGTATAGTAACAACAACCTGATTGGCAGATTTACTGGCTCTTCGGGCCTTAACTATGGTGCTGTTCCGGGATTGAGTGTTGGGGGCGGGCAATATATACAAGTTGTGAATAGTGCCGGTTCTGTGGTTGCCTCAGCCACGGGTACAAAGCAAGTATCAGCTCAGAGTTCCAATGCGACTTGCAACTGGAATTACGAGGTGGTAGGCTTTTCATAATAATATATCAACAAAGGAGGGCAGGGTCATGGAGTAGGGCCCTTGCAATTAATATAAAGAATGAGGAAATTTTTACGCTGGCCTCTTTTTGCCTATTGCGAGTGGTACGATATTTATGTTGTGGGTAGAGGAGTTGCAGGCGAAGTTAGACGCATGCTTCTGGTGAATGTAACCCTCGCTTTGACGGCAGATCCATACCCTGTGATTGCGGGTTAAAATGCTACACACTTTCCTTTTACTTATCGTCTCACACCTTTGCCAACCGTGAGAGCGCGTAAAATCAACTCATATAATATTGCTCAACCCCGACCTTGCTTAAGCTCGTGGATAGAACGGATGAGCGGACAGGTCGAAGCGTTAGTCGGAAACATTTTAGCAACTAGTTTGGACTTAAAATCGGATTTCTTCTATTATTCTTCGTATTACCTGTTCCGACTTGTCCATCCTAAGTGGGCACAGCGGGCCGCCGACGTTACCGTATCAATGAATAATATGATCAAAACTAACCTATTAATAAAATGCGCCCTGATGAATGTGAATTCTTACAAATAATTGATACATGACATTACGGGAAGTAGCTTGAATACCTATTTGTGATCCCAAGGCATTAAATGCCGTGTTTAAAGGAAGCCAACCGGACTCTGCAGTCCTCAATCTTCCCACAGAAGTCTTTACAATAATTGGGATCGCTGAGATTATCCTTAGATAGACCGCATTTATGGTTCAATAGCATTTCCCTTAGCTCGTGGTACAGCTTGAAAAGCGAGCTGCTGTGATGAGCTAGACAACAAAGGAGGTTAGTATCATAGCTTTTATGTACAGGCGAAATAATGCAATCACTTACGGTCCGTAGTATCTGTAACTTGCTTTTGGTCTAGCGAGTGAATTTCCTTCTGGAAGGAAACTAGAGCTTCTCGACACTCGCTCTTTAAAGACTTTGTGTGACCAATGTTCAGTAGCGGACTTCGGAGTTTCTTCTTGTGGCTATCGATCAGGTCGTCCATTGTCGAGAGAAGCCTCCGGAACTTGTCCATAATATCCACCGACACCTGTGAGCTAACACTCCGTGTGGACGCCCGAGAAGCGTGCGAGTCCTGCGACGCATTGCGAAAAGACCAAGACAAGGATGGTCGACGTTTGAAGCGGTTTTGGCGATCGCTGTTGCCATTTCCTGGATGGTGAGGAGAAGGAGGGATCTCAAGCCAATGTGAGGTCGATGACATAGGTTGTGCAAATGTCGCAGCAGTTGGTACTTCCCTACGGTTGTTCATCCAGGTGAAATCGTTAGGGCCCAAAGAACTTCTAGCAAAGCTTCCATCGGCGGATATTGTTCGCACGCGGATGCAAGGACGCTGGGGAACTCCAACAGAACTCGAGCGAAGAGTCGACGGAGGAACATCATCTCCTTCAGATGCCGTATAAAAGGACAACTGGCTCACGGAAATCTGCCGTGTAAAAGTTGGAACTTCGGGTACAAAAAGTAAACGTCGAGTCCCGAACTTGAAAACCGGGGCTGCGGTAGTCAGAGCCGCTGAAACAAGCGCTGTTGAGGGCGAGATAGATCGAGGAACGGACAAGTTGAGGTGCCATCTGCTGACTAGTTTTCGGTACGAGAATCTAATCTTTGACAAATGAACATTTTTCGGCACGTCTAGGGCCCCATGCGAGTCTGATGTCGTTGCACTCATCATGGTTATCCTTATTCTCAGCAAAGATGGTAGATATGTGGCAAGCTCTTGGGATTTCTTCCTGTGTGAAAGCGGGGTTAGAGGGGAAGTTTGTTCTCATATACACACACATAGGCTGTTGAATCATATTTTTACAAAGGCCTAGATTACATACATGCAGCTTGACGTGTACGTTGCTGATTTGCTTCTCGCCTGGCGCATAGGAATACAAAAAGCCAAGTCACGCCCCCCTCCTTCAGGTGGTGGGGGACTGGATACTAAGCCTTGGGCACATCCTAATAAAAGAAGCTCCTTATCCTCAAGCAACAAAAGATTAAAAATCGCTGAACTCTATCTCGCAATACCAGAAACACGACAAAAGAATGGAAATCGACGCAGAGGGAAGGAAGCTCTGTGACTATGTGGACAGGTCTCTCAACGAAGAAGAAGACTTCCATTTCCTCCGCCTGGAGTTTCTTCAGCGACTCAACATTGTGAATCTGCAAGTCAAATTGGTACAAACAAAGGGGCGTATCCAGAGGGAAAACAAAGTATCTGCTGAAGATTTGGAGGAACTGAGAATTAGCTTGCAACAGTATGGTAAGAACCCACACGAGATATATACATGTACTAAGGCGGCTGCTGACATTCTAGCGGTTAAGCAACAGCCATCCGTGACTACCAGTGCCTACGCAACAAAAAGAGCGTTGAGAAGGTCAATATTCAACATCGTAAACTTCTTTTGCAGAAGTTCTTTGACCCTGACCTAGACCCCGGCGACCCTTTCGAGTCTCACTATTCATACTTTCAGGACGCGAATGAGGAAATTGATCCCATTCGCAGTGCCCTGATGAGATATCTACCCGTTCATCTTGCATTTTCACGCCAAGAATGTTTAGAAAGGGGAAAGGAATTTGCTGAGGGAAAGCGCCCTCGTCTCGTTTCGGACTTCGTCGATCGGCTAGTCCGTTTCCTCATGGCATTCACTGGTGGTGTGTTTCTGGTCGTGCCAATGATTATCATGACACTCCATCCATCGCAAACCAAAAGCCTCGTGACTGTATCAGTTGCAGTTATCATATTTTCGCTGGTTTTATCGTTCGGCGTACGTGTTTCGAATATCGAGACCCTGGTTTCCACAGCTACGTACGCTGCCGTCTTGGTTGTGTTTGTTGGGACGAGCACCAATGGGGGGAATCACCCATGAAGATGAGCTACTGTGAACATACAATCATTTTGCTTGGATTGAGCCTGAGTTGGCAATATTCTATGCTGTAAAGTCCACATACAAGACCAGGGTCAGATAACATGACAGGGTGGCTGCGAGGCCTTCGCCATTCCTCCTTCCTGAGGCTCAGAACCTCAACGTAAGTTTGCAAATGAATAGGGTTAATGATACGAGCAGTCATAGTAAGCAAGGCATGTATGTTTTTCTAGCCAGTCTAGGTTGTTTATTATTATTTCACATTAAAGCATGCTATATAAAGATTCTCTTGAGTCATATTGATCCCGATCTTCGTTTTTGCCTTGTGCTCACATAAACACCCGCCGAAAAGCCGCCGATTGCAGTTCGGCTAGTGGGAGAGCAGAGCCTCTTCTTGATCAGGTATCACCGAGCCGTACATTAATTGGGTGGCCGGCTCAAAGTGTTGTCTAGTCAAGTGGATTTTATCTCGTCAGGCTGCGGCTTCAGCGCCCAATCCTATATGGTCGCTACCAATAAATTGCTGCGGCTATGCATCATACAGCTTCCAGTGCAATCGTGTGGTGGGTCTTTTGTCACAGATGTTGCATCATCAGGAAGAGCGTATATTGACTACGCTTTCTGTAACCTTGTCACATTATGTGATAAGGCCAGCGCATGTGGTGTGGGCGCCAATCATGAGAAAACATATTTCAAGGCTTCCGATGGCCAAAAAGAAAAAAAAAAAAAAAAAAAAAAAAAAGAGAGAGAGAGAGAGAGAGATTGTAGTTGCCCGCCTTTTTATGTACCTGAAAGATATGTACAACGTGTCACAACATGTCAACAGGGAAAAGGATGCGTTCAACATTAATAACTCATTATGGTCCAATAGGAGGCAAGGCCTCAGATCCTGGAATTCTGTAGGATGGATTACTATTTACTTGGCAGAACGGCACCAATTCCTAACATCAGTAGTGAGCAAGGTGAGGTTGCTAACTACGATCAATGGAGGCAACGATACGTGCGACCTCGACTCTCCGAAATGATCATGACTTTGATACATTGGTGCCTCTTCCCCATGCTAGCCCAATATTCAATTGGAACTTCGCAACACTTTCAAGACTCCGGGAAAATAAGACCATTCGCTTATCGAAGCGGCTATCGCGACCTAGGTTCGTGATGGTGCTAGCTGGAGCTTACTTGACCTCAAATTTTGCTCCCGTCATAATTATGGCACGCTCACGAGTCACCGTGATTGGTGAGGGTTACCACCTTAATGTTTTTTCTTTTCTTTTTTGATCTGGATCGCACCTCCAAAAACAGATTTGAGCTATGTAGACTAGACGGAATCGTACTTACATCTTTTTTGTTTGCCATCTAAAATGGTCATTTAGCACCACCGATAAGTAGGATGAGACATGGCGTGACAAACATAAGGGCCTTAAACGGCGACAATTTGAAACTTGTGTAGGCCTTGACAACCGAATGGGTATTTCGCAAGGATCGCGAATACGAATTTCCCTACGTGCCGCGCACATTAATCACCACTGCTACAAATGCGAGCAACAATGGCCAGGTGAAATGGACGATTGGATGAGTGGATTAGGTAGTACAGGATACAGGATACTACATACAGGTACCTAGGTAGGTAGCCGCTCAAATACAGCCCTTTGGGGCGGGGGGGCCTCTCACTTTAGGCTTAATGACTATTATGGAAGCTCAGAGCACATATATACATAGTATGAAGAGCACATATATACTTTAGTATGAGTAGCACATATATACATAGTATGAGTAGCACAGAAATTAAAATTTACGGACAAAAGAAGAATTTCTAGCTACTGAAATCTATCAGTGGCGAGATTCGACATTGGCCAGGATTCCCGATAACTTCTGTGTTCCTCGGGACAGTCGCAAAGAAGAGGCAGGGGCATGGGCAGCTGCTAATGAGGAGCAAGGAATTGGCGGAAACAAATACTTTAAGACGCAAGCCCCCTGAGTTTACAGAGCAATCTTGATCTTCATGGCGTTCGTACACAGTTTATACTGGTGATAACCTTGGGTGATAATTGCATGCCCTGCAATACATTGTCCTGAAAGCAATCTCGCCAGTCTAAGTACAAGTCGATATCCAGGACTATAAATGGGTTACAACACTTACTTACGACCCGTTTGTAGTTTCGCTAGGTTTCTTCTCTCCGTTTCTCAGCTAATGTCTCCAAGAATTTGACAACCCTCTCACCTAACCATTCACGAGCTGAGTCTCGTCGAACAGTGTGGCCAGTATTCGGTATCAGATCCGACAACGAGCTAACTTGAGCTCCCGCCTCCTGATATAGCTTATTCAATTTTCTCTGATCTACATTTCCTGGTACATTCTCGTCCTTTTCAGAATGCAGCACCAGAACAGGCTTGTCGAAGCGGCTCCAAATTTTCTTGATCATGGCATTGTCAAGGTCAGAGGAGAAATAATCCTCATCACCACTATAGAAAAAAGAATTAGTGAAATCGTCACAATTTCTTGTAGATCTCATATGATTCCAGATACATACCCTTTGGCCAGTAATGATCTTAACCTGTAAGCTGAGACGGCGGGTCCCAGCGATGGTGGGATAATTTCTTTGGGGGCAATGTGGTCTGCTTTACCCTCTGCAATCATCCGCTCAGCAACTTGCACGCTCTTGTCTGTATCTGGGAACTCAAGCTTAAATGCTTCGCGGTCAGAGATTGGTGCGTGCAGAATGAAGCCGCCAACTGGGCTGCTGCCATGCTTGGCGTAGTTTGTGTATTCTGCACAATCCTATATCATCAATTAACTATGACTCTTAATATCCTGCTCACAGAAACAAATTTAAATACCTGACATCCAGTTGAGTGGCCAAACAGAACGACTTTATCCTTGCTAATAGATCTCAAATACTTGACAAACGTGGAGATGTCGGCAACATCATCAGCGATAGACCCAGTGCCAAACCCCGAAAAGGAACTTCGTATGCGAAACTCAAAGAGGGAGTAACTCAGATTTTCTGCTTCTTCGAGATGCCTTGCAACTGTTCGGAGATACTGCACGGAATGTGGCCCGTCTCCTAGACCTCCGATGAAGATAATGGCATTCTTGCGCCTGACAGAGCCTGTTTCGTATGCTGCGTAGTCGGGGCGGTAGGGGTGGACCGTAACTGGCAAGGGGGCATTGATATTCATCTTTACGTTGAGGGGACGGCCTGATTTGTTTCCTGTGAGCGGCGTTGGAGATGTACTCTGCGTTTTGAATCAGACAATTGCATGCACATGCAGCTTGGGGATGACACGACGAGATAAATACCTGACTTGGGCAATGTACATGCTTGTAAGCTGGAGCACACACATCCGCTGAAAAGCGCTGGAGCGTTCGCTGCAGGGGTTATGGGGTGCGCCCATGCCCGTCTTTAGGTGCACGTCCAGTCCATCGATCCTCCGCCGACGGCAGGGGAACAGGAGGTCCACAGCTGACAGAACTACTTGTACATAATGTAGTACAGTAGTGGAGGAGGAAGGGGTCTGCAAAAAGCCTGGACTGATGTTGCGAGACGTAACCTCAACTGACCCATGACCTAACCCACTTGAAGGATTCGACCGAAAAAAATCATATTTGGAGACTTGGCCGAGCAAGAACGGTTTCTTTTGCACCGGAAGATGGAAGACTGCCTTTGACTCTCGAAACTAGACCTCGAAACTACCTGACATAGACTGTCAATTCGATGGGGTGGAAAGGGAAGAAGCTTTGTCTCGCTGCCTCTGTCGCCAAAAGCAGCTACAGAACCCATCAGATTTGGCGGCACCAGCAGCGCTTCTTACATTTAAGTAGCCCAGGCGTTGTCGCAGTATAGCCAATGCCACGCAGAGCAGTGGAGAGGTCTTTGGCTGAGCCTCGCGGACCCTCGATGCCGTCCGCTTCAAGCTGCCTATGGTATGGTTAAGACAGATGGAATCAATCGCATTCAGTGCGGACCACACGAGTTTGTGCCCGGTAAAGATGGATGTCTAACATGATGTTAACTTAAGCCGAACGATACCAGTCTATTTTTGTCCACCGCGTGTAGGTGCTATAATCAACGAGAACCAACATGGAAACTTGTCCATGCGGAATCATCCTACTGTCTCTCCTATAAAGGAGACGCACCAGCATCTTTACCCGCCATTCATCTCTCCAGCCCGCGACCAGCAACAGCCTATATCAGACTCAACGCAAAAGACGTTATTCAACACACGGCACTTGGGCTTCATCCTCTCATCCAAACAAGGCATCCTCATCAAGTCTTCCACAAAGAGACCAGCAAAATGGACCAAGAAAATGCGGTTTCCGAGATCGCTCATCCAGCATTCGTCTCCAGACTATTCAACCATCATCGAACGAATCCGGACCAGAGCAAAAGAAACTTTATTGCCCTAGCAATCTACTCGACCCACGACTACCCGGGCCTATCAAACTAACTCACAACTTTGGCTATGTATTCTGTCATCGTGGGCTCTACGAGCATGCATCGAGTATCGTCGACAATTCAGCTACTGCTATCGACAATGGAATACGCCATGGTCTATTTCTTCACGAGGTTGATGCCTTCGTCTTGGAACAGCTCTACAAGGCTTTTGTAGCCCATGACAAGAATCCAAGTCGTGTCACTTCAAAAGTACAACCTTGGGAGTTCTACCCTATCCACGAGATCCTCGGGACAAGACTCGTGACGCGGAGAGTTGAGAGAGAGGCGAAAAATCCAGACTTGACTAATAAACAATCGGATTTCGCTACTTCATACCTGGAAACCGAAGGAAAGATCCCGGCCTATTTGGTATCATGTGGAGAAAAAGCTAAGACCCATCCGGGATCACACTACAAATCGACCTCAGGGAACAAGATTTTGCCAAAGCGAGCGCCTACTACTCTTATCATATTTCCAAGGAATCCTTGCTGCACAAAGATAGCCAGGGCGTACACCACAGCAAGGGTTGGGAGTTGTTCCGGTCAACAATTCTGAAAGGCTATAATAAGCACTACAACTCTTTCAATGATCTGCACGAAGATGTTAAGAAGAAGTCTGTGGAGGCATATGGGCACAACTAATTCGAAATAAGGCATCTACATATCTCTCCCACGATGATCATGGTATTCTTCGCCAAGTATTTGGTCAAACTTGCACGGGAAACACCACCTGATGATGATCCTCAAGGGGACAGAGACAGTTACGAACATATCTACCACACCTTCATGAATCAAGTCTTATCTTTTGTTGGAGTGGGGGTTAACCCCTATAACTTCATACTGGAGATCGTACACAGCAGACTCGGGTTGCAATGCGACATTGTTAATGAAACGGCAAGAAATCCCCTAAGTGGAGAGTTACTGACAGACAAGGGGGTGATCTTCGACAGCCGCGTCGACCGGGCCATGATTGATGTGGGCGTGGAACTACGAAAGAGATATCCTAAACTGTTGTTTTCGTCTTGTACGCGGTTATCACGCCTAATGGAGAGTACATGTATAAGGCGTGGCACGAGATGTCGAGGCTGGTGCGCTGGCAAGACGGCGAGAAGGGCTAAGAAGCCAAGCTACGATCCATGCACGGAGGGTTATATCCGCAGCGCCACCTCGTCGTTGCCGATGACCCGGCTGCGGAAATCGCTGCTCGCACATGGATTGATCAGAGGTCGGGTCTGGATCGAAGTCAGCTAATGCATATGACTTACAACGAGTGGCAGCACCAGGAGACGTCGCCGCCGCCATCAGAATTCTCAATAAACAAGACTTCATGCCGAACAAGTTTGGACACCCTACGACGCCAGGAGCTAGCGGCAAGAAACGAGACAGAGAGAACGATAGAGTTGCACACAAGGATCAAGTCGTGGTTGGAAGCCATCCTGTCGCCCAAGCCCATATTCAACCTTGATGACGGGAATCAATACAGTGTTGACGAACACCGGCACAGCGCAGAGGACAAAACCAAGCAAGGGACAAGTATGGCCAGCTCAGCATCATTTCAGACGATGACCGACACCACGAGGGAGTCACATTAACCCGGGAAAACAGACCCCGCAACCATTTCAGCAGTAGCACTAGCTTAGACCCTATAATAGTTCACATTTGTGGCAAAAGCTACAGATTCGAAAACGTGGTAGATAGGAAACAAGCACTCTCTAGCATGGCCGCTTACGAAGCCGCCGCAAAGGGAGACGAGCAGATAGTCAGGAATCTTCTTGCCATTGGTACCAATATCGACGCTCCCATGGAATTCTTGGGCACCCCGCTAGCAGCATGTGTAAACGGCCGCGGCACAGTCGTGAAGCTACTGCTAGACGCAGGCGACGACCTTAATATGGGAGGATTCATTGGCACCCCCTTGGAACTCGCGGCTGGGGCCAAGCATCGAGATGTTGTTGAAATGCTGCTCACCGTATTGGAACAGAAGCAAACCTATTTCGAGAAACTATAAACCGGCAGTGCACTTCATAGAGCGTCTGAGGCGGGTTGCAAGGGGGTGGTAGAATTGTTATTAGACAGTGGAACGGATATTAACCCTCTACCTACATGCTCGGGTCTGTACACTAGTACTTAGGCATACCTTCGGGATACGATGGCGCGAGGAGGGATGCGGATCTCATCTGCTAATTAATTCTCAATCTCCTTTATATCTGTTTCCTCAATCTCTATCTTACTAATTCCAACTCAAAGCTTTATTCTTTCTAGAAACCCACCATACTCAGACACTTAGACGTATTCCTATATTCTATAGATCGTCTAAGAGAGATTGACTCCTCGGCCTCCTGTTGTTTCGCGTACCGAACTCACACTGATATACATGTACCTAGAGCGCCCGTAGTGATCGTGAAGCGTAGTGCGTCGTAGAGCGATGGGTAGTTGAAAATGACCTCCGGGTTGTTACAGGTACCCAGATCCGACTGGACTAGAGTCTTGTAGTCCGGGTCAAATCGCGGCCAGCCCTACTCAAGCATTGTTGCGCTGAACGGGCCCCCCTTCCCCTATTACTATCAAATCATACAACGGCCAGCTGCCCCGCAATCTGGACGCCTAATGTTATTACTCAATACAGTAATTCTCACGATGGCTGCATAAGGAATAGTCAGGGCCCCGTCGAAGACTCCACGTTAAAAGCAAAATATTTCAGTAGATTATCCGGGGTTGGGTATGCATGGAGCGTTCAACAGTAGCGTAATTGAGAATCAACAGATCGTGAGACGCTAGACGAAAAGAAGGAACATCGTGACAATAGCCAAACGCACTACATTGTTAAGGGCTGCGAGGAATATAACTATCGACGCACATTGATTCCATTACTGGAAATAATCCCGACGGCGACTTCGTGATTAGGACACGACTGACTCTCTAGGTTCATGACGCTATGAGTGGCATCGCGACCCAGTGACGAGTCCGCCGTACACCGCCGACTACTGAAATCCCAACATTCTGAATGACCGAAATCCGCATGTCATTAAAATAGTACGCATCTCGCTTTGATACTTATATTTCTAACTGTCTAGGACCGTAAGTCTTGATATTCACTTGAATTACTTACTCAATTTCTGCTCCATGGCGTCTTCTAAAGTTCGCAATGCCCTCTTAGCGGCAGTGTTTCTAGCAGGACAAGGAGTACTCTCTTCTCATCAGTTTCACGGACGGCCCGTCGTCCCTACCATTGAAGGCCCAATCACTGGTGGTACACGCGGCCATCCTTTTGGGTCCTGGCTTGGGGACATCTCAGACATCGGCTACGTGGAAGAGGAATACTTCATCTCCGGTAACGCCCAGCGATATGCAGTTGTTGGAGAACTTACCCCTGACGGCTTCTGGACCATCCAACCAAACGGCACATCACCATACAAGACTCGGATTCTAGTTCGTCGGCCAGCCAACAGAAAAGATTTCAACGGAGATGTTATTCTTGAATGGATCAATGTGTCTTCTGGATATGATCTCATGATATCTGACTCCAACGGTGTTTATGAGGCTGGCTACGCTTTTGTTGGTGTCTCCGCTCAGCTTGTCGGTCTTGACGGCTTCCAGGAAGCTGGCGTTGTCAAGCAGGGTCTTACGCAGTGGGACCCCGAGCGATACGGCTCACTCCATATTGAAGATGAGAATGTGTCTTATGACATCTTCACGCAAGCTGTCAACGTTCTCAAATCTGGCAAAGTTCCCGGTCTCCAACCGAAGCATGTTCTCGCAGTCGGCGAGTCACAGTCCGGGATCCGCTTGGCTGCGTATGCCAACGGTGTTCAGCCCCTCGCCAATTCCGTCGACATGATCTTCTCACTTATTAACGGGGGCATGGCATCGGACTTCAATCCCGACGTGGCGAGACCCGGAGCATCAGCACCATCTCGCGCAATACCAACAAAGATTCGCACTGATCTTGACATTCCCGTTCACCAGATCTGCACTGAGACGGAGGCGCTCAACAACTATCTGGATGGGACACGACAGGACGATACTGACAAGTACCGCTACTGGGAGGTTGCCGGTGGCTCACACGCGAACAAGTTGGTGCTGGATAAGATTATCGCCTACGCTACAAGAGACAGCGTCACTGCAGCCACGGCGCCGGCAAACCTTGATATCGTCAGCTGGTTGCCTCCAGTGGATGCCGCATATCAACACGGTTCCGCATGGGTAAGAGGGATGGGTCAGCCTGGCAGGTTTCCACGGTTTGAGATTGCACCTCCATCAGGGAATAGTAATACATCATCTCTCGCCCGCGATCAGTACGGTAATGTGATTGGCGGTGCACGGCAGCCAGAGGTATTGGTTCCAATTACCACAAACAACGGTGAAGCCAACAGCCTTCTAGGCACTTCTGTGCCGTTCAATGCCACGACCCTTCATGAGCTATATGGAAACAGCCGAAACTACGTGGCAAAAGTCAGAGCTGCATGCCACAAGGCTGTATCAGAGGGACTAATTTTGTCAGTTCGCGCGCAACAGCTCATCAAGATGGCGAAGGAGGTCAGAATCCCATCCTCAAAAATGTAATGGGGTTGTGTCGCAATAATACTTCGAATGTTATTGAGCCATGGGGTGCAAAACATAGGCAGGTCATTTTCAAGTCTGGTGGATACTTGTATAGAAACAATTTGAATACCTATCTTTTCAAAAGTGTCCTTTTTCGTGTAAGCGCAGTTGTCAAAGCAAAAGTATAACTTAATTTATCCTCGTTCCTCGAGCCCATCTTCTTCAGGGAAATGGGAAGCGCTATTGTCGCCCCAGATGCTTCACTTGTTGTGTGCTGTCCAGCTCATGGGTTCTCCTCCTACGCAAGCTGTGCTGTGGAACGTCAGATCCTTCATTGCATTGGCTGCTGCTAGTATTCAATAGGCGAGAAATTTTGTTGTCCTGGAAGTAGATAGACTTTGGCTCCGTATATGCCATAAGCACAGGTAAGATCTCTTCTTAGGTTCTCTGGCACATTGTGCTTCTCCCAAAGATACGTCGTAATGCAGGAGTTGCAAACAAATAAAGCATAGCCGCAGCTTTTCTAAAAACATATCAACGCATACGTATCATGGTTGATAAAAAGACCAAGGTTAGTTAAGGAGTCTGGGTTTAATACAAACATAATAATTAAGGTAGCAGTAATAGTATTAATTCACATTATAATAGCTTGAATTAGAGATACCTAACTATTCATATTAAAATAAATAAGAATAGATAACGTTTCTATGTAAATGCATATGTTATTATTCCAACGACCAGTGCAACAAGCTAAGCTGATCTCCTAGGTAATCCAAACATCTGGCGTTACAATATCTTTTTGGGGGGGCTGCGCCAATACTAATGTACTAGACATATAGAGAAAAAAAAAATACAAAGGAAATACAATTGACAAGCCATCTTGGATAATGATGTAAGATTAGGGTAGGCAATGTAGTAGACCTCACGGCGTGCACGAACCAGTTTCTGTGTATTTCAATGCATTACAGGCAATCCTTGGTGCAGTAGGTTATGACATATAGTCAGTGCAACCTAGCAATTTGATTGAACCGTAACAGTTAGGCCATAACCACAGGATATCTCACGGTTAGGTTTAGCGATAGTTTGGAGGAACATTCGCTGATTTAGCGGCTTCAATGTACTGATCCACACGGTACTGTAAAATAACACCCTGCTGTAGAGACGTCTGAGCTGCGGATGTGACATTATCCACATAGTCCTTCTGGGTTGGGTATAACGAATCCAGCTTTGCGGCTGTGAAATTGGTCGTGGTGCCAAAGAGAAAAGGTGTTAGGCCAGTGTAGCTTGCAATGGGGACTACTAGCTCAGGCAAACGAATGCCACCCTCAGCATTTCCATTAGAGTCACGAATATAATCAGAGGATCCATTCGCAAAGACCTCAATAGCCATCTTCGGAAAGGTTGGCGGCTCATAGTTAGGATCACGGATCCACTTTGAGACATGACGGTAAGCGGCATCAGCTGTTGGCATATAATCAACATAGCTATTGTTGAAGTTGATGGTAGTGTTTAAGCCATCAAGAAGCTGCTGAGGTAATAGCCACTCTAAGTTGAGGACGTTGGCATGAGAGGAACCGGCAACCTCCCATTCACGGAATTTGTTTGTATCAGGCTGTCTGGTTCCCTGCTGGAAGTAGGTCAAAGACTCAGTTTCGCCGTTAATCGCAAAAACAGGTACTTTAAGGTCCGTGCGAATCTTGGCGGGAAATGATCGACTCAGCTGCCCAGCACTGGTCTGGTCAGGCACTGAAGTGAAATCGCCAGTATTGCCAGCAGCAACGATTGGGACAATAGCGTCGAAGATGTTTGTCTGTGGTTGTACCCCGTTTGCGTAGGCGATAAGTCGAGTCCCAGACTGAGACGCACCTACAGCAATGACTTTCTCAACCTTTAGGCCATCTAGCGGCTTACCGCTCTTAACCAGTTTGGCCGCTTGAGTGTAAATATCGTATGACAGGCCATCATCCAAAATATTCAAAGAGCCATATCGCTTAGGATCCCACTGCTTAAGCCCCATAGGCTTAGGAGCTTCACCAGAAATACCCACGGCCTGGGCGGATATAGCAACAAAGGCATATCCAGCTTCGTAGACGCCTGGGTGATCAGCAGCAATAAGGTCAGAGCCTCCTGATACATTGATCCACTCAAGTAGCACATCTCCATTGAAATTCGTCTGATTGAGTGGTAATCGAACTAGCATGCGCGTCTTGTACGTGCTGCTGTTTGTCGCCTCTAACGTCCAGAAGCCGTCGATAGTTAGATTTCCAACGACCTCAAAACGCTGGGCAGTACCGTTATAGAAAAACTCTTTTTCTTCATAGCCGACAGTCTGAATATCTGGCTTGGCCCCATCTGGACGGCCCATAACCCCCCCCGGTAATGGGACCTTCAAGCGTTGGGAGGTAATGCTGTGGTATTGCCGTGGCAATAACGGTGCTTACGCTACCGAGGAGCGCGAGAGTAAAGCAGGCAATCATTTGTTCAAACTTCTGATAGCAAGAAGATAACGTTTAACGAGGATGTGTATAGTAATTGTTATGGCTTAAGTCTAGGGCGGACTGGATGCTTTATATAAACCAAAAAGCTGGCTAAACTTCCTTAAAAATTAATGTTATACTCTCTACTACTATTTCCGTTTCAATTACTAGTTCTTACCATACGCTACATAAGGAAGAAATAGGGGAATAGCAAAAAATAGTCAATTTCTTGTGCTCTAGAGACCTTCGGAGCCGAATCGGCAGAATAAGAATTAACAACTACCCGGCGGGCTGACGATTCTGCCGATCAGTAAGGGGTTAGTCTGACTGAAATAATATATTGTATTGTATATATTATACGAAAGTAAATATGTCATGAGCGTCGGGCACTATAACCTCCGTTTTCCATCTCGGATTCGTCATTCATCGGCTATAGTAACGTAAACAGGTAGATACTACTATAGCAATCAGTACAGCCTAGAAACATAATAAAAACCCCCAATTCCCTCTACAAGTTAAAATGTACGCTAGAAAATTCTATAGACTTCAGCAGCATTCCACTTTAAAACAGCTCTATAAGAGAGTATGCTCTCGTTTCTTGTTTCTTTTGCCATCTTAGGCGGCGTCGGCGCAACCGCCGTAGCTACTCATAAGCATCATCCTACCAATATCCTCCCTCTTCCCACTGTCGATGACCCTATCGTTGGTGGGACAAAGGGCCATCCGTTTAGCGCTTTTGCTGGCAATATTACCTCTCTTGGATACGTCGAGGAGGAGTACTTCCTCACCGGCTATGGAAACCGTTATAACGTTATTGGCAACCTGACACAAGATGGCTTATGGAAGCTATCGTACAATAGCACCGCTCCTTATAAGACCCGTGTCTTAGTTCGTCGTCCTATTGATAGGAAGAACTTTAACGGAGATGTCGTTATTGAGTGGATAAATGTCTCCGCTGGTTTTGATATAACTTCGGCTGATACTCCTGGAATCTATAAGAATGGATACATTTGGGCCGGTATCTCTGCGCAGACAGTTGGCGTTAATGGCCAGTCTCCTAACCCTCAGGGTCTTGTTCAGTGGGATCCTGCTCGATATGGCACTTTAAATATCCCCGATGATGCTATTTCCTACGGCATCGCTACTGCTGCTGGCCGAATCTTTCGCACTGGCAAGATTTCTAGTGGTTGGATCCCTGAGAAGGTAATCCTTACTGGAGGTTCGCAGTCCGGGACACGAGTGCTAGGTTACGTCAACGGCGTGCAGAATCTTAATGCCACCTTTGACTCAGTTATTCCAGTTATCTGTGCTGGTTTCGCAGCGGACTACAGTTTTATCCCTGCTCACCCTAATGTCACGAACATTAATGCTCACTCTCGTGCTATCCCAACGATAGTACGCAAGGACATCAACGCACCCATATTTATGTTGAACTCAGAGACCGAGGCTCTTGCCTATGCTGAAGCGGGTAATAGGCAAGACCCTAGTAGCACCTTCCGTGAATGGGAAATCACTGGTGGCTCACATGCGAACCTTGGCGCTGAGATTTTCCTAGAAGGGCAGCGAAAACTTGATTGATTTCCAGTTGCTCTCCCTAACAACACAAATATAAGTGCTGTAAACTGGCAGCCTAGCCTGGATGCAATTTATCGCCAAGTTACACTGTGGGTGCGAGATAAGCATTACTCACCTCCTGTCTTCCCCCATATGGAGGTCAAGTTAAATGGCACTGCAAGTGATTATGTTCGCGATGCCAACGGCAACGTTAAGGGCGACATCCGTTTGCCTGAGATTACTGTTCCTATTGCCGCCTATAGTGGAAACAATAACGGTCTCAGTGGGAACACTTACCCTTTCTCTTCTGCTAAGCTCTATGCTCTTTACCCTACTCATAAGGATTACGTTAGTAAGGTTACAGCTGCGGCTAAGCTCGCTTTTGACCGGAAGGTTATCTTAGACTACCAGGTTACTAACTATATTAATGCCGCTAAGAATGCTAACATCCCTCCTATGGCAGCATTTCTGTGACGTAGGTAGGTAGGTAGCTGGGTACTTATATTAATGTAGTATAGTGGTATGGCTGTCAATCTCATTGAGGGCAAAACTACGCTTTAAGCTTGCAATATATGTAAATAGATAACTATATAGAGGTTTACCGCTGTAATTGGCTCCCTTAATTCTTAATTGCTTCGTCCGTCAGCGTTTCCACAGCGTTAAATAAATTCCTTTAAGTTAACCTCGGATTCCAGTTAAAATTCTCTCCTTAAACCGTCTTAGTGTGCTAGCTTTATGCAACGGCAGAGGGCGTTGGGAAAACCTACTCATGCATCCTGAAGGAATCAAAGACCTCTTAAGCAAGGCTTACCTTCGATAGGGAAAAACCTTTACAACTGGTGCCGTTTTTCTTAGTGAAGTTTGTCAACAAGCTTCCAAGTGCTTTTACTATAATAGATATACCGAAACCAATGTAGTGTAATCGTAAAAACTCGGTAATGTTTTCAAGAATGTGTAAAAGTATGTAGATATTCAACGTAGAGTATTAAATAAAAGAAATACCCGAATACCAAGCGCACCAAAGATCAAAGGTCAATATCCTCAACCTTGCGCAAGGGATTAGCAACAATTGCACTGATCGCCTTTCCAAACACACGAGCCATCTCGCGCTTCTCCTCGGGACTGAGGAAAGTTGGCAGGAAAGTCAACTTCACCACAGTCCCAGCAAATCCATCACTTACGCGCACGGTAACGTCATACTGAAGCATCATTATTAGTCGTATGTACTTGAGCAGTCAAATTGGGTGTCATACCTCGTTTGGACCAAAGGCATCGAGATGATGCACTGACAGACCGTTCTGATCTTCTACGCTCCATGATCTCTGAAAGCTGATGATACTGTTAAAAAGCGCCTTCTTTTTTAGACCCAGCATATGGTGAATCTCCCTCAGAGGAACATGTTGGTGAGGCAGGCTGTCAAGGTAATCTTGTTGAGCGGCCTTCAAGACCTCAAGCACCGCTGTTGAGTTTTCAAAAGAAACCAGACATGGCGCCATACCAACAAGAGGGCCAAAGATCTAGTCGACACGAGGGATAGGAACGTCTCTTCCAGAATTAACATTGCCAAAGCAGGGCGATATACTGCCAGTATACAGCCTCAGAACCATGGCCCACGCAACCTGGATCAATGTTGCGGTTGTAATCTCCGAGGTGCTACAAAATTCTTTTATTAGATCATTCGATTCAATGGGAACCGGAATATTTTCAAAAACAGTTGAGTCTCGGCCACCTTCTGAAGCTGGTAAGATACAGGGTGTAGCATTTTGGAGATGTTTAGACCAGAAGTCAGCAGCCGCATCTTTGGGTTGCGATCCCAGATACTCAGCAAAGTCTCTATAAGATCCCGTAGGGCTCTGAGAGACATTGTAGGCTTCCTGAAGATTTTTCCAGAGATTTTGCAGCGAGAAACCATCTATGATAGCGTGGCTAATGTGCAGCTCTATATGGGCTGTCGTTGCATCGATCTCGTGTATGACAAGATGGTGTTGCAATTCTTCGTGCCCGTAAGTCTCACTTGTCTCATGCTGAAGTGTCCACTGGGAATTTGGATCTTGTCTCGGTATGCGATAGATGGAAGGCACTGGATCCTTGAGAACAACGTGAAGTGTGTGTCTCGGTTTGCCAGTTTTGTTGATCAGAAGAGATCGCAATAGTGCATGTTTACGGACCACTTCTTTCCATGCCATCTCAAGTTTGGAAATGTCTAGCGTTCCTGATCCGGACCCTATTTTCACTTCGACGGTAAACTTAGCCTTGTAGTCTCGTGGATATCGGGCGCTGGCAGCTAACACACCCTGCTGAAGGGGGAACAAGGAAAGATATCCTCAACATCGCCGTGTTTGATACCAAGTCGGTTCAGATGATACTGGGAGAATTCTTGAATCTCGTCGTATGTCTGGAACGCGAGTGGGAAATCTGAAAGGGTCCAGTGAGGGATGCTCGTAGGCAGCTCACTCGACATATTTGTCAGCGTGCCCTGTAAATTGTCGACCCAGTTACAAATTTCGCCTTGACGGCTCATGTATTTATTGTAAGCAACCGATACAATGAGGGCGCACTTCTCTACCCGTACCCCAATATCGAACAAGGCAAATCTTTGAACCTCCAGACGGGTAAGAGGATCACAACCATGGGGCAATTCAAGCCTTTCAAAGAATGCGTCGTCATGCTCGGGTTGCTGATAGATTCCAGCGTAGTTGAATAAAATCTCCACTGGAAACCGCTTGGCAAGCTCCTTGGCTCCAGAAGCGTCTTTGCAGAGAGATGTGAAATTTGTCCATCCGTTCTGTGGTTGGTTGCGCATCAGATCTTTTGTTAATCGTATTACATCTTCCAGGCTGGAATTTACGTCGCAAGCCACCTGCACTGGAGACATGGTTGTAAACCAGCCAACACTGTCAGAAACATCCATGGAATTGTCCCATGGCTCACGACCATGGCTCTCATTTATGACTGTGGGACTTTGACAAACTGGAAATCTTGACCTGAACGAGTGAATGATCGCCGCTATCATGAGCTCTACTGGTCGTGTTCCGAATGCATCATTACAGTGTCCCAAAATGGATGAGGTTTCCTGGATACTGAGTGCAAAAGTCCTGGTGAGAATACTATCAGACTTATTTAAAAGAGACTCTACTCCCCAGTATTCGAGATGGTCTGCTTTTGGTTTGCCTGGACTGATTGGTTGCGTTTCCAAGCAGACCGCAGCATACTGTTCTTGCAGTGATGCCCATGTCTGAAAATTCAGCGACGCAGAGGCTACATTGTCCTTGGAGGTCAAAATAGACTCCAGATCGCGCAACAGCACTCTCCAAGACACCAAGTCAATCACAAGATGATGGATCGAGAGAAACAAAGCCTGATCATCACCCTCGTCGATAATACAAACTCCAACCAACGGCCCTTTCATAATGTCAAGGCGGTCGCGACATTGTGCGATAGCATCAGCGATATTGTCATGGTTTGCTTCTTTGGTGCATATGTAAATTGACCTAGAGATATCTTGGCTAATTTTCTGTTGCCATGTTCCCTCATTGTCTTGAAAGAACCGCGCGCGCAGTATGCTATGTCGCTCAACCAAAACTTCAATTGCTGCCTCAATAACAACTGGAGACCTTTTTGTCTTCAAACGAAGGAAGAAGTTTTGATCATGAGGCAGGTTCGGAGACGGTTGGAGATGCATATAGAGGTTCTGCATGGGACTTAACGGGAAAGTCTTGTCTACATCATTAAATGGCTGGACAGAATAGCTTGCAAGAGGACAGGCGACAGCTGAATCTGCCGCCAGCTTCGATATGGTCTTGACACGCAGGACATCTGCGCTACTGATGTTGATGAAACTAACTCGAGCTAGTGAGGAGACTCGCATCGCAGTGATAGAATCACCGCCAAGTTGTAAAAAGCTACTATCGACGCCAATATCTGATTCATCGACATTGAGAACTTGTGCCCATATACTTCGTAGCTGGACTTCTATTGGAGACGATGGCTGCTGTTTGAGTTTCGGTGAGCTTGTCCGTCGTTCTGCGAGCTGCTTTGCCAAAAGCTCCGATCCGATAATGCGGAGCTTCTTGCGATCGGTCTTTTGAGTGGCTGTCATGGGCATTTCCTCCAAATGAAAAATTGCCACTAGGATCATGTATGAGGGTAGGTGTTCTGTGAGAGCTCTCTCGACGTCGGGCTCGAGACTATGTGTTGTCTCCACCGTCGAAGGGGCGGCCTCTACATCTGTACCGGTTTTTGTAACAAAAGCGACCAGTATAGGTATTGCTGTCTCCGTTCAACACAACCTCCGCTACAACCTGGGCAGCATCAGCTACGCATTGTTTGACATGATGCTCAACTTCTCCAAGCTCGACTCGTTGGCCGCGGATTTTGACTTGGTTGTCCTTTCGGCCGATGTAGTTCAGGGTGCCATCGTCATTATAGCTGACAAGATCTCCCGTTTTGTACAAATGACCGTGCCTTCCGGCGTGTTCTGTGGTTCCCACTAGTAGCCAGGATGGGTCTTCGATGAAAACAGCCTGTGTCTTCTCCAGGTTTCCTACATACCCACGGCCAACAAGTGGTCCTTCAAGCAACAGCTCACCAACTTTGCCAATTGGAACCAAGCAATTATGATCCTCGGCATCTGCAACCCAAGTGATATGCCCCAAACCGCGGCCAATATGTGGATTTCCTTCGCCCTCGCCTACATTGCTGTTGATGGTACTGACTGGGGTACATTCTGCTGGGCCATACGCATTGACAAGCTGCACCCTGGCGTCTACCCATGGAATCACATCATCTCTACACAAGGGCTCACCAATGGACATGATTAACTTGAGGCAAGATACCTCTTTTGGGTCTAAAGTCCTCAGCACAGAGGGAGTAAGAATGACGGAATCTGCCTGCATGTCGCTGATGGACTTTGGTAATTCACTCTTCCGATCTTCGTCATTGGGGATGCAAAGGCAAGCGCCCGCAGCGAGTGTGTAGAGAATTCCAAAAATAGACATGTCGAAGCTATACGAAGCAAAGTCGAAAACCCGCCAACTTTTCTTGTAGGCAAACTGTTTCGTCTGATGATGCATGGCAGAGGCAAAATTTCTATGGCTGACTTGTGCTCCCTTGGGTACTCTAGTGCTGCTAGACGTAAATGCGACATACAAAATTGAGTCTGGTGTTGGGCTATTCAACTGTCGTTCTGCTTGATCTTCCAGGTCGGAGGCTAGACTTGCTGAGACAGGGATGACTGTGTCAGCGAGGCGTAAGCTCATGCTATGACAATCTTTAGATGAGAGTATAATACGAGCATTCACTTGCTACACGATGACCTGGAGTCGCTGCTCAGGAAGTGCGTTGTCGAGCAGCACAAATGTACCTCCTCCCTTAACCACGGCTAGGATTGATACAATAATCCATGCCGACTTCTCAAAAGAGAGCGGAACGATCTCGCCTGGTGACAAGCCCAGATCGTGCAGCCGCCATGCCAACTTAGAGGAGAGGCGATCCAGCTGCTCATATGACAATGTGGCGTCCCAAGCATGGACAGCAGGCGAAGTCGGAGCAGCGCGGATTTGATCTCCAATTAAGGTGTGAAGGCAGCAGTCCATCGCCTTCGGCAGATCATTGTTCCAATTCCATGTCCTCTCCATATTTTGAGCTGTCATGATATCAATGCTCGATATCTCCTCAGCCGGACTCGCCTTGCTTAGCTGTTGTAGAACAGGCTCAAATGATTGAACAAGGCTTTGGACCATCTGAGCTTTCAGTATCCTGGAATCGAAGCCCGCGTACACTGGACACAGTCACGCAAAGGGCTCCCGTCGTCTCAGCGAGAGGATATGGCTCATGTCGTGGTGCCATATTAGCCACTTTAGGTGCTATCAAGCACACAACATACCGGACTTTCTCAAAGGCCTCGGGGTAACGTACTGGGCATGTACCAAACCAACCAAACCGAACAAACAGACGGACAACTTACATGAAACTCGAGACGGGATGCCATATTCAGTCAACAGGCGAGGGTCGGCCTTTGGCTGCACCCCTGCTGCTGGGGGGGGGGTGAGCATATCGAGCATGGATGGATGGAGATGATGATGGAGATGGTGATGGAGATGGTGATGCAGATGAAGATGGGGGGATGGACCGTCTGGCATTGGCCTCCCTGAAACGGCAGCGTCTTTCTCTCTCGGCCAATCCATCACATGTATGAGTGCCCAGGTATCCCCAGGCTTGGTGCATGTAGGATTGCCAGGCACAAGTAGGGCCGAGCGTAGATCAGCAGTCACGTGCACCGCACACGGGCTGAGCCGTCCCCTAAGTTACCCGCCCAAGCTTGTTTATAGCGCCCAAACAAGCTTGTTTATAGCGGCAGTGGGGCGCCAAATAGCGCCACTAACCGAGCACTAAATCCACTGACTGAGCCCCATGTGAGCCCCCATGTAAGCCCCCCACTATGAGGAGGAGGAGGAGTGTGTGGATGGAAGAAATGGATGTTGGTTGCAGGTGCACGGGCGGCCATGGAAGAAATTTTGGATTGACGGAATCCATCCATGTCATGGATTGATGGATGGGCGTACAGACTGGCTCTCGACCCTGCTACAGGCCGCTGACAGCCGCTGTGGACTCCGTTGGCACTCCCTCCCTAACCGTCCACTACTGTACAGCACTGTAAACGGCAACCTACCTTATGGACTGACACCGGCCCTACGCCCAATGCCTGACGCCCACATGCACGCCGTAAAAAAATCCTTCTTCTAGGCGGAACTCGTTTACTTGGCTAGCAGGCTTCATGGCACAAACGACGAGGAAATCACCCGACGCTAACAGCAAATCCTCGCGGCCTCGTCGCTTGGGCTGTGACCCGTCCCCTTTCTGCCACAGACTGACTGTTGGATCCGCGGGCAGTGAACTCCAGCAGGCCAGTTTGGGAACATAGCCAGCTAGCCATTGAGCATGAACAAGGCTGCTTGCATGTGTCTTTCACATTTTGCTCTCCAACTTGGATTCCGCGTTCATGGTCGACACCAGACGCGATGAGTGTTTCCGCATGCGCAAATGACGACGCCTTTGGGCCGGCCGTCAAGGGCTGTAGAGGCAATTTCGATTTTACCATCGCCTTTGAGAAGAGCATCCTGTCCATCCTGCCCAATGCCTGCTTCGTGATACTTGCGGCGCTCCGCCTAGCCAGCCTGTCGCGACAACCACACACAACAGCAAACAGCCTACTCCGCAACGCCAAGGTGGTGAGTTGGAAATCAGGGCCAATTCGACTAATGGTTAATAGCAGAACATACTGACGTCTATACAGGCCCTGGCTTCTGGCTTTTTCGGCACTCAGATCGCAGTTCTAGTAGTTCTGGCCAAGCACCCCGAAACTGCTGCCCACGCCCTCTCGCTAGGGGCAGCCGTCATCACCTTGCTTGCTTCCATCCTTGCCATTGGGCTGTCCTACCTCGAACATTCTCGGTCCTTGAAGCCCTCCATCCTTTTGGAGTCATATCTCCTTTCTACACTGCTCTTTGACATTGTACAAGTCCGTACAATCTGGCTCTCGCACCAGAAAACTCTCGCCGTCGTCTTCACCGTCGCCCTCGCCATCAAAGCCATCAACTTTTGCCTAGAGGCCACCCCGAAGTCGCAATTGAAGGACAATCAGAAAAACAAACACAGTCCAGAAATCACAAGCGGGATTTTCAGCATCGGCGTCTTCTTATGGCTCAATTCACTCCTCTTCTGTGGATACCGCGGAACAATCGCTACAGACGACTTGTATCCCCTCGATGCAAGCATGAAAGCAAGGCGACTTCATAACAAGCTCACATCCACACGTCATCCAGAAGCTGCGACTGATCAACAGACCCTGGAATTGATACCTCTCAAGAACCTATGCTGGGCATTGCTTGGCCCCTTTTTGTATCCGATTCCAGCCCGTTTGCTTCTCCTCGCATTGAAGCTCTGCCAGCCATTCTTTATTGACAGCATGCTGGAGTTTTTGGGGACTCCAGAGGAATTCCGCGACAAAAACCATGGATACGGCCTCATTGCAGCTTCTATACTCATCTATGCGGGTATCGCCATCTCCTCAGGAGTGTACCAGTACTACAACCAAAGATTTGTCTACATGCTTCGTTCCACTCTCCACACGGCCATTTTCCGGAAAACTACCGAGATTAGCCTGGCGGCTGGCAAAGCAGATACAGCCATCACCCTCATGAGCACAGACCTTGACCGTGTCGTGGCTGGTTTCCGAGTCATCCATGAAATGTGGGCAATTACTTCACAGGTGGCCATTGGTTGCTTCCTTCTGCAGCGTCAAGTTGGAGTTTCATTCGTCTCTCCCATTGCCGTCATCACCGTCTGCTGTGTATTGACGACGGCACTGGGCAAGCCCATTGATAAGCGTCTGGGGGCCTGGATGGGACAGATCGAGAAGCGTGTTAGCGCAACCGCCACAACAGTTGCAAAGATGAAGTCGTACAAGATTTCAGGCCTTGCGGAGGTCATGGGCTCCATTATTCAGAACCTTCGAGAAACGGAGATCCGGATTGGTCTACGATTTCGTTGGCTCATCATCTGCACCATTGCCCTTGGCGCTGTGCCGTCAGCACTCTCGCCACTCATCACTTTTGCTGTCACTACTAGCTCCAGGTTGAATGTGTCAACTATCTTCACATCCTACTCATACATTGTTCTCATCACGCTACCATTTACAATCATTTTTAACAATTTTCCGATTGTAATTGCTGCATTTACCTGTATTGGTCGTATTCGAAGCTTTCTCGTTTCAGATCCAAGGGTTGATTTTCGTTTATGGGTATCTGAAACTGGCATACATGGGAGTGCAGACCGCTCCCTAGAAGAAAAGGAAAGCGGCCTGGCTTTCAAGATTGAAGATGGAACTTTTGGATGGGCACCCAATAAATCAGTTTTGACCAACATGAACTGCGAAATTCCGCTGAAAGCTTTGACTATTGTCATTGGTCCCATTGCTTCGGGCAAGTCGACGCTATGCAAGGTTCTGCTCGGCGAGATTCCCGTTCATTTTGGAAAGGTCTCTGTTTTTCTGCCCCGTGGTAGCAGCATCGGCTACTGCCAGCAAGAGCCTTTTCTCTACAACGATACCCTCAAAAACAACATCGTCGGTCACTCCATATTTAGCCAGAAGAAGTTTGACGAAATCATTGCGGCAACACTCCTTGACGTTGACATCCGCTCTCTCGAGCGTGGTAGCGATACCATGATGGGAAGCAGTGGCTCTACTTCGAGTGGAGGTCAGAAGCAGCGTGTGGCCATAGCTAGAGCGCTCTACTCTGACGCCAAGACCCTCATCTTAGATGATGTAATGAGCGGACTCGATGCAAGCACGGCTTCGACTCTGTTCCAGCGCGTCTTTGGACCCGATGGTTTCGTTAAAAGAAACGGCATTACTGCTGTGCTCTGCACCCACTCTGTCGGTCATCTGCCAGCGGCAGATCATGTTATTGTCCTTGGAACCGATGGCACCAAGGCTGAACAAGGTCGTTTCGAGCAGCTGGTTGAAACCAACGAGTACGTTCAAAAGCTTGACATCAAAGCAATAGTCACTGAGGTCCAGGAATCGTCGGCTTCGGGGAAAAGCGCCTCAGAACTAAGCATTCCAGAGCCAAAGCTGCGGGAAGATTCCGTCGCCGAGTCACCAAGCTCAGAAAAAGGATCACCAGACACCTCAACTCGCGGATCAGGCGACTGGGCTGTGTACAAACACTGGTTCAAAAGTGTGCGTCCGTTTTCAACCGTCTCTTTGGCTATCTGGGCCGTTATCCATGGATTTAGTTCCAATTTTGGTGTCATCTGGTTGAATTACTGGTCTCAAGATTCTTTTGGTCGTGATCGAGGTTTCTATATTGGAATCTATGCATTGCTCCAGTCCATGTTTCTTGTCTCGTGGATTCTCAGTGCCATTGAGATCTTCATCTCCATGACTACCTGGGCTGGAGCCGCATTGCACAAGGGAGCCTTGGATACTGTTGTTACCGCTCCTTTGAGGTACCTCACAACTACGGATGTTGGTGTCATTACCAATCATTTCTCCCAAGATCTCACTTTGATCGATGGTGAGCTGCTATTTGCTTTCTTCTCTGTCGCCCTCACCTTGACAGAGAGTTTTGGGATGATGATTGTCATTGCAACAGCCGCCCCATATCTCGCCATTGGATTTCCCTTTTTGTTTGCGGCACTATACATCGTACAACGTTTCTACCTCAAGACATCGAGGCAAATGCGACTTCTCGATCTAGAAGCTAAAAGTCCTCTGTAGTAAGTGTGAAATCGGCACCTGTGGTTTCTTTGTCAGTAATTTCGACGACTAACTATCTGTAGCACTCATTTCCTCGATACCACAAAGGGAATTGCCACTGTCCGTGCCTTTGGGTGGACAACATATGACATTGACCACAACGACAATCTACTGGACAGTGCTCAACGACCCGCTTACTTGCTAGCCATGATTCAGCAATGGCTTCGTGTGGTCATGCAACTTGTTGTGGCTGGGTTGGCACTTCTGCTCGTCTCATTGGCGACACAGCTTGGCTCCAATGTGGGCTTGGCGGGAACGAGCCTGGTTAGTCTGCTATCATTTGGCTCTTCACTTTCCGAGCTTGTGCAAAACTACACAGACCTGGAAACCTGTATCGGGGCAGTGAGCCGTTTGAAGACGTTCTCGGCCTCGGTGACCCCTGAAGACAGGGCAACCGATGACCTCGAGCCACCTGAATCCTGGCCAACTAGTGGAGCCGTTGAGTTGACGCACGTATCTGCTTCGTATTCTTCAGACGACGCGATGGATCTCGCTTCGTCTGAGTCATCTCAGCGCACTGTGGACTTGGTCCTGCACGACTTGAGCCTGAGCATTCCGCCAAGACAAAAGATTGCCGTATGTGGCCGTACAGGAAGTGGTAAATCCACTCTAATGCTTCTGCTCCTCCGTCTCATCGACCCACTGAACAATACGTCGGAGACAATAATGATCGACCAAGTGCCGCTCTGCCAAGTCAAACGCGGTACTCTTCGACAGAGAGTCATAGCTTTATCCCAGGAAGCCATTTTCTTACCTGATGGAAACACAATCAAGCTGAACATTGACCCGCGCTCTGAAGCCAGCGAGGCCGCATGCTTGTCTGTCCTTGAGGTGGTTGGTCTTGCCAAGTTTGTCAGCGACCGAGGAGGGCTGGAGGCTTGCATGAAGGCTGACGACCTTAGCATGGGTGAGAGGCAATTGTTTTGTCTTGGGCGCGCAGTGTTACGGAAAAGGATCAAAGATGAAAAGTCTGGGCAAGAAAAGGCTGGGGGCGTGCTGCTGTTGGATGAGGTCAGCAGTAGCGTCGATCACGCCACAGACCGGCGCCTGCAAGAGATTGTCAAGGCCGAGTTTGAAAACTACACGGTCATTGCGGTGTCACATCGCCTGCAAACAGTTGTGGACTACTCTGATCGTGTCATTGTCCTTGACGCGGGTAGGCTGGTTGAGTCAGGCATTCCGCAGGGGTTGATTGCGACTCCAGGATCGTATTTCGGAGAATTATGGAAGGACGACGGCGTCAAAGCATCCGGAGACAACACTGAGACGAACTCGATCACAGAAATGGTGGAATAATGGGGAAACTCCACACAATAATTAGCTAGCTTAGGTTTCACAATAACCGCGGCTGTTGGAAGCTCGGAGGCGTAGGTCACATGGCCAGGCTGATTTTATTGTCACCACCTGTTCAATTAATAGAATATAGTCATAACACTAGAATAAACAGCCCTTGTCATTCTCAATTTGACGTTTCTCTGGGCAGTTTTCTGCTTATACCAAGGCTCCCACCGTGAAAATAGCCATCCATGGCTCAATCTACTAAGTGCAATCCGCCTGATGTCTACAGCCCTACGACAGCGCCGGCGCTCTCTCGTATCGGCCGGGTGTCGATCATTGCTTCTTAGCGTGTCGAGAACATCTGATACTACTTCCGCCCTAAAATATCGATCCCCATGCTAACCTGCCTAGCCCATGCGGGGTGGCTCCCGATCCCTGCTAGTGTGAAGAATGGCTACGCGAGCTTAATTCAAAGTCCGTGTCATCCAAGCAAAGCCGTTTTCGTGGTGCTCCCTCATCCAATGCCTCCGTTGGAGGCCAAAAAGAGTAAGCTGACGCTTGCCAGGCGATGTATCCTACATCATTCGGATCAATTACAATTTGATATTTCACAAATTTTTAGACGCAATCAAAGGCTCACTAACACGAGTGAGGTTAATTACACGGGCAAACTGTAATATATGCGTAATGCTCAATCGGGAAAAAAAGCGTAAGCATAATACAAAAAGTTCTTTATGTAAGAAGTTATTAATGAGATAACTACTACTGCGTCGAAGGAGCGTCTTTATGTAAAAATAGGCCGACTTTGAGGCAAAGTATTATGATTTCGGGCCAACAAGCTCCTCTAGCGGCTATCCGTGGTATACCACCGGGATAAAGCAGAGAGGGCTCTGAATCGAATCTAAGGCAAACAACCTGAACAACCTTAGAAGACACTACAACAGAGATTTATTGAAGGCAGGAAGTGCCTTCGTGCTCCTTGATCCATCCCTCCCAGCTCAACGTATAGCCACAATGATTGAGAAAACCAAAAGCGATATTGCTCTGTCCTCAAGAGCCTGTTTTGAGATTGTCTTACCCTATGTTCAAAAGACAGTCATTATCGAAGAAGCCTTTTTCAAAGATCTCAGCTACGACACCCATGAGACACTCGACAGAAGCAGTCCTGAATCACTCATGTATGTCGTCTTTACATCAGGAAGCACAGGAACTCCAAAAGGTGCCATGATCACCCACCAGAACCTTGCGTCGGCGATGCATTATGAAAAAGATCACTACCGACTTGACGAAACCTCACGCATTTACAACTTTTCTTCCTACGGATTTATTGTTTCTGTTGTGAACATGTTCAATGCCATTTGTTCAGGGGCTTGTATATGTATTCCTCGGGAGGAGGACAGACGGAATAAGCTAGCCGATAGCATCAATTCCCTACGCGCCAACATTATACACCTTACGCCTTCTGCAGCGAATGTGCTTGACCCTAATGAGGTGCCTGGTATTAACACTGTTGTCTTTTCTGGTGAAGGGCTTCACGCCGATGCCATTAAAAAGTGGTGGGGGAAGGTTCGTGTTCTGAATGTCTCGGCCAGGCAGAGTGTGCTCCAAGAGCAATAATCAACGATAGCGCAACCACGCCAGCAGAGGTAACGCGCATCGGAAGAGGCCATGGACAAAAGACTTGGATTGTAGATCCTAGGGATCATAACAAGCTCGTGCCTTTTGGCTGTGTTGGAGAGCTGCTTCTTGAAGGCCCTCAGGTGGGACGGGGATATCTAGGTGATCCAGAGAGAACCGCCGTCTCTTTCATTCACGATCCGGTATGGCTGATCAAAGGTCCTCCTGGTGGTGTTGGGAGATCTGGGCGCCTTTACAAGACAGGAGATTTGGTCCAAGCTGATCAAAATGGCATGCTCACTCTGATTGGGCGTAAAGATGCCCAAGTCAAAATCAGAGGACAGCGAGTCGAGCTCGGTGAAGTCGAGCACCACATATTGGAATCCATCGACGAAGCCGTGCAGGTTGTGGCCGAAGTTATTGTGCCCAGCGGCGATGGTGCCAGCCCAATGCTAGCTGCGTTTCTGGTCCTGGACAATGCCGCCGTTCACAACACTGTGCGTGCCGCCAAGATACATCACATCACTGCTGATTCTCAGAAAAGACTCAGAGATAGCCTCCCAGTATACATGATCCCAACAGTATTATTCTCCGTTGCTGTGATGTCTAAGACAGTAACGAATAAGATCAACCGGCGACGACTTCGCGAGATGGGCAGTGTCTACTCAGTACAAGAGCTAGCCGAGATGCGAACCCAAGCTGGAGGGCCAAAGCGGGAGCCAAAGAAGCCCATAGAGAAACACCTTCATGTTTTGTGGAGCCGCATTCTCAACCTCAAACCATCAAGCATTGGCCTTGGTGATAGCTTCATACAGCTCGGCGGTGATTCTATCTCGGCGATGAAAGTTGCCAGCGAGAGACGTAAGATAGGAATTGACCTGTCTGTTGCCATAATCCTAAGCTACTCTACGCTGGAGGAGGTGGCGGCTCAAAGTCTTTACATTGAGCAGGACATGCTGGAGCCCGTCGAGCCATTCAGCTTATTGCCAAACGGTGAAAGTGTATCTGGCCTTGTCAAACAAACGGCCAAGTTATGTGATACAGAAGAGTCCGCGATACTAGACATCTACCCTTGCACACCACTTCAAGAAGGACTATTTTCCTTGGCGCTAGCCTCGAGCTTGGGAGATTACGTTGCGCAGTACACTCTAGAAATCTCAAATGAAGTTGAGGTAGAGCGTCTCTGCGATGCATGGGCCACAGTTGTCGACTAGATGGCACTTTTGAGAACAAGAATCATTACATCCAAGAATGAAAACCTTCTGCAGGTCGTTGTCAATGAGAAGATTCACTGGATCACAGCGATAGACGGCGTCGACTCGTATTGGCAAGACACTCTTGGAGATTTTGACAACGCTCCGTTTCCCACATTGCCTGCCTCAGTGCCACAGCCTATTACGGATACAATCATCGAGCACCAGGTGAGTTTGACTGGACAGCAAAGTCGACCATTATTACACTATCAACCCTGATCCGGGCTTCTTGGGGACTTGTCATGGGTGCTGGCACAAACACCACTGATGTTGTCTTTGGTATGCCTGTGTCTGGCGGAACTGCACCAGTTATGGGAATTGACTCGATGGCTGGCCCAACTCTGGCAACAGTCCCAGTTCGTCTTAAGTGGAGTAATGACTTGAAGTTAGTCGACTACCTTGAATCAGCGCATCGTTAGACGATTGAGATGATGCCATTTGAGCAGACTGGTTTGCGACGCATTGCCAAAATTGGACCAGGTAGTGAACAAGCGTGCGCATTCCAGACATTGGTGTTGATTCAAACCGATCTGAAGGATCTGGAAGACGATTTTTTGGGCAAGTGGACTGGAATTCGAGATCGGGAAAGCACCTATGCTCTAATGCTCGAGATCGAAATGGGCACCAATGGATTCACAACAACGGCAAGCTTTGACTCAAGAGCGATCAAGCCTTGGATTGTATGCCTGCTATTGGAAAGATTGGAGCATGTATCTCAGCAGATTTGGCGTGCTGATTCCGAAGTTTTGCTGAGAGCTATTGAGGCAATGATCAAGCATGACTAAGATATCATATGGGGCTGGAACCATAATCTTCCAGAGCGAGTCAATAAACTCCTACACAATATGATCCATGAGCAAGCTCTCCTGAATCCTGATAACTTGGCACTATGCGCTTGGGATGGCGACGTAACCTATAAAGAGCTTGATGAATTGTCTACCAGGCTTGCGTTTCGCCTGGTTGATGAAGGCGTTGTGGCGAACCAAATCGTCCCTGTATGCTTTGAGAAGTCGATGTGGGCTATAGTCTCCATGCTTGGTGTACTATGAGCAGGTGGAGGATTTGTTTTGCTTGATGCTATCACATGCCATCAGAAATCCAAGACCAGCTCCACAAGGTCTTACCAGTCTACATGGTACCCTCGGTGTATTTCAAAGTGGCAGAGTTATCAATGACACCATCAGGAAAGATCAACAGAAAGGGTCTCCGCGAGATTGGCGCTTCGTTCACAGTTCAAGAGCTAGCCAAGATCAGGACTGCTGAGAAGGCTCAAAAACGCAAACCTGCTACCAGGGATGAGATTGCTATGCAAGAGATTTGGAGTGATCTTCTAGAAATTGATCTCGAAACAATCGGACTCGGCGATGATTTCTTTCAGCTTGGCGGTGACTCGATTGCGGCGATGAAATTGATAGCCATGGCCAGACAGGAAGATATTGAGATCACCGTGGCGGATGTCTTCCGCCGTCCTACGCTTGGAGAACTAGTTGGCGGCTTGGAGGGCAAGTCTACCGCCATTGAAGATGAAATACTGCCGTTTGATCTCCTCAACGTGGACACCAACAAAGAAGACGTTGTTAAAGAGATTGCAAGCATGTACGGCTTGGAGGCGAGTAATATTTTAGATGTGTACCCATCCACTCCCCTCCAAGAAGGTCTTTTGTCACTCTCTTCAAAGCAGCCGGGAGACTACATTTGGCAGATGACATTGGCGCTGTCGCAGAACATCTCCGTCAAGACCTTCCGTAGCGCTTGGGAAAAGGTCTTCAATGAATCGGAGATGCTTCGTACCCGAATTGTGCAATACGGCACCTTAGGTTCATTGCAGGTTGTCCTGGATGAAAACATCAAATGGATCGAGGCGTCTGGACTTGAAGAATATCGAAAGCTTGATAGGAGCCAGGTCATGGAACCGGGCCAGCGATTAATACGTTTTGCTCTGATCAAAAACGGCAGCGGCGCCATCAAATGGTTCACCTGGACGATTCATCACGTTTTGTACGATGGATGGTCAATGGATCTGATTCTGAAGGCTGTTGCTCGAGCTTGTCAAGGAACCCCTTTTGATACTTTGGTCAAATTCAATGGTTTCATCAAATACATTGGTGATATTGATGCTGATGATGCAAGACAGTATTGGGAGGATGCGTTAGAGGACTACGATGAAACTCCTTTTCCTTTACTTACTCCGGGGGTTCTACAGCCATTTGCAGATATGTCTGAAGAGATCTCAATTGACTTGTCACATGGCCATGGATCGGGAGCTACAATTGCTACACTCGTTCGCACTGCCTGGGCGTTAACTGCTGGCAAATGGGCTCAGACGGAGGATGTCGTTTTTGGTGCAGCGGTGTCTGGAAGGAATGCGCCGGTCACTGGTATCGAGAAGATGATGGCACCGACTATCGCCACTGTTCCAGTCCGCATCAAGTACTCCAATGACTGGAAGGTGTCTGAGTTGATTGACATGGTCCATCAGCAGATCACTGACATGATTCCGTTTGAGCAGACTGGACTTCGTCGCATCGGCAAGTATTGTGCTGGAAGTCAACAAGCATGCACATTCTAGACTCTCCTCGCAGTCCAACACAAGGAGCAGTCCACTGAGTCGGATTATTTTGGAAAGTGGCAGGAAAATGCTTACAGCTGGAGTGGTACATATGGCTTGGAAATTCTTGCCAATCTCGACACGGATTCTACCAAGGTGGAAGCCAGCTTTGATTCCAACCTCATTCAGCCACAGGTTGTAAAAGAACTGCTGAGCCACTTTAGCGCTATCCTGCAACAGCTTGCACTGGAGATCAATCACAAACAATTTCAGAGATTAATGGACTTGCGGAACGTGACGTTGAATCAGCTACCAAAGCTATGCAACGACCCACCGAGTCACCTACAGTCAAGACTCCAGCAGCCACCACAGTCTCCTCGGTAGGCAATGGCGTGAACCAGCTCGCTTGGGTTGTTGATCCGATAAATTACAACAGACTCCTGGCGCCCGGCTCCGTTGGGGAGTTTTTACTAGATGGATCATCACTTAATACTCTCAATAGAACCGGTAGGTCATATACAACGGGAGGGCGTGGAAATCTTTACAGCACTGGCTATCTGGTTCGCCATAACGAAGACGGTAGCATGCTGTTCCTTGCGCAAAAGCCTGTACAAGCTGCACCAGTCGCTCAAGTTGCTCAAGTTGCCCAATCTGCAGCTGCCCAAGTTTCACAGACTTCTACAGCGGCTCGTGTTCCGCGAGTGGCAAGTCTTAAGATACACGTACAGCCAATAGATCTTTCTGAGGTCGAGCATCACGTTCAGCAATCTGTTTCAGGAGCCAAGCAGGTCGTGGCCGAGGTATTGGCCCCCGTAGACAAGGGTTCGAGGACTGCACTGGCAGTGTTCATTCTTTTAGACACTCCTGCTATCCAAAAAACTAGCGGCACAGTCGAGAAACCTGTTGCAGTTGTCACAGCCATTGGTAGTGACGACGAAGACAGGTTGATTAAGGCTCTCCCACGACATATGATACCTACCATCTTCTTTTCTGTAGAGGAACTTCCCTTAACACCTTCCGGAAAAATTGATCACAAGCGCCTTTGAGTTATTGGCGAGTCTTTCTCTGCCAAAGAGCTTACCCAAAGACAAAAGGACACTGAAAATACGAAGAAGCAGCCTGTCACTGAAATGGAGAATCAAATCAGGCGCTATTGGGCTCAGGTACTCAACGTCGACTCGGACACTATCGGACCTAATGAAAATTTCTTTCATCTCGGTGGGGATTCTATTGAGGCAATGACTATGGTAGGCATTGCTAGAAAAGATGGTATCCAGTTAAGTGTGGCCGAGCTATTCCGCCATCCTAAGCTCAAGGACGTTGCCAGCAGGGCAACCTACATCAAATCGGACAACACTGAAAATGTTCAGCCATTCAGTCTTCTAGGCAACGGCGTCAGCAAGGAATCTGTGGTTGCTACATTCGCGAATTCATGTGGTGTCGATGAGGTTTTGATCCAAGATGCGTTCCCATGTACACCACTTCAAGCAGGACTAATGTCATTGTCTTCTAAGAGCGGAGACTACATTACTCAATGGGTACTTGAAATTTCCGAGGATGTAGATTTGTCTCGCTTCCGCAAGTGCTGGGAGGAGGTGGTGAAAAGAGTTGCTATTCTCCGTACGAGAATAATCGCAGATGACAACGAGAACCTTGTGCAGGTGGTCATCAAGGAAGAGCTAAAGTGGGAAACAACAGCGGCTATCGCATTGACTGATTACGTGGAGCTTGATCGCAAGCAGCCAATGATCATGGGCAATCCTCTTACAAGATTTGCCATTGTTGCCAACAAGTGGTTTGTATGGACAATTCATCACGCGCTCTACGATAGCTGGTCAATGCCACGAATGATGGACCTAGCCAACAGGATCTACACTGGTCGCAAACTGGAGCCTTATTTATCTTTCAGCAAATTTATACAATACGTTTCTTCTCAAGACACAAAATTGGAAACGGATTACTGGACAGAATCGCTAAACAATTGTGATCACGTTGCGTTCCCAAGCCTGCCCGCATCTATATGAGAGCCAGCGCCTGACCAGGTAGCCAGTGAGTATATCTTGTTGGAGAAGAGCATTCCCTCAGATATCACCACCTCTACACTTGCACACGCTGCATGGGCAATAGTTGTTGGCCGCATTACCGACGGAGAAGAAGTAGTCTTTGGCAGTACTGTATCCGGTCGAGGTGCCGCCATCGCAGGTATCGAAGAAATTGTCGGACCTACTATTGCCACTGTGCCGATGCGTATCAAGTGGTCAAAAGAGCCTACTATTACAAGTTTCCTCGAGAACGTGCAAAATCAGCGCACAGAGATGATTGCTTTGAGCAAACGGGTCTTCAACAAATCGCCAAGATAAGCCCAGACTGTGCCAAAGCCTGTAACTTCCAGACGTTGCTCATCATCCAGCCTCAGGACGGCGAGGAGGAGCAAGAGAGCCCTTTCGGAAAATGGCAGAATGACGAAGGCAAAAACAGCAACACCTACCCTCTCACTCTGTTCATCACTTTGGGCTCGTCGGAAATTTTTGTCAAGGCTAGCTTCGACTCCAGAGTTATTGAGCCTTTAGCGATGCAGAGACTGCTTGAGCAATTCAAAGATACTGTGCTTAATCTACATGCGAATAGTGCAAACTCAAGCAAGACACTTTGGGGACTTCCAATACTTCCCTCGAGCGATTTGCAGACACTCTGGACATGGAACAGTGCGGTACCTGATTATATCGACAAATTGTTACATTCGATGCTCGAGGACCAAGCCGAACTGAGACCTACTGCGCCAGCCATACATGCCTGGGATGGCGACCTTACATACAGCGAGCTTGATATGTTTTCTACGAGCCTTGCTTCGTACCTTGTAGAGCTTGGCTTGAAATCTGGTGTGGTTGTTCCACTATGCTTCGAAAAGTCCAAGTGGACGATTGTATCGCTGTTTGCCGTACTCAAAGCGGGAGGGGCTTTCGTTTTACTGGATGCATCACTGCCAGAGCAGAGGCTACAATCTATAGTTAACCAACTGGACAGTGGGATTTTGCTCTCATCTGGGGAGGCTTCTCAGCGTTTCGGTACATTTTCGTCAGAGAAAACAGTTGTAGTCGACGAAACATTGCTCGAAAAGATTTCCAATAGCTCACAGGCGTATGAAGGGGTGGCCGTAAGCTCGAAGTCGCTTGCGTACGTGGTTTTCACGTCTGGCAGTACGGGAGCTCCAAAGGGTGTTCAAGTCAGCCATAGGAACCTCGCCACAGCTATCAATCACCGGCGAAGCCATTTTAGCTACTCAGACAAGTCCAGATTCCTCGACTTTGCTTCTTACAGTTTCGACATGTCTCTCTTTACCATCTTTCACAATTTTTCTGCTGGTGCCTGTCTTTGCATCCCAAGAGACGAAGACAAAAAAAACAATCTTGCAAAGACGATCGCAGAACTAAATGCCGATACACTTGTTCTGACGCCGTCTGTGTCACGATCTCTTAAGCCTGCTGATGTGCCAGGGGTAAAATCCATACTGTGGTGCAGCGAAGCCCTCCACAGCAAAGACGCAGAGCCTTGGTTCGGAAAAATCCACGCGATTAACACATATGGACCTTTTGAGTGTACGCCGGTTACTACGATCAATTATGGGGCCAAGAGTGTTGAAGAGATGGGATACATTGGAAGAGGAGTTGGAGTAGCTACGTGGGTGGTTGACCCGGAGAACTACAACCAGCTGATCCCAATTGGACATGTTGGAGAGCTGCTACTTGAAGGACCATTGGTCGGCCTTGGCTACCTCAATGCCCCAGAAAAGACTGCGGAAGCTTTTGTTGAGAACCCTGAATGGCTAGTCAAGGGCTTTGGGAAGAAGCCCGGACACCAAGGGCGTCTCTACCGGACGGGTGATCTGGTCCGGTACAATAATGAACACAATCTCGTGTTTGTCGGCAGAAAGAACACCAAGGTTAAGATGCGTGGTCAATGGGTTGAGCTGGGTGACGTTGCCTATCAAGTTGGTCAGCATATTCCGAATGTAAATCAGGTCGTCGCTGAAGTTATTGCACCTGGGGGGGATGAAACGCGGCCTTTACTTGCTGCTTTCCTGCAAATCGAATCCAAAACACCAATTGCAGAATCTTTGCTGGAATTCTATCAAGTGGATTTTCAGCTGGAAGCTTCTTTGACCGAATCCTTGCCAAAGCAGATGATTCCTGATGTATATTTTTCTGTCGCCCAGATTCCCATGACTGCTACTGGCAAGACCAATCGCGGACGCCTGCGTGAACTTGGCGCAACTCTTACAATTCAGCAACTCGCTGCGCTGCGTACTGCCAAGCAAAGACCAAAACGCCAGCCCCAGACAGCCGCAGAGAAGCAGATGCAGGCGATTTGGAGCCGCATTATTCAAGTTGAACCAGATGCAATAGGACTCGACGACAACTTTTTCCAACTGGGAGGAGACTCTATCTCAGCAATGATGCTTGTTGGAGCTGTGCGAAAGCATGGCCTGAGTCTCCACATTGCAAGCATTTTCCGCAAACCGAAACTCGAAGAGCTTGCTCGCCTGGCAAGCCCCGACACTAACAATATCGATGCTACTACAGGCTCACAAGATCAGCTGTTGGAGGAAGCTCAAAAATCCGCACTTTTGGCAGATCTCGACTCCAAGGGTGACAAGTATGAATTACGCTCTGCTGATGTTGCCGAAGTCTTGCCACTGACCGACTTTCAATTTAACTTGGTCAACGCATCTATGAGCAATGGGCCACTATTTTGCAACTACTGCTTCCTCGACTTGGAAAGTAGCCCCGATGTTGCTCATCTTGAAGAGGCGTGCGCATGGGCGCTGGAGAGACTACCTATTTTACGATCACGATTCTTGCCACTCTTGGGATCTTTCTGGCAGGTTATTCCACGCCAAGTCCAGAAACTGCCGCTCCAAATTCTCAATGTTGGCACAGAAGAGGATTTAGCTGGATTCTCTCGTGGATTCTGTTTCAGAGACCAGGAGACCCTGAAGGCTACCAATGCACCCTTTGCAGTCTTTTTGTTCCGCAGTAATGCAAAGAGTGCTCGTCTTGTGCTTCGTATCTCTCACACACAGTATGATGGTATCTCGTTGCCCCAGATTTTTAATTCTATCCTACAAGGGAGCCAGAATGCTTCTTCCCTGTCACCTTCGCTTTTTGCAGACTATCTCACAAGCTCCCATCGACATCTCACAAAATCAAGGGAGTACTGGAGAAATTTGCTCCACAACTCCTCAGTAACCATAGCCGGGAAGTATCTCCCACAATTGTCTGCGATATCACCCCGCCGTGAGGCAATCCGACTCGAAAGAGGCATTACTATTCCACGACTTCCTCTAGGTATCACCACTGCCGCTTTGCTGTCCAGTGCCTGGGCAATTCTTCTTTCCCGCTTGACTGGTAAAGACGATATTATTTACAGCCAGCTAGTAACTGGTCGAAATGCGGCCATCGAAGGTGTCGAAGACATTGTCGGTCCTTGTGTCAATATTATACCAATGAGAGCTTCTCTCGCCTCTCTTCAGACACCTTCAAATCTTCTTGAATCCATCCAAAACCAATTCATCGCCGTTGGGGAAGCAGATAGTCTCGGTCTACGGGATGTCCGTAAACACTGTACAGAGTGGCCTGCCGATTAAGTCATTGACTCAGTGGTTGTGCATCAGAACATCAATGAAACCCCTGAGTTTCAGTCGGGTCAAGCTTCAGCGCAGTTGCAGAGCTTCGATAATCCTCACCACATTCAGTCTAAGATTTGGTTGACGTCGAGACCCCGTGGAGATGTAATCAATATTGAGTTTCAGGCGAATACGCACATGATGACCGCCGAAACGGCTGAGATAATCTTGGCGAGCTATTGCGAAATAGCTACTGGACTGTTTTTGAAGTCGGATATGCCATTAAAACAATCGGCAGAGGCATACACGTTAAAGATTTAGGAATGGGTGGTGTATATGGCATCAAATTATTGCAGTAGATTTTTTTTTCCTTTCTTTTTTTGTCATATATGTTTCTCACGAGGCCTGAGTGTGCCAATTTGAGCTCGAGAACCCAATAATCTTAGCTATATACACAATATGATGAAGCTTATCAATACCTTTGTTCAACTTACACTTAGTTGTGCTTGTTCGATAGTTTCACCATTTAAATGAAGAAATAAATACCATGAACTCTTGTGCTCCAGTGTGCAACCAAACAACTTATGTTTCGCCTTGAATCAATATATTAAGAAGCGTAGGATTGTATCTGGGTGTCAGACACGTAATGACTTCCACCTTTGCACCTGTAACCGGCTCCCTCTCTAACCCAGTCAAAACCCGCCTCGCATTGACCCAACTGCTGCAAAGTGTGTTGCAATGACTTTACCTTGTCCCACTGCTCGTCATAGGTTACATGGACTGCCTTTTCCTCATCAACTGAAATACCTATGTCTGCGGCTGTATGTACAACTTGCGCATTGACAGTCACCTCTGGCTTGTCTTCTGCCATGTGGAAACTATTTGCCATAGGAGGAGGGCCCGTCTGGCGGTAGAGTTCTGCTATGCTGTTGGCATAACTCATTTGCATCGCCGTCTTCTGGTCAAACATTTTCTGGAAGTAGAGATTTGCTTGTGCGATTGAAAGGCTGGGTCCTTTGCTGGGTTGTCCTTGAGGGATCCAATTCGCTAGAACATCCATCATCATCCACTGCGACAACGATTTCACATCACTGGCGTTCCTCCAATGACTCAGATTGGAAAGTATTTCGAACTGGTTTATGAAAATCTGTTGGACAGCTTGACTGTTGGAGAAGCAATCGCTAATTCTGTTTTGGCTTAGTATTCTCCTGAGCAAGACCATGCATTCTTGAGCGGTGAGCCTTTGAAATGTTATTTCCTTGAAAAAAGAGATATCAAGCCCATGTGCTTTTGCCATGAGTGATTCAATCTCGTCAGATGGGCCAGCTAGGATAACAACAATCTTGCCACTGTGCTTCTGCAAAAGGCGTACGAACTCATTGATCGCTTCGGTGCCATATCCGCCTTGGTTAAGTTGATGGGCGTGATCGACAAATAGGACTCCCCCAAGGCCTTTCTCAAACTGTGCTCGGGTCTTAGGAGCTGTCTGGCCCACGTGCTCGCCAATGAAATCTGACGCCGAGCACTCAACAAAGGTCTTTGTGGCGACGAGCCCCAAGTCGTATAATAGTGTACTCATATATTGAGCAACTGTTGTCTTTCCAGTACCTGTAGATATTAGCAGTCAACATTAAGTTCCCTTGCCGATCAATGAAATCGAATTTCCTGGCTAATGTATTTGACGACAGCCACGTTACTTACCTGCTGGCCCCTTAAAAAGGAATGATGTAGGCACAAGTGAAGCAGCGCTAAGCTCTCTCAATTTAGTAATGTGAAGCAATCGCTGGTATTCCTCTAATTGATTGATGATGTTATTTGAAACTTGATTTTGGAGAAACATCCTGCAATTAGCCGCCGCATGTTTTGCTCGTCCGTGGTTTGGGTCAAAATCTTCTGGGCTTAGAGTCATATCATGACCATAATTAGATCCTTTTGGCGTCGACTGCCGTTGCAGATGATTCTCCATTGCTGAAGACAGTAGATTGTCAACCTCTCTTCCATTGCTAAAGCCTTGGCGCATTCGAGCTCGGTCCAAGACCTCTATCGCGACCTTCAAACCCTCGTGGGTCGCATTCAAGTTTCGGGCTACTAATTTCCTGTTTAAGATTTCCTGAAGTTGGGCTTTATTAAAATCTTCGAAACGAAAGGGTTTGTCTGCCGCAAATCTTCCCGAGAGTCCTGGGTTGGCGTTGCGAAACATCTCCTTGAGTCTATCTTCATACCCAAGGAGAATTACGCAACGATCTTCTCCAGGCACGCTTTGCACTTCAGCAACAAGTGTATCAAGCACAGAGGCTCTGTATGTATCGTTGCGTTTAGATGCTTCTCCAGGGTCTAGCATATAAGCCTCGTCAATGATAAGGACTTTGCCGACTGTTGACGCCAGGATCGATTTGGTGTTTGCTTCCGATTTCCCCACTGCCTCTCCAATAAAGTCCGCTGGATTCTTCGTAATCACTATAAAAATATGTTAGCCATGACTGATGGCCATGGAATAATAAAGCAAGGTGAAAGAGATGATATGTATACGCACCCTCGCCATTACTGAGCAAACCCAAGTCAACTAATATCTGACCGTATAACTTTGCAACGGTTGTTTTGCCTGTCCCTGGTGAGCCGACGAAGATTCTGTTCAGCGAAAAGCTCAGGGGTGCTTGTTCGGCCATTTCCCGTCGGTAGTTCATCTCAAGTGCCTCGAACATGTTGTTAATCGACTTTTTGACTTCTTCCAGCCCAGTAAGCCGTTGAAATTTGGCCCAAGCCAAGCTGGTCAATCTGACATCAGCAGGATTTGGCCCCAGTATATCTTCCTTTATAAACGTAAAAATATGATTACTGTCTTTCAAGTTCTCATAATTCGTAAGACGCTTTGCTTGACGCTCCCATATTTTGAGTTGGACGTTTTCTACAGCGCGGGCGTTGCCGAATCCCTTCTTCCCTCGGCTGCGGGCTAATCGACGAATAGCTATCCGCATGTATTTTCCATGTAATCCATCTTCAGCCTTCATCTTTCCATTGTATTTCTTTCGAATTCGGTCGGCAAGAATATGTAACAGTTCTTGGTCGTTGAAATCTTCGAAGTGGAGAGTATGGGGAATTCGACTTCGTAGTCCCGGATTGTGTCCGAAGAATGATTCCAGCTCCTCCTTATATCCGGCAAATATGACCACTAGATTGCCAATATTGTTCTCGATCTCTGTAAGGATGATGTCGAGAACTTGGCGTCCAGAATTTGGTACATGAGGGGCAGTGAGTTGGTATGCTTCATCCACAAAGAGAACGCCTCCGTCTTTCAGACACCCTGGCTCAAGAGAAGAGCTAGCTCGATCAAATGATGCTGGATCGTTGTCTTCATCGTCATCATCGTCAGGATACCTACCGCGCGACGATTGCAATTGATGAGGTCTCCCACCCAGCAAACTTTGAAGCGGATTAGAGCTAGAAGAGTTAAATAATTCTTTGACTTCTTTTGGTCCCATGCACACGAGTTGTGCTCCAGAGGTCTCTTTATATGTTCGGGATTTTACGATATGCATTGAACGTAGAAACTTCGCATATAGTCGAGCAACGGTAGTTTTCCCTTACAAAGTAGCATCAATAACTTATTCTAGTGGACTGTGGAATCAAAGGTGGAGACTTACCAGTTCCTGGATTTCCCTGAAAAACAGCATGCCACCGCTCTGTTCTGGGATTTGTGCCCTGAAGGGAGCAAATGCGAATGCAGCTCTCAATTTTGGCGAACTGTTCTTTTACTTCCTTTAGGCCTACTAACCCCTTCACCTCCGCAAGTATCTTCTCCTTGGTGCTTTCGCGCTTTCGGCGATTTGGTTGGACCATTGAATCGTCACTCTCGTTTTGCTCTTGCTGGTCATCTGAGAGTGTTGTTGTTGGAGATGTTCCCTCGGATATATTCTCTGAATCAGATGAGGCTGATGGTGGTTGGCGCGGGGGCAACATTGGAAGTACCAAGGGCCATGCTAAAGTTCTGGGACAGTGCTAAAGTTGTGCTCACAACGCACGAAAATGAATTGGCGAGTAGAGACAGGGTGCCAGATGCGCGCGGCTAACGGGCCATTGTAACTTGCATTCTGCGATGGATGATGGCAAAGAACAATTACAAAGGCTCATCATCGAATTACTTACGAGAGTCGTAGCTCTCCAGTCGAGGGGTAGCACCAGGTCAGCACATACAAATTGATGTGCAGATTCAACACGCCTTATCACAATGCTTCGATAGCCCTCAACCCCCTTGGGCAGGAATACCTAAGTCTGAAACCTGACTCGTATGGGCGAAAGTCTCGGTGACGCGAACGCAAGCTAATTGATCAAATCCTTTGTTAAATACGAGTCATCTGAGAGCAAAATGTCTGAGCTATAGACCCACGGGGCTGCGATGAACCATTCAAGCACTGCCAGCTCTACGTGTAACGATGCACTGCAAGGCTGCCTGCTCTAGCTCTTACCCTACTTGAACGCTATTGATTGCCTATCGTATGCAAATGTCAGAATCCTATGGCCACGACCCCTCACTTGGATTTCTTGCAGATAGGGAAATGCAAGATTTCTATTTGATGCTCTTATATATGACAAAGACTTAATGCTAATATTGGTGACATGAACGGCCCGGACACTCCCGACCCTTCTTTGTTAACAAAGGAGTTAATCGACCAGCACACTCTTTGTCATTATACTCAAAAGAGAGGGGGGTATGACAGCTTCGGTTGCAGCCGAATAGTAGTACCTTCAGGTTGTCTCTGCACGTCGATATGATCGGGAAATTCATTCCCTACCTACCTATATATAGATTCGAGCTGTGCATTGGCTACATGTACTTGTATCTCGATTACACCACTCGTGCTCCAAGGTGGAAGATGCTCGGCAACGAGGTACAGCATGAGCCAAATGTGGCGTATAGAGTAAAAATGGCTGCATAGGCTTCATGTTTCAAAGAAAAACATCAATCTATAGATATCTCAGCATTCATGGACATATTTCAATACGCGCTCATAAATTACATGTATATGATGGCTGGAAAAGCTTAGCGCAAACCCTTTCACTGCTCATGTACTTTTAGATGTACCGATTTAGCCTCAAAAGAAACAAATCCGCGCACGGCAAGAGCCTCACACCATGCCTATCGCAGTAATCTAAACCTAGATGTCTTTATTTAGCGGCGGTCTGATACCCTCTGCAGTTAAGTAAGGGTTTGGCCTCATATACTCGAGAGACGAACGTGATCATCAAAAGGCTTGTACAGCTCGCAGACATTTGCAGCACAGGAGATATTAGTCGTGATGCGCCTGCTGTCTTGGCTGCCATTTCATACCTTCGTCATTTTCATCAAACTTTACTAGTGGATCATTTTCTTTGATCAAAATAAAATGGTATATTCGTATATTCCTATATAGAGACATGATCAATTTGCTGGTCTAGTGTAGCGATTGGTCAGCTCGGTATGTAGCGAAGGGGGTGGCTCATACACTCGTGTTCACATCGTTGTGGGAGGCCTACTCTTTCAGTGTGTATCAATTTCCTTTTTCATCATCTGCTTTGTCCATTTAATTCTCAAATTCAGGGATATTCGCGCGCATAAGGATAATGCATTTGTCACCATTATGGCCGTCAGTGTGCTGGGTGTGTATGTACGTTGCATTTATCGAACAGTACAGCTTGCCCAAGGATTTGCAGTTAGTCCATCAACTCAAGAAGAGTATTTATTGGGCAAGATGCTGTCATGATTGCCATTGCATATGTTTGATTAGTCTTGTACAATGTCGTTTTGTTGGACGATACCGAGCTCTGATATCAAGGGGTGGAATCTGGCTGGGATATACTATCTATATTTTCGAAATCATATACTGTTTAAAAACTCCAATGTTCATCATTCAATAATAACTACTACCGTAGCTTGCCTTTAGAAATTACGCCAGTCTAATAAACCAGACCTTTCCAACACCTCTATGAGACCCTATGTAACTAGCATATCAACAACTTCATCTTGGCGATGCTCTATTGCCCAGGCCAAAATATTCTGACCACAAGTATTAAGTGCCTCAACATTCGCCCGCTTATCAAGAAGGGCCTGGATAACGTCTCGTCTCCCAATTTGTACTGCGCGCCACAGTGGCGTAAAACCATCTCCATCAACGCTCTCAATATCAGCGCCATTCTCCAGCAATCTTTTGACAGCGGCGGCATTCCCTTTGTTAATTTGCGAAAATAAGCCGTCACTGAGCAGTTTACCCACTCGTTCTGGGCTCAAATTTGAAGTGTTCCAGTTCATCGCAGAATCTCCTCGGTCTTGACCAAAATTGCCACTCCGCCGTCGCTGGTTGGCATTATTATACGGAAGCAGCTCTGAGTACACGCTATGCCTTCGAGGCACGTTCATGTTCGTTGTACGGCTGTCCGCATATGTAAATTGGTGGCCATTGGCTCTATCATCTAAATTGTTTCTTGGTGCATTCACGCGAACATTGTGCCCCAGTTCGCAGGAGTCCCCGTAGTGACCACCTCTAGCCAAGTTGTCTTGAACCTTTGGAGGTCGCGGTGGCAATTCTGGGTGATGGTCTGTTTGTAACGCTCTACAATCAATGTCGTATGCGTTGTTTCTATGGTTTGCATACTTTGTTGTCTGGTGAACGGGATATTGGTTGAAGTGCGGATCATTAGGGTAAGCTTGACTTCGGATAAATGGTGGGTTTTCAAACTCTCCATGAGAATGGTAAGAGGAAGAGGAGCCATTTCCGTACTCGCATGCTAGCCGAGATTGAGTTGGAGCATAGCTGCCGCTTCTTGAACCCATCCTGCGGAGATCTTGAGGATACCCATTGTCTATGTTAGGAGTCCGCGTTTGGCTTCGAGGTGGGTGCGCTGGAACATAACTCCCGTGTCTTGATCCAAACCCGCGATAGCCCTGCGAATAAGCGTTGTCTTCGCCAGTCGGCCAGGTGTTATTCCGCGGTGACATAGGTGGTGTTTGTGGATAATTATTCCAAACAGTATTTTGCGGCGCATTCACCCCTTCTTGCGGGATCTGTAGCTGGTTCAGGGATTTGATGAGGTTTTTCAATGCAGCGTCAACTTGGGGTTCTTGAACCATCTTCGCTAGAAATGCCGGGGCTTCTCGGACCAATAATTCCAGAGCTGCTTGCGTTGGTGTGTCCTGGTTAGGGATCACTTCACTTGGATTCGTATTGGAGAGTGTCTCTGTGGATTTTGAATTCAAGCTCGTATCTTTTGATGCAACCGCTTCAGGTATCGGAGTCTGGGGAGCTTCATCTTTCTTATTGTCTTCAATCTCACTGGGCGGCGACTTTGCAGCTGAGATATTGTTAGTCAAGGGAACAAAGGCTATTGTGATATTGACATACTTTGGACAGCGACAGTATTTCGCTTTTCGCCCCACCAGCCTTCTACATATTTCCTTGCTCCCTGAATGACATTCGGGGTGATAGAAACTAGCAGAAAAGATTAGCTCTACCCCAATTCTAACTGTTGACTCCCGGAAAGAAAAAGTAACTCACCTTGAACTCGTTGGAGCTTATCGACTTCACTGGCCGGTACTACCGACAGGAATGCCTTTGCACATGCTGCTGCGACAGTTGCGGCATAGTTTTGCCACCTTTTGTCCTTATGTGAATCTGCGTAATCGCATATTCCTCGAATGACAATGCAGGGGAAATCATTCATCAATCCTGCAGCTTCCATCTCAACACAGAAAACGTTCTTGTCAAATGTCTCATACAGTTTGTCCCGAAGAACAGCATCCTTGATCACTTGGTTTCCTGATGCGATCAGACCACAGTGGATCACCATGTCGTCTTCTCTTGCCTTTCTTTCAAGCAGCATCTTCTCATCGCATTGGCTGCAGTCTTCCCCATCCACGTGGGTATACCCGGAGTTGAACAAGACATCTTTAAGAGAATTTGACTTCAAAAAGCTTCTTGGGACACTGGCTCTCTCTCTCAGCCCATCCAAATAGCTAAGCATCTTTTCTCGTGATGTAATTTGATCAGCTTCAAACTTTCCTAAAGCTGTGAGCAAAGCTGTTGGCGGAGGAGCTAGTGATCCGATTCTTTTAAACTGTCCACCTTGCTCTGCTTTGCCCATATCCCACTGGACGACACCCGACTCCGTGCCACTTGGGCAGCTAATGACCACATCTCCGAGTCGTGTTTTCTGTGGAATACCTCCACCAATTCCAACCATTAAGCCAACTCTAATGTTTGGGAAAGTAGAAATCATTCGGGCTGCAACCGTTGCTGAGCTGTTATTGCCATACCTTCCCTTCGGAAGGCCAGCAATGACAACTTTGTGCTTGCCGACGCTTCCGAGAGTATATGCGTTCTGATCGTTGGGTGGATTGTCGAGGTCTTCATGCCTCTCATCGAGCATGAAGAATGCAGCTGATTGTTCATTTGGTAATGCACAAACCCACCCAATGGTGTAATCCTCGTAAGTATATCGTAATTGGCCCATAGTGATGGATATAATGGGGAAAAGTGTGCTCCTGTAGTTTGCTGAAACTTGAGTAGAGTCTTATTTCCCTATAAATATTACAGATGGAAAGGCTAAGCTGTACCCAATTTTATGCGTGGCATTTCCTTAAAACCCATGTTAGGCACATCTCAGACCGAAACCTAGACTATAAGAAATAAATGGGGTTGACAACGGTACCGTTGATCCCGGGAAGGTGGAAAGTTGTCACATTACCCACGAGCTACATTACAGGTCTACAGCTACTGCATAATTTCGTATGCAAACTTTATACCCAAAAAAAAATATTTTTAAATACCAATGTAGTAGTCCACCTAGCAGAGGGGCTTGAAATGAATACGTGGACGAAGAGAAAAATCTCCCGCCGGTCAGCCGCGGCTTGTCCCATGAAGATGTCAACAGCCGCCCCATATCAGGCTCAGATACGAATGACGTATTACAGCATCGTGCATGGGACTATAAATTTACATCCAATCGTTGTGAAATAAAGCGATTGAATGCATCATACCAGTGATGTGCTGGACATCCTAAAATGTCAAGCTTCCGCGTTTGTCGAATTGAGCCGCATTGATGACCGAGGACGATGCTCCAAATCTCCATAATGGGCGTACATGCATGCGGCAATCCTCCAATGACAATATTATAACGTTACATAGAATCTCTGAAAATTCATCAAATGCAGACCCTGGAACCACTTTTGCAAGGCTATTAATGACTGATGACGAAAACATGAGGGTAGACCTTGAAAATGCATCATCCAGTAAGCAAGCCGCTGGAGGCAATCCTTTTATTTGGCTACTATTTCAAATTCTATATAAAGTCTCAACTGTCATTAAATCATGTATGGTTAGATATAGGTCAATTGGAGCCCTGCAACCCCTAGGCGTAATCCTAGAATGAATGGTGCCCAACTGCACCCAATACATCATATGCCGTTCGAATAAAAAGAACGCACGTATTTAACCTTTCAAGCAGCCGAAGGCGCTAATTCCGGGTCAATCTATGTTTCTATTGAGCTGAAAGCAGTTTACGCTCATGGGCTCGTGTTTATAGTGTACAGATATCGCGCTTCCACCAGTGGCCACAACAATCAGAAGTAATTCAGTGCGATGGCATCTTTATCGTCATGGCCTTCACACAGAGTCTTACATCGGTAAATTACCTAGGAAATTGTTTTTCTAGCGCGACTTTTGCCATGGAATCTGCCTATTTGGTGGTTTTTTTTTTTTTTTTTTTTAAATATATATATATATATATATATATAACGAAAAATAAGAGCAAATGCGCGCAGCTGTTGTTGCGACGTGGTGAAGCTCTCACTTAATCCGCAAAGTCGCCTGTTGGGAACTATTACGATAAATAGCAAGGTCAATTATTTTAATGCTCACGTTGTGTCATCGACCACTTGTAATATACCAACGTTGAGATAATAGTCTACCAAGTAAGTGATACTCGATATAAAGTTAGCATCAGCAGCCGTTCATTGTTCATCTTGGGTAGTGTTTGTCAAATGACTATGAAGATTCTCTACTATCCTGGTGGAAACATCTAACAGGGCACGATTCTTATTCACCGTAATATCTGAATTGTGTTCTTGAGTGTCTTTCTACCTGGCCTTTCCGTGATCATACATTTTCCGCCGCATTTGGAACTAAAGTCTTACGCCCATCCCCTGCGCTATCCTTTTCTGAAAGCCCATACTCTGTAGAGTGGCTTTTACGAAGCTCAACATGTTTCTCAATGAAAGTAGCTAAAAAGCCCAGAACTGAAATGGCCGTCACAATCCACCAAACGACATTTAGAGCTTTCACATAAACGCCGATAACCTGGCTTCGAGTAGGTTCTGACAATTCCGCTATACCGCCCCTTTGCACGGCAGCGTATGCGTATGCACCTCCATCGACGAGCAAACTGCGAACTTCCTGGTTGCTAATGGAATCAATATGCGAATTTATTTGGCCATTGAAAGCTATTGATGCCATTGTAGCACCCCAAACAAGGCCAAATGAACGCACAAATGAATAAGTGCCTGTAGCAACGGCCACGTCTGACTCGGGAAGCGCTGCTAGTGTTGAAGGGAGTGTGGCTGTAAAGATAATTCCAGTGCCGCCTGATGCAAGCACTTGGTAGCCAACCCACGCTGCTCGACTGGAAGATTCGTCTAGTGTTGAGAACAGTCCCACACCGATGGCGCTGAGGGAAAAGCCGAGCCAATGCAGAGGTATGTAAAAACCAGTTTTGGACATGAAAGCCCCGGCCATTCCACCAAACGGCATGATAGCTAGAGCAAAAGCTAAGAAATAAACTCCCGACATTAGCGGCGTGGCTTCTTTAACTGCCTGGAAGTAGATGGGCAAGAAGTAATTAATAGCTTGAAGCACAATAGCTCCCAGAAAGATGATGATGAAACCGCCAGACGATGTCCGATGTTTGAACAGTCGAGGTGGCATGCTTGGTTCTCGGCAAATTGGCGAGGCCTGATGGACGTGAAATGTGATCCAGCCAAGGATACCAAGGATAAGAGGCACAATAATCTTCCAAGAGCTCCAGGGATAGCCATGAGTGCCGCCCATGATTAGACCAAAGAATATGCTGACCATGGATGGCACGAAGATGATATTGCCCAGGAAGTCGACCCGAGAAAGGGCATGACGCCAGGTTGGACTGCGCCTATACTTGACGTTGAGGATGAGGACAATTGCGAGTAATCCTATGGCTGCGGCTGGTAGATTAAGCCAGAATATCCATCTCCAATTCTTCAGCGCCAGAGCGCCACCGATGATAGGCCCAATAGTCGTTCCAATAGCTGCCGTTGAGAGGATGGCGCTCAGGTAGGGACCGCGGTGGCGAGGAGGAACCATGTCGCATACAATGATATCCGAAAGTACATACAATCCGCCTGATCCAAGGCCTTGTATTGTTCGCGCAGCAATGAGCATCCCAGGATTTTGCGCGCCACCAGCAAGCCCGCTACCTATGCCAAAAAGAACAATAGCGACAATCATGGGATTTCGGCGGCCGAAGATATCAGAGATTTGGCCAAAGAGAGGCTGCGGTACCGTGGAAGTGAAGAGAAACGAGTTGACGACCCAAACATATTCTTGACCACCCCCAATATCGCGCGTGATCGTTGGCAGCGAAGTGGTGACTATGGTGGCATCGATGGCAGAGATAAATGATAGTAAGCAAAGAACAAGAAAGACACACCACAATCGCCATGAGTGCTGAAATTTCTCCTGCTCCTGAAGCCCAGCATCCTCCTTGTCTTTTTCCGATGACTGCGGTTGAGCTTGTTGGGAAAGTGCATCTGCATCTGAGGAAATGGGAGTTTGTTCCGGGGCGCCCATTTTGACAGTTCGTGCAGGACACAGCCTGTGATCTGGGGCAGAATAATCTTCTTTATTCTATGCTCCAAAGATGGAGCACTGGCTACCAGTAAATGGACAGTAGCTCATCAGATGCCGACCTGTTCTACACAAGTATGTAAACAATAAATAACTATGACTTGAATACATGTATGTACTGCCCTCTGTGGCCGACCCACAGATCACTGTGCTCTTCTGACTCGCCCAGGCATGCTTGTTGGTCACAGCTTAATGCGCCTATATATATGATAGAACGAATACCGGTAATTATGCTCGGCAGTATCTCACGCAGTATATTCTGTACTCTATACATTTTCAATGCTTCCGACGAGGTACCTTGAGCACATACTCGTATGCGGGCGGGTGGTTTAACCCCCTGCATTACCAACATCAGACATTCCAACACTCTCAACCATACAGTACGTGCTAGTCCACATGGATGCCGATCTCTCATCCATGTCTCACATCACGGAGTCATTATCCATTCACACGAGGCATGTCGGAGAGATAAGTGGGCTGGTGTGTGATGGCGCCCTTTTATTCAACTGGCCTCCAAATTGCGTCCCAGTAAGTACGTCAATTGTCAGATAAACTTTTGACAGGGGTATCGGGAGCTTCCCAGACACCTGTTTGCCACTTTAGAAGCCTCGTTCCGTCAATCCAATCAACCCCCATCCCGCAATCACCATTCCCGAGACACAACGAAACACAGCCTTGCCTGGCATTCCCTCCTTCCAGCACACGTAGCCATCCACGAGACCCAGGTAGGCACCCATGACGGCCATGACGGTATCCACGGCAGCAAGCTCCTCTCGTTGGTAGAAGACGAACATTAGCATGCCGAGAGCGGTAGTGCGAGCGCTACAAAGTACCATGACGGGCTGTGCAGCAGGCGAGTCGGCAATTTTTTCTGGCAAACCAAACTCAAGCATGGCGTTTTTTGGCGACCAGAAAGGCCAGAGGCCACCAAACGTCGTGGCAGATGCAACCAACAGCGGCATTATATGCCGTAACGCAAAGTGCTCGAACATTATAGGTATGATATTGTCGATCAGAATGGATGAAGGGAATATCGTACTACCCACGAGTAGGAGGATGAAGAGCAGTGGATGAAAGAGAGAAGAGGAGGATTGTGGCTGGAGAAAAAGCATCGATAATTTAAAAGGTGACTGCAGCCTGAATGGTCTCACAAAGGGCGGGTGAAATGTACACTATACATGCAAACGGCGTTCGTGCTGTTGGCCCGTCCAGGTATGATCATCGAATCCTTTGGTCACTAGGCACATGTCTCACTCAAAGCCAACGATTTGTGTCACTTACTCCGCCTTGTGGTATGCAGCACTGGAAGAACCAGGTGATCAGTTTTTTTTTTCTTTTTTTAAACCGGTGCTTTATGAATGACATCTATAAGATTGGATACTCTATTCTAGACTATAGCAAAGCAACACTGAAAACAAGTGCAGAACCCCTCTAGCCGTCAAATCTCCTACCTACATGCATTTCTAAAAAGCAAGTTACACAACAGAACGAGGGCGGAGAACCACCTTGGTGCTTGCGTAGGGATAAATAAAGGTGCGCCATGCAAAATATCGGGCAGCCTTGGGATTTTCGAGCTGCATGTCGTATTTGGTAATAAATAATGCAAGGAGCGTTTTCATGACAGCCGTTGCATAAAATCGGCCAGGGCTAGCGCACCGTTGTTTGTCAGTGTTGGTCCTGTTGTTTCACATTGAGAGTCAAATGTTCAAATTTAACTCACCATGCCGATCGCCCTGTGCCCCAAAGCTGCCAATCGTTAATGTCTGTATATTTGGATGGCCCTTCTTGTGAAACTCCGTCGCCAGAGGTCCCAGAAAATTTCTTCTCGAGCAAATCCGGGTTAACGAAGCGAAAACCTTGAAATTTTAGCGGATCTGCATAGTAGCGAGCATCCGACATCATGCCTCGAGGAGCTGTGCAGATCCATTCGCCGGGCTCGACTCTAGAGCCGTCAGATAGCTCAAATGGCTTCAGGGCCATGCGGCGAGAGCTCACTGAAATCATTGTCACTGTCTGTTCTACTTCTTCGGCATATAGATAGTATCGGATTGAACGGCTTACCTGACTCAACTGGATTCATTCGGGCAGATTCCTTCATGAAGCTATCAAGCAGAGGGAAAGTCTTGCCCCCCGATTTCTCGAATTCCGTCCACCCGATACTTTCAATTTCATTTCGTAGGGGTTCAATATACTCGGAGTGAATGCAGAGATGATGAAGAGCAAAGCAGGCAGTCTGGTGCAATTTTACATTTAGCTTGAACCAACATAGCATGAGCATAATACAAGTTGGACATCTCATACCGTAGATGTTATATGCACTGACCCGAACCACAGGGCCATCAACTCATGAACTATGCGCTCTGCTGACCATGGTTTTGATAGGGGTGAGCATTCCATAACCCATTGGATGCAATCATGCTATTTTACCTATTAGTTGGTGAAACGTACAAGTATTTACCCGGAACCTCAGCAAGTAGAACTCACATGGTCAGGCACGGCTTGTCCAAGACTTTTTCGCGCTTTTTCCTCCAGGCGATGCTCCGCAATAGGTATCAGCGCATTGTAAATAATTTTTCCGGCGCCAAGTTTCATTGAAATCAGGTTTCCAATGAAGCTAATCAATCGGAATCAGAGAATACTCAAACTAATGCATGGTCATGTAGGATCGGCTCTCTTACGGTGCAATGGCACTGGGGAGCACTCGTACGACTTCCGCTGTTATAAGCGTCTGCTCGATAAAATTCATGGCAGCGTTCATAAATACTTTGCTATGAGCTGTTGTATAGGCGATTAGTTAATGAATTTGTTTGCATCCTCTAATGTTACGCACCTAGGTCCCTTCCAAAGAAAGCAGTTGCATTTGTGAGCGCAATAGCCTCAATTACCATTGGGAACAGTGGTGAAGTATATGATCCTACACAGTACATCAATAATGCGTTATCTCAGTGGAGATTAAATTTCAAGGCTCCGGTATCCTACCATTTACCATTGAGCGTGACTCTAGTATATCGTCAAACAGAGCGGACATAGACCGCCGAGCATCAGGCAGGATATCGGGTAGGTGGTTCGTGAGTAGAGTTCTAAGTGTCCTAATGAGTGGCGTACCATCCACACCCTTCTTATCAAACCAGTTGAAGTTCTGCATAGTGTATTTTGGCTGCAAGATTTCTTTGGCTGCCGCCTGGAGAGATAACACATCTTCTGAAGCTGCATCGATTTCCTTGATGTGGTCCCACGACGACACTACCAAATAGCGATTTTCGGGAGCTTCGATCCAAAACGGGTTTCCATTTGACTGAAGTTCTAATTAGATACCTTGTGTCATATTGCAAGGTAATTAAAGTGGAAATTATCTTACATTATTATATTCCTCTTGGATGATAGATGGTCCCCTTGTAAGAAACAGCCACGCATTAATGCGCTTCCTAGCAGTGGAGAGGAGACTTTGCATGAATTGCCAAGTGATAGACTTGTTCGTACCCCACGCAGCCCCATGTCGGACGCAAAATGACGGAACAAGTAATAAGCTTAAAAAGAGGCAACCAAAGGCAGTATAGATTGCTTGATCCATTGTTACTTAGGAGTGCAATTCGTAATTTAGTCAAGCTGTAGCTGAATGCAGACGATTCAAGTTGGTAAAATATGAATCTATTAGAGAAAAATGACATCCAATGTTTGTTTTATATCTAGATTCCATAAGCTCCATCATCGGCCATATCCGAACAGATAAACACTTATTACGACGACGCAGCAGAGAATTTCGTATTGAGGCAACCAGCTGAGACGAGCAAGGCTGGATTTTGCCTCCATATGGGAATTAGGAATACTCGTGCTCCTGTTCCCATAGAAAGATCCTTGCGTGTTTGTCTCAAAGTCCCCCATCAAGGCACACTTGGGGGGCATTGGGGTCTACATTCTAAATAGGTCCTTGACCACAAATAATCCTATTCGCTATGACGGGCCGATTTTCCACGTCATTATACACAAAGTCATCCAGCAGAAGGCTGTAACTCTTCATCCCCCTTCCGAGCCTTTTGCTGTGTGAGTAAATCTCATTTCGGATGGAGGATGACAGAATGGAGGCCAGGAAAAAAAAAAAGCTTCAATGAAATGCCGCTACCCCCCTTACATATAACCAGAAGGATCTGGATCAAGCTTACCTCGTACAAACTTGAAGTAAGACAAAACACGAAATGGTGTGATTGATGTCCAGAATACATGCGGTGTCCCACTCGATGAGGCATGGCGCAGCGTCGTGCTGTCTTAGAAAGTCTTACGCCAAGATTCCTTCCTACATCATAAGGGTGTCTTCGTAGCCAAATTCTTCCCGGCATTTTTAGGATATTCTGGCCCGCCCCAGATATGTCTGCCTTTCCGGGAATCTTTCTGGCATTGTAGAGTTGCCAGGAAATATTGTTTCCGCAAAGCTGCTTCATACTCGTGCTTTAGCGATATTGAAGTGTTTGCTGCTTGTCAAGATTTTGCCAGAATGGCTGAGCTGCCGCTATCCCAAAACCCAAATGGGGATCCGCCAAACTTCACAGGTGGCCAGTCCTTGGAAACAGTAAATCTATCCATCGGCGCAGTCATAATTTCACTGAGTGTAATAGTTGTTACCGTTCGTATTTATGCGAGCTGCAAAAATGTCGGGCGGCTATTTTTGGATGATTGTAAGAGCAATACGGCCGATAAAGGATACAATTCGCTATTGCGCGAACAAGATTCGCTAACATCAGCCCTCAGGTTTTTGTTTAGGAGCAGAGATAGCCGTGCTCGTGTACTGGGGACTGCTGACCGCCAGTAAGTCAACCTAGCTGCATAACTATCTTCCTCTCATTTCCTTCGGACCATGAATACAGTACTTACCATTACTCTCTCTGTCGTAAGATTTTGAGAAAGGTCTTGGAAAGCACGCTTGGGATCTAACCGTGAGTGTTATTACACCATGGGTTTTAAAAGTACGTATTCATCGAGACAGGGTAAAACGACGTGCTAAAGATATTGTTGTTATTCATAGAGACATGTCGTATCTCAGTTCTTCGGTTCTGCAGGCAATTGGCTTGCAAAGGCATCTATCCTGGCATTTTTTCTCCGAATCTTCGGTAGCCTTCGCTGGGTTCGTATTGCTTGTTTTGCGCTCCTCATTCTACTGTCCATGGGCTCGATTACGCATGCAGGACTCTTCGCAGTCCTCTGTGTCCCTCACGGAGATGAAGTTTGGAATAGTAATCTCATGGCCAGATGTGCTACAGGTGCTCCAGTGACTGTAGCTGTGGGTGTTTGCATTTTGGTGGTTGATATAGCCATCTTTATTTTGCCGTTTCCCATCATTGCCAACTTAAAAATGGATAAGAAAAAGAAACATGGCTTAATTATCGTGTTTCTGATTGGCTTCTCGTACGTCTCAAACTTCACCCTACTTACTTGCGACAGAGAAATTTTGTGGCATTCTAATAGCAGACACGATCTATAGCATCATTGTCACAAGCTCAGTTGGGCTTGCTTATAGAATTGTTGTCTTCAAGAGTTCTATCGATCCAACCTGGAACGGTGCAAATGTATCCATCACTGCGTAAGTCTATTGCATTAAGAGGACTTTCAGTTTAGACGACATTGAGCTAAACCTTCATAGGTACATAGATACTTTTGGGACTATCATTGTCAGCTGTACTCCAGGCATATACGCTTGGTGGCTGAAAATATTCTCACAGAGCAGGTTATACTCCTCAATTCGGTCCATGTCACTTCTCCGCTCAAGATATTCGTCTTCAAGATCAAGAGGATACGTCACAAATGAAGGCAAGGATATACCTATGCATAGTGACCAGGAACAAGGTCACAATGAGCTTCCAAAAATCTCGACGTCATCCTCGCAACAATATCTGCATCAATGGCCTCGAGAGGATGACAGAAACGTAATTCCGGTATCCACTGTCATCACTCAAACAATATCTGACAGAAGAGAGAGCTACGACGAAAGTTATCGGATGCAAGAATACTCATGGCAACCCGTTAAGATAAGGGCTAACAAAACTGGTGAGAGAGAATATGTGTAATAATAGGTATGCTGTTAAAAATTGAGATGTGTGAGCGCACCATTGTTAAAGGCACGAAATGCTATGCCATTGGTATCAGTGTAAGTGCTGTGATGGAGCAATTTCTAGATATAGTTTATGGGAATATGTGTAATTGCGTTGGTCAATGCACATCATCGTATTTTGTTCAGGTCCTTCGTTGTCAAGGATTTGTTGTAATGTTGTCACTACGAAACTTAAAATGCGCATGGAAACATTTCCAATATAATTCTTCTGAGATATTGGCCTACTAAATGCACATTGTAGTTGTGCAATAAGATATATGTTTTTGTTGTCTATATCCCTCCAAAACTCTCGACCAAATATGCAGAAGAATATCAAACATATGTTTTCCACATCATGAAGCCATTTACCACGGGATCTCAGTATCGCTTGCAAGATCAATAAATCTACCCGATGTCTCTGCCCTTGTAGCTTTATCAATCTATATAAAATGTCAGTTTGTCGGATGTCGGCTGAGTGAAGAAGTACATGGGCGGCCTACAGATACTATGATGCTGCTGCAAGAGTCCTCTAGAGTGACAGGCGCCTTTTCCAATCCCTGCATGCGTGCCCCGGCATTTCCCATATCAGTTTGGACGAGACTGCTATAATATCAGATAAAGTAACTGTGTGGCCACTCGTTTGATGAAAGCAGGCATCGGACTCACCCAGGATGCACAGCATACGAAATCCAATTGGGATGCGCAGCATGAATAGCCCTTGAAGCACTCAATTTTAGAACAATTACAGAGAGATATAAATAATATTGCGACACTTACATGGTAAAAAAATTGAGGGAGGATTTAGAAAGGCCATATGCAAATATGAAGGGAGCGTTGTACTGCTCCGCGTTCTTGATTGAGCCCACTATGCTACTTATAGATAACCAAACGGGCTGAGTCGACTTTTCAAGAAATGGACTTGTAGCGTGGTACAACTGGATTGGAGCCGCGGGGTTCACTTTAAACCCTTCCAATACATCTTTGATTGGAACATTCTGGAACGGCCCTGGACTTGGGCATATTCCCGCATTGGCAATGACGATGTCGATATAGGTAATCCCTTCAGATTGCACATGCTCTAATGCTTTGGCTGGATCATCCAATTCAGAACTGTCAATGCTAACGAGAATCAGGCGAGAACCTTCAGCTGTTGGCAGTTTCTTCAACTCATCATGATTTAGTGATGATTTATCACGAACACTTCCGATGACAACATGATTTGGGCGAATCAGGTATACCGCCGTCAAGCCTTTGCCAATGCCTAGACGAGCTATTAGTTCTCTTGTGTAATTATAAAGGAGATAATAAATATGATACCTCTTCCTGCACCAGTGATGAATACAACTGTGGGCTTGGTAGATATGGCCATCGCGGGTATGCTTCATGTGTAGTACGGATGCTTTATGAGTTAGAGAGCTCATCAAGTTCCTCGAACCCAACTTTATATACTTACGATGCCTAGTAAATAAAAAAGCTAAATTGCCAGACAATAGGACTATAACATCCATTTCCGCAGTTTTAGTCATCGAGCGGAAGCTAGGAACTATGCGGACTTGTAACCAACATCTGTTGGCTGATGCCTGATAAAGGAGCATGGATTACTTTCCTTCAAGCAGTGCTAAAATTTCGACCTGAACGTAGGCAATTTAAGGCACGGAATTATAATTGCACTATAAATAAATAATGCATCATCTCAATTGAAAACATATTCTTTACTGCTTTGGGCAGTTTATGATTAACAACCTAATACACGTTGTACATACATACAGTCAGACAATTTTGATGGCATTACCGTGACCTTCTTTGCACAATACAATGGATTTTGCCAAGGCGAATAAAATGCAATGCCCAATCTGACGATGAAATTCCAGAAGCCCCATATTGCAATTATCAGTCTGTCTATTCTGACGAGCTCAGAGATGTATCGCCAGTGGTGTATTACTCATGCAATATAATCATCCTGAGAAGTGATAGCTCAACTCATTGAAACGGAGAAGCTCCTTTTTACTCCGATATGACAAAGCAAGAACATCCTTCCGTCTCCGTCTGTATGTAGGCCGCCACAAGTTTCGTCCGCATCACTATCATTCTATCAGAAATGTTCACACTCATCGGCCTAACCCATGGTCCGAGAGCGGAGTTTGAGCGGACCGGAAACTAACTCATCTGGATTAAACCGCTCCAGCCAGCGGTTGGAAATACCCTCGTATGCCCATCTGTAACAGTCCAAGAGGTGTCCTCTTACTATATGGAAAAAGCCACCCCTCAATTCAACGCATATGATGCAAATACGTAGGAATATTTTAGCCAGTTACAGCAAGTCCCGTGTATTAAATGTATGCTAAAGATCCAATCTCACGCAAAAAGTTTTCTTTTGCAGCTCGATTACTTTGAACGCTGGCTATCGTCCGTATGCTATTGAGGTGCTGGACGAGAAGAAGCCGCACCGTTTGCATCAAGAAGTGAAGGTGAAGGCGTGCACTTTCATATACAGGTGTCCACGGCGCCTTCATTGTCTCAAACATTCCACAACGCAGGCCAATCCTAATATACTAGTCATGCATTCGACGGTTATAACGAGTGATAGAAGCTCTCAATGTCAAGTCGTTAGGGAAAGTTTATGGCCAAGAAGGGGAGTATTATGATCCGTAAGAGATGCCCAGCGACACTTCTAATGGCTTAAGATGTGACGGCTCCAATATATTAGAACTATACGCTACTAAGGAAGTGCGCGGACAACTTTGTCTAGATTGTTTTTTAAAGTTCGCTCTTCTTTTCCACACATTTTATTTTCACTTGATTAGTATTGGCTTGCTATAGTACGCCGGCGACTGACTGCCACATCCCTGTTTGCCGCCAATGCCCCGCAAATCACACGGGACGTAAGAGGTTCAAGATTGGGAATGAGACTCATTCACACAGCATCACGGTACTCAGTTGTAGGTGAATCCACATATGCCAGATACTCGCTTGGAATGAGTTGTTACGCCTCTTCAATATTATAAAAATGGCGTAATTTGTCGAAAGGTAAAAATTAAAGTATCTGTTGGAGACCCTACTCGTGAGACAATGCGCAGGGCCGCAGATCCCAGTTGACTCTTGTAATGTCATTGTACATCAATTACATGTATAACATCGCAATCAGCATTGGGTTCCAAAGATTATAAGGGTATGTACTAAACGATAACGCCAAAGCTCATGGGTTGGACTATTGGTTTTTCGCCGCCAGATAAGGCGCTGCAACACCTTTGACCCCTTTCCTTACAAACTTATCGCTATGAATCGATTTACAACTTTGGGCAAGCAAACCACTAACACGAGATGATTTGTCGAAGAATAACATATTCGTCGCACTACGTGGTAAATCTTCAGTCTATTCCTCATTACTTTTGTTAGGTAGGCTACCACAAATATATGTACGACGCGTTTAGTTGATTGCCGGCTTCTTATCTTCTGGGGTACAAGACCCGGGGCTAGTCTGACAGGATCAACTCCGCCGTGAGAAGTGGGGTCTGAGATGGCTGTCAGCTTCACGAATTCAGACTCATACATACAAAGCTTCACCCTGAGCGCCCACAATCTTCTCACGGGCACCATTGCATTGACATCTTTGTATGCTGGCACGCTCAAATTTTAGGAATTTTTGAGACTAATCATCCACTATAATGCTGAAATCGATCTGCACGAGCTCGCTGCTCTTGCTGAGCGCGAGCTTCTTCTCCGCTAGCTCCGCGTCTCAAGACGCGCAAGTCCATCTCACCGCTCCAACCAAGCATCACCAAGTTGATCCAGCTATTCTGGCTGCCTTGGAGAAGTACCTGGATCCTGTTGATGCGCTTGTTTCATTACACCCCGAGGCTGCTGAGCAGCTGGCTCAACCACGTCTTCTGAAGGTGCTCGGGGAGCCAAGCGCTCAATGGATGACTGAGGGTGACAAGCTGCGCCTAAAGCGCAAGGGTAAGAAGTTTATCGATATTACTGACCACGAAGCCTTCTACAAAGAGCAAGTGCATGCCCTTGCTGGTGAAGCCCGTAAGTTGGAAATCTACCTACGCAGTTGGCTTTGTGGTTGTTCAATGTTGCTAAACTGCCATACAGACTTGCCCCAGCTTTCTCACCAGGACCTGGTCAGGCCATTGCTGCCTCGGGTATCTACCGAGAAGATGCACGATGTTCTCCAACATATGACGGGGTATTACACACGATATTTTGGCAGTGTCACTGGCGAGGAAAGTTCTCAATGGCTTTACAACCACATTGCTGAGGTATGGCTTGGTCATATATTTCCATCCGAATAATTAATATCAGTCTGCTTTCGCGTACTAATGCCGGTCTTGCTAGATCATCAAAAACGCACCATTCCACACTCACATTTCTCTCGAGTTTTTCACTCATTCTTTCCCTCAGTCATCCATTATTGCTCGCTTTGAGCCTAAAGTGAGAGACTTTTCGCTGCCGTTGACCATTATCGGGGCGCACCAAGACTCGTTAAATCATGAGCTCCCGCTGCTCCCTGCTCCAGGTGCCGACGACGACTGCTCTGGCACGGTGAGTATCCTGGAAGCTTTCCGCGTTTTGGCAGAGAGCGGGTTCACTCCGCTTAATGGACCTGTCGAGTTCCATTGGTATGCTGCCGAGGAGGGCGGGCTCTTGGGTAGCCAGGCCATTGCGCGATATAAGAAAGAGTCCGGGGCTCGTATTGGTGCCATGATGGAATTTGTAAGTATTTTTGAGGCCACATTGTCAGTTATGACATATGCATTAACCCACCATCAAGGACATGACTGCATTTATCGCCCGAAACGCGACCGAATCCATTGGATTCATCGAGACTGAAGCAGACGCCCCACTAACGAGCTGGGCCGCCGCCTTGGCTACTGAGTATATTTCCATCCCTGCTAAAGTGTACAAGCTGCCTAGGTAAGTTTGGAACTCTATTGTCTTCCCAGTTCGTGCGTTCTTCGTATGATGAGGTAGCTAACGACACCAGTGGTGCTGGTTCTGACTACATGTCATATACACAGCTCGGGTATCCTGCAGCTTTTGCATCCGAGGGCAATCCTTCGGCCAGCGGTAAACCACTGGGCGAGTATGACCCTTATATCCACACGGAAAAGGACACAATGCATGTTGATGACGAGGCTGGAGTCTTCTCCATTGAGGTAGGCGTTTCTTGTACCCTTTCTCGGAGAAGATTGGCTAATTCTTTCCCAGCACATGGCCCGGTTTTCTGAGCTTGCCATTGCTTTCGTCATTGAGCAGGCTGGTTGGAATAATACTAAGTGGAGGTGAAAGTTACGCATTAACTGGAGTCTGGGCGCCACCACCAGCCGGTTTATCTTATTCACCAGGCACACGTAGTTGCCAGTATTGTTATAGCAAGCCTGCTTCTAGAATAAACATGACCTTCGAAACCCCTATATACACGTGTGATCCCTTATGAACGCGGTTCGTCATAACTTGGCACACGATGGTTCGCAATCAGTCATATGCTCCAGGGTATGCTATTGCTTCATACTACACAAAAGTTAGGGAGTGCGCATATTGTCTCCAATGCCACACGACTTGGAAGAGTAGCAAAAGAGGTTTGCGAAGTCTAGGTATTAGAGTTAACTAGACGGCTACCGACGGTGTCGAGTGATACAATTAGTTTGAAACAAGTGGCCGTGAAAAGTGCCGAACCTTCGACAGGAAAAGCCAAGACTCCGCCAAAGATTATATAAACTTCGCGCATTTAATATTAAGAAAACACTATCTTAGATCAGTTTACCTTGTGCTATGTGCCTTATGTTGAGTGGTGGTCAGTAAAATGCAGCATAACGTGATTCGTCGCAGGTGATACGTTCAAAGTTGTCTCAGGCATGTCTAAATGACAAGGCATGATTAGCGCGCGTGGAACGTTGATGGCCTCGTGAAACCCAATACCTTCCTAATTAGTACCTTTGACGAGAATTCTATCCACCTAGTTCGGTGTAGCTCGTATACTCGCTGGAACTCTGTACCTGACACGTGAATATCCCCCGGTGTTTAGAGGACCGAAAATTACCTCAAAGGTGAGGTATAAACCGGGAGCTACGGAGGCGTTTATATGTAGAAGAGGTGCCGACCCATCTCCAAGGCTGAGTTCCAGTATCTCTCCATATCCACAATGGTGAAGATTACGAGGCTCAGTGTCATCACTCTATCAGCAGCCTGTGTACCGGCTACTACGCTGTACACGGGCGGCGATACGTCTGGCTGCGGCAAGAGTCATTGGTTCAACGGAATCACACAATACCGAGATATCCAGTCTAGTGGTGTGGACCGTAGCTACGGGATCCATCTACCTTCGAATTACGATGCGAGCCGTCAGTATCCAACCATATTGGGCTTTCATGGCTCTAGCAGCATTGGTTTTTTCTTCGAAGTAGACACAGGTTTCGATTCTGAGCAGTTTACCGGCGACAAGATCATGGTGTATCCAAATGGGCTGGGTGGCGCCTGGGCTGGCGCCAACTATTCTAAGGCAACAGTCGAACAAGACCTTCAATTTGTTTGGGACATGCTGGTCGATTTGAGACAAAATTTCTGCATTGACAGTGCTCGAATTTATGCTACTGGCTTGTCTATCGGTGGAGGTTTCGTTGACACTATTGCTTGCAATGCCACCGTCGGTGGCGAGTTTGCTGCTTTTGCACCCGGGTCTGGCTCCTTCTATACCAACAATGATGAAAATTATCAGGAATGTCAGCCGGCCCGTGTGCCTATTCCCATCCTCGAGATCCATGGAGGTGCCGACACTGATGTGAGATATGATGGTGGTGAGGGCGAGGGTGGCATCGAGCCCTCGATTCCGAACTGGTGAGTCCTCGCGTTTCACCTTATAATTAAGGCTAATCCAGGTACTAATAATTTACAAATTACAGGCTTAGCCGGTGGGCGGATAGAAACCAATGTGATGAGCAATATCAGCAAGAAGACCTGTTCGATAACGATGTGCATCATCTCAGCTGGACCTGCGGAGGCCAAGAGGGCGTTATACAGCACTACAAGACCGATGACCAGAGTATGGATCCTCTCTTACTTATTTAGTTGCTTGAAAAGGTTCCATTGACTGACATATCGATATCCAGAGCATGACTGGGCTTCGCCTGATATCAATTTTTCTCAAATAGCCGCCGGCGACTGGCCAACCCACATCTCAGCCACTACTCTTATCACAAACTTTTTCATGAGGTTTAAACGCCCTGCAGCTTAGACGCATCACATAAAGATATTATATTGCCAATTATTACATATCAACTGAACAAAAAAGACCATCGTCTCTAGTGTCTTAAGAGGCAGTAGATTGCAGTTCCCAGGCATTTTTGGATATTGGGGATATGCCAACGGGGAGCATCATTCAAGAGGTAATAATATATCACAAAATTTGCTCACACGCTGAACGTAATTGTAACTTATTGTTGGGTTGGTGATGTTCGGCGACTAGACACTAGTGGATAACTTCACCAGCCTTATTATAATGAATATGGGGTACTACCACCATCTGAAGCCATTTTGATTAATACTAGAGGTATACTACATTAACATTATCCAATCTTGCTTAAGGTACCTTCACAAATATGCTTCCTAAACTAGAAGTAAATAATCCTATTCCTTCCGACGAACATACAAATTGTAGCTCGCATATCTTACAGCAGACTCTCAACTAATACCCTAACTTCAGCGTCTGTCAAGCCCTTCAATCCCAGAAGTTCATTATCCAAGAGGTTAGAGAAATCTCCTCCATATCCCTCTCCACAAACGGCACTGAAAACAAAAGGTTCCATGACTGACCAATCGGTGATCCCTTTTGCTACTTGTGCAAGAGAATCGGCAAACATTTTCTCAGTGGATTTGTGCGTGATCTCCCATTCTATACCGTCTTTCTCTTTAGCATACCGAATCAATGAGTTCTGAGTAACGACGGCGTCTTGGATGTAAACTGGACGATTGGACGTCTCAGGGAGGTGTTGAATAACTCCAACAATGGCCTTGCCGATCGTCTCGAGATTGGTTGCAGAGAAGGGAATATCACCCCCGTTGTAAACAGTGGCGGTATGCACGGGGACATTTACAATGAAGCCATGGAGACCCCAGTCCAAGAAAGACCCATTACATACCACCGTGTAGGTGAAGCCTGGATTCTTGGCTGCAGCGGTCTTTAAATACTCGTGAGTCTTGACTTTGCCTTCAAATACAGGCAGTTTATTACGTTGAGGATTAATGACATCGCTGCCAAACTCTGAAGGGATAAATCGTGTCACGCCAGCCGCAATAGCGCCGTCGATAAGTGGATTTTGGCTGCCAACCGAAGTAGAAGTCAGAGTAGAGACGACGACCGCGTGATCTCTGAGAGCAGATTCTAGAGATTGAACTGAGGAGTAGTCGACTTCAGCTATGGATAGGTTTGAACTCGCAGGAAGCTTTGAAGTGTTGCTGCTGCCCTTCCGTGTAAGAGCTGTCACATAGTAGCCTGCCTCTAGGAGAGCATGCACAATGGGAACACCCAAGTCCCCGGTAGCGCCCGCCACTGCGATTTTTAAGGCCATTTTTGATATAATTGAGAGTGTCGTGTTGTATATGAGTCTGAGTGATATAATACTAAGTGGATTAGATGCGAGCAGAAAGGAGAATGGTGGGAACTGTGATATAGGTAGTTATCTGGCTTGCATTATGCTGCTTTTTATATCCATTGAGAGGCCTCAACTACAAAGCATAGTCTATGAGTCATTTAATTTACCTGATTTTTAATTCCGTCTAGTGTAAATGGGATCGATCATATGAAACCATTCGCCGTTCTTCAAAAGCAAACGTCACGTAAATTGGGATATAGCTTATCAAGCAAGTTGTATCCTCACAACCTAGAAACATATACGACCTTAAAGCGATGTTAACCCCACCGCAGGAGTCCCATTACTGCCCAATCCCGCAATGATATTTCAGCCACCTACTATGGCTGTGACTAATTAGCAGTTTATTTCCGCAACTAACATCATTGCGACCCTTTTATTGAGGATTTTTTCCGGCTTCCAAATATGCCAGATGAAGGGTTGCAAGCCACCTACTATGGTTGTGACTAATTCATTTGCATATTCCCACGATAGAATGCATTTGTATGTCTTGGAAGCCTCCTTCAATAATTTTTTTAGAGCTTCCATCTCTTCATTGCCTGTTAGACTATATCTTGTCACATACTTCAGTCCGCTAATGCTTAAAATGCGTGTCCATGAGGTCCACATAAGGAGCAATGTCGCAAACAGAAAAATCTAGAATACGACATTTGCAGGGCCAATTGCGGCAAATTAACATGCTTCGGTCTTTTATCGGCTTAATGTGTATTTGTAACCAAGAGCCGAAGAGATGATATCATTTGGATTGGATACAGGGTCGAACTCGCTGGCCCATACGTCGTGCGGCTCTGAGCCCGGAACCGAAATCCTCACAGAATTGACCCGTACGCCGCTATCTTCGCCGTTCGGATCCGGTCAATTATCCCAACACGCTAAATTACAGCCCCAAGACTCGCTTCCGAATTCACGCAGTAAACAAAGTAAACTCCGACGGCTCTGTAGTAATAGGTGTCATATATATGTTCCCTAATTAGCTGCGTATGCTTAAAAAGAGTCATGTTAGTTCTCTTTAAAATTATCATTTGGTTTAACTTTTTTTTTTCTCAACGACACTTGCAAAATGATCTCAAACATCCCCAACGTCCAAACGGCCGCCCTTATCAAAGACCCTGGTTCCAATGCACGGATAGAAATTTGTCATGATTATCCTGTTCCTCAGCCTGGGAAAAATGAAGTCTTACTGAAAATGGAATGCTCAGGAATATGGTAAGTTGATATAATTATGTGGGATTAATTGAAGTGCCAAATCATGAGCGGTCCGCTATTTCACTATAGGCTTTATGATGACAGCTGACTTGATATTGCCTTTTGTGGAAATATAGTTACTCAGATATTTATATATATACGGGAAATAACCCACATTACAATGAAGTTCCCTGCCATGAAGGCGTCGGTCAGGTCGTGCAGCTTGGTCCTGGGGTTGCAGATGCTCTTCTTGGTCAAAGAGTTGGCCTTGGTTGGATTTACAGCGTTTGCGGCCACTGCTACAATTGCACTGCTGGTCGTGATAATTGGTGTGTGAACCAGTTTAATACCGGCACTGATAAGCCAGGAACCATGCAGCAATACGTTGTCGCCAATGCGGATTATTTAATGCCAATTCCAGATGAACTGTCATCACTTCACGCTGCGCCATTTCTCTGCGGCGGTATTACCATGGTCGGAGCCTTGTCACTTTGTGATGATGCCCTCGCGGACGGTGATACTCTGGTCATTTCAGGATCAGGGGGCGGTCTAGGGCACCTGGGATTACAACTTGCTTCCAATATCGAGAGCAAGAAGCGCTTGAATATAATCGCTATTGACACTGGTTCAGCTAAGAAAAAATTGAGCCTCGATCTAGGAGCCGCTGCCTTCGTCGACTTTCAAACGGAGGATGTAATTAAGAGAGTGATGGAGTTGACAAATGGTAAAGGCGCCGACGCTGCAATAGTTGTCCCTGAAGCAACTGCAGCCTTTGATCAAGCACTGGAGTACCTAAAATTTACTGGTACAATGATCTGTGTTGGAATTACTAGAATGGATTATCGCCTCCCACTTTCTCCCACTGCGCTTGAGCATAAAGGTAAGTGAAATGGCATACGAGATACAGCAAGTCGTACTGATGTGGCTACACAGGCTTGGTGATTAAAGCGTGTCACGTAGGGACCGAAAAACAATTGAAAAATTTGCTCATTTCCGCTAGAAAGAAGGAAGTGGTCCCGAAAGTTGAAGTCTTTGACTTTTCCAAAACTGGAGAGCTGTTTGAGCGAGTTAAGCGCGGTGATATTGTCGGTCGTTTCGTCGTGCAAATACCGCAATAATAGACTAGCTGGCATTCTCATCGCCCCCAAATTGGGCTATCCTCCCGATTATTATCGACAGAGCTTATCCGTGGAAATTTTATAAGGTAGCAATTACATTGTACCATAACAACTTGACCGTGATTTGGACTTCAACTATAATCGTTAGCTTTTTTTTTTTTTTTTTTTTTTTTGGATATTATGGCACGATCTATTAACAATATTTATTTATGGAACCACTGGACCTGACATATGTAATTTGCGATTTGCAATCGCCGAAATTGGACTGATCTAGCGCGACAACGGAATGACCACGTCTTCTTAGGGGAAGCTGGATTCGCGTAGATTCTTGGTACAATCCTGTCATTGCTACCTAATGTATAAATTCTACAATGTTCTACAAACTTTCATCACCCTAAAATTACAATAGGTGTTCGGTTAGCTGGTTGTTTGATTGGACAAATAGACATATGTGGACATGTCTTTGAAACTCTCTTTTAGATGGTCATCCCCACGGAGGTCCAACGGTGCTTGGCTTACCATGAAAATAACTAATAGTCCCCCACAATGATGATAATTGCCTTTTTATATTTGTTAATGTAATTAAAGAATATTGTGATTAATTTTAGCTACCTGATCAATGCCGTGTATATGAAATGCAAATTGGAGACTAGGATTGAGTAGTCATAGTACCGAATTGCACCATAGCCGTTTTACGGTATAATTGATGTAGGCGTAATGTATGATTGATGTAGGTGTAATGTAATTAGGCGTCATCAAACGTAGTATTACCACCAGGTAAAGTTCGTAATAAAAAATAATAGAAAATGAGGGGACAGATTTCTTCAGACTAGTAGGAAATCTTGCGTCATTTGTGAATCATGACTGCGCCATAGAGCACTCTATCTCTATCACATGAAAGTGGTTATAGAGCTGGTTGGGGTGTTTGTTTAAACTTGGTTACTTGTGATTTGCATTAAAAGGTCACGGGTATTTATCTCTTATCCTCTACGGCACTTCATTTTTTTCCTTTTTCAATTATTTTGTTTCTAATTGAAATCAGCTTCCTGAGAGTCACATATCACCATGCAATCTACTTCTACGCCGAAATCGTCTGACACCACACCCACAATGGGTGCCAATGAAGCAAAGCCCAAGGTGTTTGACAAGGAAGGTGCTGTTGGAAAACACTTCACAGGTATGTTGACAGATTTGCACGCACTTGGCCCCCGTTGGGGTATAGAATGTGGTTCTCACTCGTTTATTGTAGAGGAAGGTGCTGTTGGCAGTATGGCACAAAAGATGGGAGGTCCTTTGGACAAGGAGGGTATTGTTGGCAAGCAATTCACCTCAGAGGGAGCTGTGGGAGGCACAGTTGAATCAATGATGGGGGGCAAGAAGCGCTCATGAATTTGCTTATTGAAGTATTTCAAGGTCGAGAAAGGGTTATGAAGCTATCTAAATCTACTCCTCTTTTTTATGATCATAAGAGACCTCAGTGATTAACACGAAGCAATACCCGCTTTCCGATACTTCATTTATACCCGCAAATACTGTAGAATAGTTCGAATTCGCCGTCTTCATTGACCTCGCTTGCATGTTTGTCAGTAATCATCACAAGGAACATGCACCAGCTATGTGTAAGGCTATAATCCTTGGAAAAGCAATTTGTCTTCAAGTCACGAGAAATCAGTTACACGATAGGGGCGTTTGCGAAGATTGATTCAATATCATAACTTTACTCTCCGAAGGGTTTAGATCCTTTACGTGTGTATGTTGATAAAAGTAAACAGATACCAAATGGTCGGCAGCCCAAGTTTCCTCTGACCAAACCATTTCTAGTTTCCTCTAGCACCCCGCAATTGTAATGGTAATGACATGACGTTTAGACTGTTGATGATACGTCTTTGTAGTCGTGTAGCGTTGTAATATATTTTATTGAAGGTGGAACCATGACGTTGTTGACTGAGTGCTATAGAATCACATGAGAAAAAGTACAGTTGCACAGGCCAGAGCAAATGGCACTTTTACTGTCACTTAAGTGCCGAGACATATGTTGTCAGCGGGAGCGTTGCTCTATATGGAATAAATCCATATCCATCGCATTCTAGCTAATGGGTCAAAACTAGGTATGGAGAAGCTCACACAACGCCGAAGTGATTCACACAGCGTCACAGACACTAGGCAGCGCATCTGAGGACACCGATCGATCTTACCATATACATTACACATCGATTTTGGATCCAGATCGATGGAACTTAATTGAGCTTAATCTTGACACTTCTCATAATTAGCAGCCACGGTGGCGCTGGCCCAGAAAGTTCTTCCACGTCAGTGGTTGTTATGTACTCACGAGTAAATATGCATGAAGTGATGTCATGATCGCGCGGGTTACTGTATTCCCACAACTATAAATGCTGTTGTGACTTTCAACTAGATTTACGAAAGATTTTTGAGTGAGAATAAAGCCGTATTAAATTAAAGTCATATTTCTAAAGCATACCCATACACACAATGTCGAGATACGCTTCGCAACAAACTGATGATAAGCAGTTATACGATACTGTTGGTTCCAATATTCCAGAAGGGCAAGTCCAAGATGATTCGTACGTCACGAGCAGAAAGGAGCCAATTCCAGTTGAAAGCGACAATGCTGTAGTCGAAGATCCCGTCCAGACATCATTGGCAGACACCGATCAACAATTGGGTATGTATCAACAAAATATGCGGATACCGCGATTCGCAATAAAATCCTGAAGCACTCATTAATTTTAAACAGAGCAAGACGAGAAAGAAGCTATTGATAAGTCTAATATCATTGACCAAAGAACTCGAGGTTCTAAGCCGAGAGGTTCGTACAAAGAGCCTGGGGATGAGCCGATGGGTTTGACTGAATAATAAATATTGTGACACTACTAAATGCTGCTTACATATGAGCATTATTTGAGAGGAGTAAAGAATTAAGCTATCTAATAACAATATTAATATTATGTATAGTTTAATCGTTCTGGAATATTTCCTATGCTATATGTCATATTATGGATTAGTACCTGTGTAACCTGACCACAAACGTAGTAATTCAGGCTAGCTATGCCTCGCTCTGCTGTGTGAAAATTTCCCATAGTCAAGTCATTGCAATGCCAATACAGCTACGAGTCCTTCAACTCGCTCCAACCATATGTAGGTAAACTTCTCTTATACTCTTAAGATACTGTTCACCATCCTGTGTCTATAGATTTGGTACCATCTAGTGATGTTTAACCGACAAGGTAGATGGTGCCAATGGTACCAATATGGTTTTCTTCTAGAAATATGCACTTTATCGTCCCTTCAGAAGGATGATAGATGAACTCCCAGCCGTCAGAGGGTGTATTTGATAGCGTGGCGATGTATCCGGCGCCTTCAAATCTGACATGCTTATACCATATATCCTTCGCTGAGATAATATTTCCAACTTCGTATATTCCCATTCGCAGTGAGGTTCACAACCATTTTCATAGCATATTTGGTCCCCGTGTCAGAAAGTAGAGATAGTGATGGCAGTAGCGGGTGCTCAGGGAACCTTATATCTACCTAGAGAATGGTAGCGAGTAAAAGATCTTTGCTCTACGTCTTGTTGCGGTCGACATTTGAACTCCTTGATAGCGAATTTGGGGTCGGGTGTTGAATACAAGTAAATCTAGATTCCCTACTTCAACACTGAACTCCGGTATATATTCCAGCTGGCTTCAGCATCGTTTGAGATTCCCAAATTGCCGAAGAGCTGTATATCGTTTTTCAGGACTAGAGACTTCGCACGGGGGAAACCGCTAAACTCATCGCTAAAGCCTTAGTACTTTGAAGTTAGACAGTAGATAGCCTGTGATATCGGCGGAAGTACGAAATATTGATGAATTATTTCTTCTTACGTGAAATAATAACATAATAGTAAGAAAAAGTAGTCTTTTTAATTCGGGTAGTATTTTGCAGAGCCGGAATTCATGTGGTATTGGTATGGAGCTGGAATTATAAAGCTGTATATAATTATTCTGTAATACGGAGTAGTATGCGTTTTATATTTATTAGTACTACCTGTACTTACTCCGCTACCTATAGCCATACACATGTATCTTGTATATTACCCCTGTATAGGATGCACTTGTAAAAATTGCTGCGCTGCTGCCATTTCCTCGGCTGATGGTAGGTTTGCTATCATCAGGTATAAGACATCCTTCACCAGGTGGTCAGTCAGATATGTATTTGCAAGACAATGTATGTGGAAGTGTGGCATGTAAAACGGTAATAGGAATGGGGAGTCAGACGAACCTCATGCATAAACTTCTTAAGGCCCCGGATCAGAGCCCCCGGTCCAACAGTGTTCAAGATTGTTGGACCGCGCTGCTCTCTTTTCGCTTCTCTCCTCTCTGACCTACGGTCATGTCTAGCGGCCTTCCTATCACGTCTGGCCTGTTTTCGATCGCTCACTCTTCCACCAATGGCTCCACCTGTCAGCAAAGCTAATAGACTACCACTGCTCGCTGGATGGTTGGGATCCGCGTAACGTGAATGGAACTCAGGCTTGACGTTCAACTGTGCGAGACGACTCTCCGGGTGCATATTAGCCCATTGGGCCTGAGACCGCTTATCCATGTACTCCATTGCAAATATCATGCTGCGCATCATGCCATTTGGCTGCTTCTTCCCAGCCTCTTCAACCACCTGTCTACCCTCAGCAGAATCGGCAAGCTTGTCCAAAGTTGGAAACACAAGTGGTGCAGACTCAGGCCACTCAAAGTTTGTTGTCCCGTGCGAAGCCTGCATCTTGTTACTAATCCCACCACCTACTCCAGGCTGCGGACCTGAAGCGTTCTGGGTAGCTTGCTGCAACGCTGCGTCAAACGTGACTTGCGTGACGACTTCACCGGCTCGGCTCGGCTTCCAGGTCATGATAACAGCTATGAGTCCGAGGGGCCGAAAGAATTCGGTATTCATTTTGTTCAAAAAGGTATTAGTTTTAGACCGGCTGTGCGCCTGAAGACTAACTTGAGTAGTGACCTGAGCGGCAATGGAAACGGCAATGGTGACAGGCTCAGGAACATGCTGTACAGCAATAGCTGCAACATTGATAGCGTTGATCCATGGCGATGGCGCCGTTGCCATGTTTAACTGCTTGATAAAGTCGATGAAAGTAGCCTGATCGATTCCCACATTTTGAAGCAGCGGTGCGTATGCGTGGATGAAGCCGCGGGCACGCTCGCCTGGTCGCCGTTGCGGGAGGATCACAGGCATAGGCAATCCATGCTGCTGAACCTGTTGGTTTGATGGTAATACATGACTCCGAACGAAACCATCAGCCATAGCCTGGACGTCAAGGTCTTGCTCCATGACAGTAGCATAATCTGGTGGTGGCTCCAGCTGTAACTGCGCGGCATCGAGTTCCCATGCTGCCTCCTCCAAATCTCGGGACGTGTCTTGGTCAACTTGTATCGGTCCAGAATGCTCTTCGCTATCAGAAGAGTCATCGTCATCATGCTCATACGAACTGTGACGCTTCTCATCTGGAAATCCTTGCGACGAAACTTTTGGATGCTCTTCATTACTGTGAACTGCCCTTGAGCTTTCCCCTGCCCTCGAACTTTCTCCGGGGGCAGCGGCAGCAGCTGCTTGTGCTTTTTTCTTCTCTTGATGATTATGATAGCTTTCTGAGGCGAGTCCAATACCGGCAGCCACGCCCCTCACGATGCCACTGACAAGCCCTTTGCGCTGTCGACCTCCAGTGCTGCTCTGTGAGTGAGAGCTCAATTGGGATGACGATCTGTTTCGGTTGTCTCCATATTGGCCATAAACCCCACCGGTTCCATAACCTGGTTGTAAATAGCTAGGGACGTGAGAATCGTATCAAAATGCAGAAGCCTTGCTTCCCGTTGAGAACATGGTTGCCATACCTATTGTGACTATCCTGGCCAGACATGATTGGTTACTGCCTCTGTTATTGCGAAAAGTTAAAATCTAGATTTGGCTTAAGACTTCTTCGTGTTTCTGGATGACACAGAATAGTTGAGTTGATTAAAAGAAGGTTATCTGACAAAATAGTTCTTGCTTATGAGAGATTGCGTCTCCCCTCTCGCTATTATCTTGAGGAGTATGGGATGATCCTTCAGGCGGGCCGAACGGCACGCATTGCGGGGTAGCTAATTGAGATAAACCTCAACTATTTGCTGGTTTTTACGCCAGTGACGTGATACCATTTGATAGTCATCATTAAGTCCCATGTGGTTTCTTAGCGCTTAGGGATAAGAGGAACAAAAACAAAAGTACGCGTAACTCAAGCAGATTTAGAGGCTCTGCTACCGCGATACGAGCTTGATAGATATAATTAGTCTTAATTAGTCTTCATTTCATATTTGCAAGTTCTGGAAGTGGGATCATTAGTGATAGTCAAGATCGTGACTAACGTGAACAGAAAGAAATGTTGAGCTAGCTGTTTAAGCCTGTTTGGTGAGATAATTGGCCAATCTCGCTCTGAAAATTCAGCAAACTACATTCACGTCTCATTTCTTTGCATCTTGTCAGGCTTTGCTTAGTATAAATATACACAACGCTAATAATCACATAGACGAATCCAAAGACGCGCCAACGGGAGTCGCAATAACACTCGTGTAAGTAGTTGAAGCTTTGTAACAACAAAAAGCTCCAAACGAAGAACCACTATGCTTATGCACGATGGTAAGTCTATTTTTTTAGAACAAACATGCTTCCAGTCCAACCATACGCTCTTGTAAGTGTCCGACCTTGTCGTCTGGCAACCATGAAAGGAATTTTACTTTTACAACGAGGCTCGCAAAACTGGACGCTTGCGTAACCATCAGTTTGAGCAAGAGAGAACTGCCAAACTGATCCGTAAAGCTTCTGTGCTGAGAGGCCAACCGACTTCATAGCATGCAAAAAGTCATTCCAAGCTATCTCCCCGGGTGAAGAGGTAATAGCAGGGTTGAAAAACAAAGTCCGGAATACTTTGAGCGCACGATTGTCAACTGAGAAAAAGGGCTTGGGTATGGTTTCTTCTGTTTCTATATGTCCAGATTGAATGGCTTCCGATGGTTGTGGATCTGCCTTTTCATTATCCTTCACCTTGGCTTGGACGGGCATTGTCTGGGCGTGGGCGATTGTCTGTTCATGAATTTGGCAACCCCACAACTTAAAGAAAAGGGGCGAGAGGGGTTTTTCAACAGTATGAATCGGTGTTTGTTGGTCGGTCCATTCTGGTGTACGCTGCAGGAGATGGGGCTGTGATAAGAGCCTTTGCAAAGCTAATGCTGGTTTTGCATCGCCAGATGCTGAAAGGATTAAGTCGTCAACTTGAGCCCAGAATTTGTCGAGATTCTGCTCAGCTCGGCGCATACATTCCACATTGGCCTTTGTCCGATGCTTATCATAGGGATAAGTAAATGACCCTAGTAGTGGTTCTGCAAACGGCAGTATTTTAGACAAATTTTCGGGTTTGAAAGCTGCCATAGTTCGAAGCCACATCACGCCCTTGATATCAGAAGCAGCTTCCAAGTCCTTTCTTGCCACGAGAGTAATATAGTTGAAGTTTTTAGCCCAAGGCTGGTAGAAATTAATCTCTTCATTGCACCAGGTTAGGATAGACAAGCTGTCGAAGATGCTTGCTACCTTTCCAGAGATGAGTTCGCCCGCCGTTGGTTCGGAAAGCAAAAGGCGTTCTAACTCGTCCACGATGAGTGGGAACCCCATGCAAGAGAGATCATAGCGGTTTTCCCACAGCGTTTGGAGCAGATATGTACACTTAGCCTCAACCTTGCTCATCTCAATTCCTCTCGGTACAGGTAGATTATCATCACTTGAACAAGTGTAAAACTTTCGAATTTGTGGAGATTCCATTGCAACAAGCTTAAGCTGATTCAGGTTTCCCCCGGAGCCTTGAGCCATAAGGAGGAGGAACTTCGAAATAGCAAGTAAGAATTCATCGGGGAGTTCTTTCGTTGGCGAAATTACTGACTCATACTTTTTTTGTAGAACAGCCAATTCCTGTGCTTGTTGGTAGAGTTTGGAAAAAACATCAAGCTCAAAGTAAGCGTCAAAAAGGACATTGGATACAAAGTGTGCTTCAGAAAGAAGGCGTTCACTCCCCGGCGTCAGAGTAGGATCGAACCCATGCCTATTGTTCTCTTTTTCTAATAGAATCTCCTTTGCATCCAACAGATTCTGGCGACAATAAACGGGGTCCTCTCGCAGAGCCCAAATATGATCCTCTAGTGCCCGGGTCTTTGCAGCGAGCAACGATTCGACACGTCGAAGTTCAAAGCGGGCCGGACGTCGGTAAGGGGCCTCGGCCGCCATCGAAGCCAGCGATTCAAAGCCACGCAGCTCGAGCTCCGACTTTAGCCGCGGCTCTGGCTGAATAGGATATTTATTGCTCGTCAACATACCAGGATCAATATCTCGAAGTATTCCCTGGCAACAGTCGACAAGAAATTTCATTAGCTTATCCTGAGCCTCGAGAATAAGAAAGCCTTCGGGTGGAGAGAATTCCAAATGACCAATAAATAAGTCTAGTGCCTTCGAATGACTATTCCATCGAAGAATTTTGCCATATTCCTCAACAGTGTTTGCTCCATATAATATCATTGTGCAATTTCCCAACATAGTGCACTTGATGGCTTTGGAGCCGATACCCAGGCGCATGGATCCGAAATCCCTGCATGCGAAACTGGAAGGGAAGTTCCGCCCTCTTGCGTTGAGCAGTAACAGAAGTGATTGCGTCTGCAACAAATCTTCCTGATTGATATAGGGCCACATGTAACTGCCTCTATCTGAATCGGTTCCAACGTGTGGTTGATGTTTTATTTTCTTGAACGCCTCCAAATCGGGGCGATGATTATACGGCATTCCTGGCCATGCTTTCAACAGAATATCCGTCCTTTGACGTCGGGTCTTTTTGGCCCATCTTTGCCTAATAGTACACTCGTGTCTTAGTAGTAATCCGTTTAATATCTCGTAGTTGGTGAATATTGCCCTCGCCCTCTTGTTGACTTCGATGCGAGCCTCCGCTACAGTCACCACCTTTGAGATTTCGATGGCCTTGCAAAAGTCAGTGTAGGTGCCCTTGGTCGGCTATGAATCATGACTGACACGGGTCGGTGGCTCAGCCATTTCCCACTTGAGGCAGAGATGCCTATATTGGCTTGATTGGGCAAAAATCGCGTCGGGTTGCACTGGTTGAGGTTGAGATAACCGGTTGCTTTAATCCACTGTCACATGTGCACGATAAAGGTATGTTGATACCAACCCCCGGGCCGTACCTGCAGATAAATCGCAGCAGTAAATTACGGAAATATGAGCCCACACATTAGGCAAGCACATTTTGCTTCGCTTCATATTTTCCAAATTTAAGATCTCGTACTAAGCACTACTGATGGCCCAGCGAAGAGTGTCTCTGCTAGACAAGCATATCCAGCGTCGTCAATACCAGTAAAAGAAGAAGCCAGTTGGTTCGAGCCCGCTACGCCGCTGCTTGGCTCTTCAGAAAATATTCCTTCACGGCTAACTTGATTCTCAGTTGGGATTACTTGCCGAGGCTGCTGCCTTCTCAAGGTACCGAGAACGTCTTCAGCCGGCTCGCTTGATATGTCCGGGCTTGTATCAAGAGGATACATACTGGTATTTAATGTGTCACCCAAGAGTTTTTTCACTCTCTGCACTGATTGCAGGCACTGGGGCAGCTCATCAAGCGTATCAAACGCGATTCGGCAAAAGCTATCGAATGTGTCTTGTGCTATCTCATCCTGCTTCAGATAGAGGAGCAAAACGTCTGTGGCTAGCTGCAATGACGCGAGAATATGATGAGGATACGGATCCAAGCTAATCAAAGAGGAGAGCTCGCGGCCGCGTTGGGCTCTATCTTTGCTGAGAGCCACCTGGCAGCTGAGACCAAAGCTAATTGTGCTAAAAATGGCGTGAACTGACTCGCGGCGAACGGCATCAAAGTCTGGAACGATGTCCCTCCGTTCAATGGATACAGCCAGGCGACATAGAAGCACCAATCCCATGTGATAGTGCAATTGAAGAAGGTCTACTGCAGGTTAGCTTCGAAGCTCTTACTCTCAATGATAAACATGATGGGTCGTTATACTGACAATAACATAATCGAGCATCTCTACTGAGAAAGAGAATATGCTTCTCACAAGCTGCAAGCAGTGGCTTGAAGGTTCTATCAAAACGATTCACAGCTTCCCTAATGAGAATTTGCAATCTGGTGATGATTGACTCTCCATAGCCATGATTTATCGCTTCTCGCAGAGCTCCGATTATTTTCCAAACATATCCTTTCCAAGTAGATGCCCGGTGAACAATATATAATGTGTCATGGCTTGTCGGAACAAATCCATTCTGCCTCCACGCCTCTGTGCTTTCATGAAATAGTTGAACTCGAGCTTTCATAAGGCGGAAAACCGGCTCCTCTTCAAAGCCAAAGACGCCGCTACAGAGGATAGAGGGGCATCCTCTGGTCATGGACGAAGAAGTATCAAATACCACACCGGCCCAATACATCATATTCTCGGCATGAATGAAATCCTCATTGACGGTGTTACGATTGATGGAGCCTTCCCCATTGCTTCTACCAACCGATAGGCCAGTTCCGGAAAAGCTGATGTCGCGTCGTTTTACTCTTAGTCGGTGAATTTGACGAAGAGCCATGTCGATACTAACCTCGCCAGCGCTGTGAGCATTTTCGACATCCATGGAAGCACCTTCGGAAATTGGAGTGAGTCCGAACAAATACAAAGCCAAAGCTGTTTGGTAGCTTAGTTTGTCAAAAACAGACATGACTCTGGACTTGGCATTGTGCCAGAGGCGATCGCCAAGTAGCGAGAGCTGCTGTCTGTCGATTGCATTATCCGTCACCAACGGTAGCCAGCGAAAAGAGAACGCGTGCACTGATGAAATTAACGCCAGCTGAATAGCGTGATCGCTTCTGGGGCAGCTGTGGCGGGTTGGGATATGATCATCCGTACTACAGGTGCAATTTGCCCAATCGAGGGACACAACCAGCTGCAGCATGGTGAGGCTGGACATCTGCCTCCGCAATTAATATGGGGAATATAGAATCATTATGGAAAACTCACATGATCAGGCACCACATAGGGACTGCAGTCAGGGCCTGTCCAGAGAGTAAGGACAGGCTAGAATATGAGAGTGAAAACCGTCCATAGCTGGTTATGCAGTTCCTTGGCCTCGGTTCTCTGGGATAATTCAGAGCTGGGTATGGGCCTATCAAACCGAACGTGAGAAACTAAACCATTAGCATCAGATAAGAATGGGTCTAGACATACTGAGTATGGCCATCATCCTCTGCCGTTACAGTCAGCCCTGTTTCGTGATGTTGTATCTCTTCAGAAGGCTCCGAGCCATTGGCCACTGCCGTTGGGGAATGAACTGATATCGAGCGACGAGAGAACTGACGAGTTCTTGGCCGGTTGACATCCCTTGACGCAGCTACAGTTTTATTCCCGCGGTTCCGAATCCACTGAGAAGATGCATCATTAGAAGGGAAACATGGCGATAGATACTTCAACGAACAGACCAGACTTACATCATAGGTGCAGGGCAGAGCTCGCTTTGAACAGTTTGTACACTGAACACGGGATGATCTAGCGTCGGGACTACCGGAAGTGGTTTGCTGGTTCTGTTGTAATTGTGAAGCATCACATGCGATACGCGATTTGCGACAGTAGTCACAGCTGGAGAATTGACGTCTGCGCGCAGACTCGGTTCCGAGAACGCCTCGGACCATGGTGGAAGCTGCGTAAATACTTTGGTGACTGGATTGCTAAGCGGCTTCCAAGGAGTAAGGAGAAGGACGAAGACTAGGATCTCGGATCCGAACTACGCATCGCATCATACCGCATTAGTCAAAGTTCCACGCCACCAATCTAGCCATTACGCCCAATTGTTCTGATGGCATCTGTATAATAGGAATTGCGTATTGAAACATTGCAATATGTATATATATATATATATTGTGCGAAAGCCCTCGAGAGATCTATCCTTGTTCTCTAGAAAACACATCTTATAAATAAGTTGGTCAAAAATTTTCACAATGTCTGCGCAAAACGTGGCTCTGCCGTTCGACGATTGGGATTCGATTCGCGTCAAGACAGCAGACACTAGCCTCTTCGCCCGCTATGACGGTACTGGCCCAGCAATTTTGCTACTGCATGGATGTCCGCAACATTCTGTACGTCAATTATACTCTTTGGTTTCCTATTGACCCAATTACTCGTATATCACTAAACCAGCATAATGCAGCTCATGTGGCACAAAGTAGGGCCGCTGCTGTCTTCCAAATACACTGTTATTGCCCCCGACCTACCCGGCATGGGCCAATCGACCCTGAGCGAGTCGGGAAAGTATACTTCCGCGGCAGCTGCAGAAGCCATTGTAGCACTGTTGGATCTCTTGCATATCGAAAAAGTGGCTGTATTTGGCTATGACAAAGGTGCTTCAGTTGGATCTGTGCTCGCATGGAGGTACGCCGAACGAGTGGTGTCTTTAAGCGTTGGAGAATATGCCCTCCCAGCATTTGGTCACGAAATTTTCCAAAATCCAGACCCCTCTAGGAACCTATACGGACATTGGCATCTAGCCCTATTTTCTGTCCCTGAAGCAGCTGAATTTCTCATCCGCGGACGTGAGAAGGAATTTCTTAATTGGTATTTCTGGCACAGCTCCTATGCCGCCGGCGCTCTCATATCTCCTGATCATGTCGAGCGTTACTCAGCAGCATTATCGAAACCAGGATATCTTCGCTCTATGACAGAGTTTCTCAATGGTAATATTTGGCGCGAGATTGAGTATTTCAGGCCGCTGAGAGAGGACCCGATTCGGGTTCCCTTGACTGTACTTTGGGGAGAAGCCAGTATGGTATCTGAGGAATTCAGCCAGAGCTTATGGGGACCTACGGCAACTTCGGTTAAGACAGTATTTGTACCAAAGGCTGGACATTGGCTAGGTGAGTTTTGACTGAACGGGCCCCTTTGTCGATATGTGTTATTTACAGATGAATAGCGGACGAAAACCCAAGGTGGTTGGCAAAATTTATCGACCAAAATGTTGCCAGCGCTGCTGTTGAGCCTTCTGTTGTCGATCTAAGTTATTTAGAGGATCAAATCACCATGATGTAGATGGTGCATGTATTTGGTAATCAATCATGGCTTCCCAGCTGTCGCAATTTTCTAAGAACCACGCTTCATAAAAGTACATGTTGTTTATCAACGCTGCTAAAGGTCTTATATGGACCAAGAATTTAGTGATTTCAATGTGCCGGTTATCTCGGATGTGAATTAGAACCGGTGTCGAAATGAAATAGATTCGCGGATGATTTGGCATTTCGGAACCGAGATGGCGGACAGTGGTAGAATTAGGGGCGTCAGTTGGAGGCTGAAGAGTGCTAGACGTGGGAATCCGAAAACATGGCTCTAGATTCATCAATTCTATCTCGATGTACTGCATAAATGTAACCTGATTCTACCTATTTACAGGCATTATAGCCCCGTACATCTTCACTTTTAGGTGACCGCTGTATGGGTACCTATGTTATCGGGAGGATCCAGTTCTTTCGATAGCCAAAATCCACATCCTTTGGGTGGAGAGGACGCTTTGCCTGAGAAAATGATGTCAAAGCAGGTGTGCATTCTCATCAAAGGCATTTTATTAATGCAGAATCACCAGAGATGAGCAAACTTGTTGATGATAACAGTAACCAATACACGCATATTAATCATTTATACAAGGAAACGTCAATGACACCCTACTATATGCTTCGGAATGCTACACAAGTATTGAATGTACGCCTTGGTGGCGCGTCGATCAGCCGCCTGCTCTAGCTGCAAACGTGCAAGCTCCCGCAGCTGTCCCGAGATATTAAACAATTTGGCAACCTTGAAGCATCCATCCATCCAGCCTCAAACATCACCACATACTGCACTCTCCGCCACACATGCAGTCGTTGCTCAGATTCAACGCATCGTGGCCAATCCGCTGCCGAAGATCCGCTGCCATCCGTCGCAGCTGACCGCACAATGACTGAGCAGCACTCGAATAGGCCACCTGCAGGCGTGCGTGGGCCTGCTTTGCACCGCTGCCGCCCGTCGCGATCGCCACCAGGCCCTGCGCATACACCTTCTCACGATCCGCATGGTTAAGATGCGCCATGTCTCTGGAGCGGAACCGGGGCAGCTCTTGGCAGCGCGATCTGATGGCATCCCGGAGCCCGACGAAATAGGCGGCGTCGTCGGCAGTGATTCGTCGGTCGCCGCAGATGGAAGCCAGCACGGAATGGACCTCGCATGAGCTCGACGAAGCCTCATTGGAGCAAGCACACAGATTGCCGCCCGCCCGCTCAAAGGTTGCACAGGCGCTGCCGGAAACAGCGCATACATCGATGGCGCCGCGCGTGTCCCGGAGCACAACCGCTTCAAGCGCGTCGCACACAATGTCCATGCAGGCGGCCACACCCTCATATCCAGCCGTGCCCCCCACGGCGAAGTAGGCGTTGTCTATGCAGCCCATCCGCGTGTCGGTACAGAGATCGCCTACGTCGTGTCCAAGTGCAGATGCGACGTATAGCCACGACGGCAGCCTCTCCTCCCATTCGAGACTGCTGGCGAGCTCGTAGTGCATAAGGACATCCCAATGGGCGGCGAACACCCACGCACGCAGCTCCAGGCCCCGTACCAGCCCCAGACTTGACAAACTTCCTGCGTGCCAATCCAGCATCGTTGGCCATTGGACGGCGAGCTCCATCATTGCAACCGTCCATCGAGCCAGGCTTGCGTGGCGCGCCACATCGCCGGTATATGGTGTGAAGTCGCTGTCTCGGACATTTCCATGGTCCAATGCAGTGAGGTAGGCTCCGAGCACCGTCAAATCCAGTGCATCTGCCAGTGTGTTGATGTGGTTGTTCATGAAGTAGTAATGCAGCACCATGGTTTCGACGGAGCCACGCGCGCCCTTGGCTACTTCTTTGCTGGATTTACCGCTCGCCTTCTCGATCTGGCGGAGACCAGTTCCGGCCAGCCACAATGCGTCGGCGAAGATCTGAGGCGTTACACCCGACCACATTCCACGTTCGTATGCCAATTCGATTTGGTCCTTGGTGGGCACGCGAGAACGCACCGCCTCTTGTTTGGGAGGGGCATTTGCGGCAGCGGCAGCAGCGGCTTGGGCTTGGGCTTGGGCTTGGGCTGCGGATGCTTCGAGAAGCTTTGTCGATGATCGGAGCTGTCTTGTCGACACAATGGGCTGCTTCTTTGTCGCTTTGGCCTGTTTCTTGGATATGCCGGCTTGTCGTGTCAATGTGCTGGGCTTCTGTGGTTTCGCTGATTTGGTCCGCTTCGCCAACGCCCCGGCGGCGACCTCGATGGACAGGGATTGTGACTGTCCAGACGTCTCTAGCTTCTGATTGCCGCACGAGCACCAGTGCGTTATGGGACCAGCGTCGTCCTCGATCGGCCGGCTGCGCTTATACCCGCTTACTAGTCCCTTCTCCACAGCTTTCCCGCGCAGCTCGTCCTTTGCGATATCCAGAGCCCAAGCGGCCCAACCGTTCTTCAGCGCATACATGGAGAGAGTCTCACACATGTCCGCCATGTGTGATTTGTCACCGCATGCTGCTGCACGTTCCACCTTTCCGCGGTGCACAATGCGTCCCCTCCCGTCGAGCCACCGCAGAACGACGGTTGAGTCGGTGCGTGCGAGGTCATCCCGCAGCTGTCTCAGAAACTTGCTGGGGAGGGGCCTCGGCGCTCCAGAGGCACACCCGACGCACATCTTCATGTCTTGCCAACAGACACTCACCCTACAGACTTGGCACAATGTAACATTGGTGATGTCAATGTCAAACTGGCCGACACCGCCATCTGATTCGCTTTCTGCAGGCCAAGAAGGGTGGCCGCCATCCTCCACTTTAGGCATGTTTCCTTAATTTATTTTCAGGTACGCCGTCACTGTGAGGAACGTCAAAGGGCTGGCCGTTTTCGTTTGATCTTTTTCTACCGTTCCGTTTGATTGGAAGTAAATGCGGCCACTTATATATCCCTTCGTTTGCATCACCGCTCTCTTGGCGAGCGGGGACCGTTCCCAGTTGATTGGGATGGTACTTTGCAGAGGCCCCACGGTTATCAGCTCACCGACGCCGGGGTTGCGGATGCAGGTTGGCTCTTCTTCTTTGTTCCATTGGCTGGTCCAGGCCATCGTACCATGTATGCCTTCGCTCAATGGCCGTCCGAATCCTGATTAAACGTTGGTTTTACGTGATATATGCTGTTGGTTGCTGCTCGTGGGGGGCTAATGCCGAGGCCGACTGGATATCACTTCCACGCGGAACAGCATGATTGGCTTCTGAATATGTGTTTATTTATCTCGGCTACTAGCAGGCTGCTGTCACCGGGGTCTGGTGGTACTGCTACTTTCTGTCATAATTACGGGCGTCATTGTGGAGGATACTGTTCACATCTCGTTCGGAGCTACTGCTTTAGGTGCATATTATTGGCCTCTAGCGACATGTCTTCACTTGACATGTATTTATTTGCCTCACTTGCCTTCCCGGCTTGCCACTATCAACGTCTCAGTGCTAGTTGATGCTTGTTGGAATTTGTCGTTGTGAACAGCAACAGCATCATCATCATGGAGGACATGCTTCGCCTCTGGATTGCCCTCGCTGGCTTCGGCGTGTATCTTAGTCTTAGGACCGTATATCGCCTGTATTTCCATCCGCTGTCTCATATTCCCGGCCCTAAGCTGACAGCATGTACGCACCTATACGAATTTTACCACAATATTATTCGTCCGGGCATGTTCTTGTTTGAGATTGAGAAGATGCACCAGCAATACGGTCAGACATGCTGGCCACTTCCCTTGAGCAACCAAGCACACTAACAAGACTTGGATGGCACAGGCCCTATAGTGCGCATCAACCCAAGAGAAATTCATATTTGCGACCCTGATTTTTACGATGAAATCTACGCGTCCAGCAGTCGAAGGCGAGATAAGGACCCCAAATATGTCCCTACATACGCCTTGCCCGGCTCCATGGTGGCGGCCGTGAGCCATGAGCAGCACCGCTTCAGACGAGGCATTCTCAAGGACTTCTTTTCTCGGCGTTCTGTCGCAGAGCTGTCCGACTCCGTCAACGAGCGGGTGCAGAAGCTCATGACGCGTTTCGAGGTGGAGCGAATGAACCAGACTATTGTGTCTCTTGATGATGCCTTCTCAGCGCTCTCCTCGGACATCATCACGGCATACTGCTGTGGTAAGGACTGGGACTTTATTGAGGATGAGAATTTCCGCAGCGACGTCCGCAATGCTGCTGAGAATGCGATCGCATTTACACACATCTCACGCTTTGTCCCCTGGTTAGTCTACGCAATGAGTGCCCTTTCTCCCAAAACCATGGCATTTATCATGCCAGGAAAAGCAAAGCTTTTCGAGTTTCTCGAGGCATTCTTGGAGTATGGAAAGATGGAGTCATACACGGGCAAGAGAAAGACAATGGTGGCCACTTTGGCCGATGAAAGCATTCCTGCAAAGGAGAGAGACTACTATCGGCTGAGAGACGAGACATTCGGCCTCATCGCTGCTGGGACAGAAACGACTGCGAAAGTGCTAACTGCTGCTTCCTTTTATATGACAAATGATCGTAGAGTGCGAGAGACACTGCAGGCAGAGCTGAAGCAGGTTATGCCAACGCTGGACAGCAGGCCAACGTGGGCAGAGCTTGAAAAGTTGCCTTATTTGGTACGTACCACACGCACTCATCCCCATATACTCTCGGAATGATGACATTTGGCTGATTGTTTACCGCTAGAGTGCCTTTATCAACGAATGCTTGCGCTTGGCTTATGGGATAACCGCACGGCTTCCGCGAGTAGCACCAACAGAATCTCTACAGTACAAGGAATACACAATTCCCCCAGGAGTGAGTGACGAATACCCAATGAATTTCCCCTCTTTTCAACTTTCGCGTGGCTTCACCGTCTAACCTAGACTCCGAAAAAAGACCCCCGTCAGCAGTTCCACATACTTTATCCATAACAATGCGTACATCTTCCCGGAACCGGACACTTTCCGCCCCGAGAGATGGATTGAGGCGGCGGAGAAGGGAGAAAACCTCAAAAAATATCTGGTTACATTTAACCGAGGAACCAGAGGCTGCATTGGCATCAAGTATGCATCAAACTAAAAACTAAACCCTCTCCCATTCACAACCCTGGTTGCACCAATGCTGATTAAAAGCTCTAGTCTTGCCCACTTGGAATTGTTCCTCACAATTGCCCATTTTGCCCGTCGGTTCAACATGGAGTTACACAACACGGAGCTGGAAGACTTTCGTATTGTCCGGGACATGACCATGGGTGTGACAAGGCGAGGCGGCTTCAAGGTCTATGCTAGATTATCGCGGGTTGATGAGTAATTATGATTCCCCTGACTTGGATCTTTGCTGGGGGGGGGGCGGCCGCAGTGCAGAATAGAGCGCAATTTCGCGCAACTCGAGATCCGCGTGCAAATGTGCAGCTACAGCTGCTTTGTTGATTATTTTATTTTTTTGCGGGGAGTGACCTCTCTCCCATTAGCTAATCATTCCCAGTATCCCGGATTCGCACCCCGTGCTGATTCCAAGAGCTTGGCAGCCAGTGATATTTTGAGCCCAAAATAAGACATGTGCCGCCGCAATCCTACGATTGCCTCCCATTGGTTACCAGACCAAAGGCTCCCAAACCCTGTCCAACGGCTTCTGGCGGTGAGAAAGTGTCTGGTAGCCCAAAGCGGATAGCTCTCTCGGGCTGAAGTCACTGTATAAACCCCGGATTCATTTCTTCCCTTGCTTCGTCTCGTGCTTGCGGCTTGTCGGACTGCACGGATTTGTCCGTGGCGCCCCGCTGGCCTCTCTGGCAGCTGAGAAACCCCCTGGCTAGCGGATTCTCAGCTGTTTAAAATGGTACCCCTTGTGGTGGTGGTTTTGTTTCAGTTGCCCAGTCCCTCCAACTCTCGACACTTTGAAACCAACACCATCATTGCCGTGACCAACAAGCAGATCGTAACCGTGCAATGGGAGCCTCCGGAATGCCCGCGGGGGATAACCCGAACCGCAATTCGTTGCTCGACCTCAAGAACTTCCAGTTCACCTTTGACTGCTCCAATTTTATTGAGCCCGACGTAGGTTGCCGCATCTCTGGATCCGTGGCTGCCAGCTATTGGCTACCGCTCTGCTCCATCTGCATACATATCACATCGCTTGGATACGATACTTACGCGACATCGTGCAGTCATCGTTGGAACTAATGTAGGCGGATTGCGAGATTCTCGCCCGTGCCTGCGGAGCTCTAACCCGTGTCTATGAATTAGGGACGACGATTCCAGGTCTTTGTCCGACAGCGTGTTGGACTACCCACATGAATTTGGCCGCACCTATCACGCATACCGAGCAGGATGTAGGACCTCAACCCACAACCCTATTTGCCGTTATCTTGTCCTTGTCGACTCCAAGCTGACCGCAGCCCTTGTGCCCGCAGCATACGCTTACCCCAACGATATTCCGGAACAGGAACGACTTGCGTTCCAGGGACCCATTATCAAGAAGCTCTTTGGAGACAGGCTCTACTTTGCCCCGCTCTCCCAGACGAGGCCTCCGCAGTCCATCCTCGATGTCGCCACGGGTGTTGGTGATTGGGCCATCGAAATGGGCGACCTATTCCCCTCGTCCGAGGTTATTGGCACAGACCTTTCGCCGATCCAACCGGACATGGTGCCTCCCAATGTCAACTTTTACGTCGAAGACTCGTAGGTGGCTGGCCCTAACAGACGCGACTGAGAGATAGCACCCCCCCACTAACCGTTCCGCGTCTTGTAGAAGTGATCCGTGGGAATGCACTGACAAGTTTGGCTACATACACACCCGACTCACGGCCGGTAGCTGGTGCAATTTCGAGAAAGAGATTGCAGAGCAGGCCTTTCAGGCTCTCCAGCCCGGCGGTTGGCTCGAGTCCCAGGAAGTCGAGGCCGTCTTCGGCTGCGACGACGGCACCCTTGACCCAGGCGGGCCGATGTGCACATGGCTCCACGAAATGAGAGTCGCCGCGGAAGACTTCCAGCGCCCTGCCATCCTGGGCTCCACCCTCAAAGAGGTATTCGAGAGGGTTGGCTTTGTTGACGTGCAACAGCGTATCTTCAAGCTCCCGATGAGCGAATGGCCCAAGGATGAGCGCCTCAAGGAAATCGGACGGATGTGGGGAGCAAACTTTTCGCAGGGTTTGAATGGCTTTTCCGTCCAGCTTATGAATAGGGTGTTTGGTCGGACGCCGGCTGAGATTGAGGTGAGCACAGACTCCAATGTTCCTTCATCCAACCACCATATCGACTTTGGCGCATTCGCTGACTTTCATTAGCTCTCTCTGGTCAAGATCCGAGAGGAACTGGCGAACCCTCAGATACATGCTTATATGCCTGTTTTCGTTGTGTGGGGGAGAAAACCGTTCGCTGGAGAGCGAACTGATGCTATGATGACTTAAGGGGGGGAAAAAATGCAAATGGACGCGCATGTACAGTTCAATTCCGCGAGGACTGCAATTCTCTGTACTATCAGGATTTATAGTTTTTTATAATGGGTATACGTATATGGTGTTCAATAATAATAGACGAGGATTCTTGCTCAAGATGGGAGTAAAGTAATTCATATGTTAAACAGCGTCACGTTTCGATATTACAAGCATGCAGAAATTAAACGACTATAAATGAATTAAATCAAAAACCTGTTATTTCGCGCCCGCTTGTTTCAATAGCGAAACAATATCAAAATGACCACCAATTAAAGCGGCTTGCAACGCAGTTTCGCCAAGGGTGTTCGCAGCATTCACATCTGCTCTAGTGGTCAGGAGGATCTTAATAGCATCCAGTTGGCCGTTCTCAGCTGCAGTATATAAGGCAGTTTTGCCATGGATATTCTTAGCATTTACATCTGCTCCAGCGGCTAAGAGGATCTTAATAGCACCCAGGTGGCCATTTATAGCAGCAATAAATAAGGCAGTTCCGCCAAAGTCATCCTGAGCATTTGGATCTGCTCCAGCGATTAAGAGGATTTTAATAGCATCCAGTTGTCCATTTTTAGCAGCAACATGTAAAGCGCTTTCTCTATGAGATTTCTTAGCATTTACATCTGCTCCAGCGGCTAAGAGGATCTCAATAGCATCCGGTTGGCCGTTCTCAGCTGCAGTATGTAAAGCAGTTCCGCCACGAGACTGAGCATTGACATTTGCTCCAGCGGCTAAGAGGATCTTAATAGCATCCAGTTGGCCGTTCTCAGCTGCGGTATATAAGGCAGTTACGCCACGGAACTGAGCATTGACATTTGCTCCAGCGGTTAAGATGATCCCAATAGCATCCAGTTGGCCGTTCTCAGCTGCAGTATGTAAAGCAGTTCCGCCACGAGACTGAGCATTTACATCTGCTCCAGCGGCTAAGAGGATCTTAATAGCATCCAGTTGACCGTTCTCAGCTGCGGTATATAAGGCAGTTCTGCCATGGATATTCTTAGCATTTACATCTGCTCCAGCGGCTAAGAGGATCTTAATAGCATCCAGTTGTCCATTTTTAGCAGCGGGCTCCAATACCATCTTGCCATCTATATCTGCGGCTAACAGTTGTCGGATGGCACCTAGATGACTACCTCTGACAGCGGCTTGCAATGCAATCTGGCCATCTGAACCAGAGGATAAGAGAAGCTTAATGGTATCTCGATCGCCAATTTTAGCAGCAGTCAGTAATGGAGTCTCTATGCCAGCGGCTAAGAGGTTTATACAGACTTCTTCATCGCCACGCTGAATAGCTGCCTGTAATGCAGTCTGTCCATCTACACCCGCGGCTAAAAGGGTTGTAATATGATTTAGAGTATCACCCCTAGCAGCTCTCTGTATTGCAGCCTGGCCATCTGCACCGGCGATGAGAAGCCTTTTTGTAATGTCAAGGTAACCTCCTCTAGCCGCCACCAAGCAGGCCTGGCACATCTCAAGATCCGAATCTTTAGTTTCCAGAATTATACTCAGCAGCGTATCGTCCCCCTCACTCGCTGCATTCAGTAAAATTCCATTTTTGTCTTTAGTCGTAATCATATTGGCCTGGATTAAAAGCCGTATGAGAGCATAGTGATGAAACTTTCTGCTCCATTCCAAGATGCTTTTGCTGTTTTCATCCCAGGGCCTCGTCACGAGATCATGCTGTCCCAGTATCATCTTTCCCCATAAATTCCATGTCTTAGATTCTGCTTTTCGAAACATTGATGTATGAGAAATCCAGTGATTTGATGCATATCTTAGGAAAGGGTACCCCACATGTAGTCTCTCTTTCGACTCTCCTGTATCATCTCGACGATAGCTAGCTAAAGCCTCAACGGCATTAGCAGCTACTGAGCCTCCTCTGGTATCAAACTTCAAAATCGTGGAAATAGATGCGGCTGTCTTCCATTTGGATCTCAAAGCTGTATCTGCTATAGCTATAGGTGGCATAGGTGGCAACGGTTGCTGTCGTCGAGCTAGAGTCGTTTGAAAGTCGTTGAAATTGAGATATGTAACGCATATCTCCCCCAGATAGTGATCAGCATCTTCAAGTTTTATATAAAACTGACTATTTCGATCCTTAGAGCACTTCTTAAAAAAGAATTGTTGGACAGTCTGGTGGACGAATTGAACTGTATTCAATTCCTCATCAACATGAACGAGGTTTTCGCACCATGAGCTTATGTGATTAATGCCGTTAGATCGTCGTTCTGTCTTTGAGTATTGCTGTCCAATCTTAATGAAGATGACCTCCCTTAGCTGATCTAGTGTCAAAGGCTCTTTCGCTGCAGCAATCCATCGGAAAATTTTCTTTGCAATTGTTGCGTTCCCCCGAGAAACGACCCGGTCGATGGCGCGATCGAATGTTTCCTCCAAGCTTCTGGGCAAATTTGTAATGGCTGCTCGGATATCGTCATCACAATGTTGTAAACTAAGCTCATCGACTTGAAATACAACCCAAAGAAACCTAGAGTGGTTAGTAAACGGAAGACATATTACCAAATTCGATAACCTACATGCCATTCGCCCCTTTCGATAGTGCCGTTTTAATCTCTTCGATAAGGTCTGAATCTCCAACTACAAGCTCTTCGTCCTGTAGTTTTTCCTGCACTATGCCTTCTACGTATGCTGCGATGTCGGATTGAGCTGACGAACAGTCCATAGAGAGCTGTTTGTAGGTCGGAAATTTTCTGTGTACCTCCCTTGAGACGCTATCACGACCAGCGAGGAAAAGCTTAGTATTCGACCTGGTGTTCACTATTGAAGAGAGAACTGCAAGAAGATCACTGCGATCCTGTTTTGCACACTCATCAAACCCATCTATTACAATATAGAGGGTTTTAAACGATGAGGCTATCCCTTGGAGCAAAGTAGAAATTTCGTTTAATCCGGATGCTAAGTTGAGTCGCATTCGATCCAAAAACTTTTCCACCTCTTCAGAGAGATCGGACGGGTTTAGCATTTGTCGAGTAATGGACTTGAGTATGACCTCAGCATTTAATGATTGTCGATCGTCGAACCGTACAAAGAAGAAGGAGATAAATATATCCGAACTGTGCTTCTCTGTTAAGAGTTTGTCGATTACGCTCGCCCTGCGGCTTTCAATTAGGAAATTTTCAAAATGCAGTTATTTCAGTTTACTTGCGTCAGAACTGTTTTGCCTGAGCCAACTACAATGGTTAGAATATTTACCCCGTAACAGCTGTATAAAGTGAAACTCACTCTTTCCAGAACACCATAGCAGAGGGCAATCTCCACTCTTAATCCACTGGTCGTATTCGTTCGATTGAAATAACCATTCCAATGTACCACTATACCGTTTACGGCGGCTTTGTTTAAATGGAGTCAAGTAGTCATGAGTCGATAGCGAATCAAGCAGCTTTTCCTTTCGCTCCTCTTTTTGCCTTTCGTCACTTTGCACCTGCCATGATTCCATTTTATCAGGGCGGTTGTCTTTTCGGTGAAAAATGTTTATTAGCTTTTCTTTTTTTGGATCATCCTTCTGTTGTCTAGTCTGAAGCTGTTGGATTTGATAGCTGGCCTGCGTTTTCGCGAGTGATATTGCATCTTTAACGTATTTACTGCGACTTTTAATGTCATCTGCATCCAGCTGAAATTCCCGTTCAAACAATTCCCGCGAAGAATTGAAGAAGTATGCTGACCCTTGTTCTTGTCAGCTAAGGTTGAGCCAGATATGAGGAGGTTTAACTTACATGAGCGTTGTGTGGTTTCTATCGCACGCTTGCAGCAACGAATAAGGGACGCATAGAAGCTGAAGAGTGCATTCCGAAGTTGTGATGAAGATGAATAAAATATTTGATAATCCCTCCAGCGCGGACAAAATCCCCCAAAGTCCATGAAGAACTTAGAGAGAGCCTCATAATATGCGACGAACTTGACGGCCACCTAATGTCGTAAGCATCCATTACAGCAGTTCCAAGTTCAGTCGTAAAGATATCCTCACAAATATTGTCAACTTCACACTCCCCCATATGAGAGGAGCAATTCCTAGGTGTGTTGAATCAAGTGCTTCGACTGTGGCAGAAAAATCTCGAACAGATTCTAGAACAGAATGTAGTCTACTTGCAATGCTGCGTCCCTTTCTGTTCCTGTTTAGGGAGTCTAGCTCGGCGGTAAGTATGAGGACGGCATCAGCTTCTGGTACTGCATTATTGCGTTGTAATTCGCGGCGTTGATCATCAGTGAGTGCCTTTTGGAAATCGGAGATGGCGCCCTGGAGTGTTTGAACGCCTCCATTCGGCTGCACGGTGACTAGAGCAGCAACAGAGGAGGATTTTCGCGTAACAGCATCGGTCCCCTGAGGTTTTGCTGGAGGGATATGGCGATTCTGATCAGAGTCTAATATCGTGTCAAAATGAGAATTCGAGTCAGCGAGGCTTCCAATCTCACCATTGCTGGACCCAGAGAGCTGAACATGATCTGATATGGTGTACCGTGCCAAAACAGCTTTGGCGACAGCTGCAGCCGTCGCCGCTGCGAATGGCTGCCAAATTTTGTTTTTGTGACTATCGGCATAATCGCAAATGCCCTTGACAACTATGCAAGGAACCTCGTCCCAGAGCCCCGCTCCCTCCATTTCAAACGCTATGATGTTGTATTGTTTGGCAATTTGGTCACGATGGTCGCCGGATTTCATCACCGTGTCTGCTGATGCGACACGCCCGATGAAAATATCTGGACATTGCGCTTCCTCCCATGGTAGGTGTCGCTTCCTTTCTAAACGCTGTCTTGGGACTAGTTTATCCTCTTCGCATCTCAGCTCAGAACAGGATGATAGTGCGGCTTCATCGCAATAACTCTCAGATACAGCGCAACATGGATCGGCCAACGATCCGCCTCGATGCTTGTGTTGGTATGTCGCAGCGAAGAGCTTATCCTCGGCGAAACCAGGGTACTTGTAACTGTATTGAAATTCTTTCATAATAGCTGCATCTTGCAAAGCTTTTAGATACCTAGCAGTGTTCTGTCGTAATTCGTTCTTCCCAGTATCAGATTTGAGGTAAGCAAGGAGAGTACGAATATCCTTGTTTGGTAGATTCTGGGTGGCCACAGCCATCTCCTTAGGGATAAACTCCCCAGGGTATTGTCTGCCAAAGTCGTATTGAATGATAGCCTCGCTAATTACCACGTCGCCCAGGAGCGCCTCACGTGGACCAAGCATGGGAACTCCGCCACAGACTCCCACCAAGAAAGCAACCCTCAAATTTGAATAGCTCGTCCGCAGGCTAGCTGCTGAACCAGCGACCGCGGCTTTGCCCATGTTGGGTAGAAGCATGAGCACGACATTGTGCATGCCGATCCGCCCATTCCTATAGAAGTTTGTATCTCCAGAGGTTCTCCCGTACTGTCTATTATCCTCGTCCCAGAACTCGTCCACGAGGAGTGTGGTGGCATCGTACTCGAGAGATAGGGCACAAATAATTGCGATCTGAAAGTCTTTCCGATGGGAGGGTCGATGGTAGGTAGGCTCGAAGCTTGTTGATGTTGATGGTGGAGGAGGTGATGGGGCGGGCATATCGCCTGATTCTGATTTTTGTAGGTGGTAGCTGAAGTAGTGGTGTATTTCTGGCGAAGGAGTCTGCGATTATCGGGTTGTAGGAGGAGAAATCGTGTTGGTGATTCAGATTTATTTGGAAGACTGAACGACTGTGCGGCGTGGTCCATGCCGCCAAGTTCGTTGCATGACGTTTGCGGAGTGTTTTTTACAGATGATGTGCGAATAGAAAGATCAGCGTGGAGGCTCTTCTGTTGAAACATCAATTAAGAGAGGGGTGGGTGGCTACCCCTGCAATCTGCCTCAGCTTGTACGGAGTACTCTGGGCCTGATTGGCGATTGGTGGCGGTTGGGCGGGCGAATCGGTGCCTAATAATATTCAGGTTGCATCAGCCTCAACTTCGAGGTTGCCGACGGTGTTTCGCAGTTTATATGAGTGTAAACATTTTTATTATTTATTTCACTATATTCATATCCATTGATCTCAACCTTTCATTTATTGATTAACAAATCATCATATTTTTGGTGTCTACATTCCAAGTTTAGTTCATTCCAATCACCAGCGCGTGAAGGACTGTAGTCTACAATACAAAAGATGTAGAGGTTTGAACTGTACCTACCTACCTAGGTATCTGGTGCTGATATCAGGGGATACTTTCCGTTTTACCCAGGGAAATCAGCGCACAAATCGCATCGATAAATGACAGCACCAGTACATGTCTTTTTTCTTTCTTTGTTTTTACAGGTGCTTTATAGTTATATGTGTTGTGTCGTATCTGTTGCTTTACTTTTCGTTATAAAAGATTCGGCATCCTTGAATTCTACCGATACTGACATCAGCCACCTCAAATCTAATGCAAGTCTATTCCAAACACGTTTTACACTTCGACTTACATGTTCAGAAGTCTTGCTTCACACACCTTAGTAAGCTCACCGACTGTATTACACTCGAATTCCAATCAAAAGTGATTGCTATCGCCGATCTTTCTCTACCGGGTTGTATATTGTTGAGCACCGGCGACTCGATGGCATTGATTACCGGAACATCCCTAATCTTGTGAAGATAATGCCGTCGTTGAACTATTGTACCATATTCCGAATAATTTGTAATTGAAACCATTTAGTGCCTTCTGTCTCCATGAATAATCGTTTCCTATATCGGGCTTTAAAGTAATATGTAAGTAATAGCCTCTCTTGATACTATATTCATCAGCCATCTTCTTAATAAACTGTTCATATACGATCACAGGCAATGCAACATGTCGTGTTCTGTGAAGCCTATATTCAAATTCAGTGACTTGCACCTTAGGCAGCGGGTGATCCCGAAGAAAGATATCGATGCACGCCCGCTGTTGGAGACGAACAAACTCGCACTCGGTAACAGTGTACAAATAGTTTTGGAAGAAGTGCAAATAATTGTTTCTAAAACAATATTGTATACGCTTCTAGCTCTTTTGCTGGATTCATTGTATTTGAATTCATCCATTGCCTTTTAACTCCCTACGGCATCTAATACGTCATTAACAAAATAAACCAAGAGTAATAGATACGAATATCTGGCCAGCATAACAAGGGTTCTTGCTAATTAGAAGCCCTCTAGTAATAGAGAAAATAGATACCACAAACTTTACAGTACCGTGTGTTCGTCCAATGGGGAATCAACAATGACTTCGCACAAAATACTATTGCATGGGCATACATCTCCGATAAATCATGCTATGTTTGAGGGATCTCTATTAGATCGCACTGACTGGAGATCGATCAAGACAATTATACACATGCATTAGTCTGAAAAGGTATTCGGCTTGTCCGCCCTTGTTACAAATATGGAATCAATTACACAATCGTATTTCGGAAACTTCATCTACGAACGATGTGGCTATAATATTTCTTCTGATTTGAACGGATAAATCGGGAACATTTGAAGGATTCGGTTGCGCTATTATGGAGCACGGAAGACTCACGACGTCTCTCCTGCTGATCTGGGCCCAATTGATCATCGCTTTGTTTACAATGCGACGCTACAGCGGCTCTTGAGCACTCGATCGAGAAGGTGAGTATAAACGCATGTGAAAGTACCGACAAAAGATCCACGCATATTTATGCGCATTGTACTACTATATATCTCTAGGATGATCTCGTGTTGTTTTTGCAGGAAATCTTTTGCTACTGTGTTGGTTCATGTTGCCCTGATAATTTAGTCCTCCATGTCGCTTAAAACGGTACTGTCGCTGTTGGCCGCTGTCCAGGCTGTCCAGGCCGACTTCTCGCATTCGGTGCATTTCAAGACGGTTGATGCGGTAGCTGCAAAGAGCATTGCCGCAGCAAAGGGACGGCTGGTGCAGGGAAATGCCGATCTGTGGGCTGAACAGGTATTAGAATATCTACAATTTGTCTACCATTTCATGCCATGTTGAAGTGCTAATCTAGACAGGGCTTCTGGTTCTCCAACTTCACCATCGGTGGCAGCCCCAATTTGGAAATTTTAATTGATACTGGCTCCTCTGACGCCATCCTGAACCCGGGCATTTACAAGCCTGGCCCCAACTCGGTCAACACCAACAAATCGTTCCGAATTTCGTATGCCACTACGAATCCCGATGGATCTGGAACTTTGTCTGCAAGTGAAAATAGAAACCGGTAGCCAAATGATCATGATCACTGACCAATAGCAGGCGTCGGGCCAAGTATACCGGGATGTCATTACCCAGCACGGCGCCAATCTGACGGTCTCCCAGCAGTACCTTGGAGCTATCACCAGCCCCAAATCACCGCCGACATTCCCCCATGACGGTCTCATCGGATACGCAGGCATCGACAGCAGTGCTCTCGGCCGTACCCCGTTTTTCCAGAGTCTCTGCGACCAAGGCACACTATCATCCTGCCGCTTCGGGCTGGCGCTCAACTCTGACCAGACCGGCACGCTTTACTATGGTTCCGTAGCGACGGAGAGCTTCAGTGGAAGCCTGATTTCGGTGTCAGCCAGCGACCAATGGATCGTCACCGGTGATGTTACTTTGAATGGCGCAACGGTTCAGCGCAGCGCCTCCATCATCACAGATTCTGGCACGACTGTAATCTTCGGGCCCACCTCACAGGTCAAGTCGCTGTTCCAAAAGGCGGGCATTCAATCGGTGCAAAACAGCAATGGCATCACCGGCTACTACGCCTGCGATGCGCCGCCTACCATTGGGCTAGCATTCAACGGCAACAACTTCAATATCTTGCCCGAGGCTCTGGCATTCAGCCAGAACGGCAATAACTGCACAGCTAGCATCCACGGGACGAGTGCGTTTGGCAGCCAGTGGCTAGTCGGACAGGCATTCTTTCAGGGCAAATACATTGACCACAATGTCGACGATGGGACCATGGGCTTTGCCAACTTGCAGTAGTTGTCATGTCTGGGAATATGAATAAGAATCTTATTGTATGGTGTCTATTACATGTACCCACCTGCTAAATGAGCACCTAATTGGATATCATGGTTAAGGACATGTATATAGTAGGTAGCTAATTGCTAGGTACACGGGTACATGTATATATAAATACAAAGAACAGAGCACCATTCTATTCCTCCAAATTGTGCTTGGCAACCACAGATCAAAAAGCGAGTGTAAATGATCGGGACTGCGCTTTCTGGTCATGGTCAATGCTTCAAATAAACATATCTCCCTCATAATAGCAGTCACACAGGACGGTGGGGAGGGGAAAGTTCGGGACCATGTCAGATTCTTTATCAACATCTTAGAGCCAATTGTCAGACAATTTAGGGTCTGAGTTTAGGCCCACCTGTTCGGTTAATCGAGGCGCAGCCGCGCTCGTCGTTAGGCACCAGTCCTAGGTTCCAAGAGACCTTGAGGAACTCAACCCAGACACCTTGAACTTGGGACATTATAACATTATCCGGTTCACACATCGTAGACACTCAAATAGCACCGCTATTTTTCTTCAAAATGGCTAATTGTTACGACGCCGTCAATGGTCAGAAATACCCTGGACCATCGCTTCCAACTCTGAATCATATTCGGCTCGTTTCTCTTCTTCCTGGGAGCACCAATACAATCACTTGCGAGCTTATCACAGTAGATATTGATTCAGCCCCAAAGTATGAAGCTCTATCATACACATGGGGGAATGCCTTTGATCGCCAAGCAATCCGCATACAAAACACTGTCTTGCAACAGTCAGCTGAGCTCTTAGCGACATCGAATTGCCTTTCTGCTCTCCGCCGTCTGCGCTATAGAGACCAATCGCGAATGCTATGGATCGACTCTCTTAGTATTAATCAATTAGATGTATCGGAAAAAAACCATCAAATAACTCTCATGTCCAAGATCTTCTCTCAGGCAGCAAATGTTATTATCTACTTAGGGGAGCCTGCGGATAACAGCGACTTAGCTATTGAGTTTATCACAGAATGCGACAACCCAAGCACGGAGACTACATCTCTTAGCTATCCAAATACTGAGCTTTTAACTGGCGCCCTTTATAGCTTCTTCCACCGCCCTTGGTTTACTAGGGTATGGGTTATACAAGAGGTTGTCTTATCAAATACTGCACTTGCCTATTGCGGAGAAAAGACAATTCCTTGGTCAGCGATTCAGAGCTTTAAGGATTGGAATATAGCCTCTCGACGGCTACAACAACTACCCTTTATTATCTCCGCCTCAAAAGAGTCATTGATAAAGGGAAATGTAGAATCATCAATATTCACGGCTCTTAATCGAACGAGACATTGCGACGCAACGAATCAGCGCGATAAAGTATATGCCTTATTACCTCTATTCCAGTCACTCAGCAAACAGTTTAATATCATACCAAAATATGGGGATACGGTTGCCAAGGTATATACGGACTGTGCTATCGCTCTGCTACCAGAGTGCGGGTTTAAGTTACTGTCTGCGGTTCAAGGGAAGTCGAGCATTGGTAATCTGCCGTCTTGGGTACCAGACTGGAGTATCCCGCGCAAGTGCAGTCATCTTGGAATACCTTCTTCATTCGGGGTATTTGAAAGAAAGGTCAATGACAAAGTAGCACCTCAACTCATCACTCATTATTCCACCATTAATGGGGAAAATGCTGTCTCTTTACGGGTAGCTGGACATTTTTGCGGGAGAATATTAGACGTGGGATCAACATACATTGCTGGTCGGGGATTGCTTCCTATACTTGAATGGCAGCGCCTTGCATTCAATGAATCTGTGGTCTGCCCAAAGGCTAGTGGGAAATCACGTTCCAAGACTCTAGAGCGTACCTTCTACGCTGTTTTAGCAGCTTTCAGTTATGACTTTCTCGGCGAGCGCCTTTATGATTTCTTTAAGCTTCATCTGCTCCACGGACTGTACGCTAATTATGAGACGGATTGGGCAAAAGAGGTACGCAAGATGGGCTCCCTGAGAAGCGACCAAAGGGTGATAGGAGAGAGCATCTTGCCTTTTGAAGATATTCCATTCCATCTAGCGGCAAGAGAGATTACTCCTACCTACAAGATATATATTCAGTCTGTCTTAAGAGCTTGCCATTCTCGTCGGTTCTTTATTACGGATACAGGGTATATGGGGATTGCTCCCGATAATGCCAAGATCATGGACCACGTTTATATTTGCGCCGGGGCTACTGTTCCCTTCGTTTTTCGAAGGATTGATGGAAAGTTGCCTGAACAAGAGGAAGGGCAGTTCCGGCTAATAGGAGAATGTCATCTTGAGAAGATGGCATGGGATGTCTTTGAAAATGCGCCTAATGCACTGGAATATCTTGAAATTGTATAGTAAAGAGTAAAGAGAATAATGGTAGCTCGTTATTACAATTGCACAAAATACTTCTTCTTTCTCTAAATATACAACTCATAAATACAACCTGCAGGCCTAAAGTCCTCGGTCATTTGACTTCGTTAAATACAAGGTGATACCACTGGTGTTGGGTTTGGAGAAACTGTCATTTGACAAAGAGAGAATATGGCGTACTGTTTTAGCTTCTATGGTACATACCTGTATTCTGTGACATGAGTGCCGGGACCTGCGTTCACTACATGTAGCCATCTTCGCTGGCGACAAGTAGAGGCAATTCATATTATCATGTATATTACATTGTCTATTCTTCATATGTCATATTTCTTCATATACAAATTGCTAACTTTTTGTTTCATCACATTGGCTTGCACAAAAATCCGCGGGAAAACCATTAACAAGGGCGTCCAGCCGCCGCACCTACTGCTTCAAAGTCTCATTCCACGACTGCCAATACTGGTTCTCCCAAACTGGCATGCACTTCACCATGTTTAGTGAATCAAGTCTCCAATTTATTTTATCTCCTGCGGGGTCTTGACTTGACACCGTGTGAGACGTAAACCCCTTAGCTTCCTTAATCTTTTTTGTTTGTGCCACAGAGTACTCAAGGTTTACGGACGGGACGACGGCAATTTTGCGGTAGCCTTTGAACCAGAGGTCTTTGCAAAATAACTGCGGCTCGCCTTGTCTACATTCACCCGCAGTTTCGTTCGCTGCCCTAAATTCTACAGTCTTCTCTAAAAGTGGTTGGGCTGTGAATGCTGTAGCGCCGTTCCAACATGAGAACACCTGAAAGGGACGCTGTGTGGAGAAACGATTTCGAGTCTCGTCAGCGTTCCAGAAGAGATTCCATGCCGAATTCCAATTCCCGTCGGGGGGGATTTCGAAGAGAGAATCGCCATTGATTGTGCGGGCAACCCATACATCATATTGAAATATATATCAATTGGCTCTTATCACTACCAATTACATAGTTAGCGTAGCCTCTCTACTTATGCCTAGTAACCGGAATAACCCCTATACGCCTAAGTACTAATACTTTCTATATTAATACCCTTATTTTTAACACTCCCATTTAATAATATAGGGGATTACTCCCACTACTTTTATATCTTTTTAATAGAATAGCTATATATACCTCAGAACTAACTTCCACTTGTCACGACCTAACTCTTATGGTTGCGACAATGGGCCTATAGGGTAGGCAGAACTGGATTAACTATAGGCCGACTAGCTAATAGTATCCGACTTATATAACTCTATAGATAAGCTAGATGAGCTACGACTTTAGCAGCTTGTTTAATAAGCTATATAAGCCTAAGGTTAACTAAGTATATAAGTTTATATTTATATTATTTATTTAAATAGCTTAAATAGTTAGTTATTAATATAGTAATTAGATTAGATTTAGCTACTATATTTACTAACTATGTAATATTAATAAAATAATATTTATATTTAACTTAACTGTTCTGCTAATATAAACCTAGAACTTAGAGGTTTGTCTTTTAGAAATAGCTAACCTATATTAATATATAGAATCCGGTTTATTATACGTTAATAACTTTTGTTTAAACAGTTACTTTAGACTTATGGGTAATAAAAGACTATAATATTAAATAGTTAGATTTTAAGTCTTAGATATTAAAATTAATTATAAAAGCAAAGCTTAAAATAATTATTTAAATAATAATATTAAAATTAAGGATAACTTTAAAGAAAGTAATAAAGTAATAGTTAATAAAGAAACTTTAACTTTAAAATAGGCTGTAGCTGTAATTAAAATGCTTTAAGGAGAAATTAACGCTTTTAAAGTAAAGAAAAAAGAATATAGTAAAATCTTATAATTAAAAAAACCTGACTTATATAACGGAGATTTTTAAAAAATAAATAAATATTTTATAAAATTTAATATTTATTTTAAATATTTTTTATTTATATTAGAAGAAAATAAAAATAAAACTGTTTTTATTATTATCTATTTAATAAGAATAATGGAAGAATAGGCCTGGTTTATTATAAAAGACTTTAAGGTTAATGCTTTAAATAACTAGAAACTATAAACCTAAGAAGTTTTTAAAATATATTAAGACTTCTGTAAGTAATTAAAGAAATTATTTAAAACCGCTAATAAGGAATAAAAAGCTAAAAAACTCTTTTAGAATATATATTAAAAAGGATCCTTTTTAAAAAATATTACTATTTTTATTTACTTTTTAATAAAAGTTAATTAAACTAAGGAAAGTAAAAAAGAAGTTTATTACTGTATAGTAAAACCTAAAGTTAAAGATAAATTATATAAAATTAATTATAAAAAAATAAGTTTTTTTAATTATATATAATAAACTATTATTATAAATAATTGAATTTAGGAATGTAAATAAGAAAGAAAAAAAAAAAAATTAGGAAACTTTTATATATAATATAATAATGTAAATTAAGGTAAAAAATAAGACTTTACGTTTTTTAATAATAGATAACTAGGATTTATAGACTTAAGTATTTATTATGACCCAACCTCTTACGAAGCCAGGAAGGTATATACCCCAGAATAAGCCCCAGACCGACCAACTAATTAAAATAGGATTACTTATATATAATACCCTTAATAAATTACTACTGTAATCTATTATAATCTAAGAATACTGTAATCTATATATAAGCTAAAATAGACAACTGGATATATAAGTTTATTTCATTACGATTATTTAAATAATTTAAATAGCCAGTCGTTAATAAAGTATTAAAACTAAATATAAGTTTAACCTTCTATTTTACTTTTATGTATTTATAATTACAACTGCTTAAAAACTACTTTTTATCCTCTTTATTAATATAAACCTACGACTTAGGTTTATTACCTTAGGAACCCTTACCCTATATTAAAAATAGGGATTAAAATATTATACATTAATGACTTTTATTTAAAAAAATACTAATTATCTTTTAAGCAAAAAAACCACTATACCTAGATTATCTAAAGATATTAACACTCCTATTACTAACCCTAAAGCTTTCCAAACAGATAATAAAAGAAATATTATTATAAAAGATATCCCTAATATTATTAAACTATTTAAAAATAAAATTCTAATACTTATTTAAAATATATTCTAACTTAATAAAATATTTATAAATAAAATAAATATAAAAAACTTTAATAAAATCGGAAAAGTTAGTAAAAAAAAAGAAAATAAAGAAATCCTAAAGCTTAAACATTTAAGACCTTTTATAGAAAAACCTAAGGAAATAAAACCTTTTATTATAGAATTCTAATACTATATTTAGCATTTTTTATAAACTTTAGCTAAAGAACCTATAAAAGTTACCTTCGCAGCCATTTATTTTAAAAAAATTGCAAAAAACTAATTCCAACCTTTTTAAAAAGATTATAAGGTTAATAGACCTGACGGAGAAATAAACTATAAAACTATAGAAATATATAGAAGTATTAAATTCTTTAAAAAATAAATTAATAAAATGTTTATAAATATAGGAAAATAATATACTTTGGAAAATAAATTAGCTAGCCTAAAGTAAATAGGAAAATACACCACCTATATTATTAAATTTAATAAAATAACTATATAATTAAAATAAAATAATAAACCTTTAAAAAAAATATTTTATAATAGACTTTAGTATAAAATAAAAAAAAAAATCTATAAACACTGGAAAAAAAATACTATTTTAGTAAAATTTTAATAGAAAGCAGTAAATTAAAATAACTTACTTTATAAACTTAAACTGGAAAAAACTACTAAAAACTATAAAAATATCTAAGGATATAGGAACTTTAACTATTAAACTAATTAAAGAAAGAAATAATAAGAAAAGATTGCTAAAAACAATAGTAAAAGACTAGGAAGAATAGACCTTAATGCTATATAAAAAAAAAAAGACTTTAAATACTATAATTATAATAAGCTAGGCTATATAGCTAAAAACTGTAGAGCCTTAAAGAAAAATAGGGGAAAAGACAGAATCCCTAAACCTAAGAAAAAAGTCTATTTTATAGAAGAAGGAAGCTAAGTAATAGTACTCCTATAATAAGTGGATAGCCCCACTTAGAAAAACTCTAACCTTAAATTAAAAGATATTATCCTAAATATAGAAATACTTAAAAAGATTAATATTTAAGAGAATAATTATAGAGGGGATTTATAAAACTATAAAATACCTTTAACTTTTTAATATACTATAAATATTACTAACCTTAAATATAAACTACTAAAAGTTAAAAAAATTAATAAACTTTAGATATAACTAAATATATATACTGGGAGCTAAATATAATTAAAACTATATATTAAAGGAAAAGACTTTAAAAGAAACTTCTTTAAGTAACTTAAAGAATAGCACTTATATAATAATAAATATAAAATTATTTACGTTTATAATATTAATAAAATTTTTAAAATATATAAAGTATATTAATATACTTAAGGAAACTACCTTTAAATTAACTTTAACTATTAACTTTATAAAAAGGTATATTAAATTAATTATATAAATAATTAATGTATATAATACTTTAAGTAAAAAGTAAAGTATAACAGCTATCTTTAAAAAATCTATAACTACTTAGTTATTAAAATATATTAATTTTATTAATATTAAAAATAAGGAGTTATTTATAAAAACTAAAACTTAAGGATTATTATCCTTAAACCTTACTTTACTTTACTAAAAAAATATATAAATAATAAAACCTTAGACTTATATTTAAGCTATTACTATAAGCTTTATAAAATAAAAAAAATACTTAAATAGTATAATTAAAGAGAAAGAATAATAAACTATTATATTAATTAATACAGTAGCTATTTTAAAATAACCTATATTTAATATAAAAATAAAAAACTAAATAAATAGTATAAGGATTAATAAAATAACAGAAGAATTATTAAACGAGACCTTATATAGGTTTTAATACACTAAGGATTTAACTTTAAGACTTATAAAAGAGCAATAGATAAATAATTAGCACTATTTTATAAACTTTAAAAAACCTTTAATAAAGAATATAATATAATAAACTGTAGAATCTATATATAATAAATAAAACTTTACTATAGCCTTAAAGATTTAAACTAAAAAAACTATAAAAATAAAAAATATAAATAATATATATACAGTAAGATTAAAAATTAATATTTAAAAAACAAAAATTATCTTTTATAAAAGGGTATTAAAAGATTTAATAATACTTTATAACCTTTAATAAAAAATATAATTATAATAGTAATAAAAAAAAATAAAATATTAAAGTAAAAAAAATTATTATTAAGGTATTACTGAATAAAAAAACGCTTATAGTAATGGTAAATATTAAAGCGAATAGTAACTATATCTTTATAAAAACTGTAATTTATTTATAATTATTATAAAAATATAAAAAGAAAAAGTATAAATTATATTATACTAAAGAATAACCCTTTAATTATAATAATAAATAGATTAAAAAATAGATTAATTACCTATACTTTAAAATTATAAATTATAAGACCTTAATTATATATAATATTATAAATACCCTAAAGTATAATATTATTTTAAAAATACTATAGTTAAGTAAATATAAACTTAATATATAATAGAGTATAAGTTAAATTTATTAGTAAAATAATAAAAGAACTTTAATTTAAAAGAAGGATAAAAAAAGCTAGAAACTTTAACTCTTTAAGCCTAAAAATATACTGCCTTAATATTAAAATAAATAAATAAAAAATATAAAAATAAAATCCTATAAATAAATTACCTAAATATAATAAAAACTTATAATAATTAATAAATACTTTAAGATAATTAAAAATATATTAAAAGAAATTATTAATTTATTAAAAAACATTCTAAAATAATATTAAAAATATAAAGACCTATTTTAGAAAACATTAAAAAATAAAAAAAGGAAAATAAAATTACCCTTA